TTATTATTAATTCTTATTAAGAGCTTAATATTACTTAATAAACTCTATATTTCTTATAAAGTCCGCCGCTATAAAGGCGTAGCGTGGTTTTATTAGTATATTCTTATAAGTAATAATCTTCTCTTTTATCTTTCTTCTTTCTTCGACTTATTATATTCCTCGCTTCTTATTAAATAGCTTATATTTATAAAGAATATATTAAGCCGTCTACTTCGCTCTACACTTATATTCTTTATTCTCTATATTCGATATTTATCGATTATAAAGAAAGGCCTTAAGACCTATTTTCTTAATTCTTATTTATATTATTAGCGATGTTTTAACGCGCTTAACTCTTAAATATAGAAGTTATATTTATTTCGATAATATTAATTAAATTCTTCTAAGAATACTATCTCGCTTCTTATTAATCTATTTAATAGTCTATTATTTTATTACGTAATCTCTAATAGCTATCTTAATTATCGATATTATTTTTATCTATATAATTAATAATTAAACTATTTTATTAATATTTATCTTTACTCTTTTATTATAAATTACTTACTCTTACTAGCTAGTAACCTTCTTCGCCTCTCTATTTATCTATTTATTATTATCGATATTAATATATATCGAAATTTAGTATAATTCTATTACTATCTCGAGATATCTTAGCGAATTAATAATCTATACTATCTATATTATATAGATCTATCTTAAATATTTATTTAAGTCTTTAATAGTCTAAATTAATATTTAATTATTTATATTTACTATAACTCTATTAAGTTATAATCTTATTTAATATATAATTATTATAGTTAAAGCTTAAAGAATATTATATAACTTTATTAAGTATATTATATATTAGTTATTTAAATTTAAATAAATATTAAAAGTAGAATTAATATCTAATAATATAGTTAAAGCTTTTATCTTTTTATTAATCCCGCTATCGTCTATATATATTATTATATAACTCTTATTAATCGATCTTTTAGTTAATTCTTTAACGACTTTCTTAATCTTATAAATTATTATTTTAAAAGACTCTTAATTAAGAGCGACGCTAAAAGAATATAATTTCTTAATCTTATTAATATTATTATATTATTCTTTAAATCTATTAATATATCGCTTTAGTAAACTTAATTTTCTATTCTTCTTAGATTTTCTTTTAGATTTTTATTACTCGAATTATAGCTTAATAATCTCGCTATATACTAAACTAATAGTAATTTATAAGATAGCTTTTAAGATAATCTTATCTAGCTATTATTTAATTAATAGAAGACATACTTTTATATTAAGTACTAAAATAAATATAGCCTTAAATACTTTAATTATTTTTCTCTCTATCTAAGATTAAATTCTTTATAGCGATAAGAGATAAATTTTATTATAATTGATAGTATTTTTAAGCTAATATTATACTAAGTAATAATATATTATTTATAGAATAATTACTATCTAATAGAGCTATCTTATACTTTTATAATTATTATCTTATATTAATTCGATAATTCTCGCTAATATATCGATACTTTTAATAGTCTTAAATCGAATCTCCTTATTATAGTAACTTTATAGAAGTTTAAAGTTAATTTCAACTTCTAGATAGCGAATAAAGCGTCTTATTTTAATATATTATCTCTTATTAAATTATAAAGAATAATTTAAGCTAAATCTCTATTTTCTACTAAGATATAATAGTTAATATTTATTAGAATTAAACTTCGATTTATATTATAACGTCTACTTTATATAAACTTTATCGTAGATTTTATAAAGAATATTATAGTTTTTCTTAATAAAGTCTCTTACTATTAGAAGGCCTATATCGTCTATAAAGTTAATAGCTATCGTTTCTAAGTCGATATAACTATTATATTTATTAATAAGATCTAAGTTATAGAAGAGATAAAGTATAGATAATAGCGATAATTCTTAAGGAATTTTAATTACTATAAGAGTCTTTAATATAGAGTATTCGCTTATTTTTAATACTATTATTCTATTAAATAAGAATAATTCTATTTAGTTAACTACTCTTATATTGATTTTTTACTTTCGAAGATTATAGAGTAGTCGAGGATAAGAGATTTTATTATATATATCTGAAACGTCTAGTAGTAATATTATAACTATTTTATTAGAGTTCTAAGCTTAATATATTCTTTCTAGAAGATAATAAATATCGTATTTATATAATCGTAATCTATAATCTTTTATATATATAATTAATAGAAGTTTATATATCTTCGCAAGATACGCTATTCTTCTAATAAAAATAAACTTTATTATCTTTTCTATAGTATTAAGTAAAGCTATTAATTAATATTCTTTAGAAATCGAGTAATTCTTACTCGACTTTAAAAGAATAATTATTATTAATATTTTAAAGTACTCTAGATAGTAGTCGTTTATTAAATATATATTAAATATTCTATATAAATAAGAAAGTAACGACTTTAGAATCTTCTTAAAAATTAGATTAAGAATCGTATCTTCTCTTAAGGCTCTCTTTAACGATACTTATATTATAGTCTTTCTTATCTTATTTACGATAATTATATCTATTAGATAAACTTATAAGTATATTATATTAATACTAATATTATCTAACTTCGTCTATATTAATAATAAGAAGAACGTTTTTATAAGAAGATCTATCTTTAGACCTAGTTCGTTATATTTTTATTTATCTTTATTAAATAGCGAAGGGAGATACGTCTATATTATAAGTTATTTTCTAGTCTACTTAATCTTTTTTTATATTATTTATAATAACTCGTATATTTCTATTATAAACTCTCTAAACGCCTTTCTAATAGTTCTCTTAATTAGATTATTTTTAAAGTTCTTAACGACTTTATATTTATTCTATACTTTCTTTAAAAGCGTTATTCTCTAGCTTCTTTTTAGCGATTTATAACATCTTTATACTTTTTTATATTTCAATATAAATTCTAATCTAGATTATAGTAATAATCTAATAATCGAAGTAAACTCCTCTATAGTCGCTTAAATAGAGTTAATAATAGCTATTACTTAATAATCGATATCGTTATTAATAAGATTTCTATTATTTCTCGAGAAATTAATTAGATACTCTTTTAATACTATAGCTCTAGCGAGTATCTCTCTTAGAATCTCGACGTCTAATTTATTAAAGCTTCGACGTATTATTAATATTAACTCTATTACGACTAGCTTAAACTTTATAAAAATTAAAAGATAATTAGATTCGCTTTCGAAATCGTTTTCGATATTATAGTTAATAATATTTATTATTAATATTAAAGTAATAAATAGTAGATCTATTATTATTTAATAGTTTTCTTTATATATTATTATTTCTACTAATAATACTTATTTTATAACGAATTCTTTCGCTATAAGTATTAGTTTTTCTACTCTCTTATCGATATAAGTATTTAATTCTCTTTATATTATATAGTAAAGATTAAAGTTATCTAATATAATTTATTTATTCTTCTTAAACTTTATAAGCGTCTTATATAGTTTATTAAGTTCGTCTATTTATTAATCGTCGAGATTATAGATATTATATATATATATATAATTCTATTATTTTCAAACTTAATATTAAGAGTATAGAGATTCGATAAATAATATAATAAGTATTATTACTTTAATAATATTCTCTTATTAATATAGAAGTATATTTATATATTATTATAATAAAGATAAATTAAGTTAAATCTATTCTTTAGAGAATAATACGATATATTTATATTAATGTTTCTCTAGAACTTCTAAATTACTACTATATTAATATTATAAATCTCTTTATTATTAAAGAGTTCTATTATAATTATTCTAGATTTTCTTATATTATATTATAATATTAATAGCTAATTAAAGTATACTATTATTTCTTAATATTATTATTAATATTACTTACTCACTCCGCCTAGTCTATAAGATTTATATTCTCTTTCTAAGTATTCTTCTTTTCTTAATTATTAATAAATCGAATATATCTCTTTTTATTCTTATTAACGAGAATCGTAATTCTCTTATTACTACTCTTTTAACTTAGAGACTATCTATCATTTTCGAAGTTATTAATTTCCTCTATTATTATATCATTCTTATATTATTTAGCTTCGTTTACTACTTTAAAGAATAATCTATTTTTAAGTAAGGCCCTTATTAATAATATAAAAGTATATCTTCTTTTATTCGACTAAAGATTCGATATAATAATTCTTTTAAGATTCGATATTCTAATTTCTTCTCTATTAACTATTCTATCTTTATCTACTAATCTATCGCGCGTAGATATTAGTCTTAAAAAAATTCCTTATTTCATCTATAATTAAATATATTCTAAAAGTAATTACTTAATTAATCGCTTATTTGATAATTAATTAATATCTTCTTCATTATTATAAATTATAAAGAAATCTATTATCTCGCCATTCTTATTCTCGCTATCTCTCTCTTTTTTACTATATATATCTTATTTTAAATCTTATATAGTTCCTCGCAAATCGAGTATTTACGAGTATCGACCGTATATTCTTTATAATAATATTTTTCTAAGCATTTCCCGTATATTAAGTAATTTTTTTTAGAGTATATAGTTAATAGGTAATCGTATTTCCAGTATACGAAGTATTACTTCGATCTATACTACTTATTATAGATATAATAGCTATATAATTCTAAATCGATAACTAAATCTTCTTTTAATACTTTATTTTCTTTCTCTAGAAATATTAATTTAATAATTAATAAACTCTTATTATAACTTCTCTTTATTCGCGTCGAACTAGCTTAGCTATACTATATCGAGACTTAGCGTATTAATATTCTTATTCTAAACCCTTTTAATTACCGCGGCTATATCTTTAATATTAAATATATAAGTCCTGTCTCGGTAGACCTGCCTCAAGCATCTTAATTTCATTTTCGCCGAGGCACTTCGACGTATATTCATCTACCACCTCTAGCTCGCTACAATCTGCAGACTGCGCTGTGCGCTCATCATGGCGGAAGCCAATGGCGCTGTTCCAGATGCCAATCCAGCAGCTAATCAATCGTCTAGTCAAGATGAACCTACAGCGGCGGATCTGATTAACCCCAGCTTTACCACAAACTCTCCGGTGGACAATGGCCAATCAAAGAGACCTCGAGATGCCCGACTCATACACCTTGTTCTTTCAAACTACGGTGTGAATGCCTATCAAGAACGAGTCCCTCTCCAGCTTATGGATTTTGCCTACCGCTATACATCTTCGACATTACAGTAAGTATTCTCTGAGAGCTCCAATCACCACTATATGTTAACAACTGATCCCAGGGATGCCCTTCATTTCGTCAGCGAAGGTTATGGGACCTCGGGTTCCGGCACAGGTTCTGGTAAAGCTGCGGCACAAAATGAGTTGAGCTCCGTCACATTGTCAGCACTCCGATTGAGCATAGCCAGTCGAACACACTATCAACTCAACCCTACATTGCCAAAGGAGTTCTACAATGAGATTGCGCAAGAAAAAAACCGCGTGGCGTTACCGCCAGTTTCTAAAGACTGGGGCATGAGGCTGCCGCCAGAGCAATATTGCCTAACGGGTGCTGCTTGGAATTTGCGCGAAGAATGGGATGAGGAGGACGATGAGATGGAAGATGCAATAAAAGAGGAAAGAATGGAAGACGTCGACGGTGAAGGCGCCGAGGGCGATGATGGCGGAGATGAGGAAGGCGGTGGCAGGATGGAGGACATCTTCGGAGACGGCAACAATGCAGAAGCGGGCGGAGACATGGAGCCATAAAGCTCAACAGTGAATTTGTCTCCTTTGCGCAAGCGGTTTAGCGGTGCATTGGAAGGCGTTCTTGAGGCTCGAGGCTTGGTAAGGATTAGGGATTTGCAGACAGCAGATGGACCCAAAGGCAGAGAAATGCCTTCTTAACTAAGTAACAGTAACAGTGTCATTGCCAACCAATGTCCTGCCTCCCACGTCCGTTGCTCAAAATTCGTAAATGCCTGCACCCAATTTGTTGATACACATATTCTAATAGATGCCAGCGATGCCTACTCAGTCCTTCTCGGCCTTATCTTCCTGGTTTTGACCTGAAGACTTCGGGATATCCCACCATTCCTTGAAGAACTTCTCAGCCTCCACCTTTTGACGCCTTTTTTCTTCCATTTCAAGTCGCCGCAAGTCCATGTTGGCGAACCACTCCTCTCTTGCCGCATCCTGCTCCTTTTGTGATGCATATTGAATCATGCACGAATTCATCGCCAGACGCTGTTTCCGACATGCCCAGGTTGCAGAAATAGTGCGGTTGGTAGCACATGATGCGAAGTCTAGGCGTTGGATTAGAAAAACGGCCACAAAGTAGAAGGAATAGATATCTTACGTACCCCGTATCTCATTGGCACAATGACCTCGGACTTTCTTATAATAGAGATCTCTTACCTGAGATTCCTGGGCTGCAGAAAGTGGGAGAGGATTTCGGGAGGGGACAGGACTTGATTGGAGAGATTCGGGTTTGGGTCTGGCCATCATGATTGCAGGTCACGGAAGCCGAGCGTGTTGGGTATGATCAACCGAGTAGTATTGCTGTTGCACGCGAGTTATGAGTATATACTTCATGTTGAGCGTGACGTAGAAAGCAAATGAGTTGGGAAGCGCTCCTGTTCATGCTTTCACATACCTATCATGAATATTACGCTAGCTGTGTATTTTATCATTTTATCTCCCAGCTAGTTTAGTACCGAACCATTTTTTTATCCAACAAACAAACGAACGCTGTCGTTTGTATAGGAGCTTCATCTTCTGGTTTGGTTTTTGTGGAGGAAGAGATATCCATGGCAGAACATTATCTGGTGTCTATTGACATCAAGAATCTTCCTTCTTCTGAAGACAATGGCCTTGCTTTGAATACAATCTCTTACCTGCACCGAGTTCATATTACCGCTACGCCGGAAACGCAGCAAGATGCAATCACTTTCCTTCACAAGAATTTCAATCTTTACACCATCTATTGCGATTGTACAGCCTTAGAGTCTTTAGAAGACATTCTATCCTTACTGAACAATGGCGGCGCTAAGGTTTTCGTAACGTCCTTGCAGATGAAAGCAATAGTCGAAGATCGTCTCCTTGTAGGCCAGGATCTCGGTCGTCTTGTCATTTCTTTTGACCGTTCGGAATCTGATGGTGAACCGGAAGAAACCGCCAAGAACATCCTTAGCAAAGTCGAGGCTTCTATTCCAGACACACCCATTGGCATCCAGATCCAAGGAGTCCATGATTGGAAGCTGCTAGATACGATGAACCGGATGTCCAAGACCGGGTATTACCCTGGTCGATACGTGACTTTGACCCACAACATCCAAAGTGATTATATCAGGGCAGTTAAGGATGGTCATGTGGCTATCATTCCTGCGAGTGGGCTTACAACAGATCCCAAGAAGTACCCAGATCTTGTGCCAGCTCACGTTTTGATCACATCCGCAATCCGTAGCGATCGACCAGACGGATTGTTTCCCACGGTTGTTACTGACGAGAATGGGATTTGTCTGGGACTGGTATATAGCAATGAGAAAAGTATAGAAGTAGCGTTGCGAACAGGACGTGGTGTATACCACAGCCGCCGTCATGGCATATGGATCAAGGGTGAAGAGAGCGGAGATACCCAGGAGCTGATCAATATCTTCATGGACTGTGATGCAGATGCTCTGCAGTTCAACGTAAGACAACGTGGAGAAGGTATAGTAATTTAGCTCTCAATCATCTCCTATGTCACTCACACGAGATAGGCTTCTGCCACTTGAAGACCTCAACCTGTTTCGGCCCTTATTCTGGTGCCTCACGTCTCGAACAAACGCTAAAAAATCGCAAAGAATCAGCACCTGCGGGCTCTTATACTTCTAGACTATTCAGTGAACCTAAGCTTCTCGAAGCTAAGATCATGGAAGAAGCAAGCGAGCTATGTGAGGCAACCGACAAGAAGGATATTGCAGCTGAAGCTGGAGATCTACTCTATTTTGCTCTGACCAAGTGCGTTGCTGCAGGCGTCAGTATGGAAGACATTGAACATAACCTCGATCTGAAGAGTACAAAGATTACTAGAAGAAAAGGGGATGCTAAGCCTCAATGGGCCAAAAAGGTTGGCCATCTAGATACAAGCAACGGCTCTGCAGGGGCCTTGCATGGAAATTCGGAACAGGAGATTCTCAAAGAGGCAGCGTCCGTCCCGAAAGAAAAGGATGATGCTGCAGGCCTCCAAAACAGAAGGATACGGATGAAACAATATAAGACTAGAGACACTGACGCCAGAATCATTAAGGACGCACTCCAGCGTCCATCCCAAAGATCTACTGATGATATTATGGATATTGTCAAGCCTATCATCAAGGAGGTTCGTGAGGGCGGAGATACCGCCGTCTTGAGGTACACGCACAAATTCGAAAAAGCTACTTCTCTGACTTCACCGATTCTTCGTGCGCCGTTTCCGCAAAATCTGATGCAACTGCCCCAAGAGACCATCGACGCTATCAATGTCAGCTACGAGAACATTCGCCGTTTCCATGTGGCACAAATGGAGGAGAAGCCATTGCGTGTGGAGACCATGCCCGGCGTTGTCTGCTCGCGATTCTCTCGTCCAATAGAAAGGGTTGGCCTCTATGTGCCCGGCGGAACAGCAATTTTGCCCTCGACGGCGTTGATGCTCGGTGTTCCTGCCATGGCCGCAGGTTGCAAGAAGATCATTCTGGCCTCTCCCCCGCGCAGGGATGGCACGATCACACCTGAGATTGTCTATATCGCTCACAAGATTGGCGCTGAGAGCATTGTTCTTGCAGGAGGAGCACAAGCTATTGCAGCCCTCGCTTACGGGACAGAGACCATTTCCAAAGTTGACAAGATCCTTGGACCTGGTAATCAATTCGTGACCGCTGGAAAGATGGTTGTCTCCAATGATACCACGGCCGGCGTCAGTATCGATATGCCTGCTGGGCCGAGCGAGGTGTTAGTCATTGCAGACAAGTCGGCAAATCCTAAGTTTGTGGCTTCGGACCTCCTCAGTCAAGCAGAACATGGTATTGATTCGCAGGTCGTATTGATTGCCGTGGATCTATCGGAAGAGCAACTAGCTGCCCTTGAAGATGAATTGCACGCCCAAGCTATAGCCTTACCAAGAAAGGACATCGTGCGAGGAGCCATCGAGCATTCGGTGACACTGGTGGTCAAGGACATCACAGAGGCAATGGAATACAGCAATGATTACGCGCCAGAACACCTGATCCTGCAGGTCGAAAATGCCGAGTCCGTAATTTCTTCAGTTGATCATGCGGGAAGTGTTTTTGTGGGACCCTGGGCTCCTGAAAGTGTAGGAGATTACTCTGCAGGCACCAATCATTCTTTGCGTATGAATCCCAGCTACAAGCCCATTGCCAGTCACTCCGCTAACTCAATCACAAGCAACTTATGGCTACGCCAAACAGTACTCAGGAGTAAACCTTTCATCATTCACGAAGCATATAACCAGCTCCAATTTGACTCAAGAAGGATTGAAGAATGTCAGTAGTGCTGTCATGCAGTTGGCCAAGGTCGAAGAATTAGAGGCTCATCGGAGAGCAGTCAGTATACGGCTGCAAGAAATGGACGAGATCAAGGAGTGAGATACGTTGGGACAGTTGAAAGAAATAGCCAAACGGGAAGCATTAGGGATCTTGCAGAGCATCAGTGGTGTCTCGGATATTACTTGGCATCGATCCAGAGCGGTCGTGGATAAATTTTCGAGACTTTCAAGGAAGTAGCCATGGAGGATTCGAAACTTGAAAAGCTGGTAGCAATGCATCCCAATCATTTCAGAGTAGGAGGTAGAAATGCTTATTGACCCTCTATACATAGCTGAACAGCTTGAGGTCTGTGTCCTTACGGCACCTTTTCCCTTCCGGTCAATAGCACCATCTACGCAACACTGTGAGCGAGTTCGTGCCTTCGTGTTAGCGCATAGGTTGCTCTAATGTTGGACAATTTGGCAACAGGTAGCTTCATCTGATGGGTTTTACGTCACAAGTACGAGGGATTTCGTACTGATATCTGTACAATGGCTGCGTGCAGGACTCTCGAAACATGGTCTACTAGAGCAACGCAGCCTTTAGGCATTGCGGCTCATGTCGTTCCTAATTCTGCGTATGGAGTCAGCATTAGAAAACTTAGCGGCGACTGACCTTTGCTCCCCAGAAGTGTCTCGCGAGTCAGGCAGAGAGACTGGATGGAAGGAGACGGAAAATCAGTCCGGAATGTACGTACCGGTTGTAGTCCAACAAACCCTCGATACTCCCCACAGCGCTGATTGCCACATCTTGATCCCAAAGTTTCCTCCTCGCAAAAGACATGACATCCTTCTCGCTTATACTACCGACTACCCTCTCTACCTCCTCTGGGTCCATGCGGCGGCCTGTGGTGACGATCTGGCGGCCAATATCTTCCGCGACGGCTGTAGTGCCGTCAAGGGAGAGCAAGATGGAAGCTTTGAGCTGAGCCTTTGCTCGTTCGGTTTCGGCTTCAGTAACGTTGTAGGAAAGACGGGACCACTCTCGAAGGGTGAAATGGACAAGGTCGTCGATTTGAGTTTTGTTCTCCGTAACAAGGTATATGCCCCACAACCTAAAGATTTGGGTCAGCAAAGCCCGGTGGAGGGAGGGCTGAGTAGTTTCATGGTTTACCCTGTATCACTGTAACTGGTAGAAAAGCTCATGAAGCTATTTGCCAACTTGTTCTCGTGGATGAAGGTACTGAGCTTGCTGCCAAGGTAGGGAGAATTACCCATTGCCCTATCCCAATTGCCGACGATTGCTTGCGTGACCAGCGCGGTAAAATAATCATCGTCTTTCCAGCTCACACCTTCAACTGCAATGGCGATGTTTGCTGTTGGGATAGTGTCGTCTCTCACTCGGACTTCAGAGCCAATGAAGTCAGGTATTTGCTTTTGAGCGGCAGCACTTGAGGCAGCTGCTCTAGTTGGTGGTTCCATTGGTATATTGGAGAAGTACTTCTCCGCAAGCTCCACCAACTGCTTGTGAGGGACACCACCAGCGCCGACCAGGACCATACGATCGGCAGTATAATTCTTCGTGATATAACCGACCAAGTCATCCCGCTGGATGCTCGCAATGTTCTCCTTTGGTCCCAGAATGGTCCGCCCTAAAGGTTGACCTTGGAAGGCGGTGGCATGCAAATGATCAAAGACGACTTCCTCGAGCTGCTTGTCGACCTCCTCTTGTTCTCGTAAAATCACATCACGTTCTCGCTCTATGGCTTGGGGCTCGAGTTTGGAGTTTTGCAAAATATCCGAGAGTATGTTGACTGTAGCAGAGACATCGGAGTTGAAGGACTTGGCATAGTAGACGGTATTTTCACGCTATATTGGAGTGTTAGTGCAGCTCCGACACATGGTGAAAAGTAACCCTTACAGAAGTGTACGCATTCAAGTGGCCTCCCATGTTTTCAATCTCAAGCTCCAATTGCTGCTGTGTTCGATTCTTGGTACCCTATGCACAACGTTGAGCTCGCAGACACTTGCGAAGAGGCAAACTTCCATTTACCTTGAATGCCAGGTGCTCCAAGAAGTGAGCTGTGCCATTGGTCTTGTCTGTCTCTGCCCTTGATCCTGCGTCGATCCAGACACCAACAGTAGAGGTTTGTGCCCATGGAGAATGCTCAGTAGCAATCTAAGGGATACGTAAGCTTCCAACAGCAATTGATTTGGAGTAAGTCATACGGTCAGTCCGTTGGATAGAGTTGTGCTTTCGGTATTGATGCCCTGGTGGATTGGAGTTGCGAAACCTCTTATGGGCTGAATTGATTTGAGGGCCGCGCGACTACGCAAAGCCTGATTCAGGTTGAGCGCCAGTCGCCTAGAGGCCATGGCTTGTGGAATAAATAAAGAAAGGACAAGATGCCTCGAGCTTGCAAGCTTCCAAGTCCAGCAGAAGTTGAGATTGCCTACTGCCTTATTCTTCCTGCGGACTCTTTCGGCCAATCAAACACAACCGCCAAGCTTTACGCTAACAAAGGCGTCACCAACCGACAAGCGTTCACTTCGCTCCCAAGTCCGCGGTGGAATGCTGAAAGACATTTCTCCTCACTCTTCCAAGCCCAATTAGCTGCACAATGGCGTCTATTGTGCGGCCTTCGCTGCTTCGGCAATCGGGTGTTGCGCCGGCGGCAGGTCGAGATCTCCGGAAACGAGCCCCGCAGCCATACGCTCTTTCCAAGCTCAATAGCTCTAGCTTTCGCACCCAGTCCATTGCGAGCCGCATCTTGCCTCTGAGATCCGATGTACTGAGGGGCATTCCGCCGAGTATGCTCAGAGTTGCAGGCTTTCACGCCAGTGGACGAAGACCCATCCTCCCTGCCGGCCCTCGTGAGTACAATTGATCATGGACCAAAGCACCTGTATGGAAGCTAATGTTCCTTGGCAGAGATCATTGATGGGACTGGTAAATATTACAAGATAGGCTATAAGCCCAAAATGGCTGCATATACTGAAGAAAGTCAGCAAATGATCCAGCACCTATACCCCAACCTTCGCCCACCCATGGGAGCTACCACTGGGCTTTTGAGAGGCACGAGCATCATTCTACAGCCATCACATCCCAGCTGACGAGACGACTACAGACTCATATCCGCTGCTCTAGTACCTTTGACAGTAGCTCCATTCGCTGCTGGGACCCTTAACCCTGTCACGGATGCAATCCTCTGCGCCACCATCCTCATTCACTCTCATATTGGTTTTCAGTATGTGGAACATTACGGTCTAGAGAGAAGCCTTGCTGACACTGCTAGGTCCGTAATCATTGACTATATACCATCGAAACGACTGCCGAAAACCAGAGCCTTGTTTTGGTGGGGTCTGCGTGCGGCAACTCTGACCGTGGCTGTGGGACTGTACGAGTTCGAGACGAATGACGTAGGCTTGACTGAGGCGGTTAAGAGGATATGGATCGCTTAGGGAACTCAAAGCCGAATCTTCATGTATATGATCTTTTGGGGTGCATTAGGGACTGAAACGAGCGTTTTTCCAAATGTCCTTTCGTTGCTACATTTTGCTCGGCATTCTCATTCCACCATCAAGCCGAATAACCACGCCGTTCAGCATAGAGTTTTCTATGCCCTCTCTTACAATTCTTGCAAATTCATCGGGTTTTCCTGGTCTGAGCGGAAATTCCATGACCCGGGTCAAACTTGCCCTTACTTTGTCGCTCATCAGAGCAGTCATACCAGAGTCGAAAAGACTTGGTGCAATGGTAACGACTCTGATTCCGTATTTTGCGAGATCTCTTGTCAACGGTAGGGTCAGTGATGCCAATGCTCCTTTTGACGCTGCATAAGAGACCTGACCCGGCTGCCCATCGAACCTATATGGATTTTTAGAATTCTTAAAATGAAGCTTGGCGTATTGGATACTTTACTCACGCCGCAGATGAACTAACGAGCAGCACCACACCTCTTTCACCATCTAGGGCCTCGGGTTCCACCTTGATCATATGTGGCAATAGCTGCCTCACTAGATCTATAGACCCCCTCACATTGATATTCACAACAAAATCAAAGCTTTTAATATCGAAAGGATCCCCATGACGATCAATGATCTTCGCGGGTGTGGATACTCCTGCAGCCGCTATGATGCCTCCTATCTCTTTGCCGGTCTGCTGGACCCACGACTTCGTGCCCTTGACAGCTGCTGCTATGCTTTCTGTATCTGATACATCTGCTTGGAAGAACCTGGTGGAACTAGAGCCGAGCTCTTGGACTAAGGCTTTACCGCTCTCTTCGTTCATATCAAGGATCGCAACGTAACCGTCTCTATCTACAAGTTGTCGTACCGTAGCTCTTCCCAGGCCTGACGCACTTTGAACGGTTGGTTAAAAGATTTGTACCAAAAATGTTGGAATCGACCGACTCACCCCCCAGAAACCACAAACGTCCTCCCTTCAATCTTCATTTTCAACCCGATTTGTCTGAATGCTGTGTACTAATGTTGCACGCTGGTGCTCAAAACTTCTGCGGGAACCATTTGTGGGTGATGCCGAGGTTCATTTTGCTCATGCCCTACTTCTCTGCCCTAAGCCTTCATTTCTTGAACCCCATCAAGAAGAGAGGTAAGGTATCTCATGGCTTTAGAGTCTAGACACATTGCTGAGATGAGGGTAGCTGTGTCTCCACACGGCATATTCATGGCTTGATAATCGAAATCGAGGCTGGACTCGAAAGCATGACCGTTTGGGGGGTATATTCAGCGCTCATTTATATACGTTCTGGTTCTACCTTTATTTTTTCCTTTCCCTCACCTTCCATTTCACCCCAGCCTTGGTGGTTCCGCCCACGCTATTGCTCATCTTTGCTCGCTGGAGATCCAGCTCATTCTCCGCTTTAAAGAGGTCCCTTTCCCGAGCGGTTAGCGCCGCCAGCTTTGATCTTCGTGCATTCTGCTCTTTTCTGTGCTGCTTGCGCAGGAGCTTACCTTGCTTCAAGGCAAGCTCTTGACGTTCGGCCGCACGACGTGACTTGGGAGCTTCTTTAGGCGAATGCATGAGTGGCATCCCATCTGAGTCGTCCTCTTCCTCGTTCATAGAAGAATATCCCGGCTTTCTCGTTGCAGAACCTGGCGGAAAAGCAAATTCTCCAGCCGCTTTGTACTGCGTCTGTTCCTCCCTACTGTCCACGAAGACCGTATGGCTTCCCGTTTCCTGACTCGATGACGCACCCAGCACTTCAGCACCCTGGTCCTCACTTAGAACAAACTCCTGCTCTAATCTTGCCCGTGCCCGCTTCGTCTTTTGAAGCATAGTAGTGACATATGCTGCGTCCTGAGTCTTCGATAATTTGACCACGTCTTGGCCGAGTACCGGGTTTTGCCGGTCTGCTAACTTCTGCCCTTTTCTCGACTGCCTGCTCAGCATTCCATAGGAGAACTCGTCCGGGTTTCGCTCGGCAGCCTTTTGCCTAAGAATCTTGAGTCTCTTCTTATTTTCATTATGATTTTTGCTTCTTAGCGAGTAATCCTGTATCCTGCGTTAGCAAGCGAGCACAAACTGCAAGACACATCGATCAGCGGACCTTGTGCTTCTCAAGGATTCCCAGCCTCGCTTCTCGTTCTAATGGCTGTCCTCGTTCTCGATGATTGCGGCGCTGTGTTGCATTTCGCATTGAAGACATGGTTGCCGGGCTGTTCAAATAGAAGATTGTTTCAGAGCATGGGATGTCCGGCGCCAAGGCATCTTTCAGCCCTACTCGTACAAGCGAGACACAACAAATCCACATTCTCAACCAATTTTATCGACATCATTTACACCACGGAACCCTTCGGTCCTTAAATCCCTTCGTGGAAGGCAAATAGGTAAGTTAAGAAATTATGACTTCCAGTCATCATGTGTCCTGCCATCCACTAATCTGCTGTCGCCCTTCCCAGTCACAATGCCTACTCCTAAGACCGCGCCCAAGACGACCAAGAAGCCCACTACCACACGATCCGCCATCGCCGATGTTGTCGCCCGCGAATACACCATCCATCTACACAAGCGAGTATGTTTCTCCTCTACATAAACACCAGATTAGTTTTGTGAAGTCCACTCTATGGCCCCTTCGTGGGTATTCAGGACGGAAGACTAATCAATTGGGTTTTTGTGCAGGTACACGGTGTAGCTTTCAAGAAGAGAGCACCAAGGGCTATCAAAGAGATTCGGGGTTTTGCGATAAATGCGATGGTACGTGGAACATTTCCATATCTCCATAACCCCTCCAATCCAACACCCCCATTACTAACATGCTTGCCTAACGTCAGGGAACCAAAGACGTTCGCCTTGACCCTCAACTCAACAAGAAAGTCTGGGAGGCTGGCATCAAAGGTGTGCCATACAGACTGCGCGTGAGGATATCGAGAAAGCGAAATGACGAAGAGGGTGCGAAAGAGAAGCTGTACAGCTACGTGCAGGCGGTGAACGTGAAGAACCCGAAGGGATTGACTACTGTTGTGGTGGAAGATGCTTGAGGTCGTCAGAGCTAGGTGCTGCATTTTCCACGGGGCACGCGTACCGCAAACTCGGTGGCCAAGCCCACAGGTGCCAAAAGCATGCGAAATCAGATATTGAAAGACATCATGGCAATCGCAAAATCACATGTGGTGGATGATGCGTCGGTATGAAAAAACATGTTTTAAAACCAGTGGTGATCATTTGTATCTTAAGTAAAATGCAGTGGGTATGCCCTGCGCCATGCCACCATACGCTATGCAATGAATAGCCATCCCTTTCTTGTCCTTATTGTGAGAGCATTACCCTCTGCTCATCTGGCTTGTACACGGCATCCTTGCAGAGCACAACGACCTTTTTGAAGAACCTTCTCCATTCCACTGGATCTCCTTTGGCTTTCACAAAATTGATCTCTATCAAATGAGCATCAATGCCCGCCATTTTCTCAATCGCCACGTCGCCAGTCAGTGGGCAATGCCTCGTATCTGTTGCCCTGATCTTGATCCATACTGATGAAATCGTTGCTGAGGATGCGGCAAGCGGTGAAGCCGGAGTCGGGACGCCGAGGCTGTGCAGAGCATCTGCAATAGCTGCATGAAGACGGGCAAGTGGCCAAAGGGAAAAGAAACGTGTGAGGGAGTGTGAGGGTACGATGTCTCGGAATTGACGAGCGAACTGCGTCTTGCTTAGCGGTACCTGAGGACTAGCTGAGAATTGAGAGAAGGATGGTTCCTCTGCTAATCGGTCGTCCCAAATGCTTTCACTCATGGAAACACCGTTGACGATGCTTGGTTGACTAGCTGATACACTGTTACTAGCAGTAACACGTGGAGGCCGCTCCCAATCGAACATGATGTCGTTGGTTGGAGTCTCCGGCTGCGTTGAAGAGAGCTTTATCGTCACATCCTGGCTGTCGACATCCATTGCATCTTCAAAGCTTTGGCTGCGCTGGGTCTGTGAAGCCAACGGATCTTGAGAAAAGTCTATCTTCATGCTTTCGAACATCTGCGTTGCTAAGGCTAGTGGATTCGCGATCTTGCCGTCCGAGCTGAGAAATTTGTTCTCCCTTGTGAACCAAGGATGGCGACGGATTTCCGCCAACGAGAAACGCTCCTTCGGATTGACCCGCATCATGCCTCGTAGAAGTGAGAGAGTTTCTACAGGCAGATTGTGCCATAATTCGTCGTCAGGTCGGCCATTCGTCTTGACATATTGATCAAATTCATAGCTTCTATCCAATGGCTCGTCCCAGGGCGTATTACCGACTAGTAGAACGAAGAGAACAACGCCGCAAGACCAGATGTCGACGTAATCGCCTTGGTAACCATGATCGAGCTTCTTCGCAAGTCTATTGTCGCAGTTCACGACCTCTGGCGCAGTGTATGGTGGACTACCACAACACGTTTTACACAACTTTTTCTCCCCTTTGTATTCGAAAAGAGTTGCCAGACCGAAATCGGCGATCTTCAAATTACCTTCTGCAGATAAAAGGATGTTTTCTGGCTTGAGATCCCGATGGCCTACACCTTTGGAGTGCATGTAGGTCACAGCACTAACGAGCTGCGTGAAGTACAGATGCGCAACGTCCTCGCCGACTCCGACGTCAGACTCAATCTTGTCGAAGAGGTCGCCGCCCTCAGCCAACTCCATGGCTATCCATCGCCAGGTGAAGTCCTCGCCTGCTTGAAAGAATTGCACAATGTTTCTGTGTTGGCCAAGGAATTGATGAAGATTTATCTCCAGATCGAGCTGCTTCTTAGTGAGACGACCATGTCGGACAGCAAATTCCTTGTGAATGAATTTGACTGCGAAGATGGGCTTCGGAGTATGGAGTGGTGCTGCTTTCTTGATGCTTAAACACCCAAACGTCAGCTTTTGCATGGATACAGGAGATGAGAAGCCCAACCAACCAAGCATATGCACCTTGCCCGATCGTCTTTGAGACGATTCGAAAGGGCAGCTCGCTGGGCAACGGGGCGAGCTGCGAATGGGCTATCATGATTGGCAAAGGCGTTTTCCACACATGCTACGCGTATCTATTGGAGCTCTGATGGTAGTTGGTGAGCGTCAACATGGACGTCTCTGCTCCAGTCCCCAGCTCTCAAAGTATAGATGTTATTTAACAAGTCGCGTGCTCGACGTGATGGGTGTTTCATATGGCAGCGGAAGTGCCCGCGTACCCCACCAAAGAATCCCTGTTCCGGCAGATCTTTAGCGCAATTGGTTGCATGACAACGGCGAGAACAGTAAACAATGCCCTGCACTTTCTTCATAAATACCTATTATCCACACCTCATCCACACCTTCACACTCCACACCAGCCTCACAGTTTTCGAAAGCATTGATACACAATAAAACTCTTCCATCACTGCTTAGCCCACACCACAAGTCTCCAATACCCATACGTTATTCGACGCAACAGTGTCCTCCATTAAGCCTTGACAACTATGGCTGACTTCACCATGGAAGACACACAGAATTCCGCTCCAGGTCAGCCATCTGTACATGAAGTCTCGAAACTCTCCTCCACTTCTCGTCGTCAGGACACACAAAGCGTGACAAAACGGTATGGTCTTTGAATTTCATGATCATTCCAGCAAAGCCTTGGTCACATCCTGCAACTTGATACTAACTTGTTTCTAGTCTCCAAACAGAGTTGATGCAGTTGATGCTTTCCAGCACTCCTGGTATCTCAGCATTTCCCTCTTCTCCAGAAAATCTCCTCAACTGGACTGCCACCATCGCCGGCCCTTCTGAAACGCCCTACGCTTCCCTCACCTTCAAGCTTTCCTTCCAATTTCCGTCCTCCTATCCATACGCCCCACCGACAGTCCTATTCAAGACACCCATCTTCCATCCAAACGTCGATTTCAGCGGGAGGATATGCTTGGATATCCTGAAGGACAAGTGGAGTGCCGTCTACAATGTCCAAAGCGTGCTTCTGAGCCTGCAGAGTTTGTTGGGGGAGCCAAATAAGTATGCTCCTCTGCCTCTTCGAAATGTTCTGGGTTGTGATGCTGATTCCTCTTCTTCTGCAGTGCAAGTCCTCTCAACGGTCAGGCGGCGGAGCTGTGGGACTCAGACCCCACTGAGTTCAAGCGACTAGTTTTAGCGCGTCACCAGGACCTGGACGAGGAGTAGTGATCGATTACTTCAGTGCGACATGTTGTCTGTCAGCGAGTCCTTTCGATGCAGGCTCGACGAGTGCGGAGAAGAAAGGTCCCTAATTGCATTGCGTGGTTGGAGTACGATAGGTTTATGGCGAGGAGCGCAATTCAATTGAAAACCTCTGGGTATGATTGATGCAGACATCACTGGAGAATCAAAAATTGATTTTATGTCAAAGTCTTGCAACTGACCTCGATGAGCAACTTGTGATATCATCACCACACTCTGACTACTGAACGTATAAGCATCCACTCATACAAAAACGGTCATCCTGTGGCATATTAAGGCCTTCTGAAAGCCTACCTTTGAACCCCAGTCGAAAACAAAGAATAGTTGCACTATTCCTTTCTAGATCAGCCGCATATATCATCGAAAAAGATTATACATAATGAGAGTAAATTTTCAATCGGTTTCCCAGTATCCATCGATCAAAGTCGTCTTGGATCTTACAGCCCAGCATTCGAAAACCCGCGTCTCATGAACTTGCAGCGCTCGGCGTGAAGTAAGCTGCCTGATCGGTAACTAGCATACCTGCAATGCTCGCACTTGTGAATGTGCTCAGAGCCCCTGAGATAAGCGCGGAAAGTGCCAGTCTTGAGACATCTCCTCCCCTTCCAGGCGCAATCTGGCTCAAGACCCCTATCTACGTGGATTTCGGAGTCAGCACTGCTTATTCGAGGCAGAATATGGAATCGCAAGACCGGCCACGGGAATAGAAAGGTCCTCTTGCTCCCGAAACACATCCTTTGACCAAATACCAATACCATATAGGAAAGCCTAGGTGAGAAATGTACGGACCTGGGTTCCCAAGCTCCCGATGTTTGCGAACCCACACAGCGCGTACGTCACTATCAACCTGCTGCGAGAGCTAATATCCGAATAGGCAGGGTCTGTCTGCAGGGCCGTGTAAGCAACAAACTCGTTAGCAACGAGCTTTGTGCCGATGAGTTGGGCAACTTTCAGAAGGTCTACATGATCTCAGAGTCAGCTTCTCTTTGGAAGTATTTGTAAATTCAGAAAGCCTTATAGGGCAGAGGTGATTCGGAAAGCATGTTCCTATCCAGCAACATGCCCTCCAGCTCATGAACCAATACTGGACAAGAAAGCATGATGTGAAAAGGTGCCTACCTCCGTTGCGCGGAACGCCGAGGAGGAACGCAATTGGATAACAGATGTAACCCACGATAAGTTCGACGGTGAGGGGTGGATCGTTGATATTGAGATATCTTCCCCACCAAGTGAGAAGTCCGTTTGCTAGTCCAAGCAGGGCTATAATACAGAGAAGGGTTGATAGGATCATGCCCGCGATTTTGAGACCAAGCCAGGCGCCGTTGGCGAAGGCATGGAGAGAATTGGCAGCCTTATGCTCATCCTCGTCGGGTATAACAACTCGACCAGTGGTTAGCGTCTCCTCTGTCTCAGGGTAGCGTAACTTCGAGATGGCAAGAGAGGCGGGAATTGACATGACACCTATTCAGTCTAGGTGTCAGCGTTTGTCCGAAGGTTATTCAAGTCTGGGGAGTCGAAACCCCTTGAGAAACGTCTTGCGACTCAAAACTATGTGAATGAAAGGAAATATCTCTAATGAGGCACTTACAGGAGCTGACGAGAGCTTGAGCGTTGACACCCAAGGAAATGTATGCGACGAGCACGGAGCCAGCAATGGTAGCGAAGCCACAGCACCTGCAGTATTTGACCAGCAATTAGCATCGAGTCTCCAAGGTCGGAATTTGAGTTGCAAGGCACCTTGGGGAATCAGGGATTTACTATGAAGGAACAGACTGGGAAAATCCTACATGACTTGGTGAAGCTCGGCTTGAGTAAGATGTTCGACGAACGGTTTGATGAGCATTGCAGACTCGCCTTGCCCAATAAATGGCGAGGCCGCAGCAACCACCGCTTCTGCACCGGATACTCTCTTTTCGGAGTCAGCAAAGTCTATTCGAGGCAGAGATTGGAGTTGCAAGACAGGTTCCGAGAGTAGCATGGTCCTTTGCTCCCGAGACAGGTCTTGTACTACCGATCAGGAAAAATCAGCCCCGAACTGTACGTACCATAGACCAGAAAAAGAAGACAGCGAATTTGCCGATGAACCATTGGAATATCCCATTGTAAAAGCAGAGTTGGACAAGGGCCACGAAAAATATAACTGCCTAAATGGTATGAAGTCAGCAATCTTCCTAGAGCGAAGACCTAAGCCGTGGGACAGTCTGGATGGGTATTAAGAGCCTTTTGATCTCAAAAAAACATGTCTCTCAACTCGAACAACGGTCCGTCATAGGTCCTACGAAAATGAACGTACCGGTAAAGTGGAAACAATGAACCAATGGGTTGATGGGACACTTTCCGCTGTGAGGAATATCGTTCCCTGGTTCGCAAACCCAAGTAGATCTCGAGCAAGTTCCGAAATAAAACTGAAGATATCATATCCTACGCTTGATCTCAGGACAAAGAGGGCTACAATAAATTGGACCTACACAGAATCCTGAGTCAGCACACATTCCTCATGGGAAGAACCTGGGCTATTGGATCAGTCTTTGCTCCTGGTGCAGTGTTCATAAATAAAACCCTGGTACCAAAGAGGAAAGATCATTCTCCAGAAAATACATACTAGCATTCCTACTATCACAGTGTGCCAATTCACAGCCTTTCGATTGCGTGATGTCACATAGAGGACGAATATGAAGACAGCCAGCCCGAATAGAGACACCGCTCGATTATCGCGAGTATTGTCTTCACTTTCGGGACTGACAAATCCGCCGATCAAAAAGACGGATATGGTTAGGAGAGCGGCCAGTGGAATTTTGAACCGTTCCGGCAACAGCTCTGCAAAACGCACGCCGGTTTTCTCCCACGTCCAGTGTATGGGCTTCGTGACAACAGTAATGGGAACGTGGAAGAAAACAATTCGTAAGGTAACTGCAAGCCAGAAGAGGAATGGTTTGAGCCACCCAGTATTCGAGCTTAACGAGTCATGGATGCCATGGAGTAGCAACCCGGCGATCCACCATCCGGTAAAGACAATCCAAACAAGTAGATGAAAGAATATGCGGTATCTTTTGTAAAAGTTCGAGAAGGTGTGGGTTTGAGGATCCTCTTCAGAGCGACTGGGGCTCATGGTACCTTGCTCAGGATCAACGGCTGCCGCTGGCTCTTTTGCCATATCTGCATGCCGCTTTCTGTGAAGATCATGGTCCTGCGGATCCTGGTGCGGGATAGTCCGCCCCTCAAAAGTTGTACCATAGGAGTAGATGAGCTCGTCTTCCCGACCTTTCTCTGCCTGGGCATCATGGTGCACGTGATCATGATGATGCTCATAGGAGTTTTGAAGGGCTGGGTCGTCATTCTGTATCACATTCTGCTGAGGAGAAAAGTTATGATCTCTGACATCAATGTAGCCCGGTGTGGTTGACATTGTTCCCACTTGGCGCAGATGTCAGGGAAAAGATACAATTCAAATATGGGAGCTCGCTGGGACAAGGGTCCTATTAAGATACGTTTATCCATGTGTAAGATAATCGCCAATGCCTCGGCGTTGAGAGACATTTTCGAGGATCTACGTTGGAGGGAGCGCAGAAGACCCAATTGGCTGTTGATGCTGCCAAGTAGACCTGTGCATACCTAGTCTTATCGCAACGCCAATGTGCATACCTTGTGAGTGAATTCATCGATGGTCAAACTGCAGCTCGTGCAGTAGTGCAGAAATTCTGGGGAATTAAATACGCTACGGAGCGGCACCCTCGGCAGGCGTGTGCAAAGGTATAGAAATCTTGGCACCTAGGGCCCCTTCGGTAACGAGCTTGCCTGGGGTTAGACTTCACCACGTTCGCAGTACCCTCTTCATACAGGCTTCTACCCCCTTTTCGCTTAGGGCTTAACCTTACGCAAGTACTTGCCAGAGATGTAAAGGGTGTCAACATCTTGCACCGATCACAGATAGCCGAACGTTTCGACGTTCCTACGAGCGTTCCCTCTATCAGGACATCTTCTACGTCTGCAACAAGGCTAAGTGTGAGGTAGGATTGTTCTGCTTACCGAGTATCATCTCTTGCCTGAAATTCCGCTGCACAGCACTGTTCCTAAGCCTAAGATATGGCGTCCGGCCCTGATAATCAGCCTGAGCTCGGGTCAGATATTTCAGACTGGGAGATCGAAGAAGGTCTCCCGCAATTTGAAGACCAATTCATACAAAAGTATTTCCAAGGCCGCGAAGCCCTTATAGATCAAGAGAAATCTCAGCGGAGTGATGCAGCTTTCCGCCAATCTCTCACACCACTAGCCACCGAAGCGTGTGCAATAGTATCGCGGATATTGGTCGAGGAACATCGGACTATTTGGACCGGCGAGTTTCAAGATGACCTTGCTCGGCAGGAAGGCGTCAACTTACATCCAGGAATGATGTTTGCGCTTGCCCGGGACACAATGGAGAAAACGAAATCTTGGCGAATAGTGAAAAAAATGCCAAAAGGAGCCTTGTTGCATGCGCATCAGGACGCTATGATCGATGTGGACTGGCTCATTGATGAATTGCTTGGGACAGAAGGAATGGCTATGCTGGCAGAAGAGGCGTTGTGTGGTCCAACAGCGAGGGCGCACGGAAAGGTGGTTTTCCGTTACTCAAAAGGATCACTAGCGACCGCTTCATCGATTTGGAGCGAAGAATACCAACCATCTCATCCTGTTTCCATGAAAGAGGCTGCTGGGAGCTTTCCTGATGGTGCTACAGATGGTTTTAAGGCCTGGCTAAAAGCCAGGTGCACCATCACCCCGGAAGAATCCATCAAGCATCATCACGGACTTGATGCCGTCTGGAAGAAATTCACAAGCTGCTTTCCACTACTAGACTCAATGGAGTATTATGAACCTATACTGCGGGCGTCTATGCAACGTCTTCTACGACAAATCGTGGGTGATGGCTTGAGTTGGGTAGATTTTCGATGCACATTCGCAGCCGATTTCAGATTAGAGGGTTGTGAAGAACCGTCTAAAGGTCCCGATGATCTTGTTCGCATCTTCAGCGAAGAGCTGAAGAAATTCAAGGCTACCGAGGACGGAAGAAATTTCTGGGGATATCGATTCATATGGACAAGTTTACGATCCTGGAGCAAAAAGAAAATTGTGGATCACATGAAGCAATGCATCCTCATGAAGAAGGCCTATCCTGAGCTCATCGCTGGCTATGATGTTGTCGGACAAGAAGATATGGGGAGATCACTGGCAGATCTTACACCCGAACTATTCTGGTTCAAGAAGCGCTGCTTCGAGAACGGGGTTGATATGTACGTATTCTTGGGCGTCTTCCCAGCTGAAAATCAAAGTACCACACTTGAACTCATAGACCGTTACCGTCTTGATAGCAAAGACAGCTTGTCATTCTTCAACATCGTCTATTTACTCCAATTTATATTTTGAGAAGAAGCACTGATATGGAGATCTGTAATAGTCCGTATTTCTTTCACGGAGGCGAATGTCTGGGAGACGGCGATGAAACGGACCAAAACCTCTTTGATGCCATACTCCTTGGGACCCGAAGGATTGGCCATGGATTTTCGCTATACAAGCATCCTCTCTTGCTGGAGATGGTCAAGACAAAAAAGATACTCATAGAATCGTGCCCAATCTCAAACGAAGTATTGCGCCTCACAAGCTCCATCAAATCACATCCTTTACCAGCCCTTTTGGCTCGAGGCGTCCCCTGCGCTCTCTCGAATGACGACCCAGCTGTCTTAGGGCAAAGGGAAAACGGTGTGACGGACGACTTTTGGCAGGCATTGCAGGGGTGGGAGAATCTTGGCCTGGCTGGGCTTGGTTCTCTTGCGGAGAACAGTGTACGCTGGGCAGCACATGAGGATCAAACAACGAAGGAATGGACTGAAGACATCAAGAAAGGAGTTTATGGCGAAGGGATACGGGCTTCGAGGCTAAGGGAATGGCATATGGAATTCAACAGATTTTGCGAGTGGATCTTGTTAGAATTTGCTCTTGACTACGGAGGCGATGAAGACTAGATAGACGCACACAAAGACTTTGAAATGCAAGGACTGAGCACAGCACAGTACAACCTACATATGATACCGTTCTCCGCCTTTTTGGCGTGGAAAAACAATGTCAACATATTCATGTCAGTTCGGGAAATTGACCCTGAAAGACAATCCTCTCAGAGGGGGCTCTTCTTATATGTCAATGATGAGTACATTGCAATGGCCGTATTTTGATAAGAAGGACGGCTTGAAGACGCAAGGCATTCGAGATGAGGAAGAGGTAACAATTACTTTCCGTATTCAAAAATATCAATACGGTAATCATACCTTAGAGGATTCGAGTTTCTCCAAGCCCCACCAGACTACTAGGTATTGACGTGGGGGATGGTCACATTCAGTAGAAGAACGGGCAATGAATCATGTGTTGACTGCCAGATTCTCTTAAAATTTACACACGTCTGTGGCAAAAGAAATCTACTGTTTGACGACGACAGGTGTCTCCCCCAACATGAGTTATCAGTACAGGCCTCCACCGAAAAAGAACTTAGGATGGTCTCTACCCTCGATCACTCCTCACCAGGTGCGACTCCGCGTCCAGCATCGAAAGGTCGTTGCGATGATAAGCCGATAACCGTCTTTTGTGGTTTGCACCAGTGACAATGACTTTCTTCCTTCCGTCCTATTTCCAGAAGCGGATCTTACGATATGCTCTTTCACGACTAGAGCTGCTGGACACCGATGCTTTAGATCTCGAGAAGTTGGATATAGTATGGGGTAAGAGGAGCACAGTTGAGCTGAGGGATGTGGCCGTGCATACGAAGGTGGGCATACCATGCAGGTCATTCTACTTCCCGTCGTGCAACGGCTGAGCAAATGCTTTCAGAAACTTGCCGATTTACTACAACTGCCAAGGAATTTGGCCATCTTTTCTGCTCAGATTCAGTATCTTCGGCTTACGATCCCTGCGGACCTCTACATAAGTGGAATATCAGTTGAAGTGCAAGGAGTGCAGGTGCGCGTGAACGCAAACCTCGAAGATCAATGCGGAGGGGGAAGACCCAAATCGACACCACCCAAAAGAAATCGGTCGGGAAAACCGTCAAAGGGCGTCAAAGCGGACAACCCAAGAAATACACAGTCTCACGTTCACGACCCCGGTGGCGGTTTTCCCAGCCCTGTACTGCAAACAGGTGGTGACAGCCGTGCAGGAGTCTCAGAGTACTTGCCAACTACCGTTGACCTAGCTAAGTCATTCTTACATGACGAATCAAAGGAAGAAAAGGCCGAACTGCAAGATGCTGTTGCAAAGTCCCAATACCTGGATCAGTCTCTAGTGACTAGCGATGATGGTGACGAAACGTCCGATCTTGGTGTTGCCAACACACTTCCCCTTCCAGGGTTTTTGGCAGACTTTCTGAAAGGTGTTGGGGACCGTGTCCAGTTGAAAGTCAAGGATGTGGAATTGGACCTGGACATTAAGCTAGATATTGCTTCGGAAAGCTCTGCCAACAGCGATACATCAGAAAGGTCGAATGTCTTGACCATTCGGTTTTACATAGAGGACATAATCGTCAACGCTATCACCCGCCTAGCAACACCAAGCGTAACGGATCAAGGGAGCGTCCAAGAAGCTTCTAACTCTGTCTTTCAAGAGACCCGTCGCGTGACATTGGCCAATTTTCACGCTATGCTCATCTCTGATGCCTCGTTGTTCGCCAACGTTGCTCGATCTACCGGACCGTCGTCTCCGGAGACTACCCACGCGAGCATTATAGCGAGATCTGGCAGCAAGCCTATAGACTCTCCTGCTTCAAGTACCATTGGCGAACCCAAAACGATAAGCAGTCCTCTCCCTGCGAGCCTAGACAGACAAGATTCTCAGGATTCCGAAGCACCAATGATATATGACTTCAGTCAAGAGCCTACGGATTCCGAGGGTTCTGATACGGATCATGAATCTACCGCTTCATTGGGTCTGTCCAATGCTGGCGATAGTCAGTATCATGATAGCGCGGTCACTGGCTCCTTCTACTCCGCCTCCGGAGACACCCCACAATCACCCGAGGAAGGAAAAGATCCTAAAGATCTTAGGTCGTTTCTACACGAGGGGGCAGCCAACTATGGATCTTCTGCCCCATTGTCGAGAATGTCTCACAACTCCGTTGATGCAGCGTCGCTTGAAGGCGGTCGGACACCTCCAGCAAAATTCGATGCATTTCCTCCAACATCACTCCCTGCTGGGAACTCACAAACGGAGCTTGGGTTCGACATGCGAAGTCAAGGTTCCATGCGCCCATCTGAACCACGAGCCAAGCCCCAGGATCCTGGCCGGCCAATGGGTATCAGTACAGAAGCTCTGCCTTCGAAGTCCTCAAGTCCCAGCAGTCATACAGTTTCTCCAATTTCTGAAGACCTTGCACAATCAAAAATCTTTAGTCACGAGGAGGCAGAAAGCATGTACATGAGTGCCATCAGTCATGTTTCTGCTCCGCAAACAGATAAGAGCACATCAATACCTGGTCAGTGGAACGCCTCGAGCTCGGACAGCGGCGACGAGGGTAGTGATTCGCTTGTTCCAGGTAATCTTTCAGTTCTGCAGGACAAACCGACCAGCATCTTACGCCAGCATGAAACACCGGCGAATGGAGATAGACTTGCAAGCCATTATGATGACCATGGTCCTCGGATCCCCCGGATTTCCAATCCAGAATCGACTGAACACATGTTTCCATCTTCGACATTGCCCACCAATGTAAGGCATGAGCCAGTGTCACCCCCTAGACTTCCCAGCCAGCGAGATGGTTCATCCCAAGGTTCTGAGGCCTCTTCGGCAAATCTCAAAAGCCCCTTCACCATCATGAAGCGCATACTATCCGTTGACTTCATTGCCCTGGAGATTCCCCAAGGTAATGCCAATACAGCAGACAGCCCAATTGGGATCAAGCATCAACCGTCTGCTGCTTTGAGCCAGACACTCTCTGGAAGCTCAAGGTTAACCTCGCAGACCACCCACGCCGCTGCTCACGGAATCTTATCCTCGGATTACAGCTCAGACTCCCAGCAGTCTGGCCGACGGCCATCTATAGATGTAGGTAATATTCAAGTCTTGGGTGATATGGGTCTCGCCAAATTGATGATTCTGGTTATTGAAAAAATTAATGCCATGCGTTCATCCTCTTCCTCCGAGAAGAGCAGAACAGCTGTCCCGCAACCAGCTCCAAGAGAGGTGAGCCAGGTAAGATTGAAGGTGAAGCGGATGTGCTGGAAGTTTCTCGACGTCGTCAAAGGAGTGCCTGTGAGAGGTATACGTTCCCAGAACCCCGTGGAACAAAACGATCTGCGTGGAGACTCAGAAGTTTTATTGAGAGCGGAGATGAAAGAATTCTGTGCTATGTACCGCAAAAGTGAAGCATCGTCTGTATTGGAACTATCGACAAGAAAATTTTCATTTGGATACGTCTCGGAAGACATCCTCTCCTTTGATTCCGGCTTGAAGATGAGAGAATCTACCCGAGACATACTTGCACCTATCGACAATGACATGAAGTTAACGGTAACGAAGACAATTAGCGCCACGAAGGTTGAGTTGACAACACTTCCGTTGCATATCGCTCTAGACTCACGCCGACTCGACGAGACTTTTACCTGGTTCGGCGGATTCAGCAGTATGCTTGGTCTCGGAAGCTCGATGATGTCCACTATGACTGTGGTAGACATGGCGGCTAAAACTTCCCATCACAGCAGGCCAGTTCGCGGTGTACACTTCGAAGGCCAAACGCAGAACAGTCCAAGACTATCTCCTCCAATTCAGACGCAGAACAAAGTCACGGCAAGGATTGGGGGCATTGTCCTTGATCTTCGGGGTACACGCTCTTCTTTACGTCTTGAGAGCACGGCCATGAAGCTTGTCAGCCGAACGGAAGGTCTCGGCTTACAAGTCGACCGACTGAACATCAGTGACCCGTATCTGCGGCATGCCTCTTCTGAGCCATCTACAGCGGTGAAGCTTTCGAATCTTAGAATAGAGTACTTGTCAACACCCAAAGAGAAGGATTTAGATCGGCTACTTGCCCTCTTGTCTCCTTCCAAAGACGAGTATGAAAGGGATGATGATATACTGCTGGATACTCTCTTGCGTCAACGACGACAAGGAGGCGTAGTCCGCGCTACAGTCGAAAGCCTTGAAGGCATCCTGTCGGATCTAGACGATCTACAACGTATTGCAGCGTTATCGGAAGACCTCAAAAAGCTCTCGACTGTGACAAAATATCTGCCTGAGGATGATCGTCCAGGTATCCTAACGCTGATGTTGGTTCGCGACCTCAGACTCAAGATCCAAGTCAACGACAGCTTTGGTGCAGCTATTTTGGCTTCGAAGGACTTGGAGGCAGCATATGTCGCATTCCCCAGCTTGGTCGCTCTTGGAATTACTACATTGAACCTTCATCGAAACGGTACAGAAGAGTTGGTCGGACACGCTCTGCCCATGCAGATCGTTGGCGAGACGTATTCACCCATGGTCATGGCTCGCTTTGTCGGCAACGAAATGGAACCTACAGCAAAAATAAAGCTTTACAATGTACGCTTTGAGTATCATGTCCCCACTCTTATGGCAGTTATGGGAATGAAGGATGCCACATCCGTCCAATCAATTGTTGCTGATATGGTGAGCTCTGTGGCTACTCTTACTGCCCGAGCTGCCGACAGAGGATCTACACCAAAGCCTTCGGCTCAAGAACCCGCAAGCAGTGATCGTTCGCAAGGTTCGAAAGAATTGAGACTTGATGTTGCTGTGCGAGACTCGACCCTGGGGCTCAATCCACGCAAATCGCCGGCCAAAGGCCTTGTTGTTTTCACTGATACTCACTTCGTAGGTGCCATGCCCAGAGGAGAAGAAGCCGACGCAGTGCTTGATATCAGAAAGGCTTCACTCATGGTGATCGGCGACCGTGAAAATGCCCCTTCTACAGCTCAAAGCTCTATCGACCGACGAGGTCAGGTTGAAATTCTGTCCGACCTAGGTTATGTATCTGTCAGCTTGATCTCTGCAGCAAAAGCTACGATTAAAATTGTCAAGCTCGAGAATGATTCCAGCAGGGCAATCGATGTAGAGATCCGGGACGATCTTTTTGTCCTAGAGTCATGCGCGGACTCCACCCAGACATTGCAGAATATCATAACTGGACTGATACCGCCAACGCCGCCCTGCACAGAATTGAAGTACAGGACAGAGGTCATACCCGTCGAAGACATGCTCGCTTCGCTCTCGGGCAATGCTTTCCCAGCAACTCAGATCAGTCCTAATACCGATAAGGAATTATCACTGGAACTTGACGAAGGCGATATAGTAGACGACGACGTCCCGCAGAACCTCGAATTCGTAAGCAGTATCTATAATCCTAACCTCGAATCAGTATACGAAGGCATCGCAGACAGCATGCTTGAAGATGATATAGAATCTCTACCAAACCCTTCGATCGTCCAAGGAATGGGAAACAAGAATACCATGGAAAATTACGAAGAGCAGACACAGATTGCTCCTGATAACTCCTCTCTTGATTTCGTCGACGATCACTTTGGAACGAGCTCAGTGGTGGGAGGCACTGCTCATCAGCGGAGTATCCAGCAAAACACCTACGGATTGAGCAACGAGTTCAGAGTGCGTGGCAGTCCTTTGAGAGTTCGTGTGCGGGACGTACACTTTATATGGAATCTCTATGATGGCTACGACTGGCAGAGTACCAGAGACACCATCAGCCAAGCCATCGAAGACGTTCAAAACAAAGCCACAGAACGTTTGGCTCGCAATGATAGACGCAAACCTGCGGACCCCGACGAAGAGGAGGAATCCGTGATTGGTGACTTTCTTTTCAATTCGATCTACATTGGTATTCCCGCGAATCGTGACCCAAGAGAGCTGGCTCATCAGGTCAATCGCAATCTTGACGATCTTGTCAGTGAGACAGAAAGCTATGCGACTTCCACACCTTCAGGCTCGCCGAGCCGAAAAGGTCAAGCACCACGTTCGAGAGGCAGCAGGAAACTGCGGTTGAAACGTAGTAAGTATCACAAGATGACCTTCGAGCTGAAGGGCGTCTCTGCAGATGTGATAGTCTTGTCGCCAGACTCAGGCGATACTCAAAGCTCTCTAGACATCAGAGTACAGGACCTCGAGATATTCGATCATGTGCCAACTTCCACATGGAAGAAGTTTGCTACCTACATGCATGAGGTTGGAGAACGCGAAAGTGGAACAGACATGATCCACCTTGAGATATTGAACGTCAAGCCTGTGCCCAGTCTTGCAGCGTCGGAGATCATTCTAAAGGTGAGAAAGGAGGTTTTACAAAGTACGAAAGCTAATTCGTGCTCAGGCCACTATACTTCCGCTACGACTTCATGTCGACCAGGATGCACTTGATTTCATCACCCGTTTCTTCGAGTTCAAGGACAACTCTGCGCCGATGCAAACCTCGCAGTCTGAAGCGCCGTTCCTTCAGCGCGTGGAAGTGAACTCCATACGAGTCAAGTTCGACTTTAAGCCAAAAAGAGTCGATTACGCAGGTATTCGTTCAGGACATACGAACGAGTTCATGAATTTTTTCATACTTGAACAAGCAGACATGATTCTCCGACACGTCATCATCTATGGCGTCTCTGGTTTTGACAAGCTCGGCAAAACCCTCAATGACATTTGGATGCCAGATGTCAAAGGGAACCAGCTGCCCGGTGTTCTTGCGGGACTTGCACCTATTCGCTCGCTCGTGAATGTTGGAGGCGGTTTTCGCAACCTAGTCGCTATCCCTATCCGAGAGTATCGAAAGGATGGTAGGGTGGTTAGAAGTTTGCAGAAAGGCGCGGTTGCTTTCGCGAAGACAACGACGAGTGAACTAGTCAAACTGGGAGCTAAGCTTGCGATCGGTACTCAAACCGTGCTTCAGGGTGCCGAGGATCTTTTAACTCAGCCGGTGAAGAGATCAGATGTGAGTGTTGGTTGGGAAGACGCCGAGTTCGAGGAAGACGAAAAGCCGCAGATCAGTGCGTACGCCGATCAGCCAGTAGGCGTGGTCCAAGGCCTTCGGGGTGGCTATGCCAGCCTCGAGCGCGATCTACTCACCGCCAAAGATGCCATCATAGCAATGCCTGGGGAGATTTTGGAGAGTGGCACGGCAGGCGGCGCCGCGAGGGCAGTTTTGAGAGGCGCTCCTACAATAATTTTGAGGCCTGCAATGGGCGTCAGCAATGCGGTGGGGCAGACATTACTGGGGGCGACAAATAGTTTGGACCCTGGAAACAGAAGGCGGATTGAGGATGTACGTCCATCTCCTCCCTTTGGCTTGCAAATACTGATTCACGGATAGAAATACAAGAGGCATTGAGATTCTCTGAGCTCATGGCAAGCCAGCATGCAAGAGGCGTCAGCGGCGCACCTTTTGCGGGCTTTGGCATCGCGGACTGCTGGTTGCATAGCGATGTCTTTTTATGTTTGTAACTCTTTACACGTAGTCATGATTGGACGAGTTCAATGAGAGATCTTGTGGAGCATGAGCCATAATTTGTGTAGAACGAAATATAAAATTTGGTCTAAAAATAATGAAAGTTACCTTAGGTCTTTGTATAAGATACGACTTAGTGTGGCAGTCTTGAGAGCGGAGATCGTCCGTAAAGCTAAAATTTCTCTCTCCTCTCTGAAGCCTCAAATCTCGTGTCATCTTCAACCCATATAAGACCCCAAGGGATGGCTCCATAACCATAAGCCTATACAATAGATGGAAGACTGTGCAATCACACCTTTTGACCAAAGAGTATGATATCGTTTACCCCATGCCGGCGGTTCAATACTGATGCCTGCTGCATGTGATCCTGGATCAAGTCAGCTCAAATGGCCCCGCAAGAATTTTGCATAGGATTATTCAAGATCTGGAGAACTATTGATATGATTAGAAGACTTCATTTGTAAATCCGAAACAGTGATGCCTGAAACACTTTGAGCCAAGCCCATCACAGCCATCCCATCCTCTAAGACAACGTGTACCTCAAGCTATTGAATCGGAATGCCTAAAGCTACGAAACTTCGAGGCAGCCTCCTTTCATCAGATTTGCAGACATAAAACCCACCAGCGTTTGAGGTAAAGGGAACAGAGTACCACACGTCTACCCCACTGCGTCTACTCCACTGGGGGAAGTGTGCTAGGCTGCACGCCCACATAGCTCGTTCAGCTTTAGCCTTCTCCAACACTGCTGTTGCTAGCACCGAAGGGGACAAAGATATCAACATATCCTGGGGAAAGATATACAAGCCGAACGTCAATCAACAGAAACTTTAGGCCTCTCTTACACACACGGGTCTGACAAAGCTCCTACACCGCTTTGAAGTATCGCTGAATGCCAGCTTTGTCTCTTTCCGCAGGGTTTTGCACAGTGGACAATCGTCTGAGATGAGATGAGATGATGTGGACATTGTTGTCCACGGCCCAATTCCTTATATGGTCTTTTAGTTCGAGGTGCTATGCACCACAGCCTGGCGACAGCATAAGTTTCTCAGACCGCTCCAAGAACAAGGGTCTCTTCCGGTCTTGCAAAACCTCTTTCCCCGTCAGAGTCTAGTGTTACCTTTGATGTAAAGCAGGCCCGGCTAGGCGGTTTGGGAGGGCTTGAAGAGAGATCGGAAAATGGAGTATTGCCCTTATTGCTTTCACAAATGTTCTCTTCCCCTCGTAATTCCTTCTTCCTTCGCTTGTTCTTCTCAACCACTTCTGCTTTGCTTTCTTGGTCTTTAGTGCTTTCTCCAAGTGATCTTTTGATAATGTTGCTTGTCAATTTTCTTGCATGATCTCTGACTCTGTAAATCTTGGATGATATCTTGTTTCTCTGATCGAGAACCCATCTTCGTTAATGTCAATGCTGAAGTAGACAACACGACTGGCCCTGATTCCGTTCCCAATCGTCTTTAGGAAAAATAGCCGTTACATCTGAGGAAACCATGGCTGAATGATTGATACAGTGACCAACGGAGAACTTGTCTGGTGAGTGCTCCTGCCTCCGCCATTGGAGAGCTATGTGATCAACCTGCGTTTGCTAGGTCAGGAACAAAGACATTATCGCAAAGTCATGACGGGGAGATGAACAGTGACAGGGAAGATGAAGTGATACACAAGTACACGGATAGGTCTTCGACAAACATGATGATGCCATGACCGCTTGCCTGGTTATCCAGACGATCGTCCGACGAACACGCGAAAAGTGAGGTCTCTTAAGGCTCCGAAAAACTGGAAGAAAGGAACACAGCTTGGCGTTGTTGACTGTTTATGTTGGACGGAACACTGGCTGCGGGAACACTAAAGACTCCTGCTTGTAGGCAGGGTTATGAGAAGTAGTGGTAGCTGAAGATCGACTTCATAGTTGTTGTCAGGGCTGCAGGAAGGGAAGAGATGGCAAGTCGAAATGGATGAATCAAAATTAGGCCAAGTTGTTGATCAACTATCAACACTTCGCCTAGATCGTTCATCCTCGACACCCCTTTTCCACTTCTCGACTCCCCCAATTCACCAGGTTCATCGCTACCAGCTTGCCATCGCTTGATTATTGCAAGGCCAAGACAACCTTCGAACGGCCTGTTGTTGCAGTTACTAGAAGAGGCTGCAGCCAAGGGCTTCAGATTCTCATCATCCAAAACAATCCAACGACCAGCCTCCTCCATCATCAATACCACCAATACCCTTCCTCACACTCCTGACTTCGGAAACCTGACAGTAACATTAAATCTACTCTGCCAAAGTCTACCTTGCCTAAACGATATTGATTCCGAATTGCTGCACAGGAGCTCTTACTTGGGCGCAGAGTTCAGCGAGTTCCTGTATCAGCCTCCTTTACTGTAACGGAATTTCAAAGTCAGTATACCAACTATATTGGGCCTTGCTGATCACAGCTGTGGACGTATTAAACTGGGTCTTTCCAAGACCGTAAGTTCACATCCTTTCCTGTTGGAGTCCTTGTGTCTGAATTTGCTTTGCAGCTTACCCTCATTGTTAACACACGTCGCGTCCAGGGTTTCGCGTTTTTGAGTCATAGCTTGTCAACTTACCTTACAAGTGGAATCCTTGCGGTTGGTACCCTTAAGTTAATTTTGTCGGTCTAGGAAGGTGTCTCTTCAATCGGGTCCTGTTTGACTAAATCTTCAGCTCCTAAACTATTTGAGGATCGGCCACTGAGGCAAACAATTTCCGGCGAAGAGTTAAGCGTCAGGATGCTACCCCCGTTCAACCAGTTCTTCCGAAGGAATGGCGGAGATTCTCCAGCTGAGCCAGCTGGTAGTGAAGACCTTGAGTGTGGCCATGGATCATTGGTCCCGCAAACAACGACGGCAAGTGGATATCAATCGTCCCCAAGCAGGGTGTATCTGCCTGAAACACAGAGTATCCGTGCATCAACGGTACCTCAAACACGAACACCAAGCCGCGAGTACTTTTCTTACGTACACCACAACGGTCAACATGGCTCGGCAGCGCAAGTGCCACTTACGCCGAGTGGACCTTCGAGAGTTGTAGGATACCTTCCACGAACAATATGCAGCGGTTCCTCACCTCTTGTCGGCCCGACGGGGCTTATCATGCTGTCTCAGCCTTCCGAAGACGCCAGCAATAGAGACTTCATGACCAATACTGGACCTCAATGTCGTTCGACCTCGAACTCCAACACAGCCTCGCATAGGTCTCCTTCTCCAAGATCTCCATTTGATCCTGGCAAACATGGCCAGGCTTTGCGGAGATTGGAAACTCACGGATCTCTAAAAACCATCCCATCTGGTCAACAGGGAGGTGATGCTATCAACCGCACGTCTATCTCATGGTCCGAAATCGGCCGGGAAATTTTCGAAGAACACCACGATGCCAGACTCCAAGGCTCACTTCCTCAGCAGCCAGAAAGTCGGAAATCAGCAGACCCATATGAAACAGTCGATCAGCACTCGGGGGCCGACCTTTCACCACCACCAATCCAATATCTTTCCAACTTCGTTTACCAACCAGCAGTGCTTCGCCAAGGAGACTATTCCAAAGTTGTCAACTTGCCCGATCCGCCGAAAATCGAAGCTGGGCAGAGTTTCACAGAGGCTTCACCATCCTTCGTCTTTCCATTGCCAAATGCGGAAGCAGATAATTCAAATCAAGTGACCCAACAAGCACTGCAATGGAGCCAGGCTTCGCCTAAACCACGTCAAGCAATATCTTCGAAATCACTGGTGGGGGAACCCGATGCCTCGCCAGATCTTCCGTCCAAGAATCTGAGCTCTAAAGAAATGCCTGAGAACAACACAATCGGAAGCATTGTGCGAGACTTTGGTACTCAAGGCAGTAAACAGTTTGAAGACGTGTTTGCTTATGAAGCGAAAGGGGAAGAAGAACAGCAAAGACGCATTGGAAACCTAATTCCAAAGCACCCTCATTCTGCCCACACCTTCGCTCAGAGTCCAACTTTCGAGGAGATCGATGAATATCTCTGGAGTCCTGCCCCAAGTGACGATGGCCAGGAAGCTCCATCGGCACCGCACACGCCAGTCCCACGCCATGCGCCATCGGATGCCTTACGTGCCTCTCCTATTTCTGGACTTTCACCGGATTCGTACGGCGGCTTCTCACGGTCGTTAAAGCCTTATGGCATCGAGCACATTCGTTCCCGGACCGGCTCGTCGGGTAGTCAACGCACCATAGACAGCCCATTGCCACATATCGATGTTCTCATTCCAGCCGGAAACATTGATCTTCATTCTCATTCAGACTTCTTAGGCTCATCCCAACATGCGTCAACCATGGGAAGTAGAGATTTTTCGAGCATACTGTTACGCTACTCGGGCGTAATCACGGATGGTGCCTCCTCGCGGCCCATGTCTGAGAACGAACTCAAAGGAGAGGTACTACATTCGCTGGGAGATCGAACGAAGACTGGATTGAGTATGCTGAGGTCGAGGGACTCAAGTAGCCAAGCGGATCGTCATACCAATTCTGAACAGATCCGTGGAGACCATAAGCCAAATGCTCTACTCGAGGCGTTTCCGCTTGATCGAGTCCTCAGTCCGTCTGCAGATGCTGGACCTGGAAGCAGTCAGACCTCGTCATCACCGAGCGCAGACCGCTATGGTGGTGATCCGTCCGGCCACAAAGCGCGTTTAGGGAATGATGGTCTTCCGGCTTCTAGGACACGGTGCCCCACTCCGCCACTGCTTTTCGGAAAACACGCTATTGGTGAGCCCAAGAATACTAGTACAACATCAAGGCCAGCTCTTGGAGGTAATACGAGTCGCTTCGATCAAAACCCGGAACCCATTAGACTGAAGGAGACCGGCCGCTTGCCCACGGCCTTGTGCAGCTTAGGTGAACAAGACTGGGAGACTGTTTCTGCTGAAACAGAAGCTGGTACGCACGCTTTTAATGGCATCGCCTTCGACACTGAGACCGGTAGCAGTCTGGCGGATAATTCTGACTCTGGTAATTTGTCCCCGTCAAAGGAGCCACATTATCCTTTCTACGGTGTCAGAACTCAACCAGTGATGCAGCATCCGGCGCATCCACGACACAATCATTCCTGTGTGCTCCTCAAGAATAGCCAGACAGGGGAATTGGTTCAAGTGCCCGAATATGAGTATGCTTCCGGAGGGCGTTTGCCAAACAACAACACTAGTGCTCAATTAGTGTCAAGCGTACGTGCAGACAGTACATATCAGCACCCATCTCCTTTACGGGTCGAGCATAATCATCCTTTTTCTTCCTCACTATCTATCATTCGCTTGAATAAACCATCAGCGATAAACATTCAAGATAGTTGTGTGATGATGCAGCAGAATCATCTGAGTTCAAAGCCGTCCAGTTGTGGGCTGTCAGAGGGTGTTCAGGAAGTAAAGGAAAAGCAGACTCAAGTTCCGTTGTACAATACAACTCAAGACGCGTCCCGTGATCGTGATCCTGCGGTGGATCAGAATCAACTTATTATAGACTCTAGAGAGCAGTCACATCATTCGTCTCCCTGGTTGAGTACAGTTAGCGAAGTCGCCTCAAGCGAACTCTCACTACCTAGGAACGGAGGTACTTTCACAGAGATGATAGTCTGGGATGGAAAAGCACATGTGCATGGCACTCCAGAGCGAGGAGGCAATCGAGAAGTGGGGAGCAGTCTGGCAGATGCAAGCAGCCCGGGCGCCAACTTCTCAAGTAGCCCAGCGCCGCTCGCCAGCTCACCTATTTATTTTCCAGACACACCATCATCATTAGGTCAGGGTCTTCACGAGCAGGCTGTCCGACACAATTTGGACGATGGCAGCCTAAATCTACTAGGCGACTTCCACAAATCACTTGCAAGATCATTCAACCGCGAAGACCCAGCAACCTCGACAGTTAATATAGAGGATCGTTCTAGATCGCATTCAGTATCTGGGCCACGACTGGAGCACCGCGAATCATCACCACGTCGACGTAGGTCTTCCAGTGAGAGTCATTCTAAGCTCATGGAAACGCCTTCTGCCCAAAAAGCTTCGGCGCTGAACTTGTCATCCTCGGATGGCTATGCTCAGCAGACCACTAGCTCTGTACTTCTCCTCAGAAACCCTTTCTCGCGTTCAGACGACAATGATTCTCGGTATAGCCACCACCAGCACAATTTCATGGAGCGAAAAGGTCGCCAACCAAAAGCGGATGACGCCTCAATCAACGATCCCACTACACCCTCATCAACTGAATCTCGACCTTTCGTCAGAGACGGGGTTGTGCATACTGATGCCGCTCCTCCAGTCCTCCGTCATCCTGTCTATGGTCGCGACCGTCCTTGGGATCGCATAAGACCAGGCCTCCCCCGTCCAAGACCGCACCCGGACCCACTGGGACGTCCACTCTTTCAGCGACCAGTTGCTCGAGCTGAATCACCTCACCTTCACCGTATCCCACATCCGCCTACCCCAGAGCTCCTTGAGCGCCACGTACTACTTTCTCGCATTTACCTCATACCATCCATGGTGATCCCCCCCATTGCCCTTGTTTACGGACATGGCTACATGGACGGCATCACGAGATTCCACACAGCGGGTGAAATCAACGGTTTTCGCAACACAGAGAAAACCATAGCTCTTTGCTGGGGCTACGGCTCGAGCGCTATTTGCATCCTAGCTATTATCATTGCCATGATCATCATTTCCGCCTCCGGTTAGCCAAATGCTTTACAAAGCCACAGCATTCAGCAAAGTCGCATCTCGAGATCCTCTTCAACAGTCTCTACCGACAGACCTACACACCGTACCGATGCCTTTGAAACAATCTTGAGCCATCAAGATTTGCCACAGTCTTTACCACAATCTTCTAACGGCCACATTTCCATTGTACAGTCCTTGCAATCAGTCTCCATCGGTGATTCCACGCATCCTTAATCCGTCGATATCTTCCATCTTGAGTCACCACGTCAAACCACAGTCTCTACGGCAACCTCCTCACGGCCGAATCAATGGTACTCCCAGCAGCATTATATCACATCGATGGGATCATTTTCTTCGGCGACTTCAGTTCATGGGTCGACGCCAAACTGAATAGCCCGGCGGAGGGGATCTCACGTCAAACACGTCTCGGCCGCAACGTTGTAACGGCCGAATTCATGATATCCCCAGCCAGCAGCAATTGAATACATTTATTACTTCGTTTCTTCGGCAGCTTCTGCCAGTGGGTTGAAAACCATATCTTGACAGGACTTTTTCACTGTGGATGGGGACCGCTTCATGTCACATACCGAAGGCATTGCAGAGCCAGCTTCAGTCTATGGGGGGTCTGGACGTCTGTGAGAGGGACACTTTTCCATCCCACCAAAAGGCAGCGCGAAAGTTTACACGGGAAGCTGTGAGAGGGTGGAACGTGTCAAATGAGTAGCATACATTGGCGTCTGCAATGCCACTCAGTATGAAGAATTTTCTATACGACTTCTTTCTTGAAAAAAGTGTCGAAGCTTTTAATAATGTTTGGAAATATTCCGACCTAGCTAGCTTTCAGACACCAAAAATACCAAAAACAGTTGTAAGACAAAGTTGGCGGTTCCCATGCTTTGATTGGCTACTGATTGTGACAATGATTCTTGGTGAAGCTTTTCACAATCTGGCTGGCGAGTACCCCTTACTTACCGCTTCTCCTCAGTCTTGTGGCAAGCCTCTGTATCGGGGTTTCAGGCTATGGAGTAGTAGAGCGATCTTTCTAGAAGAAGTCTACCAAAGTGCTCCTATGGGTATGGGAGGGATGCCGCAAAAGACAATCTCTTTGGCCCTTCTCTGCACAAAACATTTTTATGCCAGCCTTGGCGTCCATATTGGGCCGCGTCACAAATTCGCCACCGGCTGCCAAGGTTCTAGAAAGCATAATAACCAATTGTTAGGAAAATGTATTGATTTACAACTCCTCCGCACAGAACCTCGGAGCTGTCGCGCAAAGGCATCCATACCTACATTGATATCATTACACGCACAGAGTACTTCGCCATGGCATTCTGCATCACCTTTGGCACGCACCGTACGTTCTCCCCCCCCCCTCTCTCTCTCTCGCGCGCTCTCTCTCGCTCCATCTTTCCAGCAAGCACTCGAGTGGCTCCAGCAAAAAGCTAACGGTTGGGAACAGAGTTCACGTCTCAGCTAGAAGGATACGAGGGCGTCACGGCGCAGTGTCACAACTGTGGGATCCCTGTACTCATGATGGATGGGGGAGGAGAGAAGAAGGGGGGAGAGACAGAGAGCCGAGGCTGATTGGGGGAAAAACACTTAGGTGGAAACTGGTCCGCTCATTGCATTTCGACATGGTCGTGGATCACGATTTGTTTCATCGTACGTGCATCCGAACCCACCCTGCCCCATCTATCCTCCGTTCCATGTGCGAGAACGATCCCCGGGCAACGAAGACGAAAAGCAAAAGCTGACGCACGACCAGCCCGTCATCCCGCTCTCATTCCACAAACGCAAAGAGGTCGCGTGTCCCATCTGTAATTTCATGCAGGACTTGGGGTGAGAGTCTTTCTCTTTTCTTTTCGCCTTCCCCTCTCTCTCTCTCCCCCCGCCTCTCTGCCCCGGCCGTATGTGTGACAGAAATGGCGGATCGGTAGCTTACCGAACTTCGTTTTCTTTGCCGCAGTAATCGACCAGACGTACAATCGCAACATCCTGGCGCTGGCAACATGATGCAAGGATCAGAGGTCCCGCCGTCACAAGGGTACCAGCCGCCGCAGCAGGGCTATCAGCCGCCGCAGGGAGGACCGCCGCCGCAGGAGCAGGGAGGGATGCCGTATAAATGATACGGGACGGCGAGGGAGGGAGCAAGCGGATGGTGGTGCTGCAAGTATGGCTGGGAAGAGCAAGCAGAGTGCGTAAGGGCGTGAGGAGTTGGAGGACCAGCGGTTCAGGGGCTTAATTCTATCCTTTCGTAAGGGGAGTCGAGTGGTGTTGTTTCATTCGTTACGCCCGCATTGACGATATCGAGCAGTGACTTTTGAAGAGCGAACTGAAATCATTGTCTCCCCTGATAAAGTCTAGGGAATGCTACTGAGATTTGAACAAGTCGAACTACTGATTTCGAAACGCGAATGCAGAACGTGGCAACAGGCTTTCTGGAGTACTTATAAGACCATGGGCCATATACACCGCGGAGGCAGACTCCATGCTATCTACCAGCCGTCACTGGATGCTGCAGAACATCCATCATCTTCAAACGCCCTTTTGGCCAGACTTTCGGTCGGTGTCGAAACCACAGCATTCCGCTTCGGGTCAAGAAGGCGAGGGACTCCTTCTTCAATCCCTACTAGTGTGTCTCCCTCGCAATCCCACCCGTCGTCCCAGGCTGAACCGGAGCTTGCTTCTCCAAACTGCCTCCTCCACCCGCCGCTTCCGGCTCCGCGGCATGTTTCTTCAACGCTTCCATCGTGATACCGTTCTGGAGTGCGGACTCGTCTGTGGCGTGGAGGAAGACCCTAGAGTAAAGAAATCCTCAATCCATGCTCAAGCGGACCGATACCAAGGGAAAAGGGATTGACAGGAGAACCCACTTCGGCACGACGGGATCATCCTTCCCCTTGGCAGCTTCCATCGCCTCCTTCCACCTCGCCGTACACAAGCACCACTTGCAGCCCGGTTCGAGCCCGATCGATCTCAGATTGTTGCCGCGCGAGGCGCTGAAGTCGAGGAATTCTTTGGTGAGGACGCCTGTACAACAACAACAAAAAAAAGCATTAGCCGTAACGCTGGCCGGCTGAGGAATCGGACGGCAGAGATGGGGACACGGACCGGCAACGGCGTGGTTTCCGCCATCTTCGGGTCCCACCCGACAGTAGCCGTCACGGTAGAAGCCCGTCATGGGTTTTTGGGAGAAGAGGGCGAGCGGCTTTTTGAGGACTGTTCGGGGGCGGAGGGTAGGTGGTTAGCGTTTGTTCAACAGGATGCTGGGACCGAAAGGACGTTTCCCGTAGGATTGCGTCTGTAGCATTGGGCCATCTCATTGAGGGCAGGCAGTGCTCACCATTGAGATTGTGGTTGCTTTGTTTCGTGGCCATGTTGAAGGCTGCGATGAGAGCGAGTATGAGAAGTGGTAGTAAGAAGATGACGGAGGTGGTGAGAGAGTCACGCTGTAGTGGCATTGACTAGAAATTCGGGTCGGATGAGTGTACTGAAGTCATTCGCAACTCGAGCAAAAATGGAGTCGATGATGACGTGCACTCAAACGGACTTACACCGGTGGTGCCGGACTTAGCATCCTGGCGGCGATCAGGAACAGAGGGACTTGAATCTGAGATGCTAATTGCTGGATACACATACGACTTTGCTGGGCTTCAGTAGGCTTTTTACATATTGCACAGGAGCATTGCCACTGCCATTTGGAAATCTCATTGCTGCATGCTAGATGTCAAGGAAGAGAATGGCATTGCTGCAAAAGAAGCTTTCGCAACCACCTTTCTAGCCCCAACGGATGCTTGTTCGATCCTTTCTCGAGTATCAGCATCCAAATCTTGCTTCATCACCACACAAGTTGCCTCATATGCTATGGCTCGTGATTCATGACATCGGGCACCAACCATCTCTTTGAAGAGCGCCTCTTAGAAGTCAAAGAAATTGCAGCCTCTTCCTAGATCTATGGATGTCCAAACCCCCAGTGCTTTGCTGGATAAATCATAAGCTGGGAATCCGTGGAAAATCCAGCAACGAAACCCCATGGGCCACATTCGAACCTTTCTGCCTTCTTGTATCGCTAAATGCCGACCAATCCCATCGTGATCTCGTCTTTAAGTTCAAGCAAACGTTGGTGCATCCGTTTGACATTGTCGATCTTCTCCTGTGGAACATCCGTGGACTCCGAAACCTCACGATACAGAACCTCATATTTGGCATAGTAGGTCTTGAAATCTTGTGCTCTCTTCAATGCATGGCTGGTAGCGAGCGGTGAGTTGCTGCTTTCGGAAGTAGAGGGAGACGCGGCGGACGCTTTATGGCGCTTTGCACCGTTCACTTGTCCATTGGTTTGACCATTACTGTGAACATGGATGTTGGCGTCCAGATCGTCAGCCTTGCGCTTCAGAGAATGCTCTGATGTGTTGTGTGCATGCCCATTGACTGGGGGGGGGGCACCGTTAGGCTTGATGGTTGTCTTTTGGGCCTGTGATACAAGAGAAGTCGAAGAAGCTGAAGAGGCACCATTCTCGAGATCGGAAGCATTCGTCGGCGGTGAGGATCCGAGAGGGGATGGTTTATGAGGCGAACTGGTGGTCCGTTGGCGGGATATCGTTTTCTTCATCGCAGTTGAGCCTTGACTAGAATCTGAGACTCGATGTCTTCTTGCCGGGCTCGACGAACCAGACGGCAAAGGTTTCTTTTCATGGGCTTTCGCAGGTGGCGTAGAAGTTGTCTTTCCATTCTTGGTTTCTGATTTTTCGCTCTTGACATCTTTGTTCTTGGCGATTTTGCTGTGTTCGTGATTGGCGGCAGCAGGCTTAGGCTTCGAGGTCGCGTCTGAGCGAGATGGTGTGACGGGCTTTGACTTACTTCCCTTGCCAGCTGTAGTAGACTCAATGTTTCGAGACGATGAAGCTGGCTTTGGGGCCTTAGGGCTGATACTAACCGTTTTTTGGGTTGATGCAATAGACGGAGGAGACGCAGCGGCCTTGAATGGTAGAGTTTGGTCGACATGCTTTGGTGTCATAGATTGGGCCTGGAGCGTTGCTGCGTCTTCCAACCCGTCCTCCTCGTCAGAGTCATTGACAAATTCACTCGATTTCGGAACATTGGCTTTCTTGGCCCCTTTCTTCACCGCTGGATGATCCTCTTTGACCTTCGGGGCTGGGGTGGCTTTCTTTGGTCCGCTCGTTAGAAGGCGCTTGGATCGAGCTTCTTTCTCGCTGACCTTCTTCTTCTTAATTTGGTCCTGCGACTGCGAGCGAGCCATGGGTTCAGCGTCGCTGGGCGCAAGTCTGTCTTTTTGATCGCTCTCGTGACCAGTCAGATGATCACTTGCATTAGAATCATGTGGAGGGTTTTGCACATGGATCCTTGGGGTGTTGCTCTGCTTGATTGGGCCTTTGTGCAAGTCCAAGTTCGAGAGAATCTTGCCTTTACCGCGCTCATTCTTTGGGAGCAACATATCCCAAACCTTTTCCTTGGTAGAGATCCTCATCCTATCGAACGCTGAGATGGCGCAATTGATTGCGAGTTGACGATCATCCTGGTTTGGGTAATCGAAATTCCATACGTCCAACTCTTTGAAGGCCTTATCATTCAAGGTCCACTTGTCTGGAATCGGGCGAAATTCTTTGCCGACCTTGTTCAAGACCTCGAGTAGCTCATCTTGTTTGCAGCCCAGGTGTCCAACAAGTAATGTGATTGATGCGGGTCGTGCGGCTAGGAAGTGAATGAGAGGTGTTCGTAACGCCTTAATTTTCGCGGCCCTCTCATTGGGAAGCGATGGCACTGAGGTTGGTGGTGTCTTTTGAGTGAGGGGTGTGCGAGCAGCGCCGAGAGAAGGACTGACAGGCATCGAGCGAGTGGTATGGTTGAGATGTGCGGGGTTATGCTGTTTCTTAAGGAAAGAGAGCGGGTTGGTCTTGACAGACTGGTGTTTGAGAGCAGCTGCCGTCTGTTTGGTAGGAGGTGGGAGTTTGGAGTTATCAGGCACGTATTTGATTCTGAGTAGTCGTCGTTGTCAGTAGGAAGTGAATGTACCAGGAGAGACATGGGAGCACTGACTGCTTCGACTGCTTGTCTTTCTGGTGGGAGGCTAGTTGACTTTGTAACTTCATGAGAGCTTCATCAGCACCTGCAATATCTTCTTGAGCTTTCTGCATGGCGAGTTGGTGACTTAATCGTCCAGTCAATGCAAGTTTATTCTCGTCTTCTGTAGAGGACTCGTAGATTTGTGTAGAGGAAGAATTACACGGCGATGCGTCAAGAGGCTGGGATTTATTGCCATAGTGAAGAGTCTGTTGAAACATGTTAGCGTGCGTGACAGTTGTCAATAACTATTGAGCAAACCGCTTACTATTGTCTTTCCGAACTGAACATTCACGCCCTTCCCACCATGGCGGGCGCTCCTCAACATATCCCCAAGAACATTGGGTGGTAACTCGAGCTGCATGACTTGGGCAAGTCCGGTGTTGTGCTTGGAGGCAGCATCTTTGGGTTTCGACTGGGTAAAGTCGATGAGGGCAAGACCGCTGTTGGGAACAAGTAGCTGCGCCATGGCGTGTTTCCTCACGGCTCCTCAGATACAAGGGCGTGTTCCAACAGCTCTTGGAGTAGGCTGGCAGCAAGGGTTTGGTGTGCCAGTTAAGGCATAATGTAGAGGTCACGCTGGTCCATTTGCTCCATGCGTAAGAGCGGGAAGGACAAAGTGGAAGCAGCAGGGATACGAGGCGGGAGACAAGAAGTAGTAGCAAACGGATTGCAATGGGTAGGAGTAGGTGTGTATTATTGCAAAGGTTGTAGATGGCGATGGGAAGAAAGGAAATGGAAGGAAAAGAAATGGAGAATGGAATGGAGAGAAAGAGTGTTGAGGTGGTAGTGAATGGAAATTGAAGTGGAAAGGAATGAGGACAATGTGGAAGAATTGGGCTTTCCTCAGGTCCCAAGCGTATTAGGGCAAGATGATGGATGGAGACATGGAGATGGAGATTTATGGATTGAGTTGAATCAGAGGCTCAGAGGCTCAGAGCAGATGTGGGCAGTGGCAGTGGTAGCGGTGATAGATACGGTACGAGTATGCAAGGATCAAGTCCGCCCGCCCTACCTCCGCAAATGCCTGCAAGGCGAGCCACGGATGCTGGTGACCGATAGGTTCCGCTTTAGGTGCGCTCGTGCTCTAAATATTATGCAGACTAAAGTACTTTAAAATCCATTGCTACGTGATCCATCTCGGTAGTAGTAGGAGTAGTAGGAGTAGTAGGAGTAGTAGTAGTAATAGTAGAGGAAGAATGAGAAGAAGAAGAAGAAGAAGAAGAAGAGCTTATCACTGACTGGGTGATACTCGCCGACTCATCTGCGATCAGATGGTCAAAATATGAATCGTTACTTGTCTGTATTGACAGGGCATGGTTCTACTACATAGGACTATTACGGTATGATGTGAGGATGTGATGATGTGATGATGTGAGGATGTGAGGATGTGATGATGTGATGATTGTGATTGATGATGATTATTGTTCCAGCTGACTTTTGTTGAAGGATGGAATGAAGGGATGATGCGTTAAGATTATTGTCAGAGGGTTCAGCGGGATGTCAAATGATAAAGGATAAATGATAAAGCTTTCTCAATAATATTCAGGTAATACTACATGAACATTCTTACTGTAGCATTCTGTCGTCGTCTTCAAGTTGTGTGACGGTGACTGGCTCCAAAGTAAGAGAGAGGAAAGGAATAAGGTAAGGTAGACCCCCCAGCCCGGAACAGCTTACCCAATCAGGTAAAGAGCTAAAGATGGGCGAGCATAAGGTAGTACTTAACTTCGCACAACACACCTTATTATGAAATCACACCACAACCACGCATCCTACGGACCTGAGGCCTTCAGTACGGTGATCAGCTCATTATTGGTATAGGGCCCGTACCAATAAGAAGCGATCACACGACTTGGGCCTCAGGACAAAATGACCCCTGAAGACCGCAAAGCAACGCGTCCTTTCGAGAGGCAGCATTCCCTCCTCTCACTGGATTTAATAGTCAATTATCACTGTCACACACCGACCTTCCCCTCCTAAAAGCAACATCATCATCATTATCATCAGCAACAACAATACCAATTCTGCTCTTCGACATCGGCACCAGACGCCACGTGTCATTTCAGTCATTTAGCTTCAACGCCTTTACACTGAACAACTACATTTCACTTTACACTAATTCGCCAATCCAAACCACACCGTTACACCACACTACCCCAAGAGACACGTCTCTTTTCCCTTCATCGACTAGCAATCAGCCTACAACGCGAAAGAATCTCCACCTTTCTTCGTGCCTTCTGGAGGTGCCTTGAGATACACAGCACAAATCGTTCGACCTCGCTCTATCGAAACGTATCCGACGTGGTGGTACCGGATCTTGAACCTCGGCCTTGTCCACCGAGCAATGGATTGCTGAGGAGTAGTGACCTTCAGTAACCGTCAGAGCAACCCCGCCGAGCAGAATGATTGACAAAGAGTTGGGATTTGGATATTGTTTTCTACGGGACTCCCGGGCTCAGTGGAGTCCTTCATTCAGTCTACAAGCACACACACAATGAGGGTTACGGGTCAAAAGAAGGATACGGCACTTGAGTCAGGGGCTCTGCGTTTGTAGGGGACCCCCTTTCAGCTTTCGGCTAGTCCAAAAACGGTTAGATAGATTAGTTACGCGTCTCGCATAGTCGGCCATCAAGGCAAGACTTCAGGGTAGTATGATGTAATCAATCAATCAATAAGGTAGTACTTTAATCTTGCCAGCAAAATAATAAGGGAATAAAGTCCATTACTGTTAGGATAAGGTACATGTTGTAATCAGGCATAAGGCATAAGGCAGCAATAATGATCCGAAACGTGGTGACGCCTGCTCCTTCTCCCTTGATGTTTGCCTCGGCTAATACTCTGTCTGACTGCCGTCTGTCAAGGTCCAAGCGGCCCTTCTTCCTTTGGGTCCTTCGGAGCAGCAATCAATCAATCAATCAATCAGTCAGTCAGTCGTTGAATGATGCGATGGGCTCGCAAATATCAAAATATCAAGGCGAAGATAAAGTATTCATATGATCGGATCGAATATCGGCTATCGACTGGCTTGCGGGGTGCCCGGAGGGGGCGAATTCTTGCCCTTTCCGGGAGCCCTAATAAAATGGTGCGGATGTCAGAGTTGGACTAAAAACTACCGGTGCCCTTCCGCTCCACTGCCCTGCTCTTCTCCACCCTCAATTTCTCTCTCACTTCACCTACATATCCCCACACACTTATCTACACTTACATCCCGCTTAACCCTTGTCCCTTTTCCCTCTTTCGATCGAGTGCTCGGTACCCCAAAGTAACAGGAAGGACAAACACATCACCATATATCTTTTTCCATCAGACGACTTGGAAGGTCCTTTAATATCAGCAGACTGAAGGCATACGTCCGAGTTGCCTGCTTTGCCACATCCTCTGGGTACCTGCATCATCCCAACCAGTGACCACCCATCCTTCCTCCATCAGCCTCAAACTTCCAATTAAAAACATCCCGCCGTGTCCCAGCGGCTTGCTTCAGCTTCTTCTATAGCACTGCCTCCCCACCCCGGTTGCCTCCAAGCTCGGAAAGCTAAGCTCAGACGGGAGCTTATGAATCATCTCACACCCTTGATTCGTACCTGCCCTTTTTGCACCCTGCTTCCTCCGACGAGCGTATGTACTCTATCGCCTGACTACAAAGGCTGCTCAAGACGAATCTTTGGCTGTCAGGCTTTATCCTCTGGTTTTTATGCTTAGATCCAGAACCTAATCTGGACCCCGGCAACTGCCGCTGAAATTGGTTCAAGAGCGTGGCGGAAGAATGTGGTTATTCGCAATCTCTGGCAGGAATGCGGACACCAGGAGAATGTAGATGATCATCATTAACAATTGTTCGACTTTTAACATCATAAGTTCATCCAAAAAGGCGTGAGAATTTCCGTCGTACTTTCGTAAACAATGCCGCTCGTTTACTGATACTCCAACTGCCTGCCAGGGCTACCCTCCTCATCTTGAACCTCCCCAAGCACCTCTCCCTGTTTCAATTCCAGGGTCTCTTGGCCCACCCGGCTCATGTACTCTTGTCCAATGTGGCGTACCTCATCCACAGCGTCGATGCTGAGATGGCGTTCGAGGTCCGGGTTCAACCGTAGTGTTTCCTCCCACCCATTGTAGTCGATTGTCAGTTCATTCAACTCGTAGGGTTGTGGTAGCGATTGTGCTTGCTCATCGAGTTCATGATGGCCGCCACCGAGATCGTCCGGATGTTGGTCAAGGTAATCGTGCTGATTGAACTGCTCCGGATGCTGGATAAGCTGGTGCTGAGGTATCATGTTAGCTTGAGGTGCAATCAGGGGTGCCTCGTAGGATGACTGGGAGTCCTCAGTCTGGGCGTAGGACAAATGGATCTGGCCGCCGGTGAAGTCTTGGGATGTTGAAGCTGTGACTGGAGCGTCGACCATTTGATACGGATACTCGTAGAGCTCGGAGGCCTCTTGGTACAAGGACTCTTGCGAGTGATACATGACTTCCTGAGATCCGTAGCATTCCTGCGAGCCGTCTGCGAATTCGGGAGGTCCGTAAGATTCGTGGGAAGCCTCAACGATATCGTGATGCTGGTAGAGAGAGTATTCAGAGTTCTGAGAATCGAGAGAACCCAAGGTAGGGTAAGCAGAGTCTTGTGATTGGAAGGAAGACTCTTGAGAAGGGTACAATGGGTAGATCGAATTCGAGACCGACGAGGGGAACAAGGTGGAGGTCGAAGATGGGAACGAGTGGCTTTCCGGAGTCGGCGTCGTCGATGGTGAGCTGTCTTCTGACAAAGGAGCAGGGTTGAGGTCCTCTGTTGGATATCCAGAGAAGATGCTGGGCTGAGCAGTGTAGTGTGCATCGTATGGTGATGCCGCTTGAAGAGTCGTGTCAAGTGTCATAGGAGGTTTTTCAGCTGTGGGATGTGGGGACTGGATCTCGTACGCCGACAATGGCGCATTAAGTCTTCGCCAGCTTGTTGTGGCTGCCTGCCCGCTTTTTGCTGTACTGAACTTCCACAGGAGGATGGCCATTCTTTGCGGCCGGTGATTGTAGACTCGATGCGTAGCCCAGATCTCTTGCATCACAGATATTCCTTGAATTCTTTCAATGGCGCGTTCCCCTTCTTCTCTGATCAATTTAGGGTCTCCAATGTTATCCATCATGCTTTTCCTTATGATCATGCTGGAGAAGACCCAGGCCCACCATCTGCCTCTGAAGGCTATTTGACCAAGCTTAGCATCGTCCGTTCCCTCGACCTGTGAGCTGTCCAAGTTGTCGGCCGATGGCTCTGAGAATTCTGTAAGATCTACCGGACGACCATTCTGTTCGTAGAACCTTGGATATGAGCGCCATTCAGTGAAATGCGCACCCTGACTGAAATGCAAGGAGAGCTTAATTGCAAGGCTTGAAGGGTGATCAAGGCTTGAAGGGTGATAGTGGTCCATCAAGCTCAAGTGAGTATCAAAGAGGAAAATTGGACACTCAATCTGTCCTCTGTCATAGTCAGCAGCCAACGGAGGATACATTTCACGCCAATTTTTGACATCCGCTAGCGTTTTGGGGGCCGAAGCCATTTCGCTCTGTAGTGACGTGTAAGAATGGAGAGGAGCGTCGCTATCACATTCTGTTAGAGTCATGGCAAACTCCAAGACGCGTCGTATCGTAGGACCCGGGTACATATTGGATGTTAGGATCTCGATCGGTGCTGGGGGACGGTTGGAAACACGACGATACGATGCTTGCGAAGGTTGATACTCGGATGCATCATCGTACTCCAAGTCTCCGTAATCACCCGCGGTCTCTTCATGGGCAGTACTACTATGTGCTTTCTTGTTCGAATTCTCCGCTTTTATGTCAGCGACGAGGCTCATCCCTGAAATTGAGCAATTAGCATCTTCAGGCTGGGACTTTGGACCATCAGACCCACAGAGTTTGTTCTCGCCCAAGAAAGCCTTTAAGACTTGGAGGTGACTAGACACCTGCTTCCGAGTACGCTCTACCCCGGTTCTCTTATAGATATAATCTGCAATGAACTCGTTGCCGCCGCGCAGTTTGCCATGGAGCTCCTTCTTCTTTCGGCCTCGTCTTTGAAACAGGCGTATAGCTATGAGATGCCCGTCAGTGAGTATCGGAATGGTCTTCTTCATCGTTAGCACAAACCAATTTGAAAAGCCTCTTCTACCCTGTCTGGCCAAATTTCAGCCTTTGATCCCTTTTCCCTGCATTTCACCCGATATGCTTGATATCTCGGTGTCTGATATTCGACATGCCAGTACAGAAGTCCCTTCGGTGACGACCACGGTGAGTGTTGCTGTCGTCTTGGGTGTTCTGCTTTGATAGCAGCTTGTGCTGAGTGATGGGGAGGGTTGACAAGAGAAGACACGGGTCTGAACCCATACTTCTGAGAATCCCCCGTCTTCAAGTCGATGATGCGTGGTTGATATAAACTCGATCCCACGTTCCCCGAACTCGGCCGAAGTATGCCATATTTACAATCAGTTGCGGGGTGACCACGCTGCTTGCAGCGCAAGCATACATGGGGCAGACTGCAAGCAGAACAGTCATCACCACGATTGTAGCTCTTGCATATCTCAGGGGGTTGGGTTTCCGCAAGGTTCGTCGGCGTGGAAGGGAGTCCAACTGCATTTTCGGGGAGGGCAGGAGCATTGGACAGCAGGACGAGTGCATTCGGATGTAGCTCCATGAATGTAAGCAGTGAGGATAAGGAATGGAGGATGACTTTATCGGAGGTATGCAACAGACACTATTAGGAATGATGCTTTTTTAAGTATGCACAGGCTACTATATCAGGACGGAGGTGGTGTTTAGTAGAACTGCTCCTTTTCAATACACAATCGAGATTAGTGCCAAAGGTGTAGAGAGGCAATTAAACACGACTGAGTCGTGGATGTGCTGAGATGCCCTCGATCAGCGCACTAGACCGCAAAGAGCTTGCTCTAAGTCGGCAGATCTTGTATTGGAAGCCTTACTTGCAATCTCCAATTGCAGAATCCAACCTGGTTCAAGCAAGGGATAGAGCTGGCCTTGCCAGATGAGGCACGAGAATGGAAGCGCTACCATGACGACGACCATTCTTGGGGTCCATGACGAGGAATGGCCGGTTGTTGACTGGACAGAGATTGGACCCTTAATTCTCACATTGGCCAAGGCGGTGGAATGAAATGAACAAATAAGAGATCAAGTCGAAGCAATTGATACTCATCTGACAGTGAGATTGATATAAAGCTGCGATGCTTTGAAGGTCATGTCTAGCAAGCCATGCAAGGGGCGGGGACCTATAGTTCGTCAATCTTCGTGAGGGCAAAGTCGCAAGGTACAAGTCACAGGTCGTCTGCTCCTTGAAATCAATCTTGATCGTCGTCGCCTCCTTCGACATGGAACTTCTTTCGGCCCGAACCTGTCAATCTCTGCAATGCAACCTTATCGGCTTGTTTACCGACTCTTTGCTGCATCCTCTCAATTTCTTGCTCAGGATCGACAGCGTCCTCAGCAGCAAAGTCTAAAACCAATTTTCTACCCAGTAAGTGCGTATCTCTCAATGCGTCAATTGCGTTTTCAGCTTCTCTGGCCGTGACGAAATCTGCAAAAGCAAAGCCCCGCGTAGAGCTATCAAACTTCTTGGGTACTCGAACAGATCGCAGCTGGCCGTAAGATCCAAATAGTGATCGGACATCTTTTTTGGAAGCTTCAAACGGCAGATTTTTGATGATGATCTTGGTGTTTCTGGCCGCCATCTTCTTGGCCTGGTCTTCCTTCCTACGCTCTTCCGCCGCATCTATAGCCTTATGCGACGCTCTAATGAGGAGCTCGTAACTATCAAGCCTGTAACCGTCCATAGCTGCGAGAGCTGCTTGGGCATTGCTCTTGGAACGAAATTCGAGGAATCCAAACCCCATGCTCAAAAGCTGCCCTGGCTTCTTCGGGTCGGGCTTGGTCTTCACCTTAGCCGACATGAAGCCCTCGAGAGGCTGAAAGACCTCACGCAAGCGTTCTGTAGTAGTCGAAAAGTTGAGATTACGGACGAAGAGTGTCGACGTATGGGCGGATCCAGGAGCATCCTTGCTTTCCAGCAATTCCGTCGAGGAAGGCTTCGCACCCTGAGAATTTGCAGATTCATCTACCCGGCTGTCTGGTAGGCCCTGCACATCTTGGAATAGATTTTTGGGCGCTTTCTCGAGAAATAATACGGAATCCTTAAACTTCCTATAAGCTAGACTGGCGAATGCTGATCGTGCATGATCAGACTGGTCATACTCCACAATAGCAATGGTGCCAGATGGCGGCATTAGTAATTTCTTTGTTTGGCCGTGAGCTTCGAAAAGCTTCTTCAGCTCTTCTGACTTTGTACCATAGGAAAAGTTTTTGACCAGGATTGCGGTATCCCCACGCTCTTTTTTCTTGAAGGCTTCTAGATCTACACCATGATTCGTGAAGTAAGATTTAGTCTCTTGTATAATATGGGTTTCAGCCTGTGCTTGCTTGACTGCAGTGTCTGAGCAAGTTGGATCCAACAATTCGGATTTTGCTACGCCAAGTCGATCAGAGATCGATGACATGATAGCATTAGACTAGGAAAACACTCGTAAGCTTTACGAAAGAGGCTGTTCCGCCATTCTAGACTCACATTCATATACATTGAGTTCCAATTGAAGGTAGAAGAAGCCGCATCAGCTTTGCGCTTGATTTGTTGTTGTTTCTTTAGTGGCAGCTTTGAAATAGCAAATTCATCTAAAGCAGTCTCTCTCTTTGGGTTGCCTGGCATCAAATGCAGTAAACGGCCTTGGAAAGGTTTTCGGTCCAGGATGTGAAGCGCCTTCGTAGCTGCTACCGGTTCTGTATACTGAACGTGGGCAAACCCCTTATTTTTGCCAGACCGTGAATCAATAGGAAGGTGCACCTAAACATCATCAGCACTCGAAAACAAACAAGCTCTGCCTGAGGAATAAGAGAAAATGCGGTTCGTTCTTCAGAATCAAGATGTATCTACTAAAATACTCTTCCTGGTAACATCACATGCATAGCATAAGCTGTCCCTATCTGGAGGTTCATCACAAGAACTCGATCAAACACAAAACATAGTCATATAGCCCTGGGCTTACCTCTTCAATAGTCCCGCGACCTCCGTTCTCAAAATGCTTCCGTAGGTCTTCCTCGGTAGTTGTGTACGTGAGGTTCCGCACAAATAGCCTTCCATTACCAGCAGCTTTATCGTCAAGTGCGGCTCCTTCGACCTCTAATCCCTCGTCGGTCTGGAAACTTGCACCGGATACACTTCCCTCTTTGACCAGCTCTGGAAACTCATATAGGCCTATCTTCTCTGTTGGAGCGTCCTCTGGCAGCACTGTAGGTTGCACGTCATCGTCGTCCACCAACCCGAGCAATCTGCTAGTCCGTGATCGAAGCCAGTCAGCGTCTGAGGCTGCTAACGATTTGGCCAATGGCTCCTGTGTAGCTTCTTGGGAGAGGTCACAAACACTTGGGACTGTCCTCGCATCCATGCTAGGCAAATCCACTGATGCTGGAGGCTCAGCAGGCATCACATTTTCGTCCTCACTTTTCCCTTTTTTCTTCCTTTTTTTTGGCACGTGGTCGTAAACCTCATCGCTTTGAGCTTCTCGTGTCACCGTATTTTCAGCTTTTGAACTAGGCCGTGCAGAGACTTGCGACATTGCGGCATCTTGGTTTTCCCAAATTTTTGACCTGGAGGGCGGTTGCATCACTTCGAGGAATTCCCGTAGCTTGGGTTTGCCTCCATCTTCTGCTGGACCTTGACGTTTTCGCTTCTTTTTCTCAACGCTGTTAGTATCCGTTAGACTCTGCTCCTGAGATTCTGCGTGCTCTCTCTTGCTACTGTTGGCGGAATTGATGCCTGGTCCCAGGGCATACTGATCTTTGACCGAACGAGCGAGCTCGACGCCAATCTTTGACATACGGACGAAGGATTTGTTGTGATATTTGACTGCTTTTGCAGCATCTTCAGGCGTCTTATAACCCACATATCCAATGCGCCTATGAGGTATGAATTTTGCATCTGTGATTGCAGACTGCTTCGAGAAGTGCCGCTTGAAGTCATCAGCACTCAGATTTGGGGGGAGACCCTTGACAAATATTCTCGAAGACTCCATCGCTTGCAGATGTTGAAGATTGCGCACTTCTAGAGTCCCGATCATCATCTTTTCTGAGCGCGCTGGTTTGGCTCGGTAATTTTACGCGGAGCTAAGAAACGGAACTACCCGAACAGAAGTCAGCCCTATCAGAATCGTTCTCAGGACGCATCTAGCACTTTGGGCGACAAAGCATCTCTCCGTTTCATACAGCGCTTAGCCGAAGCACCATATTTACCCTGTCCAAACGCGAAGTTTGCGTTCTACAAAGAATAGAAGTCACTTGTAGGCCTGCTCGAAAGCTTGGACTCACAGAGTGCTCGACAACAGTCGTGATGGCAACTGAGAAGAAGGAGAAGCTTGACGGTACCTACCCTTTTCTCTTCCTTCTGCTAGGTCTGCCAAACCTTTGTAGCACCTACTGACATCCTTCCAGCGCAGGTCAAATCTGCCGATATGGTGATTACAGCCCCATTCCTCGAAAGCGGTAGCGACACTCACGACTTCCTAGAGCGAGGAAATGCAGCGACAAGCCGTGGAGGTAGCCGAGGAGGCCATGTCTAAATTTCAAGTCGAAAAGGACATTGCACAATACATTAAGAAGGAGGTACGTGGACATACAGGCCGTCTTTTACATTGGAAGATACCGGAGCTGTATTTGAGCACGAAGCCTGACAATAAGTGTATCAGTTCGACTCTCGCGCAGGGGCTACATGGCATTGCATCGTTGGAAGGAATTTTGGAAGCTTCGTCACACACGGTACGCTCCTGCAAAATGCATACGGATGATCCGTACGCTGACAGCGACATAGAAACGAAGCACTTCATCTACTTTTATCTTGGACATTGCGCAATTCTGCTTTTCAAGACTCAATGATTTTGGAGGCTGGTGGGCAAGAAGCGACACTCGACTACGGAAAAGCTGGGATCTGAGCTGAATAAGATGTCACTGCGTGGAGTTTGGAATCTGCATATGACTCAATGGAGACTTACTATCTGCGCATAACAAAATGCAAATACATGGCGTGAACGAAGAGTGCGTATAATTATCAAGACCGTGACATTGTTTAACCATCAATTTTTTTCTTCCCCACCGAAAGATCATTCTTTTTTCTCCATCGCGACTTCGCCCACCTTGTCGCTCTCTTCCCTAGGCGATGTCGACCCGTCGCTCCCTTCCATGGCCCTTCCTCTGATACTCGCCCCACCCTTCCCGCTCAAGTCTCGTACAATACCCTTGAATGTGTTGGCCATGCTGTGCCTTCCTTCCCAAAGTGGGAACAGTCCTACACAGAACGAGCTGCAGAATAGCCACAATATACCCACGGAAACCCAACCGGTGAAGAACTTTTTGCTGAAGATATATCCAGTACCGTACAAGGGCATGGGCCACAAGATGAGTAGCGCAAGAGTCAAGATCCCGGTCATGCTCTTAGCAATGAGGGATGCCCGTTGAAGCTTCTTTTGTTCCGATTCAAAGTCAGCCGCTGACATGCCGGTAACACCTGGAATCTCCTCCAGGTCTGTATGCGCCGCAGCTGCAATGTCCTCGTCATTGCCCAGACGAATCGCAGCCATCGATTTGTAATCGTAGTTCTGGGGACCGAAAGCATAGGTCAAAATTGGGATGAAGACAAGGGGCGACAACAGGGCGACGACGTTTCCGGCCAGCATGGGATTATTGCTACCGGTGCTCGTAACAGACAGGTTGCCAAACTCCTTTTTGGCAGTCACAAGCCAAGCTTCGGTATTGTGTTAGTTGACTGGTCTTCTGGAGTCGAGATGTGGCAATCGGACGCACCAATAAGGGAGCAAGCAAGGCCCAATATGGGGGAGAGAGTCGCGGCGAAAACATTCTGCTTTTTCCACATCAACGTCAAAACTGCTGGAAGTACAGCAGACGATATAATAACGCCCTGTCTTGCCGTTAGAGACTTTGACACAACTATCGCGAAATGATCAACTACCATCATCAGGTATAGGTAACCCATGGAAATGCCGATATCTGCACAGTAATTAGTGGATATCTGCCGGTAGACTGCTATGGATACTAACAGTAAAGCCCGGTTGAAAATGCTGCCAGTAGAATGGCATACACGATCACAAAAGAATGAGCCATGTTAATCAACATCTTGCCAGAAGCCCTAGGGTTAAAATATGTCTGGTAGATATCATAAGTAAATATGCTGCTGACAGCGATGTATTCAGAAGAGGAGGCTGATGTGACAGCTATGAGGGTTTTGGAGTCAGCATCTTTCCTTCCGAGCAGAACACCGAGCGATGAGACAATTCAAAAGGGTATTAAGGGCTTTTTTGCTCTCAGAAAATATCTTGCAACGCGCAAAGGAGTCCGTGAGAGGAAGAAAGCGCTCCGAGAATGTACTTGCCCATAAAGATCAGGAGCAGCGTTGCAGCCGCGCCACCCTTTCCCAAAAGAGCAACAGCAGCACTTTCAAAGTTCGGAATCAGCAGTCGTTCTTTGCACGAAATTGAGGCATGTAATATAATGGAGAAGTACTAGTACTCGCTGAATATGTCTTACGACATGCAAGGCCGTACGCATCTGGGGAGAAAACACTTACTAGGGGAGGACCAAGCCCGCGGTAACATCTTCATCCGCCATTCGAGAAGGAAATGTTGGGAAGACTGGGTTAGATTCCAGAGCAAGCGCCGAGAGGCCCATCGTGGTCGCCGCAAGCCATGGAATAGCGAACCAACTGAGGCCGCCCATCACGTAACCGGGAAGGGCATGAACAGGACTCGCCGCGATGGCTTTGTTGTAGTAGCCTTTTATGGATCGTCAGGAAAGTACCTTGGGATGACCTGTATTCATGGAAGGATCCCAAGCACGTACCGTTGTCCATGAATACCGTGCCAAAATTTCCCACGAGATTTATCACGAAGAAAATGGCTCCTTCTTGTGACCGCATTGTCAGGTAGCTACCCTGGGCGTTGCCGGCAACTGGGTGGTCCCTCGCAGCCGTCACCAAGAGGTCGTAAACTTTAGCGGGACTTCCAAGATTGGCATCGGTGGTGTACGCTATATGAATGTGAACAGATCTTCACAAAATTAGTTCCGCAACAACAGTTACCTGTGAATGCCTAGACATCGAGGTCAGTAAATCTTGTACTGAGTCAGAATTTCCCGGGTGCAAGGACTCACGAAGATAAAAATGATGATCAAAATCATGACCGTATGAACGTAATCTGTAAGAAAAGTCGCTTTGATTCCTCCTGCAATCGTGTACAGAACAACCCCAATCGGTAAAAGAAAACAGGCTGCTGCGGTCGGCATGCCTGTAAGGGCGGTTACGACAGCAGAGCCTCCTGTTAGCAGTATAGCGGTCACCTTCAGCCGCTCGTTAGCCTTGGACTTCAGGTCGGCATAACTGTCTTGACGAACCAGAACATTGGTCATCAAACCAAAGACGGTGAAGACCAAGTGAGCATACACTCCATACCGAGCTCGAATAACCTCAAGGAAGGTATGAGCATTAGGTGCCTTCCTTTTCAACTCGATTGCCAAAGTCGCGAACAACAGGATCTGCACAGTAGCACCGGATGCATACCAGAAGGGTCCAGAGACTCCATAACGGTAGGCCACTCCAGAGGATTGGAGCAATGTGGCAGCCCAGGTCCAAGAAGAGACAACTGCACTGGCAACGAGACCTGATTTAACGGTTCTTCCAGCCGTGCTGAACATCTCCGAGGTCTGAACCTCCGCCTGGTACCTCTTGAGGACATAAGTGGTGGTTATCATGCCGAGGGCAAAAGCAAAGCCCAGGCCCAGTACGATGCCATAGCCGAAGCCTGTACTGAGAGGAGGCGTTATTGGCATGATGAACGGGACAAAGCTGTGTGGTATTCGACGTGTCAAGGTTTAGAGCAAAGATTGGAATCAACTGGGAAACCCAGTCGCTGCATATAAAAGCTTCCGACGGATGTCGAGCTCTGCAACCGACATGAAGAGATGGTAAAAGACTTTCAACAGAAGTGGACGGCAGCAGTGAAGAATAAAAAAGAGCACGAGAGCAAAGGCAATATTTGTATGAAGATTGGTCTACGTCTTACGGTACATACTCACCCCTTCCTTCGACTTGGACATCGAGATAAGAATGAGGCCGAAACTTTCCTCCTAAAGGCAAGAGCATACTGAAGCTTCAAGCATGCCAAAACGCCAGATGCATCTTCCATGCATAGAGCCACGAAGCATGAAAAAGATTGGTCGAGGTTTTCGATTGAAGAACAATTAGCTTATCTTGCCAATGGCGGATAAGGAGGATCTGCTTCGATTCCTGTGTCACGAGGCAGATGATCGCCTACTCCAGCGTTGCTTGTCTTAGCATTTCGGCCTTACTTTTTGCTCTACCTTATCTTTTTGGTCTTTCTTTTTTTCCCCATCTTCATTTCGGTACTTGTAGAGTAGACTGTTGTTAACCTTCTACTGTATTCCATTGGGACTTTTACGGGGGTGCGTATCGCTGTAGCGATCTATGATGTCAAAGCGACGCTTGGCCGTAGCTGCTATCGAACGTACCTCAGGACTTCATGGGGTGATCCAAATTTGCATTACGCCACTATAGCGATACCGTTACTAGTCACCAGCACTGCGTAGAAGGACCACCCCGTTGCTGGTGGCCTGCTCTACTTCTAGGTACTGACAAATCAGTGTATGCAGAACTTTCGGTATTTAGTTCAAAGTATTTAGTTCAAATATTAAGATAGAATACAAATTGAGTAGTAACAGGCAGTGGTTATCTGCATCGAACAGCAAACATCCTATCCAAGGTTGCCAAAAAACCATCACTGCATTCATTCATGACATCGTTGAGTAAAGTCCAGCATCGAGATGTTATACAGCCTCAATGTCTTGCAAGGGTAGGTACCCATCATCCATCTTACCCCGGACTCCGAAAATGCGGGTTGTCAAGCCTTCAACCCACCTCATGCCAAATCGATCTTTCAATCCTCTGTCATTCGTCATGCTCATTCCCTTCAACGACTCGCTCTTCTGGCCTTCCGCCTCAAGTTTCTCCACGGTCATCCATCCAGGCCTCTTCCAGAATTTCAGGAGTAGACTGCTGCCTACTACACTGACGCTGCTAGCGGCCATCGCGGCACCCGCAGCCATAGGGGGCATCATGATATGACCAGGCAGCACCAGCCCGACACCCATTGCAAAGGGTAGTCCAATCAAGTTGTACAGACACGCCCACATCAGATTCAGCTTGATGCGGTTGAATATCGTACGAGAAAGACTCAAGGAAGCTGTGACACTGAGCATGTCTTCTGGGCGCATGAGCACGATGTCAGCCGCTTCCATAGCGACGTCCGTGCCTGAGCTTAAAGCAATGCCAATGTTGGCTGTCGCAAGAGCAGGCGAGTCATTGATCCCGTCACCCACCATGGCAACAATTGTACCTTGCTCTTGAATTTTTTGGATGATCTTCTGCTTCTGATCGGGAGAGACGCCAGCATGGATGTTGACCTTCGGAATGCCAACCCGAGTAGCGACAGCGGCAGCAGTAGAGTATTGGTCTCCAGTAACAAGGGAACTCGTAATGTTCATGCGATTCAGGGCTGTTATCGTGGCGGCTGCGCTCGGCTTGATCGTGTCGGAAAGGGAAAGAACGCCTGCGTAGGCATTGTCGATGGCAACATATATCTGGGTGGTACCTGACGGTGGTGCTTTGGAGGTTCCAGGATCGGAGTTTGTTGGGGAGGTGGCGACAAGATCAGCAGGCAAGATGATGCCTCGAGAACTGAGGTAGGACGAGTTGCCCACGTGTACTCCATAACGTTTTGGAATAGCGGAGGTGGCCGGTTCGACGACGGCGCAAATACCTTTGCCAACAGTTGCTTCAAAATCTCCGACACTGCCATCAATCATGCCTTCGCTTCCTATGTTCAACTCCAGCTTCGCGGTGTCGAGGATGGCCCTGCCAATAGGATGTTCGCTCCCCATTTCCGCCAAGCCAACTAATGACCACCACAGCTTTCGCCGCCAGTCGTTTGCCTCCCAGATCTGCTCAAGCTGGACTTCTGGAACGCTCATCTTCCCCATAGTCAGAGTTCCTGTTTTATCGAAAACGACATGGGTGACTTTGGTAGCTATCTCGAGAGCAGCACCTCCTTTGACCAAAATTCCTTGCTCCGCCCCAATTCCTGTACCCACCATGACGGCCGTCGGAGTGCTAAGACCAAGGGCACAAGGACACGCAAAGACGATCACAGAGATACAAAGCTTAAGACAGACCATGAACTTGCCACCGCTCTCAGGTTTGAGGAAAACTTCTGGACATGCGGATGGTGGCAGCACATGACTCAGGACCATCCAGGAGATGAAGGTCAATAATCCAAGAGTGATGATTGTGGGTACAAAGTAGCCCGCAACGATATCAGCCATACGCTGGATTGGCGCACGACTGGTTTGGGCCTCCTGGACTAGCTTGACAATCTGACTCAACTGCGTGTCCCGGCCTGCTCGGGTTACTCGAAAGTCAATCCGACCCGCGCCATTGACAGTTCCTGCCATGAGATCGCTCCCCGGCCTTTTCAAGATCTCGACGGCTTCACCAGTAACCATGCTTTCATCGAGATAGCTTTGACCCCGAGTGACTGTGCCATCAGCTGGGACTTGGCCGCCAGGACGCAAGACCACGATGTCCCCAACTTCGATCAACTCTGTGGGAATGATCTTTTCCTCAGCTGCATTGCTAGATTGATCGTGAGGAATCGGACCCTTCTTCTCTGCAAGACCACTGGGTGCAGCAGCATCCCAGTCTTCTGCCGCCTTCTCTGCAGCGATAGGATCCGCGTAGATCGTAGCCATTGAAGGTGCTAAAGACATCAATCTTGAAAGCGCTTTTGAAGTTTGGCCCTTTGCTCGATTTTCTAGATAACGGCCCAGAGTGATGAACGTTATGAGCATGGTACTCGTCTCAAACACTGTGCTGGGACGGGTATGTGGAGGAATCAAGACAGACACAATCATTGCTGCGATGCTGAAAAAAAAAGCGGCGGAAGTGCCTAAAGTGACAAGTACATCCATGGTTGGCGAACCGTGCTTCAAAGATTTGTAGGAAGAGATGTAGAAGCGTTTGCCAATCCCAAATTGAACAGGTATAGTGAGAATAAGGCAAATGACGTCGCCAAGGTATAGCCCGGGTATCCAGAGCAGTATTGAGCCAAAGTCCAGTCGCGGAATGATCATAGGTATGAACATACTTATCAGGAAGACCGGAATGGCGAAAGAAAGCGAGTACCAGAAAGCCCGCCGCCATTCTTGTATTTCGCGGGTCTTTGCTAATGACTCAAGCTGTGCATTGTTGTCATCAGCGTCTGCTAGAAGGGCATTGTATCCTAATTTCTCTATAGCCTCCACCAGTACTCGAAGACCGGTCAAGGAAGGATTGTGAGTCACATTGACTCGGGACGTCGCAAGATGCACCACAGCGGAAGAGACACCAGGAAGTAGACGTAAGGCATCTTCAAGAGCAGTGGCAGAGGACGAAGTGGGAAGACCATAAACCCTTAAGTGCACGTTCCGCGTCGCTGTCGATTGCTCTGCCGAGCCACGTTGTGAGGATAAAAGCTTAGCATCGAAACCTCGATCTTCAATAATCTCCGTAATCTGCTTAGGTGAAAGCTTCGCTGAATCGTGAACTACTACAGCCCGTTCAGCTAAGAGACTGATGTTGAATTGCACCAGCCCTTCCACGTCCTTGAAGCCCCCTTCGACAGCCGAAGTGCATGCACCGCAGGTCATACCCTCGATCGCTAACTTGGTTATGGTTAAATCGACTTGCGACTCGTTCGATGTTTGGTATTGGGTCTCTTGGATTGACAGTGATGGTGAAAGCTGGGTCTTCAGAACCTCGGCGCCAAAACCTCTATCTTCGATTATTCCCGCGATCGCCTGGGGTGTAATAATGGAAGAATCGTGTTCGACGACGGCGCGTTCCGAAAGAAGCGATATGCTCATTGATTTGATGCCTGGGACATTCTTGAAACCACCGTCAACAGCTGAGGTACAGGCACCACAAGTCATACCCTCGACTGCCAGCGTCGTAGTGGATAGACTAGCCGTATTGTGCCCCGTAGCAACCTTGCCCTCGCTAGGTGCCTCCTCTTTTCCCGAGAAATTGGGAATGTCGGTGGCAAGCACCTCGGCATCAAATCCTCGATCCTCGATCATCTCTCGCACCTTTTCTGGAGACAGTACCTGCGGGTTGTGCTGAACCACCGCTCTTTCCATGACCAAGCTTACAGAGACGTTGCCGGCGCCATCAATGTTTTTGAAGGCGCTCTCCACCGCGGACGTACATGCGCCACACGTCATTCCTTCCACCCGTAATGTTGTAGTCGCCATGTGTATAGCCGAAGCCATGGCGAAGACCAAAGTAGCTAGAGTATCAAAATGAAAGATCGGCTCAACGGTCGGCGGTTAACTGTCAGCCTCGAGGGCTCGAGGGCGATCTAGAGAGGGTTGGCGGTCTGGAATACTTAGAGGGCATAATGAAAGGGCAAAAGAAGCAGGAGAAAGGAGAAGAAACATGATGGAGGTACGGCTGATATATACAAAGGAACAGCAGGGCATCAATAATGGAGACCGATGCGGTCTTTGTCAGATCACGCTTGTTGATTGTTCTATGACCGAGCTAGCGCCGGACTCCTTACTCTATTCCCGCTAGTCCGTGCCATGACTTTGACCGAAGACAACGTCATTCAAGTTCTTGAATTACACATTTGTTCTGTGCTGTGCAGCACTAGCAAATGAAGGTATCTTATCCCTGCCTTGATACTCAAAGAGATATCACGCTACATTTTAATTACTTTCAATTACACCTTAGAAGTCTACACTCGTCGACGACCAGCTGTCAAATCAGTCAAGGCTGACTTTACTTAGGTACTACGCCATGCTGGGCCGCCAAGCTGTTTAGTAGACACGGCAGATACCAGCTTAGCGAATGGCCTCTCCTTTCTCAAACGATCAATAATATTATTGCGCAATGGGGCGGTTAGTTGAGGTCATTGGTCTAGAACCATGTTCATAAGCGATTCGAGGCTTTAGCTAGGTATCACTCGCGTACAGAGTGATACAATAATGGTAATCCCGCGCCTTCGCGATTACGGTGGAAATAGACCGTTGAGTTCCACTATGTACCTAAGCACGCGGGTGAAAAAAAAGCCTGCACACCCTCAAAATCTGCAAATCTAACACAATTTGCCAACGAAAGATCCTATCAAGAAGATTTTGCTCTGGAATATATAGATATTAGCACAAAGAACAATTCTTATGGCAAGTATTAGCTTGTGAAGAGGGTATTGAAGGTATTATTTTAGTTAGTAAAGGTAGAAGGATTGCTTGGCGTGTGCAGGCTTTTTTTTTTACCCGCGTGCTAAGGTACCAAGTGTGCACCTCGGTACCAGTGGCGATCTCCCGCAACCCTAATCGATAACACCAGCCGTGCAGCCCTACAAATAAGGTAAGGTAGAGACAGGCATTCATTGTGAGCTGCGTGCCTGTTTCTTGTATCTCGCCTGTCACCACCAAAGTAAACATCCATAGTCAATGTGATCTTCAATTCTACTCTTTCGAAGACTATCAACTATGGACCAAACACAGCAGAAGGCTTTAAATGCCCTTGAACCCTACATCCTCCTCTCCAAATCCGCAAACTCACCACGAGCAGCTGCCGACCTTGTTACCCAAGCTACATCCGCACCAAACACCTTCGTCTTCGCCGAGCTTCTTCAGACACCAAATATCCAGGCTCTACAGACAGCATCAAAGGAATATGCACCTTACCTCACCCTCTTGCACATCTTTGCCTGGGGAACGTGGTCTGATTACACAGGTCAGTCCAAAACCACTCTTGCGCAGCGCTCATACGCCAATTCTTTTGATCCAGAAACAACAAATCTCCCAAAGCTCTCAAATGTACAAGAACAGAAGCTCCGCCAGCTCACTTTACTGTCCCTCCCTACGTCCCCCACCACCCTCACATACGCGCACCTGCTCTCGGAGCTCTCCCTTTCCACCACTCGCGCCCTGGAGGACCTCGTTATAAGTTCTATTTACGCCGGACTGCTTACAGCAAAACTCGACACCCTGTCCCAACGTGTTGATGTCTCGTCCGTCGCCCCTTTACGAGATCTGAGACCTGGCTCCGTCCCCCGCATGGTTTCTGTGCTGGAGGATTGGGATACTCGTTGCGTGAGCGTCTTGGGCGAGATTGAAGGACAGGTTCGGGAGATCAGGAGGAAGGCTCTACAACAGAGAAAGCGAGAAACGGAGCATGAGAAGGCTGTGGCAAAAAAGATGGGTGAGAATGAAGATGGGAAAGGCAAGCTTGGGAAGAGAGGAGGCGGAGAGGAAGCGGATGAGATGGATATTGACGAAAGCGGACGAAAATCAAGGGCAAAAAGAGGGGGAGGCAATTTCTTAGGCGGGCTAGGTAGAAGATTAGGCGGTGGTAATTGAGATTGCCTTAGCTATCATAGCCAGCACGAGAATTCGCCAGTGTCAAGGACTAGATGGACATTTATAAGATTTGCCTGATACTTTGGTTCTTAGACTAATCTGCTCTCACGAATCCATCCTAGCGAAAGCTTGAGTGAGAGGATAAGCAGGATCGTTTCACCGTCAGAATATTGCGAGAGATTAATTGCTACAACTCGTTACTACCGACCTAGAAGCCGAAACGATGATTGCGCACGAAAGTATCATAACTGGAAAACAATTGTAGAGACGATGAAACCCAAAATGTCTCTAGAGGCTCGAGGTAACGCCTTCCATTTGCCGTTTAAATGTCTGCTTGTGGGCGTCCTGCCCTTTCTTCCAATCCCTGGGTATCTCGTAACCATCAGTTCCACTCCCCAAACGCCTGTCCAGAAATGCATAGAATCGTGTTACTCGGCCAAATGCTTCAGGACCGTCAGCTTGTTCTTCACATCAGCGGATCGCGAGGGGATACTGACCGACCATTCCGGTACCAGCTTGATCTGGCTCCACATAAATTTCTCCAGCTTATTCGCGCTTTTCGCGTATGGTGTCGTCTCGTTGTTGTACTTCCGACAATTGTCGAAGATGAGCTTCGCGTCCTTGATAAAATCTTCTGGCGTTGGGTATAAGTCCTTCTCGTGCTTCTGTTCCATCGTGCTCAAATCCATAGGCTCCTTGATTACATCGTAGTAATCCGCGACCTCATCTCTGTTGACAGGCTGCGAGAAGGGCCAAGAGGAGCCATGGTTCTGCATATCATTGAGCAAATGCAATAGTTGATTGTAGTTTGGTCCGTGGCGTGGCTGGCGAGCGAGCTCGTCCATGTCAGGCGACCAGCCAGAAGCTTTGATCGCCGGGATAGACATAGGATCGATCTTGCAGGGGCCATTCTTCCATTCCTTTGGTGGGGAGTGAACTATATGGCTTTTCGAAAACGCACGGATTTTGGCAGCGACTGCTTCTTTCTGCTTCAGTAGCATTCGACCAACTTCGAGGTAGCGAATACGCGGGACCATAGTGCATTGCATTATGGTGCCGCCTTCGTAATCTTTGATGTATCCCATCCAGATCGGTTTCTCGAGGGTAATTTCTTTGGTGAAGCCCTGCTTCTTGAAGTAGCCTATTGCGTAGTTGTCCGCATATGTAAGGAAGTGTTTGATGGGTGAGGTGGCCTTGACATAGTCTTTCAGGTGGGACATGAGATGCGCGCCGTAGCCCTTGACCTGCTGATCTGAAGAAATGGCGCAGAAGACTATTTCGGCGAACTCGCGGGCGTTAAATGGTCGATATGTAATGCCTCTGGACAGAGTCAGCGACGACAATGGAACCGGAAATGTCCGAGTATACCCAACAACTTCGAGCGGTTTCTTGACAATAGCTATGGAGAGATGGGTACGGTCGTAGACTAGTCGAGCTATGTAGTCCTTTGGCATCTTGGGTAGCTGCTTTTGGAAGATGCATTTCAGACCGGTCAAAATGATGAGACTTTCCCTGCTATTATCGTTGTTGACAACCCGGAACTCGATCTCGCCATTGCGCTCCTCCGCGACGGCGGGCTGTTGCTGTTGGTCAGATCCCCTCGATTCCAACAAGATAGAACTAATCATACAGACCTTCTCTGGAAAAGGGACAACTCTTGATTTCCCCTCGGCTTCTGGTGTGATTGTCTCGGAATGGGAGTTCTTGACACGCTTGCTCGGGCTTTCACTTCCCAACTGATCGATTGCTTTGCGCTTGGTGTCTGGATACATGTCAGTCTGTAGCTTACTCCCCAGACAGATTACGCACGCTCTAGTATCATTGGCGCCATCTTGCATGGTGTTCCTATTCCAGTCAGCAGAGAAGACGTTGCCGTCGGAGATAAGGGCGCGGACTGGTCCTGGGACTAGTGCGCCTTGGCACGCTTGCTCGACCAGAAGCAGTGGAAGGTAAAGTTGTCCTTAGAAGAACATCAGCAAAGCCATCCTTCACGACTCTCTTAATTGCAGAAGCACTCACTTGCGCACCATTGTGCCGGATACACTCCCAATTCTTAGCTGACCGGAGGCTCGCGGTTTTCAATGTCGTTGAATGAGGTGTGGGAGGAAGCAGCTAGCAGCCCGTTTTATCCTCTCGTTCCCAAAGAAAGGCAGTTCCTAGTTGGCTTTACTCTCTTGCTCACAGGTGGGTGGCTTCCTTAATTTATTTCAAGCTTTTGCTGATTTGCGAAGCCTTCGTTCTGACTGGCCTATTCGGACTGAGTAAGTGAAGCCGTGCAGAATGTTGAGAACAGGACTTAAACTTTAGAAGATCGTTCATTCAAGAACATTCCATTTCTCGGTGTGCCTGCATCGTTGGCTTTTGGGTAAGTTTGCTGGGACATACAACAAAGGACGCATCTGACCGTCTGGCAGTTTTGGATCAGTGTTCATGATCTGTGCAGTCGGCGTTTACGTCTGAGAAGAAACTCCCAGTTAATCCACATCTGAGGAAGCTATGTCGGCTTTGTACAATACTATGATTTGATACCCACACTACTTCATTATCGATCTCTTGACGGTCCTCCGTTTCTGCCAATCTCTACAAGTTCCTGCGTGTTTGCTTCGGAAAGAAAAGGCAGCATGGCCTCTGCAAATGACAATGCAGACAATGCAGCACCTCTCTTTACTGCAGTCTCAGGTTCTGCCCGACAGCTCTTTCAGCTTCTTCGCTGCATCAATTTCGTCTCCAAAAGTCATGTTCAGATTACAAAGGAAGGGCTACGCTTCACAACGGAAGAGTCCCAAGTAATGCAAGGTCTGTCAATGCGGTATTTGTCTCTGCCAGGGTTGCTAACTTGGGCCCCAGGTATCGCCTTCCTTGACAAAGCACTATTTACGGCATATACGTACTCTCCTCCCGCCCACGAAGACACTGAAGATTTTGAGCCAGCTCCCTTTCAAATATCTCTTTCATCTCTTCTCGAAACCCTTCAAATACTCGGCATCTACGAAAGCAAGGATCGCTGGTCCAACCGTGACTCAAATTACAATGGCATCAACGGCTTCTCTTCACGCGGTGGACCAACCGGAGCTTTCGACAACCGCATCCTGGGTATGAATGGTATTTGCCGCTTAAGCTATGCTGCTGCAGGCGAGCCTCTATGCATCATCTTGGAAGAAACTGGAGTGACAACAACGTGCAACTTAGTCACATACGAACCCGAATTCCAGGAGGAGATCCCGTTACAGAAAGACGCCATAGCACAGAAAATCATAATGCGGGCAGGCTGGCTGCACGATGCTATTAACGAGCTCTCGTCTACATCTCCTACACGGCTGACTATTGTCTCTTCTCCTACGGCGCCATATTTTACGCTTTCGTCTAGCGGGCCACTGGGCTCGGCAACTGTTGAGTTCAGCAAAGATCCCCAGCTGCTTGAGACATTCCAGGTACCGAGAAGGACAGTGAACACATACAAATACTCGCTCATCAAAGGTGCGAGTAGAGCCATGGCCATCGCATCTAAGGTTAGTATCAGAAATGACGAACAGGGAGTGCTGAGCCTGCAATTCATGATCGAGGTAGAAGGTGGAGGCTTCAGCTTTGTGGACTTTCGTTTTGTACCCTTTATACCTGAAGAGGGCGAAGGTGAAGAGGAGAGCGAAGTTGGTGAAGCAGAGCGTTTCGAGTAAAGGACGTTCAACTAGCTTATTTGAAGAACTATAACAGCTTGGTTTTAACGCCGTGGAAACACTCCCTTTTCCCCACATGCATCCATCGGGACTTTCCTTCTGGTCGCTGTCTCACAAGATCCTATTCAACGATCTCTTTCCATAAGAGGTTTGACTAACATAAAAACATATAAGCCCCTGTTAACTCACTGTGACCGTGTCTGTACCCTGACCGTTTTGTCTTCTACCTTACAGTTGACGCAGAGTTTCCTGATGAGATAGCTGGTGCGTGAGCGCACTTTGGCAGAGACATATTGGCAAGGACTCTCCGATAAACTTCTAACGCAAGAGAGAAATCTGTGGAACTCGAGTTGATTCTAGATTGCCTGTAGCGGAGATCCTTGAAGAGGAAGAGAACAGAGCAAGAATCGAGGAACGGCGCGAACACGAGCTGCCGGAGGAAGAATAGAGGGAGCAGGCATTAGAGGCTATCCAGCTTGCTCTCGAAAAACAATACCAGGGAGTTAGGTAATTACTCTCAGCCGTTTTTTGCTCTGTAATATGCTGCTCCATTATTTCGCTGACCACTATACTCAGAGTAACATCACCGAGCTGGAACGACAAGCTAAGGATGAAAAGACGGCCCAATCCACTATCACCAATTTGTTCAAGAAGCGGTTCGAGGCGCTTCTCAAACGACACGAATGAAGCCAGGTCTACACCGCCTACGATGATCTCATTGCTGCAGGTGCTACACTAGAGGCAGCAGAGCAAGAAGGCGGCTGGTGTGGAAGTTTGTGATTGAGATGAAGTCTCGTCAGTCAGTGCGTTTTCACGAGGTGGAGCGCGCAACACATTCGTCTTATTCCACTAGATAGTAGCCGAGCATTGAGAGAAAACAGTTGGCCTCATCAGAATGAGAAAGAACGCCAGAAACTTCTACTGACGGGACATTTTGAGAGTCGACAGAAAGAGAGGCTGGCGAAGAGAGAGCGCAGACTTGACTTTGAGCGGATGGACTGTTGCCTGCCACATTGGGACTACCATGCTCTGTTGTCGGTTTCTGGTGAGTATGCCTGAGCTTGAGCCGGATGTCATGCTTCTTCCGGAAGTGCTGAGCATCAGACCCCTTCCCCGAGTCCTTATTTTCGTCGAATTTATCATTTCTTACGTGAATCTAATCCTAAATACACAGAAAATAAGGATGGTGTCCTCTTTAGTGCAAGCAAGCATAGTCTAATGTTGGTGTTTCTCCCTATCGGCCGCCTCGAATGAAGCTGAGATATCGCTCTGCTGCGTCCGTAACATGTTGGAGGAAGCCCGCTCATCGATGGCTGTATCTATATGCATGCTAATGGCATCAACATTTTATGTAACACCGCAAATGGAATTACGCTATTACCGTGATACTCGTCTCAGGATCTATGAGCTGAAGTTTTGACCGTAATCATGTGTGTCCCTAAGTTTGTCGTGGTCGTAGGTCAATCAGCGGAGGAAGTAATTGGTGCAAGCTAGTCTTCTCTCGGAAAAGACCTCATAAATACCAGCTCTTTGTGACTTATATCGAAAGTCTCGTTCTTGGCAGTGGATTCGACTGATCATTGACTCCTTTAATATGCCTCCAATGTCTCAAGCAGCCACAAAGCGAGGTCCATCAGTTCTAGTGAGTCTCTGCCCAACTACGTGTAGCCAAGCACCTGTATTCTTGGAGCTCTCTTTGTTCCCTTTGCTCCCTTTGCTCACGCCTCGCCTCCTACAGGTCACAGACTCCCGCGAACAGCACAATCCTCAAAATCGCCCTGCCCAAATGCTCATGCGACAGAATTCCCGCTTCATAACCGTCGACAGTGTCCTCCAGTATGCCTCCGACATCCCCTCCATGCAACAACGACAACCAAATATTCGACCCCGCGCCCTCCGCACGGGCTCTGGCAGGCCCGCAGATCCCAAACTCGCAGGTCGGCTAGTGCCTCAACTGATGCCTGCACGAAGTACTAAAGTTAGCGAGAAATTGGTGCTCCTACCGGAGACTGCGACAGAGGAAGCAGAGATAGAGGAGAAGGCAGATTACGATGAGGATAATGTGGCGCTACCTACGAAGGATGACGAAGAGGCTTTAAGGAGAACGGGAGGCAAGAAGGGAAAGAGCTACGCCGAAAGATTACCGAAGGCGAGGAGAGCAGAGAAATTGGCAAGGGTCACGGCGTACTGTACCGCACAGGCCTACAAGTTGAAAGGAACCGCAAGCTTTCTGAAGGAGAAACACTCAGCAAGGACGAAGCTCTACGATGACTGCCTTTACGTTGTGTATCACCTTCCATTACTGCCAGGCAGCGGAGGCTACAGGATCAGAAGCAGTCCGGTGCTGAAGAGTCCCGGTGGGAAAGCAGTCCTAGATGAGGAGATTGAGAGGAGCGAGTTACGGGATTACGGGGAAGGCTACTTTGAGGAAGATGGAGGTGAAAGCTTCGGGGTACGAGGTACTGAGGGCGAAGAGAGTCCCAAAACATTGGAAGATGACCACCTCACGAATGGGTACAGACCCAATGGGCCCGGAGAACACGAAGCTCCAGCACGCTCAACGAGTCCATCTAGGGTAGCAACCAACGCGCTGAAATTTGCCGAGATGTTCGTCTTTTCTTACGGAGTGGTAGTGTTCTGGAACTTCACCGAACGGCAGGAGAAAGACATCTTGGCGGATCTCACGTTCTCAGAGTCCGAAACGGGACATTCCTTGGTCAATGGCGCCCAAAGAGAAGAGGACTTCGAGACAGAGGAATTCCACTTCGAGTACTCGCCAGAAACGCCCAGGCCGAGGGTCTTCAATGACATGATAACCTTAAGGAGCGGAGACCATATGATCAAGCTTGCAATGTCTCATGCTATCGCTCAAAGTACAAAGCTAAGTTTCTTCGAGCAGAGGATGGCAAATCAGATGATCGAAGCTCAGCATGTACCAAAGCGATTAGCTTTGACTGGAAAGCTGGGTATGAAAAGGGAGGAAGTCGTTAAGATATTAGGCGCGCTGTTCAAGAGTCGTGTGGATGTCAACTTGTCCTCGAATATGCTTGACGTCCCCAACTTCTTCTGGGACAGTGAACCAACCCTTCACCCTCTCTACTATGCCGTCCGCGAGTATCTCGAGATCAAGCCTCGGATTCAGGTCCTTAACGAACGCTGCAGGGTCTTTCTAGACCTTGCTGAGATCCTGTCAGATTCCATTGCGGACAACAAGATGTCCCGTAAGTCTCTCCCGAACTGTAATAACTAGCATGGTAAAAACTAAGACATGAGCTAACAAATACTGTGACAGGCCTAACATGGATTATCATCGTCCTCATTGTCCTCTCGATCTTCGTAACATGCTCTGAGGTATTTCTGCGGTTCGGCATTCTCTCTACCCGTGGCGCGAAAGCAAAGGGGTTACCAATGTGCATCATGCCTGACCGCGATGGTCTTTGGTGAAGTCTTAGAATCGAACGAGATGTACACTTCCGATACATTGTATAATGACTGGCTTGCTCATCATGGCGAGCCATTTTGCCATTTGGCTTCTGCATCTGCGTGTTGCTAGCGCGGCGCTTTAGGAGTCTTCATAACAGGATACCGTTTGAGCTTCATGGTTCGGCATAACATAGACTTGGATGCCCCTTGTATATAAATCGCTTGCTTACAAAGGCAATGTGAAAGTCTCAGGTACCCAATCAGAGGCCGAGACTCAGGAACCATGTTGAATGTCCTCGAAGACCATGAAGAATGGCTCCTTCCTGCGCATTTTGTGGAATTAAAACTCTTCGAAGATAATACGTTAGGACTGCCAACTGGCAGAGTCTGATAGCCGATGAGCCGCTGTGTACCAGCATCTTTCAGATTTTGTGCACTCATAGTTGACAAGCCAAGAGAAGTTGACAATCGATGGGCAGAAACAGTCTGAACAGCTGCTCCATGGACGATACACTTGGGACTTCGTGCTCATGTGATCAACATTCAAGGAGTCTCTACCACTGTGGCTGCGACATTCTCTGATAGCTGCATGTAAGAGTCGAACTCCCCTTTTCACAGTCTGGTTACAGCCGTTGGCGTCTGCTCAGTCTCTACTCTACCTACTTTGATAAAGCTAGGATTAGTTGTAGACTGAGTCTTCGTTGACGTCGTGGCGACTTGTACCTATGAAGAAATTCTCGGTAAGTACAAGCAGATAGAACCCCACGTGGCTTTGAAATCTGATCAACTCGAAAAGTTGGGCGTCGAACACTGGGGCCTAGCAAGAAGTAGGTCAGCCAATTATGTACAACGGAATAGTGGGATAATGAAGTGATTTATTGTTTTCCATCCTACATATAAATGAGACCGTTGACGCTTACCGCACTCTGTATCGTGTCTTAACAGACATGAGATCCACTAGAGCTCATGCACTGCGGAGAGGCCCTCAAAGGCCTCATCAGGTTACAAGTACTAGACTAGTACCTTCCTTACCGTACCTATGGTATTTTAGCGGTGTGGGGAGCCAAGCTAAGGATTTTTAGCGCATCCAAGGTTCATCTGCATCAGTTCGCCTGGAAGAGGACCAGCATTCAGGCTAAAAATCTCTTTCTCTTTCAATTACGACTGCTTCTTTCGCTTTTGAATTCCATATCCGATGCCCACTCCTACGGCTGTGGTAGTTCTTTCGATTGTCAAAGTGTAAATTCCCACTCTTTCCACTGTAACTTCCCTCAACTCCTCAACCTAATGATGTTGTATACGCCGATACCAAGGCATCATAACTCGACATTCTTGCGACTTGGCATACAACCTTTCATCCTCCAACTGATTACAAGATGTACATAACTAAGGCTGCAGGTCACGAACCAGCCTGCCCGCACAGCCACAAAGAAACCCACCCTTGCCGTCCTGCACTTTCAAACAATAGTCTGAGATGATGTCTCACTTAACGGTCCTGCATTCATCACATACAGAGTCGATAGCAGACCTAAGAAGCGGAAGATCTGGCCATAGAGGCCCAAACGATCGAGGTACAGTTGCGCAAGCAAAACGTTGCTCTGACCATCATGCCCCGTACTCCGAGTCGTCAGCTTCGATTGTGTTTCTTCGTCGACGAAAAGTGTGACCTGTTTGCTCCTTGCGGGAAGTTTAACTTTTTGATAGTTGTCTTCCGATTCTGGAATTCATTGACGTCAATTTGCGAACCAATCAATGGTCGAAGGGAGCTACAGACCAACATTCTTCTTACTCCGTACTTGCACAGTCTTCTGGTCACAATCGTAGACCACCACTGGGCTGTTCGAACGTCCACGTTCTCTGAGGAGCTGATGCTTGAAAGGTTCTTGATCCTCGGACACAGTTGCAGCCTTGGCCGTACTCTCGTGGCTGATATCCATACAGTAAGAGGATTGAATTAAAAGATCGAGATGACAATCTGGGTAACAAAGGCAAAGCGAACCTGAATAATCTTAAGATGAGAACGAGGACTCAGTGCTCGATTAAAGAGTTATGTGGAAAGGCATCACTGAGGGAGAGTCACACGTTGAAGTCATAGTGGAACAGTCACTTGAGAACAGGCTAGCCTTGACGTTTGAGAATTGGGTTGTTCAAACTTGCTCCTGGTCATCATTGCATTGTCGGTTAGCCGTCCAATGGAAAACTCTCCGCCCCACACTTCCCGGACCCAAGGCAGAATCAGTAATTCCAGCTTTGTGGGGTGGTGGAGCGACACGCGATGTCACCATGTGCGACTCCTTCGTGATGCGATTCTTTAAGGATGACCAATGCCCTGACGTTGCTCCCCTCCTCAAATACGTTCCGTGTCAGCGAATGACGCCCGGTTTCGACAGGATCAACCGTATGGCAGCCATTTCATGAAGGCGTAGAAACACACAGGGATGTAGATCGCTCTGTGCGTCCTATAATCGGGCTTACCGTTTTGTGTGCAACCTGACCAGCGATGGCTTTCCATCTCAGCCTCGGCGCCGGCAGATCAGCTCAAACCCCAATCATCTACTGGCTGATAGGTGCTTTATCACTTTTCGGTTTCGAGTCAGACCTTAAGATACCAATTTACTTAACCGGACATGGCCGGAAGGCCGAATGGGAAAGAACAGAGCAGCTCTAGCCATTAAAGCCCAAGGGCGACCCTCGGCTTAGGAAATACAAACACACTGGCTGATAGGTCTGATGAGCACAGACACCACACCGCAAGAGATTTGGCCCCAGAACCTTCTTGTTCTCTTCATGCAACAGAGTCTGCTTAAGGCACATGCATGAACCCCCTGCAATCACCGCCATCATTGCGGCTCTGCATACTTACTGGGCAGAATGAAGGTACTTAAAGCCAAGCTACGCGTTTGGATTATAGTTGCCGCTTTCAAAGTCATTGACTTTCTCCCTGCTTCATACTGCAATGCAATCTCACCCAGGCCAAGCGTTCGAAACTGTCGCTCAGGCGCAAAGGAAAGAATCCGCCGAGGAATCTCTTCCCACCAAATCTCACCCTTTGCATGGAAACACTGCAGGTTCCGGCGATGCAGAGTGGCTGCTTTTTAATCTTCTTAGCCTAGGTTATTCAGACTTCGTTTCATGACTAGATCCAAACTGATTATTGTGATTGATAGATGGGGGTGGTATTCGCGGCTATTGGAGCCTTTTGGCTCTTGAAACGCTTATCGATTACATAGGCGATGAAGAGGAGAAGGAGGGAATTTATCACAGCTTTCATCCAGAGAATTGGCCTGAAAATGTTTATCAAGCTCCTCTGACAGAAGAGGAGGAACACCGGGTCAAGGAGGCCTATGATCCGGAACTAAAACTACGCAAGCTGCCTCGCACTCGAAGATATCTCCCTTGTCATTATTTCGATTACATCTGCGGCTCAAGTACCGGAGCGTAGGCTTTCTCTACTCCTCATCTATATATTTCGCTAAAACCTCCGCAGACTCATTGCAATCATGTTAGGACGATTTCGGATGACTGTTCCAGACTGCCTCTTCGAATACCGAAGGCTAGGGCACGAAGTCTTTGGGAAGCCTCGTATGATCTCTACGCTACGATTTGGGTTAGGCGTTAGGCAAAAGTACAAAGCTGCGAGATTGGAGAAAGTATTCAAAGATGTTACCATAAGGCGTAACGAACAGCCAGGGCCTAGTGAGACGGGGAAGATCACGTTTCCATCCGGCCGAGGCTTATGTGCTACGTAAGAATCCCTTCCGTTGTTTCCACCTGTGCACCTTACTACGTCGTATGGACACGCGAGGAGCGTCGTCGACGAATGTTTTCCCACGTCATGTTGTATTTCGCTGTCCGTACGTCTCTACCAAATGTACACTAAGAAGGTCAAGGATTCAAAGACACTGCATGATGGCAAGCTAATGTTTGAATAGATGTGTCACCACTATGAAAAGCGAAGCGGACGGGCGGTCATCAAGGCTGTATCTGATTCGCTCTTACGACCATGATAAACAAGATTCGCCAGATCATTCTAGAGGACCAACTCCTAGAACGACCATGCGCTCAGGCCGAACGAACACAGATATCTCTACTAATACCAACGCAATACAGAGAAGGCGAGAGCAAAAGAAAAGCCTAATTCATATCAATTACGAGAAGGCTCAACAACTCGAGGTCTGGCAAGTGGCTCGAGCTGCCACCGCGGCAAAGTTTTACTTCGAGCCATTGAAGATTGAAAATGCCCGAAGTGGGGGATTTACGGAGTTCACAGACGGAGGTTTTGGTCAAGCTAACAACCCTACACGGACAGGAAAGCAGGAAATCGAAGATCTCCACGGATACACTTCCATTGGTATCGTTGTCAGCGTAGGAACGGCGCGCAAGCTGAAGGAAGATGCGAAGAAGGCAACATTCTTCTCTACAATCCCAGATTCAGCTAGAGAGTTTGCTGATACGGCAACTGATCCTGAAATAATCCACAACGAAATGCAACGCGAGCATGCCAATCATAACGAATTTCCATACTATCGACTGAACCACCCAGGAGGTCTACAAACCGAACTTGACGAGTGGGAGCCGAAACGTAAGATGTACAACAAGAAGGACGATGGGGCAAAGACCATCGCCGACATGGAGAGTGCTTTCGCTAAATGGGCGGCAAAGCGTGATAGCATCCGGCAGCTCCAGGAGTGCGCCGATGCTCTTGTTGCCCGTAGAAGAGAACGCATGACTACCGGCAAATGGGAGCGATATGCCACAGGTTCGCACTTTGAGTGTCGAGTCAGAGGCTGCGACCCCGGGGACTTTTTCGATCGCCACCAATTCATGACTCATCTCAGCGATAATCACCTTTTCGAAGGCGATGAGTTGAAGGATGAAGTAAGTCAATGCAGAAAACACTGGCGGTATCAGGCTGCTCCTAAGCCCTGAATAATTGTCGCAAGTGTGTACAGTATGGTAGGCGTCTTCTCTCAAAGGATCTGCAAAGACCAGATCTTCTGGTGCTTTTGGTCAACGGTTTTGGGTTTGTTCTGCCTTGGCATCATGAATGTCCTCGAAGCGCTGTATAACAGGAAAGGCTACTGTTCGTGGGTTTACGGGGAGTTGGGCTTCTCACTGGCCAGCCTCAGTGTTGGTGAACGCCAGCATGAAATGACTGATAATGAATATACCTTAATTCTTCAGCCTCGCTGAAATAGAAATCTACGGTACGCGAATGGCGTTCCATTTAGTTGGTTCCTTTGTAAATCAATCTAAGAGCTGGTCTTGATTACGACGCCGCGAACAAGCTAACAAGGAGAAAGCAATGCATTCTCGAAAGATAAACCACAATCGTTCCCAAGTTGACAAGGTCGACAAGGTATAATTTTGCGGAGGTGCGTGTGACCTGCGCCTAATTTAGCACTTTCCATGATAGTCAAATCGCCTACCTGTTTGGGGAGCAGAGAGACGGTGAGATTTCCTCGCATTACCGACTTTCCATGGCCTGGTACTAGTACACCAAAGATGCATTACCGGGGCAGTTGCATCTTTGCAAGAGGGGAAGTTATTACCACGTCCAATCAGAATCTCCGCATCCGTTACCACGCAGACGAGGCTGAAAAGGTTCCAAACAAGGCTAGCGGGTGTGCACCAGGATCGACGTCCTCACTCCTCAGCCTCGTCTCTCCAGCGTGTCACCAATGAACATGTCCAGCTTCCCAATCGACGTCCACGCCGATAGCTCAGTGCCAGCCACATTGCCTTGCTCCTCTGTACCATCTGTCCGGGGCGTCAATGGAACCCAATACTGACCAAAGTTGTCAGACGATGCGCCCAGCAGGCAAAGTTGCCTGCGCAGCCTTGCCACCCTCATGACCGAAACAAGTCACCGACTGAAGGAGTCAACTGTCCAGACTGGGAATGAGGTCAGTCATGAATTCGACTCCTTGTTAAACTTATTGAGGTATCTTGCCACACGTGTAGAACACTGATGATCGAGACGGAGATGTTGCTGACGTCTCTGAAGCGTGGCGTTAAGATGACAGAGAGGCGTTGGCCAAAGACGTGGGCGAATAGGATACGGCAAGGTTTCAAGGTAATTCCTTCAATATCAAGGCATTGGTAGATCTTGGTACGCAAAAGGACCAGAACGGATCCCTTTTGGTCCCAGATCTCATTTCTCCTTCTACGACATTTCGTCGCTTTTGCTTTGTTACGCTATCCAACCTCGGCAATGTCTCGAAATCATTACCAGAGCATAAAAATAACAAGTCCGTCTTCCGCTGCAGCATCTCCCCCTTGCGGTCCTCAAATTCCTCGTCAATCTCGGAACTTTACCTTATTATCGCATGTTCCAATTCAATACGTACCAACCTATCATCCTCATTGCTGCTTACACCTCATCACCTGGGAAATTGCATAAAGTACTCTATCATCTGGATCGCTGGCGGACCCGCAAGCTCTCTGAATTGCAGTTCATCTCCATTGGTGTAAGTCACCTTTATCCATCTGAGCGTTCGCCGTCTCGAAATCTGAAAAGAGAAAGTTCTTCCGTTGACACGTTATCATTGCTTCAGAGTGCCATTCTAGCTGCCGCCACCATCGGCTCCTTCTCCTGGAGCGCTATTGTCGACGCATATTGGCTAGCCTCCGCATTTTGGTATTCGAGTCTGATCCTCTCAATCCTGGGCATATTGCTTGCGGCGCAACAGGTTGCAGTGCTACAGCTTCTGGGGAAACCGCCAACACGAGTACATGGGGGATGTTCGGAGAAAGCGGGTGTGCGTCGCTTTCTGCCCCTGATACTTACCGAGGTGCGACCGCGTGGGTCGCGCACAGACGCTGTATGTGACAGCGATTCGGTCGGAGAATGGAGACCAAGATGGAAAATGGTCTTCATATGGCAGTGCCCAACCATGTTCTTGTCCTACTCCGTCTGCTTCTTCCTGGCTGGGTTGACGCTCTTTGTTTGTACGCCGCTTATAAGGGGAGATAAGTGGAACACAGCTTCTGATGTGAGCTTTTCACGCATTGTTGGTGCTATTTCGCTGACAATCATGCAGATCGCGGTGGTTTACTTGGCGACTGGAGCCTTCGCTGGTCCGATTTTCGTGTTTGCGTCGTTTTGGATTTATCATTATGTGGATCTCGACCACGAGTCTCGAGATATCCCCGAGACGGAGACTGACGCTGAGATGCTGAGGGAATATGACCGTTTGCACTTCTGAGGTAATGTTGCATGGGGTTTTATGTTTATATAGACGGGTAAATTCTGAACCGCCTACGACCTATAACTTTGTGACATATAGTTGATCTTCATTCTGCTTTGTATCCTCTGCGTATTGCTTTAACGCAGTGAAATCAACGTCTCTAGCTTCAGCCACAGCAAGAGCTCCACCTTTAGGGCGAAGCCATTGGCTGCAGAGAAGGTAAACTACCTGGCTCTCATTTTTTCGATGGACCGTTCCAGCTTTGCGTAAAAAGTATGCCCGCATCTCGGTTTGTGCAATGTACAATAGTCAGATATCTCAAATCATCCGAGCCGACGTTCATCACGTAAACAACATCCCACAGCGAAAGAGATACCCTCCAGACCGCTCACGCCGTTCTCGCCTCTCGCAGCATCCCGAGCCATCAAAAATACGGCGTGTCCGGCTTGTCCTTGGCCGCGGCCACCGAAGTAAGACTCCCTTTAAGAGACTACTTTGGTGAATAGTTTAGAGCAGGCAAACTTGTGAATGCAAGAGACAACGGTACGGAAAGCAGCTATCAGATGCGAACGGTTTACTACCGGAAGCATTTAAACTGCTCTGTAATCTCATTGGAAAAGCTTTCTCGAATCTACCTACGCTCATGCTGTTTGATTGTCCGAGCTATCTTTCCTTGCCAAAACCACAAAATCATGCACACTGTTTCCCCTCCCTAATCCTTTTCGTACCCTCGGAACCATTCTTCTGATATCCAACTCACTCTCCCACCTCCTGTCTCCGACCAACTGCGATGGTAGAATTCCTTAGCGGAGTAGTCGTATCACCAACGACCCTAAACTCTCAAGTGTGACGAGGCCAGTGCAAAGCTCTCGCCAACGAAGGCAATCGATCCCCCACCCCGTGAATCATGATCGTGGTTGACAAGTGTAGAGGTCATGTTGAAACATTGGGCTCGGGGTGGACGAGCAAGAGATGGCAGGCAAAGCCAGTCATCGGTCTCTGGCTCGTCTGGTGAGCGGCCGGGTCGAAGCAGTAACCGGTTGAGCCTAGGGAGTAGATCCTGCACACTGTGCCCCTACTTTGGCGCCGTAGCTGAGGTATTCCATCATCAGAATACTTAGGGTGTCGCATCACCTCTGCTCACCCTAGAATCCGTACATAAATTAATCTCGGATGACCCTTAACTGAGCTGGGCATACTAAGTAAAGTAATCGTCTCGAGTCTCAACGCCAAGCCGCGCCAAAGAACCGCCGGCGAATCCTCGGCAGCACCCGAATTTTTTTTTCGCCCACAAAAACCCTCCCTGACTCAACCTTTTCTCCCTCCTTCAAGCACCCTCACCACCACCGCTGCGTTTCTTTGCTCCCACAAAGATAACCCGTCCAGGGCTTATCCCCCCGCGCATCCCCCCTCTTCCTCACACGAAGTGGAGGGGCGGCCGGGGTTTATGCAAATGAGAAATTCGGAGTAATCTTCACCCCACCACCACCACACACACACTATACCTTTGACCGGGTAAAGACGGTGTTTGTATGTACCGCCCGTGAGGGCCCGCCGCGAAAGCGGTCGCAATCTGGCATCAGAAACGCAGGAAGCCCGTATCTTCTCTCTCTCTCTCTCTCTCTCCTTCTCTTCGTCTCTCTTCTTTGACCTCTCGGGGTTTTTGGGGGGCGGCGGAGTTGGGGGGTGGGGGGGAAGGGGGGGGAGGAAAGCGGGATTTCCTATGGGAGAGCCGTTGCGAAGATTGTGTGCCCTTTTTCCCTTTTTTGGGGGGATTGGGGTGACACTTTAGTGCAATACGCAGCGTGTCATGTCGGGTTTTTCCCCTTTCGAGAGGAGGAGCCGGTGGCATAATTCGATTCCGATTACTCTGGTGGGGAGGGTGCTTCACTCCTATTTCTTTGCAGGTACGTGGGGCTTTCTTAACTGTCCCCGGGGTTGGATCGGAAGGGGTTGGGGATTTGGGATACTACTAATTTTGTTTCGGTGTAAGGGTTGATGAAGGTCACGGGATGGGAAGCTGGTAGAGCAGTCCTGTGAAGGAGACAACAGGGTCTGCTTTTCCGGTTGGCCGGGCGTGCATCGGGGCTTGAGATGACTAGAGGGAGCTGGGGATAGGTGGTGCTTATCAGGGAGAGCACTGGGAGTGTATAGTCAGGGCATCGGGGAAGTCGTCAACCTGTAGATACCATGTCAAGCTACAGCAAATCCTTCTCAAATCACAGTTCCTACATTCGATCATGGCAGATTCTTCCCAGTGTTCATGTGAAGTGTTGTGATTCGGGCGCTCCACTCTTGGGCACTTTCTGTCATGGTGGAATAGGCACGATGTTGAATCACTGGCTTCATTATGGAGGGATCGGAGGCTTTCTTTTACACAAAGGTCTTCTCCAAGCCATTCGCATTAGGGACAGCGTGAAGTTAGAAAAGTTGTATTATCATTATTTTTCACAACTGAAATCGGCCGAGATCCCGAAACATTTGGACAGAAATCTAGCTACATTAGCGAGTATGGACGTATCCAAGACGCCTAGATTGACGTGCAACTTTTTCAGAAAGAGACTGTCGTGCTTCCATCAGCATTACCACGGATAGTCGTGCCTCCAACACGGCTCTTGTTAAGCCTTGATGGCGCGAAGAAACTGGTGACGGTCTCGAGGAAGCAACGAAGCCGAAGAGCCGCGCTGACATGCTACCCAAACGGCGCGGTAGGATTGTCCTATCGTGAACTGTATCTGAAGCGAACACATGAAGCTTGCCCCTGTATATCCCAGACGCCCTGCTCATCCGCCCAAGGGCGCCGTTTCATTAATTTTGCTCATATAGTGACCCCAGCAAAGGGCCCGCACAACCCAAACTAAAGTCGGTGTCCAGGGACGAAAATGAAAAGTACGATCAGGCACACGCCAATCAGCACGGTGAAGAACAAGACCATCATTGCGCGTTTGTTCATGAGCTTTCGGATGTAAGGTTCTCTTATCCGTGACCAATTCATGAAGGTGTATTCGCTGAGACCAGCCAGGGCGAGAACAGGGTCGATCGAGTATTGTTGGGATGAAAGGGCGTAAACGCCAATGGTGAAGGGAAGAATGAGCTACAAGCAGTAATTAGCTTCAGTAAGTGGTGACGGATTGAGAGTTCAACTGACCCAGCAACGGATATGTTTTGGCTTATCCAGTAAAATGCATGCAAAACCAGCCCAGAACGCACCAAACAATCCCAGCAGACCCAGGCATAATCGGAGGAAAGAGCTTGGTGGCACTAAATTGCCAAGCGCCTTTGCCCGGAGAAAGCCTGGAAAGGCGTCGCGTTCCATGGCCTGGAAAGTGTAGTCTTTCGCCGCGTCGAAGACCTCGGGATCGTCGCGACCTTCTTCCTCAATAGATGTAGTGATATCGGTCAGGATACCCTGCGGTAGGATGATCTCTCGCTCCGAGCCCGGTAACAGGAAGGTGTAGAGGATTTTCTCTGCACTGGCCCTTATGTCTGCCCTTGCAACGGTATGTGCTGGGGAGTTTGAGTCCGTCCGACCAGGAGAGCCGTTGGTCATGAAGCTAGGTCTAGGCGGACGCTCCCTGTCTGTCCCATTCGAAGGTCGATCCCCTGATCCTTGAAAGTTGGACTGAGACCCCAGACTGCTCTGTGGTGAATGGTTGTTTCCGTTGCCATTGCCGTTGCCATTGCCAGCTCCGTTCCCGTTGTCCGAGCGTAAGTAGGCGGAGAGATGCTGGTCCTTGATCTTCTCATCGGAGTTGAGATTCGTCGATGGACCCGACGGATCGTTCATGTCTCCAATGTGGTCTAGTATGTAAGATGAGCGTTTTGAACCATGCTTCTCCAACTCTGGTGTTTCGATGAGGACCGAGCGACGCAATTCGCGAACATAGTGTCGGCAAAGGGACATGTGCTGGGAGACGTCGAGCCTGTTGCCGTGAGGTCAGCATTTCGTCCTTCATCGGCCACGTGCTCTCCGGCTGTAGAAGCAAGCATACCAGAAATCAAGATAGTCAACAGATCTTTGCTGATCTCGCATGTAGATGTAGAAGGAAAAGAGGTCGACGGGAGCTAAAGTCTGCCGGCTGAGGACCTCGAAGAGGGTAGGCAGGCGGTTTCGATTGAGATCTGGATGTGGCGATGGCGTGTCCATCATAGGATCAGACATCATGAAGCCGGCAGGACTGGAAGAATACTGAGCGGATAAATACGATAGTATTGATGGATGTAGATTTGATGTGGCTGTAAATGAAGCTGTCCTCTGCGCAATCAACGGCGGCTCATCCCTTTCACGCAGCACTGATTTCGGTGACCGTTTGTCGCGATCAATTGAAGCCCAGAAGAAAAGGACAGGCAGTAACAATTCGGGAGAAGCTCTGCTCCTTCAATACCTGATGCGGTTGGCTATGAATGCGACAAATGTCACCCGTTCAATACATGTCGACTATGGAGGAGGTAAGGTAAGGTAACTGAGGTCGTTTGCTGCTAGCTTCGAACCTATATAAGTCTTGGCACCATTGGTCCCATTACCAGTCTTCCATCGTTCATCACGTATTTCAAAATCTACGGGTGAATCTGTTCGCGGAATCAATTCTCTCCACGTATCTACCAATTGCACACTGGCAATTACAAAGTTATATAGCTCCACCTCCGGATCACTTTTTTCAATCAGTCCTCCACCCCAAACGCCTCGCTTCTCTCTGCTTTCTTGCTCGGCAGCGGTACCAATGCATATCGCCTAGAACGCCGAAACTTTCCAACCAAGATGACAACTCTTGGTACTATAACGTGACACATTAATCTCAAGAATTAAATGGCGGTAAAGGTACAACACGTCCATCTAGGGCGTGCCCTGATGATCGGTCTCGGTGGGTCAGAGGATTTTGTACATGGTTATATCGGTTCGGGAAGAGCAAAGGCTAAAAGCATGAAGGGCTGGGTAGTATTCTTTGAACCAAACGACCTTCACACTACCAAGCGACGAGGAGGCGTGGGAAGCAGCGGATTTTAAAGATCGTTATGAAGAGGACAGTATCGCTGACTGATGTGAACGGTCGGCCTGGTGGCGAAAATTCCGCGTAGCGGTGTTCGCGGCAACTAATACATCCCAATGGATTTCTCCGTCTTCATGACATTGGCGATACTGGTTCTTCTTTTGCTGGTCGGCCGTCCTTCTCAGCTTCTTCTGCAGCTTCTGGAATCGTGGCGCAGTACCGTTTGAGGACTTGTTTGAGAGCTGGTCGTCGGATTGGCTTGGGCAGGAAGAAGTCCATGCCTGAGTCCATGCATTCTTTCACATTGCTTTCCTCGGCAAAGGCAGTGAGGGCAACGATTGGTGCAGAGTAGCCCATCTCTCTTATGAGACGAGTGCTTTGTATACCGTCAAGATTAGGCATCTGAAAAGCAATGTAAGCTCATGATCGGCGGATTCGGCAATGTAAAGCACTACCTGGACATCCATAAAGATCAAGTTGAAGTATCTTCGCTGCTCCATGCTCTCTTTTACAAGCTCGAAAGCCTCTTGGCCATCCTTTGCAACAGTGACGTCTGGAAGAGTATCAGCATTTGACAGCCTACCGTCAGGGAAATGATTTGGAACTTACCGTAAATATCTTCAAGCTTCAACATGCGGAGCACCACCTCTTGGTTGACCTTGTTATCCTCCGCAACCAGCACGCGAACTCTGTCACCACTCTGAGCTGCCTGCGCAGCAACTCGCTCCATTGCCGCCAGCTGTTTATCAGGAGATTCTAGTGGCGATGTTGCAGCGAAAAATGGTTGGCTCAGCCCAACAAGCCGGGGCTTTGCAGGTGTATCAAAGCCATTAAGCCCAGGCGGCACGGTGGTCTCAGACTTGACAGACACGTCAGAAGATGATCTTTTCAGTTGTGACGAGTGGTCGTCATCCATGTTTGGGCCTATGTTAGTGCTGTTGCGTCGAGAACCCAAGTAAGAGCTGGTAGTGCTATCGGCCCTCTCCTTTGTGAAGACCAACGGTATTCGCATGGTGAATTTGCTCCCTACCCCAACCTGACTTTCGAGTTCCAAGGATCCCTTCATCAGACTAGCCAATTGCGAGCAGATGCTCAATCCGAGCCCGGTGCCTCCGTACTTCTTATTAAGCCCAATGTCTCCTTGTACGAAAGGTTCGAAGACGCGCCGTTGTTGATTCTCTGGAATCCCTGGCCCGGTGTCCTCTATCTCAAACTCAAATAAGAGAATTCTAGCATTGATTGGCGGAGGCGTTGAGGACCGTTCTGAAATCGCAACAGTAGATATAGCTTTAGGCTCGTTCCCATTGATGTGAAGCGCAGTATCGGAGTACTTTGCTCTTTCGCGACCTCGCTGACTGGGTGTGATAGAAGAGCCAGAATCATGTCGCATCCCTGGAAATCGGCCCCTGGATCCTCCTGGGGACTGCCTCTTAGAGTGCCTGGACTGCTTGGACTGCTTGGACTGCAATGACCCTTTACGAGTACTCTCGGGTCTTTCTGGTGCGTCCCCCACACATCTAATCTTTACATTTACTGATCCATTTGGAGGTGTAAACTTCAGGCTGTTGCTCACAAGGTTGATGATGACTTGGAGGATTCTGTGCTGATCACCCCAGAGGAACATATCTCTCACACGTCCTGTGCCGTACGGTCCAAAACCGCTCTGCAAAGGAGCTCCGCCGGCTGTTTCCAGGCCATCTTGAGGACCTTCATAGCTCACCCCCAGCTTTATGGACCCATCCTTCGCCTGTTTCTCGAATATCGAGACCACCTGTGAACATACGTCCGACAAGCGGAACTCGCGTTCGTCCAAGGTGAGATGCTGACCTATCTGGTTCTTGGTGAATGTCAAGAGATCCGTCAATAGGTGTAATAGCAGATCGCCCGACTTGTATATGATACCCAGGGATCTTTTTATCTTTGTATGGTCCTCCTCTTGCATACAGACAGCACACATCCCAAGAATCCCATTCAAAGGCGTTTTAAGCTCGTGAGAGATATTGGCGATGAAAGCGGTTTTGCTTTCATTGGCAGCTTCGGCGGCCTTCTTGCTAATCTCAAGCTCCTGTGTCCGTTCCTTAACTCTTTCTTCAAGTCGCTCATACTGCATCATCAGCTCCTCTGACATTTCATTGAATGTGCGGGTAAGGTCAGTGAGCTCGTCTTGAACGATGTGCTTTCGATCTTGAACCTTGCCAGGTATACGAAAGGTTTGCCGTCGTTGCCCTTCTCTGCGTTCCGCGTCATTCCGCTGACGCCCACCCCGCCATCGCGATATCCGACCCATGAAACCTTCTTTTCTAGCTGCTGTCGTCATTGACTCCTCTTCGCCTGATCCCAGGTCTTCGTTGTCTCCTGAGATGGAAGAGCGGATGCTGCCGTCATCAGATTCGTACCTGTAAGGTTCTACGGTCTTTTTCGTTGCTTCTCGTAACCGTCTGATGGGTCTCACCGATATGTGGGCCAAGGGCAACAGGAGTAGAAGTATGGCACCGACGGTTCCGAAAACGCAAGCCACTAGAACGTTTCGGAGACGATGGACTGGTGCAATCACTTCGCCGTAGGCTTGTTCAACGATGAGCGCCCAATCAACCATAGGAGACATTGGCAAAGCGTAGCCGACTGAAACATGGTCATTTTCCTCATTCATCGTGGAAATAAGACTGCCTGCGTTGTTGCGGGATCCGGTGTTAGATGTGTAGGCATCCAATACGCCGGGATAGCTTCGCATCTGGAACGGCAAGTTGGGCATGCCATAAGCGCGTATTGAGTGACGAGTGCTTCGCGACGAGTTCTGCATTGGCGGCAATACGAACTGCACGTCTTGTGTCTTTGCTGTTGTTCTATTTGCTCTGGTACTGCCGAGAGCTTGCACATTGGTTGGCAGCTTCTGAGTTGACGTGCTCGGTGCCACAATCAGGATCTGGCCTGTGTCTCCTAAGCCTTCAACTGACTGCTCGATGTTGAATATGGATTGCGCATTGACGATGATGCTGATCCAGCCCAGGACATCCGCGCTTGATGTGTCGTTGACCACTGGTACAGTAAGCGAAAGCAGAGCGAAGCTCCCATTGAGAAGCCAAGGCCCTAAGAATATGGTCGAATTGTCGTACAGCTGCTGTCCATTCCAGAAGGCATCCGATTGATTGAAGGTACTGTTAACGACGGTAGACGTGTACGTTAAATTCGGATATAGCTCGACAGGGTACCCAGTGCCATTATCGCCGAGATGTACGGAAGTCCCAAGGAACGGTAGCGGGATTGCGTTTGCGATGGTGGGCGAACTGACGTTCAGCAGACCATAAGGCCCACCAACACCGGTACCGTTCTGAGAGAACACCTGCGCTTCAAGTAGCATGTCAGATGATCCCCCACCCGACAGTGCACTTTGCATATCTGATGCGGCGCGGACCCAATTCGCGTCGGTGTTGTTCCCTGAGTTATAGCGTTGCAAAGCAGACTGGAGAGCAATGCGCGTGGATATGGCTTGGACGCTTGACTGGAGAAGCAAGAGGTTTGAGTCGAGTTGGTTGGCATAGAGGGAGGCTGTAAGGGAAAGACTCGAGGTCCTGACAGAAAGGGTCAATTTGAGTGAAAGGAGCAAGAAGTGTGGGGTCATTCATACCGAATACCAATTACAAAGTCGTAATTGTTGACCCACTGGAGCAAGTCTGGTCAGTGCGCAGACTTCAGGAGTAGCGCGGAGAGAATGGACATACTGTTGCAACAGCCACCACGGCGAGGGCAATTAGTGTCGTGAGTAGCACAAGGAGACCCAACTGCTCCCGGATTCCGATCCGCATCTTGACCGCAGGTTTGGTGATGGATCTTTTGCCTTTGCTGAACAGGCACAATCAATGTCCTGATTTTACCGTCCCCGCATCCCTTCTCGTACTGTATCCTTTCTCCCACAGCGGCGACTTGGCTCGGATGCAAGTTTGGGGACCTTAGAGGACACCATAAAGCGTTGTACTATCCTGTCGAGGTCTTCTGTCATGCCATAGCGCGGGACGAACTCTGCGTGCCACGCATCCGTACCCTTTTGTTGCTCCGTCGAAGTCCGCTCGGCAAGAACGCTCTTTGATTGTTCATCCACCCTGGATCGATGCAATAGATTGAATGATGCGCAAGAGAGTGAGGTGCAAAAGGCCAGAAGAGCGGTAATGGACCTTGAATTTACGCTCGACTTAACGTTGAATAGCTTATAATTTAGTTGATGGGCAATGTTGCCAAGTAGTTTGCCAAGGAAGTCAGCACGCCGGGCCTCTTTCCGTGGCACAATCCCAATGTAACACTTACTTTAGGTACTTTCGGCTACACGCTACAGGTAGACTCATCTAGAACGCCGCGACACGATCCGAACCGAGGCAAGCCCTAAGCTGCATCAGGTAGCACAAACCTCGTCCCTTGTCCATCACCCTCTTTTGAGCTATAGAAACTTTCGTTGCGGCCCTCCCCAAACCACATACGAAGCCTCGCATTGTCTTGGCAACACCAGAGACTGATTCACCAGATTACATCAAGGGATTTCGCTCTCGCCATGGGCAACGAAGACTTCTCCGAATATGCATCCCTGTACATGGTTCTGTATAGCTATCGCCAACTACCCTAAACCCCATCACCACGGCAGAGATCCCAATTCCTCCTCCTTACTATCAGCCAGAGTCATTGCAGCCGGTGTAGTTGGTGAAAACCTTCTCCGATTCTGGGCCTCCCTCCTGATCTTCCCCGTTGGCACCTGACTCGACGAGATTCCCTTCCAGTCCCAATTCACACACTCTTCAAAGATGCTTGTTTTAGCCTCGGCATGTATCTGGAATATCTCCTCCACGAGACCAGCATCAAAGTTGTTCAAGTGGCCCATGAGCCCTGCAGGTCTTCTGTACTTGCCGTTCAGAGAGGTGGCAATGCTGTCCCAGGATAACGCATGATGTACTTTGGCAATAATGATGTACTGGAGCACTCCAGGCTCGGTGCGCTTGAAATGCTCCTCAACCGCTGCTGCTCGGAAGTTTCGAGCTTCGTGTAGCTCTGCCTCAAAGTTGTTGAGGATTTGATCCCGTCGGACTTTGTTGTTGTAAAGCTTTTCGTGACAGTAACTGGAAAGAGTCACATCATCGTAGCTCAGGATATCCGCCTCGGATTTGAGGTTATTACCCACTCCTTTAACACTGTTATTGACGGCGTCTATATCGCAGGCTTTGAGGTCGCCGAAGTCCTCGGGCCAACGGTATTGGAGCACAAGAGCGATGTCTTCATCGGAGAAGTCAGGTCTGATATCACCAGATGTAGTGACGACCTTCTCGGAAAACCCTGCCTTTATCTGGCTTGCAGGAGGGTATGCACGCAGTGTGAATCTTTTCGGGACGATGATCCGAAATAGCTGGTCGTCTGAGTACATACGACCAAGAACTCTGTGCTGCCCTTGGTTGACTAGGAGCATGATGCAGCCGTCGCGGTGCGATCGCAAGATTCCAGGAATCCTACAACAAGGAATTGTACTCCCAGCTCTCTGAGAGGATCCGACAACGAGCAGAGGTAACCCTTGAGGTACAGCCTGGTGTAAAGCTTCGATACTGCAATGGATGTGAATGTCAACGTGAGGGCCTTAGTTGCTTGAAAGCCGTCCAAACAATCATGGTCGAGATCAAGGGTTGAAGTGCTTTGACGACCGCACTCGGAGAGTACAAAATTGGGCCTAAGGTTGCTTACTACTGCCGTCATCATGCATTGTTACGGAGCTCTGGTCCGCTCCACCCAAAGTTTTTGTTAAATGAGCCATTTAATGACTTGAAAATTGTCTCTTCCAATTCAGCAAACTGGAACAGGAGGCCTTCAAAAGTATGCTCTGAGTGTTGCATGGTACCGGGCCAGCGTGTAATTACAAAGCGCTCTCCACGCAGAGATCAAGCCTTCGTATCCTCCATTAGGAGTCTCCAGTTCCCATTGCTCGCGAATTTACTCCGTATCGCATCAAGTCTTACCTTTGAAATTCGCGGGACGAAATATAGACCAATTCCTCTACGTATGAAAAGGGACGCTCTACTTGATCATTGATGTCCTTTCGACTCCGCACCCACCAAGATCAGGGTGACAACCCATCGAATCAAGCCTGGATACCCTGTCATCGACACGAAACCAGTTGTGCGGCACGAAGTTTTTGACCGTTATGCCTTTTGACCGCAAATTGAAGGCTTGGACTAACGTCTGTATCCGCTAATGCTTTCTATTGCCCGGCACTTTAAGAGAGTCCACCGAAACAGCCTCAATATCGAGCATGGTCAAGGCATTACATGTGAGTAGGTCAAAAGTAGCTTCATTGTTTTCTGATTTTCTTTGCTCTTGCATGTCTACCACTCGTCCCATGCTTGACCTTGACTACTCTTGCATGTCTGCTACTCTTTTCGTGTTTGAATTCCGCCTAATAACAGCCCTTACAATAAGATCCCATCATGATTTGGCCTCCTCACTCTTTAGCTTGCCCGATGGCGCAAAATTTAGGTAACTCGATATCCTTCTCTTCTTCCTGAACCTTTGAGTCTGTCATCATCTCCTTAGCCCAAGTCTTCAGGTCTGCCACCTCTTTGACCTTTATCTTCGGCCTGCAAGCTCCAAGCTTGTCAGACGTGGTCCGGCGTGAAGCCCACGAGAAAAGGTTCGTTGCGGTCTTTTGACACCTCACATATTGGTTCTGGCTGGAGGCAATGCGGATAGCGCCATGCAAGATATGCGATCTCGCGGGACACTTTGAGGAGAAGACCGTAAACCGAGGGGTTTTCATCGGAAGCGAGAAGCTTGTCGAAGTCAATCTCTAGGCTGTATTCAGACATTTAGCACATCTTTCAAGTATAGTTGTGGAAGGCCCGTGGGTTAAATCAACCCGACTTCCAAGGTCTCCGAGTCGTTTTCCATCTTCTTTAAGTGATCCGTGGAGGTTCTGGTGTGCTTGAGTTGTTCTGGTATGTTGTTTAAGTCAATCGCAATATTTCTGGTAATATTCGTGCGAGTTGCCGTCACATAAGGCTACCAAAGAGATGATTCATTCATTGATCATTTACTCTTAGACAACTCGCGAACAGAGTCTACCCGGGTCAATGAGCTTAATATAGAACAGACAACCGGATGACCCCTCATGATCATTGTCCGAATTCGCAAACGCTAGTGGGCTCGAATCGACAGCATCTTCACTTGAACTCGGAGACAAAAACATGGAGGTTCTAACACGACTAGAGACAAAAATCCCGTGCATGATTGCTTTCTTGGTACTATCCACTCTCACCAGACTCTAATCTATTCACGCTGCCCTAGAAACTCCATGCCGCCGCTTGCATCTTGAGCATCTTCGGCGAATTGATTAGAGCGGGCTTCTTCTTCACTTGCAGCATGATCAAGGTATCCGGAAGAAAGCCAACGAAGTCTTTCCTCTTCGCTTGGCCAACTGTCCGGCCGGTATGCCTCGAACAGCCACACGCTCAAAAGGACGCGAAGAGCGTCCTCGGATGCCTGGCTGCGTTCCCACTCGAAGGCGTATTCGTGCTCCCCGTCACGTAAGTAGTCCCAGAGATCAGCGACGATGTGCTGGATCTGTAAGCGGTCTATATCAGGTATCACCTCCCTGTACTTGTACTTGTACAACAAGCAGATTTCCTTTGGATCCAAAGTCGTCTTGCGCACCGCGAACGCGATTAGCCAGTGAGTCCACCAGGGCGTGTTCTCGGGTTTAAAGGTTATGCCGTCGTTTGGGAAGATGCTCTCGTAGCGGGCGCAGGTTTCCATTAGACGATCGCTTTCGATCGTGGACGGACTAGCACGTTCTCGAGTCAGCATCCCCATTGGTAGATAAGAATCTGATATGTTTGGGACTAGAAAAGGTGGTAGAATGGATCAATTGTCCCTCCAACATGTCTCGCGACTTCAAAAGCAGTCTCGAACGAGAGGAAATAACCCAGAAAAGTGCCTTACTGTTGAGAGTGCCATGGACGATGGCATGCAGGGACATAAGTTGGAAGCCAACCGAGACCTAGTCGACCCATATCTTCTCCGGTAGCTGTAGATACCTGTGAGAAATGTGATCAATCGGGACGAGAGAGGCCGAGCAGGAGAGCTTACTGCCGCTCCTGGTGACACAATGAAGTCACAGTGAAGAAGAGCCGCCCTTCGGACTTGGGTGTTTAGTTCCTAGTGAGATGGATTGCCATCAAGCAAGTCGTGAGTATGGAAGACTACAGAATCTTCTGCAATCTCTCGGACGATAGAGCATGAGGGAGAAGAATTGAAGCAGGAATTATGTTAACTTGAGCAAGGCTACTGTACGGTGATATTGATGCTGGTGGTCAATGCTCGCTGGCGGCTTCGGACAGCAATAAGGCTGACCTATCACGTCTTCCCCAGCTATTCTCTTCCCTTCCGAGGAGCGTATAGCGAGGTTTCAGAACACTAGCCACTCTTGGCCTCTTCATATGACTCCGTGGTTATCGCAGCCCGAGTTAGGGTTCCGTCATCGATCTTCCTTCCTCCCTTCGCAGTCTTCGTTGATTCGCTTAATAACGTCGAATCACCATCCACACATGGCTTTATTGAGTAACGCCAGTTTCAAGGCTTATGACTCACTGGCTAATTAGATAGCAAGGTCCCATTTGGAAAGCATGGTTGAAACATTGGCGCCCTAGTTACGTAGCGTGGACTCAGACTGGATAACACTTGGACGCTCTTCACGTTCGCCTTCCTTTTGCCCAAGACGGTATGCCATAGTGAACTGTTTTACATGCTCAAACAGGCTGTCGCACAAAAACCTCATGCTCAGTGTTGTTGAGCGCTGCTCACATCTCATCAGTACCAGCCGTTCAATGACGAGGACTTAAGCCAACACTTGGACCCTTTTCGAAAGCTCTACTCTCGCAAAATCCAAAGGTCTTCATCAGGTCAACGTCACACAGAAATACCCTCAAATCTGAGGACACAGTTCCGCCGAAGCCATGAATCCCACCGCTCGATCTTTTCAGCCCTCAAACTTCCAGGATAGCTCGCCGCCTCCTCCATCACAGTTCAACCCTAGAGCAGCAGCCTTTGTACCAGCAATACCCATTCGTGAACCGACACTCGGCTGGCCTCCAGAACAGCCTCCCCTCGGCGAAAAAAAATGGAACCACCTCCACCCTTCGGAGATACCTGATTTCGTCTTCCTAAACGAGCACAGCACCTCCTGGCTCCACCTCGAAGATCCGTTCACACGGGGCAGTTTCCAACCTTCACTTTTGCCATGGTGGACGCACTGGTGCGTTGCCTTTGCCCATGAGAGAACCAACCTGGACGACGCTGCAATCGCCAAAATGTACAAACACCGGTACAGAAATGTAATCCCTGGTATCCAGTGCCTGGGGACAGCCGATGCACTCCAGCTCTACACATATCTCTGCGATGGTAGCCATGACTACGCCTCCAAGTACGTGCCCTTTCCTGATATGTAGAGTACCCATACCAGCGTCTCAAGACATGTTTTGAGACTTTTCTGATCTCCAGATCTAATTTATGAGTAAAGCTGTTTTCGTGGCAAATCAATGCTGACTGTTTGATGTGGGTAGGTGGGATCCTCAGAAAGAAGCCTTGCTCCGTGACAAGGTGCTGCACGACTTGCAACAGGCAGAGACCTATGCGCAGGAGGCACGAAGACAGAAGAACGTTCGGAGCCCAGAAGCAAGAACAGGCAGACTCTCTCCTTAATGATGGAAAGCTGGTCGATCGGATTGTTATATCTGGGTCATGTCCGACTGCGCATTTCCTTCCTTCTTTAGGCTGTTGTCACAGGAAATTGAACTCGATACTGATCCGCCTAGATAATGCGTCAAGCTATCTAATCTTTGATAATTCACTCTGTCCTCAAGGGCAAGGAAGGTCTCGCACAACCGACTACTTTGTTCCTAACCAACGCAACAAGCTATCTGAAGTAACCTGATAAGAACTGAACTCCAACCTTGATGTATCACGTGCAGATCCGTTGCAACGCTCAATGCTGTCCCACAGTCGGAAACAGCAAACGGATTAAAGCTCTTCCTCAATCACAGGAAGATGTTCCCCGAGATGATTGGCTGTTGTCCTCGAGATGTATTTGCTACTGGTCTGGAATGGTCCTATGAATTCAACGAGATACTATTTTCAGGAACGGCATCACAGCTTTGATACTTGTTCGCCAAGTCAGCAAATGCGCATGCTTTCTCATTACAACTCAGAATAAGCTCTCGTCCGACCAAACATTCAGTAGGTAGATCCAGAAGCATGCTCCGCAAGAGATTTGCGTCAATGCCGAGCAAGCTAGATCGTCGAACAATTTATCCCATGCCTGTCTCCTCCGCCTTGCTACCACATATCGTCTACTTTGGTCGAAGGGGATGAACCTTCTTGGCCTGATAATTGACTCTAACAGCCTTCTTCTGACGACTGTCCCTAGGTTTCTTCTCGTCACCTTCATCCACCTTCTTCTCGCTACCTCCCTTTGCTGTGTTCCGACGAGCTTTCTCATCCTTGGTTTGGCGTTTCACTCCAGCTCCCGTGGGCGATGCTGATCGTCTCGAGGAGGAGGAGGAGGCAGAGATTTCTGCGTTACTGGAAGGAGGGCTTTCTTTGTCGAGGACAGTCTGGTGCCCATACAACCCTTCGTGCTCGGACTGGAACTGAGACCCCTCAGGGAGTTGGCCTAGGATGAAGTCTTGCCCGTGCCCAGAAGCTGGAGTTTGAGATGAAGGATGGCTGATTGTGCTCAGGCCACCAGGCACTGGCCTTATGTCTGGCGCGCCATAGGCAGAGCCGACGTTTCTGTATCCGGCCGGGATTGAAGGTTCAGCCGGTGTAGGCTCAACAAGCGCTCTTTGACTATGTTAGGATGTCTTCCACCGTGTTTACAGGACATGGAAAAACTCACGGGGGTGTCAAATCCTTCGTCACATGATTCCGCCACAAAACGTCGACTTCGCCAAGCAATTCATCCTTTCTCAAGCTCGCGAATCTTTTCACTTCTTCCGTGAAAGTATCTTGATCGTCTTCAATAAAGGAACGGACAAACGGGGGTATCGCCCTGACGCGTTCGCCTTTTTTCATGCCAATCAAGGCACCGAGTAGAATACGCAATTCGGCGGGTTCGAAACCTGTTCCCTCAGGGTCATACCAACACGCGCCGGCATAGATCTTGAGGATTTCCTCTCTCGTAGCCTTTCTAGAATTAATATTTGGGAACGTCGAATCTCTGATATTGAGCTCCCTCTTTTGGCTACAACACAAAGCACATGACCGCTTAGTAGATTTCTCTTTACCAGAATAGGGTAAACTTACGCTTCTTTTTCGGGCGAAGACAACGTTTGAATGTCGGCAAGTAGCTCGTCTATGTACTTATCCGCCACTGCAGCTACCTTTTTGGTGATCCAATGGTCCGAATCCTCGAAGGTGGTGACCACATAAGGAATATCCGTTCTGGTATTGCCAAAGAGGACTCGAAGTGTAGCTAGGAACACTCTCTTGTTCTCGGGATCCGCTAGTATAAGTCCGTCATCATCGGGATAGTTGGCACAGGTGTAAATGAAGGAGAGATTATAAGAAGAGATCATTTTGTCCCCATACTTTGGTCGTGAACTTGCATCGGGAAAGCGTATGTCCCACTTTGGGTCCAACCTTGGATCCATGTTTAGGAGGTGGACGATTATCAATGGGTAGGTGAGGGTTTGCTTTTCGGGAAAAGAGTTCTTGGTCTATGAATGGGCTGCAAAATCCTAGGATTTGAAAGGTACTAAGGTTTGTCATGAAGAGGAAGGCAATAGAGGAGGATGAAGACCCCAGCTTTATAGAAAATCAAAAATTGACTGCCTCAATCCACCGCTCACACTCTCTCCCTGAAACATATTGCCCGCTCAAGGTATGAAACAATGGATATGAAACTCGGCCGCGAAATCTGGCCTCACCTGAAGCTGATACACTGGAATGGCTGGGTGTGGCCTTCTGAATGACATGTTCTCCAGTTTTCAAAGCTGTCGAGCTCATTGCCTTGTCGTAGCGTGTTTCAGCACAGCAGGCAGAGACTCCCAACGAAGTAGACAGTATGAAGAGAGATAGTGTTACAGCCTTGACAATTTCAACTTACACGCATATACGGCCTACTCACGGTATCAAGTAAAATCTCAAACAGAACTCAGCCTCAGAGGCTGGCCGGTCCCGAGGATGAGACACTTAGAGGGCTGGCCGTGATCCTCTGGGGTATCCTGCCCATGCCTTCGAGACTGTCGAGCTTGCGACGTTGCGGCAGTAATCTTCAGCTTCTGAGGCGACGAAAGGGACCGGTGAATCGGTTGGTCAGAAGGACGAGGTTGCATCTTCGACAAGTTCTCCATGTAGGCGGATGCAGCCTCACACACGTGTAAGAGACTTGGCGTCTGGAGACCAGCCCGAAAATGGACTTCAATCTAATCCGATACACTGGATGGCTGACTGCACTCGCTTCAAAGCTGTATTATTGGAAACACTTGAGGCTTTCCTATCTCTGTCTTAGTCTCAGTCGTCCTTGCTGCAAGACATCCATCCCTGTCCCTACCATCAAGCAGTCTGCCACATTATCGTTTCCTTGCTCTCACCGAAGAAAACGACAACACTATAAGGTTTAACACTCACTAGCTGCAGAGCACGAAACAAAGACTTTCATCCACGTCAGCGATGTTCCACAGCGCCCGGCATGCTGTAAACCGTGTGGTGTGAGTGTCAGACCACACCACACCACCTAAGCGGTAGTGCACTGCCAGTTTGGTTGTGTGCTTATTCGGAACATCAGTTTGGGACCTGGCACGTAGCACATGACCCTTCACTTCTTCCATCCGCCACGGTCCGAGGCGTACTGGTACCCTTCCCCCGAAGGCTACCTCCGATCGCACAATTGAGCATCTTCAGATCACTAGGGTGGGTCTCATTGGCTATGGCCGTGCGCTTGGTACGGGCGCAGCCATATTTACGCCAGAGAGGTCGGTAGGTAGGAAGACAAGCGGACAGGATTCCAACGCAACATTCAATCGCGGAGAGCGTGGTTCCCCTGACGTCATCATCTATTAGCCATCAGCAACGGGAATATATGTTATACATGCCTTTAGCGGCACGTACAGCTTGCATCCCACATGCCAACTCTTAGGAAGAAAAGCCGGATGATGCTGATCACACAAACCCTGGAGAGGATTCAGTCCTGCGCACTTCGACCGGAATGAGACTTGGTAATGTGCTTACAATCCGCCTAGAGAGAAGACAGTGACAAGTTGCCACCTGCGCGGCTTTGACACCTGCAGGCCCCATACAAGGGGTATCGGTAGGCTAAGTATAGTGATATCGGTCACTATGTTAAGGACGCCCGTTGTTATCACCAGCGTGCCAAAATCAATGCATACTGGGGGACCATTGCTAGGAGGTTTCCACAAGTCACTTAGTGGTACGCATTGCAAGATGGTTCCTAGTGTTCCGGCCACGCTGTAGGCGATCACGAAGCCACCCATTGCCCGCAAAATGTGCCTGAACATTGGTTTAGGGATGCCAAAGATGCGGTCGTAGAGGAAAAGGATGGAGAGCTTGATGGTGCAAATGCTGATGCTGTATAGAACTTGTGTTGAGACAATAGTCTGGGCAGTATCAGTCACCGGTTCAATGTACCCCCGAGGCTAAGAGTAGGCAGCCGGGAACTCACTATAACCCATGCTTTGGGATCCGTGATCAAGATCTCATGTCTCCCCATGCCGTATTTCATTCCCAGATAGTAGACGATGATGAAGCATGTTGTCGTAATCTACGGGTAGCGTCAACATCTGGCCAAAGATGGTTGGCGAGATCTATTACCAAAGCCAACCCAATACACCAGTCATCAGCCTCCAACGTTATACGTGCAATACGCCGAGATTTGTATCGTAAGAAGACCGCAGTGTATGCAATAGCAAGAAAAATCACAGTTGGCGCAATGATCTCCGCCTTTTTGTTGTCACTGAGGTGTGCTTTCTGGTACTCGTATGCGTCTGCGGATTCTTGTGAGTCTGCCATGGCTCTGTTGGAGGATTTCTTCGAGATTGCAACCATCTATTTCATCAATAGATGCCTGTCAGGAGAAGCCCTCGAGAACCGAAATATTCCCGGCTCCGGCTTTTTAGGCAAAAATTATAATTAGTAACCAAGCCCGGATTCTGCAGGATCAGGTGCAGGGAGAGCAGCTGAAATCCGAGGTACCAGGCTATATATTCGGGCCAATGACCGTTGACCTACATGGCATCGTTACCGTTTCCTGTACCAAGATGATGATATTGACGCAGCAAGGACAGGCGTAGGTGCGCTTGGCCATGTCGAGGTCCGCGAGCCTCTCCCCTTCACGACGCCAATGGTGTTTGTCGCGTCCTGGTAGGAGATGATTGAGCCATTCGCTCGGGACTCCGACGCATGTCAGCCGTTAGCACAGATCCAAAGCGTGTCAGCCTGTGGCAAGTATCGCCGTGCATTGCATTGCTGATCGTCAAAGAAAAACCAAGTAATCCAAACTGAGAGCGCTGCGGTGATTTAAAATGCTTCTAGACAACAAGGCAACACTTAAGTGCTTGAGTGGCTAAGATTAAAGGCTTCGTTTCAATGGCAACTTGAAGCTATATCAATTTCATCAATGTAATATGGCAGATTTGAGGACGCTTGGGCCCGTACCAGAATATGGCTGGTTGATATTGAGTGAAGCATGCAACGAGATCCCACCTTACCATATAACGTCCAATACCTAGATCCAATATTTTGATTATATTGTCAGTATGAGACTATCTATACATATGTGCTTGGCTCAAAGTACTGACGAGGATTTCTGATGGGTTTAAAATGCCAAGACGCTAAATTTGCAGGTTCGTCCAAGGGTCCACCTACAATTGTACAGCTTTCATGACATGCCTGGCGCAAGACCAGTACCAGGTCACGAAGGAGATGTACCGCATTACCCAGCCCGGCGGTATGCGGGGTGTTGCAATTTGGGGAACCCTTCACTACGGTTACTGAGAGAAGCGGTGGGCCAAGATGTGCAAGAAGATATACACTAGCTATGAGCCGAACATGCTCATGATTCCCCAGTGGACGATTGCCAAGGAAATTGAGTGGAGCAACGAGGCAGTGGGACTTAAGGATATCTAGGCTGTGGAGAAGTAGGGGACGTGGGAGTTCGATGATCTGGAACAGGCTACAGAGTATTTCTTCGAAACCGGTACAATCATCTTGAAAAGTACTGCCAACCTGCAAAAATACGTGGAGAAGATCCTGAAGGCGTGGGAGCTGAGAGGCCAGAGGGTGGAGAAAGTGGAGCCTGTTCTCGAGAAGGCAATGACTGATGAATATGGAAATGAAAAGCGTGGTCTCGAGGGAAACAAACATGCCACATATGTGATCGCGAGGAAGTGAGCCAGCCATGTTGGTCTCGCAATAAGCCCGCGGTATCTCCATTAGATTACGGCCAGACTGCTCATGCTCGACAGTGCCCCTAGTAGCTTTCAATAGCTTGTTCCTCGGTCGGATATCAAAGTATGAAGAAGTCATATGTCTGTAGTGCCTTTTATGACCAATTCAACCTCTTTTCCTTTGGAGAGCCATGCCCTGGAGAAATACGATGCCACATGACATCGACTCCAAAGCCGGCATGATTATTGACCCTGAATTTCTCGTTGGAACCATTGGAAGGGACCAAATGTAGTGACATTGATTCATCAAAGGCTTGTTCACATTCAGTCTTAAACCTAAACAAAGGACCTTATCCATGAAAGACCTCACTCTCCAGCGCATGCAACTCAACGAAAAATATCTTTTCCATTCCCAGTAAAGGCTACTGCAGCAAAGCCCGCTCACAGTCCCTCGCCATCCGCAGATCCTGCAGGAACTCCTCACAAATCTCAACCTTAGGCCTCGGGTCCCCGGCGCGGAAAGCGTGCGCGTGCCATGGGTGCCCGTCACTTAGCATCCGCATGATCTCCGGTACATGATACGGCTGCATGTACCGCGTCGACCTGTCCATCACCTGCCAACGAAACCGGAACAGAGAGCAAGTATCAGCGTCGCTCAACCCCAGCACTTTTTTCGCGAACACAATTTCCCACTGGGACCACCAGAGCATGGACCGAGGATCGAATCTGGGGGTGCGCCCGGGGAGCTGGCTTCTAACTACCGATCCGTAAGGGGGCCTCCATTCGAGACCTGGTGGCCAGCCGGGGGGAAGTTGAAGGTCTGCGTTGTAGTTTCTTTGGATGAGGTGAGGAGGTGCGGGCGTCGAGGCCCAATCTGGCCAGCCGTCTCCATTTCGCTGGTTACCGATGGTTGGAGGTGGCAACATGGTTGCTGCGGTTTCTCTGCTTCTGGTTTGTGGGTAGCTGAGACGTGGGGCTGCGGTAAGGATGGTCACGTTGCCGTCTCTCGTGCGGATGGTGTGAGTTGTCATCGTCTTCGGAGAGACGCCTGCGAAAAGTGAATTTTTCACCGATAGTAGGTCACCACAGATTAGTCTAACCTTCTTAGTGATACAGCTGAACAGTGTCTGAATGGTGGCTGGGGTTGAGGCTATTGTCTAGCCTAGCGGTTGAAGACAATTGCGATCTAGCGAGTAAGACGTCTTCAGATTTTGCTGTGAATATAAACCATGAAGAGATTATGCTGGAAGAGAGAGCAGAGCCGGCAGAAGTTGTGATACGCGCCGAGAGACTTCGTATGTGGAGAGCTTGCTAAGAGGGGTGTGCTAGAGGAAGGGATATTGCAGAATTTGGGAAAGCAAAGTCGTGTTGATACGTCTTAGTAAATGCGTCTGAAAGAAAAGGAAGCTTTGAGGTAAAGCCAGCTTGAGGATGATGTCTTGGGAGAAGGTATCTCGTCCAGAGGTTGCCGCTTTGATGTTGACGGTTGGTGTCACTTCGGCTTCGGCAAGCCTGTGAGTGGTCAGCATGCGTCACTTCCAGCCAAAATCGGACGCGGGGATGGAGAAGCTTGGTAATTCCGATGGATCTGTGCGTTCTTCTCTTTCAAATTTCGTGGCAGCCGGGGGAAGTCTCTTCGCCTTTTCGTTGATTGCCCGCTTGGATGCGCCTGCTATCCAGGTGGACTTTACTCTAGCATTGAGTGTTTCCGATGTGACTTGCAGTCTCATTTGACACCCTGTGAAAACGTGATTTCGCGTTCTTTCAGTCCCAGGGACTGTAAGAAAATCCAAATGCCAGGGATGAAACAATGTCAATCTCTTGGTGTTGGGCGAGAAGGCCAAGACAAAGCATACTCTCTGTTACTGACGATTACTGACCTTGGAGTTCCGAACAGGATGAATTGCTGTTCGCCACCTAAACTTCCTAGAGCCAGCAAAAACCCTTCGTACAATGCCGGTCAATCCCATGAATGTGCACAATAGCACTGTGATCGCCGAAGAACTCAATGTTGTAGCCACTGGCACAATGACAAAAGCTACTTTTGAGAGCGGAAAATTATGCAGACAAAGGCGGCGATCAGCCAGGGAGAAGAAGATGGCCTTCGAAGTAAAGAATCCACTTCCTGTACTCAGATTCTGACAACGTCCAACAACACCAAAGTCCTTCGCCAAACACCCTTCCCCAACAGCTCGACGAATATCATTGACTGTGCACTTTCTCCCAGAGCGCCGTTTAAATGTGTCAAGTCGTTGAGTATTACTTGTCCTGTACGCACGCTGAGCGATACCGTCTCGTCAATACCTGCCCATTTGGATTCTGCCGCGATGCCAGCTCCTGTAAATGCAACAACAACCAGATCATGGCCTATCGACCAGTCTATACTCCTCTATGGTGCGGTCCTTGTTTCCGCCAGCGTCACGATACCATTCTGGCCGTACACCGACTCTATGTGGGCGAGCTTTACGCCCAAGCTGAATGCGGGGGGTGGTCCAACCGTAGCATCGAACAGGCCATAAGAAGATGTTACCAGCAGGAAGACAAAGAGATCGAATGCTTCTTAGCCGCTGTTGAGGAGGCCGAGAGTCACAATGCGAGACTACACAGTGCAAGGAGGAAGGCACATCATGGGAACAGCGATGAAGATGAGTACGAGAGCGACTCAGAGGACAATGATGATGATGTTGACGAGTCCGACAACGAGACCGAAGGGGGCTCGACTTTGAACATCACAAGCTGCGGGCCGCGGCATTACATTGAACTCGACGATGAGAGCAGTGGCAGCGACAGTGAAGGGTCACCAGCTCGCATGCTCTTGCATTAATCGTCAATGGTTTCCGAGCAGCGAGGGACGTGCGTCACAACATGGAGGCTACCCGAGGAGGGTGAGATCTTACACCGACAGCGACATCTTGGAGGCGTCCCTTTCCCAAGGAACTTTAGACGCTGATTGAACCCGTAAAAGGCAAATCTGCTCCTCTCGTCTTGGATACTGAAGGTGACCCCGTAGTCTCGGAACTGGAGCGGTTGCTGCCCCGCTGAATTCTGAAATTATTTAGCAGAAATACAGGTTGGAAGATCAGTAAAATAACACATATCAGGTGCGCAGCCCATATTGCATGCAGCCAATCCAGATTTGTCAAATCAGAAGGGCAATCGTGGTAAAGATCTCGGCTAGGATGATATTTGCTACTCCGATTCCCTTTCCTTTCGTCGATAGCCACGCTTTTACCAAACGAGGAAATCTAAAATAGGCTTGCGGAGTAAAGCCACGGAGTTGGCACGAGAAGGTTGGCGATAGTGAGCTCTTTGCCGTACCTTCACCTCGCAAGCATGAACGGGCGATATGAACCAAAGGCCTCAAATGCTGTACCCAAGGGAGCTCCTTGAATTCTCATTGCACTCAATAATGGCCTGCTTACGTGACTTTCTTCTCATGGCTTATAAAAATGCGAAACTTGCCTTATGGTACTCTGCATGTATGCGTGCAGTATCCCGTTCAGCCGTTGACCTCTTGGCAAGCGCGAACGCGGATTTCGACAGCGTGTGCAAACACGACCCGAAGTGGAGAAATGTCCAAGCTAAACCTATTTGAGAGGATACTTATCGATAGCGCGTATCAAACGGAGGCGCTGATACCCTGCATCTACTAGCGTGCTTCTCGAAACTTGCCTTTCCCAACCTCCTGTGTTCTTTCCTTTCTTTCAGACCACTCACCGCTATTGACACGCCGAAGCCTCAGGCGCGACACCGCGCGACTCTCGTGAATGTCCTCATGTAATGCCGACTCTCTGCCTTTATGCTTTGCTTTAGAGCCATGATCTACACTGTTTCCCTTCGAAAGAGGGGTGAGTCACTGTCGCGTGGTATTTTGGTCTGGAGAAGAGGCCGGACGAAGCAGGTGGATGGTGCAGGATGAGGTTTTTCTTAAGTGTGAGGGGTTGCCTCGTTTTCCTGAGGTATCCTTTCATTGTTGGTAAAATCTTCATTTTCGAATATGATCATGAATAAATTGCACAACTCTCAAGTTTGATTGACATATCCATTGCAAGAATCGTTACACCTCTGCTTTGACTAAGATTTCGCATTGACGTGAGTTTCATTCTCCTCTGCCGTCTAGCAGGCTGTCAACAGCAAGTCCTTGAAACCACTGTAGGTCATCGCACCTCCAAGACCGTGTCAATGTCTAATCGTTCCTCTTCTTTTGCAAGACAATTACCAATTGGAGCGAAATGCTTTGTTACGATGTCAAGCTCAGCCTTCATCCCATTCTGGTTGTGCGACAGACCTCGAGATACATTCCTATCCTACGTCCCAAAAGATGATCTCCTTTCCCTTCGTCTGGCCTGCTATGACTTCAGCGTACGTGCTGCACCACACCTTTTCAAAGAGATCGCTGTCACCTTTCGGGAGAAGATCTTCACCAAGCCAGTGCGCATGGCAGCATTGAGCCGGATAGGCCAACATGTTCAGACCCTGAAGTTCACCATCCCTCACAGCGGCAAGACGTTCCTCCCTCCTTTAGTGGATACCAGCGGTATCGAAGTTGCTTTCATCTACGAACCTTATATCGGTTCTGCTAAAGACCCTGTCACCCGCCACAGCATACCCACCTACGGGAGCTGGGAGATGAATGATCTGCTCGTCAAGCAGTATCCGCCCTTGTTTCATGACGCTGCCAAAGTTCCGGCTTTCATTCAAGCCTTCTCAGCGATGCCAAACCTGAGACATCTGGAAATTTCGTGTCCAGGGCAGCCGTCGGAAGAGCGACAGCGTCGCAGTGTCGTTGACTACGCCTTGATCTCGCTGCGTATTGCCGTCGAGCGAAGCAACCTTTCACGTCTTCGTACCCTTTCTCTCTCGCCAATTCATCCAGGCGCTGTGCAATATCTCAATCCATCGTTGGGGTTTGGTGTAACTCCACGCTCCACCAAATGCTGGAGGCAGATCCGCCAGCTCGATATACACATGGACACTATTGAGTCGGGATCCCCAGTAGATCATTTGAAGTTTCTACACTCATATCTCCAGAATTTCGCTCCATTTCTCACGGAATTCAATTTCCGCTGGCAAGGAGCGTCCGGAACCAAAGGTCCGAGCCCTGTATCGCTTGCCACTGAGAGTTGCGTACAAGCAACCAGTTGCAGCCATGAGTGTCATGAGAGATGTGGACTCCCACTCCCCTGTCTGCGCTTTGAAAAGCTTCGCGACACAGAAATAATGAACATCTTGTCCGATTCTCCTCAAATAAAAGGATTTATTCGCAAACATCGGCGCACGTTAGAATCGCTCAAGTTGAACGGCGTCGAATTCCGCCTCGGTGACTGGGACGACGCACTCTCTCCACTCACAGAGATTAGCGGTAGTGAGAAGTGGAAGGAGACTGCAGAAGAGGTCATGGATGTGCCGCTGATGCTGAGTCCCGCAATTTTTGAGCAAGAGCAACGCATCAGAGACTGGAAAGATCATGTAAAAAGCAGGACTAGCAGCTCAAAGCCATTACAAGGGGCATTGCATAGAGCGAGTGCAAAGGGAAAGGAGCTCTTGTTCGGGACAGAGGAACATATGCGCAGGTTGCTGAGCGGCTCTATCTTGAGCTGGCTGTGAAAGGAGGGGGCGTTTGGCGTAGATGAACGAATAACGAAACTACATTACAATCATCTTACGTATCCCATCACCATCATGTACATGCAAGACCGAGAGAGCGAGATCTATTAGTACTCCGCTCCACCTCAGGAAAAGATTGCTAAGAGAAGCCGAATATTAACCGCTTTGCCTCGGTTTGATAATGATGGCGTTGTGACCGAAGACCCATTTATTCCCCGAACGGTTCAAAAGCCACCTGAAAGCCATTGCAATTCTATTTCTCTCACTCTCCCCCCTTCTCACCCTCTTCATCATCGTCGCCATTCAACCCCCGCTTCTATCAAAACCCCAAGCCTACGCTCTGCGACATAGATAACAATCAGATAAGCCTTCATCAACCATCATTGACCCACTCAAATCCACCATGTCTCTAAAATCAGGCACGCTCTCCTCTCCCTCTCCGCTCAAAGGCCCAACACTGATTAGATATCCCACTTGCCAGACTCATTTCCTTCCTCCGCCGCCTTTGACGCCATCAACAGCTCCCTGCAATCCGACGACGCCGAGCGGAAAGACGCCGTGAAAAAGGGCAACGCCGTCTTCGCATTCACACTCAAGAACAAAGAGGGGCAAACGGACAGTTGGTACATCGATCTGAAGGAGAAGGGGGAAGTGGCCAAGGGGGAGGCACCGAGCGGGAAGAAAGCTGATGGTCAGTGAGGCCCTTGTGATTTCGGAGATGGAAGTCCCAGACAATTGATTGATTGCCTTCGGCTGGAGGCTAGCACTCAAGAGGCTACCTGAACCTTTAAAAGACACAACGCATTGAGAATACAGGCTGATGGACGGGCTGCTGCAGTGACTTTATCGTTATCGGACGACGATTTCGCCAAACTGGTCAGTGGGAAGACGCAGGCTCAACGGCTATTCATGTCGGGGAAGCTGAAGATCAAGGGGGATGTCATGAAGGTAGGCTGCGGATCACTTCCGGCCTTGAAGACGGCTCCGCTGACTAGACGGTTGCTCGGTAGGCTACGAAGATGGAACCCGTGCTTAAGAAGGCGCAAACGAAGGCGAAGCTGTGAAGGTGGCTGGTATTTGGTAGCGTTCTGGACATGGAGCTCTACCGGTCTTTCGTCTAGGTAAATATAGAATCGAATCAATCTTTTCTGGACTAGATCGACGCTTTTGAACCCATCTGCGTCTGGATATCGGCTTCGTCTCTGGCTCCCGCTAAGCCTTTGTGTACTTGGCAATCAATAGCCACGGCCACGTATATCTGGGCCGGTGTCGAGATACGCATGACATATTTTATCTATCTGTGACATGATGCATCTACTACAACTAGTCTCAATGATCCTCTGTCGAAAACGAATGACGCTACTATGCTCCGGCCCTACAATAAACTCAAAACGCGAGTTTGAATCACTGTCAGATTGAACGTCTCGGGCTAATTGCTAGTCAAGTCATTCGCGTGGAAGAGTTTGATGGGATCAGTCTCGTCGCAGTTTTCCTCCACCAGAGACGTTGATTCTCCTTGCCTCATGGTCAGTGAATGGTGAAAGGTGAGTCAGGCGGCTAGGAACCAGAGAACGCAAGACAATGAGCCGAACTCTCTGGTACTTTGTCATCAATATTTTTAACAACCGAGAACACATATGTTCTATCGGCATATGAGCTTTCAGTGTGGCTTTGGTCAGCTAAGAACATGATCAGCTCTCAGATGCTTTCGAAAGCCATTCATCTTTCCAGAGGAAAGAATGATCTCCGCTTGATCTTCGTGCTGCTTGTTCTCTTGCACACGCAGACCTATCGAGACTATATCTCGGTAGGTGGAAGAAGCCTGCACTATGAAATTCCATGGCTGAGAAACAACGTCTAATTCAAAGGCCAGACGTAATCGCACCTCATTCTACCGTTCACGTAAACGACTTGTACACTATAGATGTCGATTTCCTCTTCTTGACACTCTACCTCTCGGCACAAGATAGTCCCTTCATCGACGACCTGCGTGATGTACGTTGAAATTGAGATGCCCATCCCCACTGAATTTCACTTTACCAATGTATGACTGTCTAGCTAGGAACTCATCTGGGATCGGTATTCGCGTTCGAAGACCGAGTTCAGATGGGCCGCTCATGACCTCCGTCAGTTCCAATATCGAGGCGAGGCGCACTTGGCTTTCACCACAGTGTTGGAGGGTCGGTTGAAAGGGCGGATTTTCAAAAATTCCACTCATGTTATGATGTAAAGCAGGGGTGATATAGTGAAGACATTTGAAATACAGACCACGGCGTAAGATTGGACCGGCACGACTCTGAAATTGTGGAGGATGGCCGAAAAATCGTGCAAAGCAGCCTTCATCCGTCACGAAGGGGGAGAGGACGGCGTCATGGTAGAAGAGAGCGTTCCAAGAGGTGCATATCGCGACAAAAGCAGTCGAATCCAATGGCGCTCTCCCGACCACGTTCCCAGAAACCAAAGTCTAGCAGGCTTGGACGAGCCCGACTGCTTGTCTGACAACCCTTCTCTCCTTCCATGCCCAACCGCCAAATTGTTCTCCACGCAATTGCCCAAGCAGCCTAACTTCTACGGCAGCCACATCAATATATCGAGAAAACCCATCAAGGAATCCCTCCGCGAGTCGGGACGGGTCGTCCGGGCCTCAGCCGTGTGTTCAATTCCTACGCGTAAGCGCCCATGGGAGGCCTGAAGCGAAGTTTAAAGGCCATAGGCCGTGAGCCATGGGTCATAGGGGCCGGGCTCGGCTTTGAATGTGATTTACCATTCTTCACCGGTCGTCTTACTTAGAGCACTTCCCTGGCAATTCTTGGCGCCTATGACTGTTGGGCTATGTCGAGATGAAGGATGAGCAAGTGAGTGTGAGCAGTATTGGGGAATGATTACATTGGATTGTTCCCCCCATGGGTATGTACAGTCTATACCCCTTCCGTGATGCCGCTCACCCCAAGTCTATACACAAGGAACGAATTCACCAACTCCTCCCCAAAAGGATGGCAATCGACAGGGTATCCGCGCTCAAGTGACCTAAAACGCTGCCTTCGTCTATAATAACAAGTCCGGCGTATGTATCATGTCCGATCGTTGTTGTAAGCCTTGTGTATGCAAATGCAATGATATCAATGTCGGAAGATAGATGATTGAAATTCGAAATATTTGAGAAATATACGGTGATGGTGCAGAGATGAACAGAATCATATGACAGCTGGTGAAGTGTTAGGTATATTCAGTGTTATCGCGACGGATGGCGAGGACACAAAGGAGAACTCTATGGCGTAGATAGACAGGGTTGAGGGTGTGTTGCGCGAGGCTTTTCAGTTGGTACGGGCGCCGATTCTGGGCATGACCACCTCCTGTAAATGGCCAAATTCAAAATTTCGCGGTTGCCGTCGAAATCGACAAGGTCCTGGATGTGTACCAGGCGTCATGGCGAAGCTAGTCGATTGGAAGGAGCCACGATTGCAGGCTGTGGGACCGCCCGTGGTTGCGTCTGAGCCTCTTGCTGAGGTTGCGGACCAAAAAGTGCTCGCAACTGTGCCTACAACAGAGCCGCCGCCCTATGCTCCCTTGCTTTCCTCTCTCTGTTTCGCTTCCTCTTGCGGATCCGGCTTATAGCTACCAAACAGACCCCAGAAGCGTCGAATCTTTTCCAATCCCACGACACCTATCATCGCAGTCTCGGATGATACATCGGTCAGAGCGGGATCCTCAGAGAAGATAAATCGTTCACTGAACATGACTGGATGGACACAGGTGCGGAGGACGTAGAAGATGACTTTGGCGGCCTTGTCAGGGGTATCGACGAAGGTCCAGTCGACCTCAACTTGACTTCGCTAAATTCAAATTAAGTACGCTGCGGTGCTGGTAGTCTTTGTGAGCGGCAATTTAGCAAGCCCAGGCCATGGACAGTATTCGAGAACTCTCGCAGTTTTCGCAGTCGACGACTACGTCGTTGAAATCCGTGGAATCAATGGGCTTTCAAAACGTCCAACCTAAAAAATACCTTGGAAGCACAAAGCCCAGCAGTATCTTGTGCAAGTAAGGATCGCCAGAGTGATGCTGTGTAGGTTTTGATTTTGTGCTGATACACCAGTCGAGTCCCCACTTCATAAGGCACCTCTTTGCGCGCTCGAAGATAAGGGGAATAGTGCTGTGGGCAGCGAGCAATCTATTTCGTTGGTCATAACGGTATCCGTAATAGCGTATTGACAAACGGATTGAAGTGGGGGATCTTGTAATTGAATGCTTTGCTATTGTTCTGTCATAAATCAACACCAGTGCAAACAATAATTCCACAGTCCCAGCTACAAACAACACGGCTGGAGAAGACCTCTGAGTTTGTCTCATAAGAGCTCAACCAGCGGAGCCAGAAGGCTTGGGCGGGTCTTGGGTTTGGGGCCATGAGTGTAGCCTTGTATGGTATTTGAAGATGAAATGTGATGCTCGCACGTGGATAGTGAATTGTTCATTAGAGCCAAGTGTGAACAGGTGTTGAGAAACAGGGGCTGTAGCTGAATACATGGCGTCAGCATTGGCTGATGCTATTGAATGGATTAGAGCACACCTTTGCGGTTTCTGCGTTTCACAAGACCACAACTCGCACGCGAAACAAGCTGTGAAGGCCGCCCATCCAAGCATTTCTTGCACAGTCTTGACCTGCAACAAATTTCTGAACAATGCGTTTTGCTATGACTCTTCGTCTGCTATTTGAGTCTGTGCATGTTTGTCGCTCAAAGTCAAGCCATGAACCATTGTCAATCTTTATATCTTGTAGTAGGATTTTTGATGACATTAATAATCTAAAGAACTCAAAGCTCACTAAGATCTTGAGAAAAGTTCTCTATGATTTCATAGGAAGAACTGTTTTCGGGTTGGGGTTGAGGCGGGTTTTGGAGTATGTTTCAACACCGCTGTGAGACGCAATCATCCCAGACACTGAGGCTTGCGTAGGCCTTACCAGGGTAACGTGAGTATAAGGCACCCTAGGCCTGATAGGGGCTGAAACCGGGGCACATTTCTGTGGCCCTTGGCCGCTGACGATCTACACGCCAGGCTTCAGCGCTGCCGGCTGTAGTTAATAGAAAGAAATTCTGTCCCCAAAGGTGCATCAAAATCAACCAACAAACACATTCAGTAGTCTGGCACCCACCTAGATGGTCCTCTTGGCTCTTTTCGCCTGTGGCTATAGAGTTGGCGCTCAACTCTCGCGGTACGGCACGGGAGCATCAAGAGCTAATTTTAGGCCCAAAATAACACAGGTGATGGCTTTCACCTTGTTCAGGATTAGATGTATATTCTTTCAGGTAGACTCGTCTCAATGGCCACGGAACATAGTTCTGAAGCGCAAGAACAGAGCAATAGCGGGACCCAGGGAGCAGTAATAACGACCATAGTCAGCATCATCATAACGAACAAGTAAATCTCTTGCAGAGAGGAGGATAAGAGACTAAACACATTCTTATCTTGTTCTAACCACGACATGGATGAACAGACCCGACATCGCTGTCGAAAGTTGCAGTCTGGAGGACTTCTATGAACATGGCGGCCACCGCAGGAAAGAGCACTGAAGGGTCTGTTAATGGAGTGCTGCTCGACAATCTCGCTGGCACTGGTTCTTCGGCCATTGTGTTGCGCAATCGCCGTTGCAAACAGCCTGCTAACAGAACTCTTGTCTCATTCCTCGTCCAGCTTCCCATAGGGATACGTTAGCTTGCAGCATGATCCGCGCAAAGATAGCGAACGGTCGATCCCTCGCCAGTGGCTCCAAAACCGCAGAAGAAGCGTAGACTTGACGGAGTTGGATTGGTGACATTCGCAATGGTCATGGCATCATTCTTGCTTCCTTTGCACATTGGGGAGAGGGAAGGAGGCATTTGCAGCGCTGTGGTAATGGGGTTGGCAGTGACCTTGGCTTTGCCTGCTCGTATCTGTAATTTCCGGGTAGTCTTTGGGGCACGATAATTCCTCATTCCCTGTATTTTATTGTTGTCCAGATCTTCCCTGATTGCGCGCAATTTGCCATTGGGCAGATTCGACTCCTTCTTGTGCTCTGCTCAAAGCAATCGCTTGTAGCCTCGGAGCCTTCCATTGGATTTGTGGCCCAGCAGTATCTTGGTTTTTTGAAGTGTCTTGCGGCTGTAGAAAAGGAAGCGCTCCGCGGACATGTGCTACGATCTGCGCGTGATGAGCGTAGCTTCCCCTAGAGATGCCGAATGGGGTTAAGCAGAGGCTGTCTCGGCTGATCCATGAGGTTATGGGCAGTGGACGACATTAGATCTTAGGAGAACAGCATCCTTACGAAGCACCTTGCAAGCGCGCTCCACAAAGGATATTTTGGAGATGGTGAACGCAGGAAGAACAACGGAGAAGCCTCGATGACTGAGCGCCCCTACCGGATGCGGGTTGTCTCTCACGCTCTTCAACACCGCGACTCTTCTTAGCCTTGCCGCCGCGCTTGAGAAAGCCTAGAGAAAGCCTGAAGAGTACCATACTTGCTCAGAATTGATATAGAGCCTTGAAGGGATCGGTCAAAAGGCGTTCTCACCTTTTGCGAATACCCCACCTCAGCAGAGATGGCGAAGCGGGTTGCCGACCAGCAACTCACCAAGGATGGAACAATGTCTGATGAGGACGGCTTCTCTGTAGGGTCGCAAATAGAGGAACCTCAGAGAGCTACGGCGGCGCAGATGGCACAACGAAGGTATGTTGAAATTTTGGAGTTCCGGGTGTTCGTGTAGGGCGGGAGGCTGCAAATGTTTTGAATAACCAAATCTTCGTCACACCACGACGACGGCACCACAACTCTTTCACCTCACTTTTTCACAACAAAAACAAATCCACCTCCACCACCTCTTACATTTACAACACTCACGAACATATTCGCACTATTGAGGAACTCCTTTGATGGGCTACAGCGCGCTTGCGAGAGGTGTAATTACTAACAACAGAATGGCTAGGCTCGCGAAACCTCGAGGTGGTCGTCGGCCTGGGGCCCTACGTCCACCCGCCTCACCATCGCTTGGCATGTCCCAGCAGCAGCAACAGAACTCCTTTGGTGAAGGCGACAGAATCAATATGAACGGAACACAGCAACAACAAGGTGGATTCAGTTTCGGTCAGCAGCCAAATGGATTTCAACCCAACCAGAACAGCTCCTCCTTCCCGCCGTTCCCTAGCAACAGCTTCAACCCTTCATTTGCTGCACCCACAACAGGATTCAGCTTCAACACGGGCCAAGCCCAGGACGTGAACAATCCGTTCACTGCCATCAACACACATAATGCTCCTCCGCCCGAGCCGACCGGATTTCAGGGAACCATATTTAATCTACCACCGCAAAAGATGAGTCCTTTTCAGAAGTTTCTCGAAGGAGAGCAGAAGCCTTTGTTCGCCGCAGGCGCTCCAAACATTTCAACATCAAGTCAGTCGCCGCAACCTCCGAGCAATCCCTTCAACCAGTCCACCGACCAGCAACAATCAAGTCATGCTAGTCTTGGGATCTTCTCGCAATCAAATGCTCAGCAGCAGCCATCCAATAATGCGTTCGGTCAAAGCACAGAGCAAAAAGCCCCGCAGCCCAGCACAGACATGTTTGCGCACCTCAAGACTCCACAAAACCAAAGCTCCAGTAATCCTTTCGCACAGAGCATCTCTCAGTTCCAGCAGTCACAACCCGCGCAACCAACAGCCAATCTCTTTGCACACCTGGGCCAACCGCAAACGTCGAGCAGTTTCCTCACACAGGGTTCAACGTCCCCGACCCAAGGTGGAAGCTCTATGATGCAGACGTCACCGGATCCTTCGCCGCAGTCACGTCCATTTGGTTTCTTGAATAAATCAAATGCTCAGACACAGTCAAGTCCTACTAAAGACAGTACTGCTCAGGGCGGAGGTGGCAGCCTTTTCGATAGGGTCACGAAACCTCCTGCGGAAACGGATTCTCAATCTCAATCAAGTCCAACCAAGGACACAACTGCTCAAGGTGTTGGGGGCAGTCTTTTCGATAGAATATCCAAACCATCGACCGAGACCAATGCGCAAACCTTGTTCAGCCCTGTTAAGAACAATACCGCTACAGACAGTGGTAATCTGTTCAGCATGCCGCAACCGCCGGGCACGTCAAAAGCCTCGAACGAGAATGGAGCAAACAGTCCTACCAAAATCGGCGAGCGAAAGATTGCGAAGCCTACCCTCTTTCAAAATCCTTCAGAAGATGCGCGTCCGCCATACAAAGCCATATTCGGCAGTCTGAAGATGCCACCTACCCTCCTACCATCACCTTCTCCCGCGCCATCAGCGCCTTCGGCAGTCTCTCAACCTAGCCCTTCGCAGCTCAAGGGCGACTCTGCCTCACCAACTCATGGCACCAGTAACGTTCCGAGCTCATCTGTGTCTACTCAGCAGTCCAGTGAACGACCAAAGACAGTGCCAGATATCCCCCGCAAATTTGGGCCGTCACCGGCTCCTGAAGGCTATAGTGAAGAAGAGGCAAAAAAATGGTCCCAAGATTGGTGGGTTTCATTTTATGTGCGGCACAAGGAGAAGCGCATAAAGCATGCTGAGAGTCAATGTAATGAGAGAATAAAGGCTGTCCTTGACGGATTTGACCCCTTGGAACAGATTGTCCGCAGCAAGAGGAAGTCTATCTTTGAGGATCGCGAAGGGGAAGAAGATGAAGTACTAGGGAAAAAGGCTAGAGTCGAAGGCCCGTCAATTTTCACTCAGGAATCACGAGGAGCGTTGTCAAATGGAACTAGCATAACTCAATCACCTTCCAAACGCGATCCTCCAGCCCAGCAAGCGACCAACAAAAACAACAAAAGATCCGCGGACGAGGAGCCAGAGAGAGACAATGCGCAGGGCACAGCCGACAATGGCAAGAAGGCTCGCGGTCATGATCCAGTCTCATATCCATCACTTTCAGCTACCTCACCAGGCTCACAAACGTCGAGTATATTCAAAAATATCTTGGACAAGAAGGAAGAGACCAAAGTCAACGGCACTCAAAATGACAAAGCGACCCCCCTTTTCCAGTTCCAAGCACCCTCTGGGTCCTCTTCGACTCAGTCGCCATCGACTTTCAAGCCCTCTTCCACCACTTCGGTGCCGCTTTCGTCCAAGCCTGACACCGAGTCACCATTCAAATCTAGCTTTGCCTCTTTCAACCCGACTTCTTCAACACCAAATTCTAGTCTTTTCGCCAACCAGCAGAGTACCAGCAATGGTGCGCCAGTAAACAGTTCAACCCCATCGTTCAAGCCGTCGAGTTCCGCTGCTGCCCCTTTGACGGCGTCAAAGTCAGGTCCTTTCTCTTTCAAGCCTACTACAAGCAGTGAGGCTCCTTCGGATGCGACCAAAGCGTTGGCAGTCAAATTCTCAAGCGGTGCTACAACATCGACAGCATCTAGTGCCAATCCGTTTTCTGCCAAGCCACCTACGAGTGGTCAGACCTCATCTGAAGCTGCTAAAGCTCCAGCATTCAAGGTTCCAACATTTGGCGCAGCAGCAGCATCGAGTGCATCCAATCCAAGCCCGTTCTCTATTAAGACGTCTACTGGTCCGACCTCGTCCGAGGTACCAAATGCTCCAACGTTCAAAGTACCAACGTTTGGTGCTGGTGCGTCTTCGACAAACTTTATCTCACAATTTGGCAAAGCCGCAGAAAAGACCGCGGCAGAAGACAAAAAGAAGCGCAAGGCAGCGGATTTCGATTCGGATGAGGAAGACTTGGACTCATGGGAGCGTAGAGATGCTGAAGAGCAGCGGATGAAGAAGCAAAAGCTCGAGGAGGAAATCAAAGGCAAGGCTGCCAAACTCATTGATGGGAAATGGGTGATCGCCGCAGACGCAGACAACGAGAAGCCAAGCACGAGTGCAAATCAAGCAGAGCCAGCAGACCCTAGTATTTCAGTGTTAAGTCAACCACTTGCACCGCTGACTAACGGTCACAACATATTCGGTCATTTGTCAGGCGAAGAGTCTGGCGCAGAGGGTAGCAAGACTGGCGATGCCGATGATGAGGACGATGAGGATGAAAAGGACGATGAGACGAACGTACAACATCAAGTACGTGGACCATTCGACTACGATGATTCAGCATCGGAGTCAGATGAGGACGGAGAAGGCCAATCCAAAGAGCCGAAGGCACTCAGCAACCCGTTCGGCGCAAGTGGGAGTGGCCTCTATGACACAGCAGAGAATGCCAACGGAGAGGATACTGGACGGAGCCTATTCGATCGAGTCTCCAGGGACAAAGACGGCAAATCTATTCGTGAGATACCACAAGCAGACGGTCGTGCAGTTTCACAAACAAGCAATATCTTCGGTCAATCCTTCAAGTCTGGTACATCGAGCAATCTATTCAGTCCACCTTCTGATGCTGCTTCGAGTTTCACAAGCGCGAATTCCAAAGCTGGAGATAGTCCAAAGGGCGATCATACATGGAAAGTGGATAGCCCAATTAAATTCGGAGAATCTGGCAATCCGCCTGCCGTGAATGTTACTTCCCCAAGTCCATCTAAGCCAGCGTTTGGTGGCCTTTTTGGTGCTGCGAAGCCCAATGTCACGACTGAGACACCAACGAAGCCTACTTCAAGCGTCTCAAGCACTCCTCCAGCAAAGATTCCCAGTGTCGGCTTCGGTTTTGGCTTCAAGCCTGCCACGGCCTCATTGGCACCGCCCTCGAACAATGGGTCTAATACAACATCGCGCGCTACATCGCCGGGTGCCACAACCGGCGAGAGTGCAAACGAGTCTACTGCTGACGGAGAAGACGACAAAGCAGAAAAGCAGGAGCAGATCGATCTCACGTCTCCAGGGCCAGGCGAGGAGGACGAGGATGTTGTCTTGCAGGTGAAGGCAAAAGCGTTGAAGTGGGACGCAAAGTCATCAAGCTGGGCCAGCAAAGGCGTTGGACCTCTGCGTGTCCTGAAGAATCGGAAGTCACACCAGACTAGAGTCCTTTTGAGGCAAGACCCCAGTGGCAGAATCGTCCTCAACTTTGCTTTATCGAAATCGTTTACCTACGAGAGCTCGCAGAGCAAGACTGTGAGGGTGCCAATCGTTGGGGAGAGCGGCAAGATCGAGTCTTGGTTGATCAAGGTCGGTGACGATGACGACGCGAAGAAGTTGGCGAGTGCTCTGGAGGAGAATAAAAGCTAGGGAAGCTTCACCGTGTGAGACAGGGAACACGGAGTCGGAGGCGTCATTCATCAGGGCCATATTCAGGGGACCGCATTTGTACAAAGATTGGCTTGCCGACCTACCGCGGGTCTTACAAGTTCACTTTCATCACATCTTTTTTTCCCTCCGAGGAAGGAGGTTCGGATCAATCTTACACAGCATGCGGACTGTTACGGAACGAAAGCATCGATTATTGTCGTTTTAGCGAAGCATACGGGTCATTAAAATTGGAGTTGGGGCGTTTTTCGGATCTTCATGTCGTTCTTTTCATATCGCCAGGTCCTCGCAGGGATTCCCTATAGCCGTCTCCCACTCGCGTGGTTGATTGATGGTTTTAGGTTGAGACACTGCGTCACCAGTCTGTCATCGGAGGCGACGTGTAGCCATTTCCCACTCGCGTGGTTGATTGATGGTCGAGGTCGGTAACCAATGCAGCATGGCTGAGGCCTCAATGCTCACTCGCTTCTTTCGATTTGATCGCGTCTTTGGACTGCTGGTTGTCGGAAGTTGTAGGTACTCTTAGAGCAGACTGCGAGAGTCAAGGGGATGTGGCTGGCTGCTTCTGCCTGCCCTGATGATTCGAGTATGTTGGGATTCTTACTGGCGATATGTTCAATGGAGGAGCTGATTGGGAGATTCTATGGGGGATTGTGGCTGGCTGCCTCTGCCTGCCCTTATGGCTCGAGCATGTTGCGACTCTTGCGGGTGGTTTTTTGTACGCAGAACGCAAAGGTTCTTTAGAAAGGGGTGCGTGCTAGATCAGTGCGCAGCAAATTCAATCAAACCAAATCAAATCAAATCAGGTGGTAGCCCACCAAGTGCTTTTTGCAATACGCCTCTACTGCATAGACTAGATCAGGATGGTTTCGCCCCTTATGCTTCTTTTCTACATAGTCTACAAGATCAATGGACTTCCCAGCCTGACATATTCTCGTTTCGCAAAACCCCAGCAAAATCTTTCATACTCTTCATTAACTCGCCAGCTCATATGCTTTTCAGCCATAACCCCTCGCTTCTCGCCCTTTTGGCTACGCATCAGTCACACTCCTACAGAACGCCAGCGCGCCGTTATCGCCATGGAGGATCATCCAGCCAACCTCGTACCCAGCTTCACCCAGCATGCATACCTGCATGATGAAATGGCAACTGCGGACGGGTAGGTCGTTCTGTTTGCAAATCTGCCAAGTGAAATATCTTGTACTCAGGCTGTATTGCGAAGTGTGCGCCAGCCTACTGCAGAAAGCCTACCATACACTTCGGTGTCTCAGAATGGCTTTCGAGGCTTTGGACGGGTCCCTACTATTGTTCCCGTGTAGGGCCAAAGCGGTTACGACATCGCGAGCAGCTGGAATGAGGTGACGATTTTGGCCCAGTCTGCTTTGACGGTGGATGCAAACTTGACGAACGCTGAAGACCGCGCCAGAGACGCCCATTCGACCTGCTCTGCTCGTGGTAGCATACTTGGTTGTCGATCGGACATACAGCGTCAAAGTACCTGGCAAGCACCTAGGCTGTTCTTGGGGACTTGGCCTCGATGCATTTGCACAAGGGGGCGAAGTATCTGAGGTACACGCCCGACCAATCGGGCAGTCTGCCGGCGTTTCGAAGCCGCCTGAGAGTCTTTTCCCGTGACTTAGTCTCAATTTTGTGTAAAAGCGTTTCACTGCCCTTCGAACACTTGCAAGCGAAAGGCGGGCAGGTATGGTCGCCTTGGGCCCTGGTGTTTTGGTATAAAGTCCGGTCTGTCACCTCTGCCGCTCTTCCCTTTCTTCAGATCAGACACCGTAACTGCGACACAACAGTCTTCCAGGTATGATTCTTTCGGGCTCTCCAGGCCGCTTTTGCAGCTTTCGAGTACTCATACACTTACAGACAAGCTCATGACAAAACGCGATCTTTCAACCCAACGCGCTGTCCAGAACACAACGTATCTCTCAGCGACTCAAAGACTTAAGCATCTCCACAAAAGTCAGTGGCTCACTTTGCTCACTTCCGCTTTTGATGCCTTCATAGACTGACCTTTGCGCAATAATTTCTCTCGAGCTTGCCATCATGTCCGAGCCGTCAACCACCAACGTCGAAGCTCTGAAGGAAAACCGGACTGTGACTAATGAGGGAGGTAAGGATACCACTGGTAGCAAGATCCCGAAACGTTGGACAGGAACTGTCATAGATGTTGATCATGAGGAGTGGGATGATTGGAGGGACCAGTGGCAAATCTTGATCGTGTCGGCGGCCTTTGAAAAAGCAACGAAGACATGGGCCAAGGCACCACAGGAAGGATGGGCTAACGGCAGAAAGGTTTACTTCATCCTCAAGGATGAAGACCCAAGCAAGAAGACAGGCGGGCCTAGATATTCCAGGCGCAACCTCGAGCTCAGGTGGGGTGTAAAGGCCAAGGCCCCGTGGCATCCAGACACGCCGAGGATCGATGATACGCGGTTTGTCTGGTTGGACGCGCCCATTAGTGACGATGCAGCGAGCTGAGCAGTAGCAAACGGGTTTTGTATGGATTACATATCTCAATTTCAGATTCTGCTCACCCAACTCATTTTCCTCTCGCAATGGCTCGGACAAGGGCCCCCAGTGCCGCTGAGGTCAGGCATTTCCGGTGTGTGATAGCGGGTTGTGGGTATGAGGGTGGCTATCAGAAGGATAAGTTGGACCGGCATATCAGGAATCGCCACCAGTCGGGCGAAGGGCTCAAAAATGATCTTCCATTGAAGGTAGAGGCTGGAATTTATCACAGATGGACAGTTCCTCTTTGGGAGACGGCGAGTCGATTTCAGTAGAGAGACCGACGTAAACCATGAAATCGTTCATTCATCCATCAAAATATGCATCCATCACTCATCAAATTTGATCCTCCCCTCACTAACATCCGGATACACATCGAACCTCCTCTGCGTATAAACCGGTATCCCCTTCCTCGTCTCCTCAATCTTTTCCCCAGTCAACTCCGCATACACAATCTCCTCCTTCTCTCCCGCCTCACACATCACGCTCGCATTCGGATCCACCACCATGCTATGTCCCCAAGCATGATAACTCGCCTCCATATCCCTCGCCGGACTGCACAAGCCCACATACACCTGGTTGTCCACCGCCCTCGCCCGCGCCTGTAACTCCCAATGCAGCGCCCCGGTCGTCAGGTTGAAAGCGCCGGGGTACAAGAGCAGGAAACAGCCCTTGCGCGCGGCGATGGTGGCGAGTTCGGGGAAGCGGATGTCGTAGCAGATTGCGAGGGCGATTTTGCCATAGGGTGGGATGTCGACGAGGGTCAATTTGTTTCCGGGGGAGAGGACGTCTGATTCTCTGAAGGTGATTTTGCCGGGGATGTCGATGTCGAACAGATGCACCTTTCGGTGCGTGGCTAGTAGGTCTCCCTCGGGCGAGAAGAGCAGGGAAGTATTGTGGTATTTCTTCGTAGTCTCCACATATTCAGGTATACTGCCACCGAGCAGGTAGCTCTTACTCTCGACGGCTAGCTCGGAGAGAGCATGGAAGCTCGGGGATTGCTCTTTGGTGGGAGGGGAGGGTTGGAGAGTCTCCGCGTAAGAGGGGAAGTACTGGCAGCCGTAGGGGGAGTTGAAGCATTCTGGAAGGACGATCAGAGAGGCTCCAGCTTTGGAGGCTTCGAGGACGCGGGAGCGGGCGCGGGCAAGGTTGGCGGGTTTGTCGGCGCCTACGGAGTAAGGGTGTCAGAAAAAGGAGGAGGAGGTTGTGGTGGTGGGGGTGAGGTTGGGAGGACGTGCCTGTTGCGAGCTGCACGAGAGCGAGCTTTAGGGGTTTCTTCAGGAGGTGCGCCATTGTCACTGGACAATAGTCTTCTCTGCAAAGGTGAGTAGCCGTGGGGATGGTTTCTGGACTCTCTTGATATTTATCTCTCACAACCTTGTTTCCACTCACTTCTTGAAATCGTTTCGAAAAAGTAGCTCTCACCGCCAGCACATATGCGTACTCCTGTTACCACATACGCTTCTCAGGCCAGTCTTCAACTGCCTTACACTATGCAAGGTTCTGGTGAAGCCAAGGGCGGACGAATGGATACTGCCTTTCCTGTTTGATATCTACCACCTAGAGAGCTTCCAAAGGCACAGAAAAAAAAGCACCTACTCCATCCAACGAATGACTACAGGGCTACTTCTCTGCTCTTGAATTCGATGACCAAGGAAATGGTGGACGTGCGAAATGATTCTATCAATTTCCCAGAAGCTCCCTGGTGGCATAGACTAGCTACTCTACGGCTCTCCCAGCATCGAGACTACCTAAACGATCCTCGTAGTAGCGCCAGTCTTGTGGTGAAAATCTCATGTACGCATTTATAGTTGTTATTCGATATCAGTGGCTTCTGCCATTCTTTTGGCTACCTACTTCACGAATATTGTAGACACTTTTATTCCTGTTCGCCGCAGATTTCCGATATCTTGGCACAACAAGTAACCCCCACTCGCGCGGCCGTAGCCGCTTTAGCGAGTGAGCTAGCTGAGCAGGAGTGAATCGACAGTCGATCCTACTTCAATGATAAACACTTCCTTGCTCATCAAAAACATCCAAGACCTGCAAGAAGAGAAAAATTTGTTGAAAGCAGGCTTCATTAGTACAATGTACTTGGCCGAACATGGCAACAGGGTCGCCCCCGAAGACAGAAGCTTAAGAACCGCGGCTTTATTTGAAACGCCATTGGTCTTACTATCTGCAGAGTGTCACTCGTGAACGGTATCCTCCTTTCGTTTCGTGGCATCTCCTGTACACACTCGCTCCCACACTATTTCGGTGATCCTAACCAGACTAGCCCTGCCGGAGGCAAACGGTCAACGCTAAATATAGGTGAACGATAAACAAAAGGGTCCTGTCGGGCGGAATAGAGTCGTGATTGCTCGCGTGTCGGGTCTGGCACACATGGTACCCCGGAGTTGTACCCGGATGTGTTTGGTTACCCGGATGTGTTTGGTGTTGGGTGGAGGGGCAATACATTAAGAAGGGGGTACACGAATCACATCCCGGATCAAATGCTAAGAGAGGGCTTTCTTTAATGTTCTTAGCACGGCCTAATTAGACGAGGCTTGGTATTCAGACTTCTGTCATCCGCTACTGCGCCTCTCCGCGTCTATCTTTTTCTCTCTCTCTCATTCTCTCACAGGCCAAAGGCCAATATTGGTCCCTAGGAGAATCGTACCACGTAATAAGTTAATGATTCAGCGAGGTACAAGCTGAGTGTTGGGGCATGATCGCCGTCTCCACCTCGCGGGTACAGCCGTGAGAGCCCAAAGGCCCGGCAGATAACGGAGCTCAGAAACCTTTCGAAGCTTTTGTGTACGTGCATTTTTCGTGTGGAAAATCAGAAAGACATTGGAAATTATGTCCGTCCCTCAATCTACGAGGAGCTTATACACATGTCGAGAACAGGGTAACGTTGATTGGAGATGACACGCGTTCTGAGCAAATTCCTTCTCCATTCATAACGAAGGAGATAATCCGAAGTCCTCAATTTACCACGCTCGAGAACGTTTGCCTTTAGTTACCGACAGTAGATCCACAGCACGATCGAGCGAAGACGTTCAGTAACGGCATTCAAAAAGAGGCGCCGTGCTATCGACATGCTCGGAGACCGACATAGTCATCTTCCTTATCAATCTCACGTGCACTGTAGTCATCAAGATTAAAAGGGGATCTAAAGAACACATCAATTCTCTCTTCCAAGGCGACTGCACACAGACAAGCAAGCTGAGTACAATCATACACGTGGTTATCAATGTATTCATTACCCTTCTTCTTGGCGCCTTAAACATGTGTATGCAATTATTGGCCGCCCCGACTCGCTCAGGAATCGATAAAGCGCACAAGAAGAACAAGTGGCTAGATATCGGGGTGCCAAGCCTCCGAAAGTGGTCAGCACGGATCAAGACAGCGTGGGCCACTGTTGTCTCACTACGGCTGGAGATGTTGCGCCTCCTATCCCTGGGAATCTGTATGCTTGAACCTATTCAGGTATTGGGATCCTCGATTTGTGTCTATGTATAGGATAATCTCATCCCGTTTGTTGCTTCTCTGCCATACTCGGTAGGTATCTCATACCACGCCCATCTCCATTTCTAGACAAGTGCTGAGATAGATGGGCCGCCCTCAGCAACTACATGCCCGCCTCCAGGATACTCTTCCGGTCTTCAGATACCTCAAGCATTGCGTCTATCTGCCTACGGTGATAGATTCACTTACAGAGGATCTTGTTTATACGAAAATAGCTGAGCTCTGTCCCTACATTAGAGGGTAGCTGAGCGCCTTCGAGGCCGCGGGCTTTGCGATGTGCTACGCCGTGCACAACCCCATCGAGTACATCGCGCTACCCTCCAAACCACCCAGCTCTCGCGATCATATAGTGGCGCCCGCCCTAGCCTGTATGCGGGGTGACGTCGATGCAGATTTCAGTCATTATGGCACGTCATTCCTTTAGGCTTTTGACGGTTGCTATGTATGATTGTATTGAGAAAACCAGTGAACCACCTTGGGATAGGATTTAGTAGAATCCTTGGATGTCGGACGACCCAAAAGAATGTACCAGAAATCAGCAGCTCATTTAGTTCTTGCTTTTCTTATCTACTTTTACATAAGTCTTACTATTCTTTCCAACACAGCGATCAGAAGGTTAAATGACTACGCTGGACGAAAGCTTCTCACCGGGGAGCTAGATCGTGCATGTCACCACCTCAGGCAGCTGTCCCATCGCTGCATCAAGAAAGCGTGGCTACGCTATTGTGTCTTTTTTCAGGTAATGTAGGTACGAAGCCTAGAGCGCTGTCGATACCACTATTGAACGCTCAAGTCTTGATAGCCCGAATTTCTTCGATGCTTTCTTTTTTCTAAAAAGAGCGAGGAAGATTAGTGTCTTCGCCCAATTCATATACAAGTTTGCGCAAGCAATACCGACGCACGAGAACATGGCCATTCTGTACACCTCAAAAAGACATGCTTCGCCCGGCGGATAGATACAAAGGGGCCTCAAATCGCATTTGATGTTTCAATGTTTCAAGAAGGGAAGTCACATTCAGTAAGTATAGGCATCCACTCAGAGGCGCAACAGATCTACAAATAAGATCACGATTCATGCGAATTCAGACCCGAACGACCTAAAACGTACCAGAACTGCGTTTTGAATGTATCCTGAAGGCACAAGGACAACAGATTGTCACCAGCGACAACGGTATTCCTGGCATCTTGCAGAACTCTCACGAGCCTCTGGAGCCAAAATCCGGCAATGTTTCAGCAAACGGGGTTCATGCTGCTCCTCACCCTCATCGGCGTCATCTGTTCAGCGCGTCTGGGATTCGCAGCGACCGTACCGCTTGCACAAACTATCAACTCGTCTTCGATCGATCGACCCTCCGCCAACGAACATCACCACTGTCAAAGCTCATTATATAGACACCCGTTTCACTACCACAACGAATTTTCCGGACATCCCGGTCGACGAGAACGGCTGTCTAATTCCCGCTACGCGAGCGTTTCTATCTCGGCCAGAAGCCCGCCCGGGGGAGGAATGATCCAAGTCCGTTTCCTTCTCCGGGGATTGTATTCCGGCATCAGCTCGATGCTTCAGGGAAACGACCGGAGACTCGTCCAGTACACTCTTTTGTAGGACGGAGCGATGGAGGAGAATCGAATCGAGTGTCTCGAGAGAAGTAGGGAAGAGAGAATTCGGAGTATGCTTGAGGTTGATATCATGTCTCCTTTCCGTCGTCGCCGCTTCTCCGGTAAACACGCGAATCTATCCCACCGCGGGTCCAGTATGCCCCTGAAGACCTGGGCGTGGGAGGAAAAACGGAATGGGGTTCTGATCAAGTGGGGATCAGGCGGCAGCTCAGCCCCAATGATAGGGGGGGCAGGAATACCCAGGATCGGCCGTCGCGCGACCTTTGGGCGGCGCTCATTCGATGCCCAGTTGGGGGGTGAGTCTAGGGGTGATTTCTGTCTTGTTGGCTTGTCAACAAGGTTGAGGATCCGGGTTGAAAAATTGGAAGAGAATGCTCTTGGGGAGGAAGGGGGATATTTGGCAATCTAGCATGACGTGAGCGTCTTGCTGCATTTCTCTGGTTTATTAATTATCTAAGATCTATTGGCATTCTAAGCATGCATGTTCGAATCTATTTCTATACCTTTTTGCCAGGCGATCAACGGCATACCCAGACCGCCACGCTGGACTTTATGATTGGTTTGCCCGCCATGCTCAACTTGAGCCATATTACGTAAGGCGCGTCATGTTCTGCCGTACCATTACCTCAACAGCCCGGACGGCAATCGAGTCCACCATTCAACAGAGATCACCTTGCACTTGTCTGCTGGATGAATGACACGGGCACATTGATTTGGCCAACCGGCGTTTCACAATACGTTCCACCGAAGAGTCCATAACAGAATGTCGCATCGGTAACATCGACAGCTCCGCTGTAAGTGTAAGTGTGGCTAAGGATATTTGTCAGCGCTGTGACTTCCTGAATACAATTGAAGGAGCGGGCATGCTTACTTTCCGCACTCGACACCCGTTCGTTCCACGTTGAGATCTGTTCCATCGTAGTAGAACGCCACGCCTGATCCACATGGAGTGTAGTTGAAATCGATGAGCGATGAGCCAGGCAACAGGCTCAGCTCACACGTAGCTGTAACAGCCGGGTTGAAGTTGGGATCCGCAAAGTCAAAGACGAGTGACGTAGTCTCTTGTGTTGAGCCAGGATAGGTACAATTGGTGCAGGTATGATATTGTTGTATGGCCCATGATTCGCTGGTACAAGAAGACTGACGCTTGGTGATGCTGTTGGGATTTGAAACCGCGACAGCAAGTGAAGCCAACGAGAGAAGCTGGAGGACATGCATGGTCCCTGTGACCAAGGCTGATGCTGAGAGATAGAGAAGTCAACGATGATATGGGGATGGGCGAGGCTTTCGTTCAAAATATGACTGGGAATGGCTGAGAACTTCTTCTTCTTCTTCTTCTTCTTCTTCCTCTTCTTCCTCTTTTTCTTGAGCAAAATGGGACTTGAACAAGAGTACATTGAAGCAAAGATGAAACACAGACGCTGATCTTCATATACAGCTGCAACCCGGGAATGCCGCTACGGTTACGAAACTTACAGCGGTCAGGCGTTGAGAGAGTAGCCGCATCAGTGTTGAGCTTTACAAGGTAGGTATCACAAGATCATTGCAGAAATACCTCGTCAGGCCGTTTTTGAGCCGGGTGGCCCTTGCATACGACCATGCTCGAATGAACATATTCCTGGTGTCGTTAGCTTCCCCGGCCTGTGCAATATAAAATACGTCCGACACCGAGTCAGCTGAGCTGATGCGCCACATTGCTCGTAGTCTACATGTATCTTTTTCTTCAGCGGACGGAGATGCGAGCAGGCTGTGCTCGTGTATGTACACACAGCCATGAGGCCACCCACCTTTTACAAGCTGATCTCGACCTGCATCAGTCGTCGGGTAAGTAGGTCGAATGAAGCCGCGTGGTGTAAGCGTGGGGATTGGCCGGGCATCCCGGGTAAGGCGATCGTCGTGAATCGTGAATCGTGATCGTGATCGACAATAGAAACAGGGGTCACGGATAGCTCCGATGCCAAGAGATAAGGCAAATGCCGCTAAGTCATAAATGTAAAAAGGTCCAACCTCATCATCGCTCTTTCGGTCTCTATTTATGGGTTCCCCTCCTCCCATTCTAATTGTAGAGAGTCACTTAGGCACTCTACATTACAGTGAAGTTCCGTGCTCAGTGTTGCTTAGCAGACATTGGAACTTTCGGTGGAATCGGATAGACAACACTTGGATTTCACCAACACCCATGGGTGTGAGTTCAAAGGACATTGAAGAGCTATGAATCAATCACTGGCCTTTTTGGTGAATGTAAATGAGGCGTTGAGAAGTTTTCGGCGTCTCCAACTCCATAGGCTTCCTGATGCGCAGCAGATAATGCTTTCCCACGAGTGGGCTGAATCGTCGCTGTCGTTGTTGAACGCAGCGCATACCGTCGAGGGTATTTCCATCTACATTTGAAGACTACCGTTCCTTCCCTCTTTATCCAAATTGAAAGGAAAAACGCGACTTGTAATGATGTCAAGGCCGTTGCTTGTGTCTTTCTTTCCTTTCTCTTGTCTTCAGAATCACCTACTCTTTCTCCATCACCCTCTCTTCTTGCATCAATTAATAGCAGCCTACATCCTAATCTCGTCACCGTCCCGATGCTGTAGCCCTTTCCCAGCTTCTGCTTATGGAGAAGGTTGCTCGCCGGGTCGATGCACCTTTGCTACCTGAGCGGGGCTTGACAACATCCTCGGCGGTAGACGCGGATCTCCGAGACCGCATTCGGTCTTTACTGATCTCTCGCAACCGCCGATACCCTCCGAAAACACCCTGCTCTACTCCGGACTACAGCTATCAGACTCGAGATCCTGACGGGAACCATCTTGACCTCCCTCCTGTCCTTCCCCACACTTACAGATTCAGTCCAGCTGAAGCCATTGCTGAGCTCACTCGATTGACGTACGAGCCTCCGGACATGGGAGCTACCAGGTTCGATGGACCTGCCGGTCAGGTCGATGATGACGATGCTGATAAATCTCCGAGACGACCAAGTCAGCCAAATAGGCAGAACGATCGTAACTCAACAGTGGAGGGACCTCGCTCGCATGCCACGTCAGGCCTGAATCAACGATCTCATGCTGACGTTCTTGGCCGCGATGCTTCGTTCGTTGATGGACTAAAGCGGGCAACATCATCGGCATCGAAGACATCGAAGACATCGACTGGAACCCGCATACCACGATTTCACCTACGCACCGTACCGCCTGCAGTCGACGTTAACAAGGCTCTGAGACCCGCTCCCTTACATGTTCCGGGTAGCTACCGATCTGAGGTCCCTAGCAGAAAGGAACAGGTCTCTAGGGCCACTTCTCCACCTCCAGACGACGATTTAGATACGACGGGCGAGGATCCGCAGGCCATGCCGACGTATGCAGGACTCGGTGACGGGAGTCCGCACAAAGCCATCGATATGTTGACTCAAGTGGCAGAGCATGCCCACACCGTTGCTGATCCATCGAGATCGAGTCTACACAGGACGCCGTCACAAGCAAAGCTCACACCGACTAGCCCCGTGAAGCAGCCTCAAGATCTGCTCTTAAATTTTCGTGCTGGTGGAGTCGCCGTCGGTCAAGCCGCTCAACCTGTCCTCACGTCTAGTGCGGGCCACGGCCACGGCCACTATCATGACAACCCCTCTGGAGCGCCCGTATCCATTGTTGGGGATGATAACGAAGAGAGAAAAGTTGGAGCTTCAGTGGCTTTGAACGCGCGCGACAATCTTGGCTTCTCTACCCATCCGGAAGAGGGGAGCGATCCCCTAGGTGGTCCAAAGATCTCGGCTTTGCTAGCTCAATTACCACCACTGAGGCAAAGCACAATGAAAGACGTCAGTGCCAGTTCCTTGACCACGGAGCCATTTGTAGTACCTGAGAAGGCATCTACGAACACCTACTCGCCCTCGGTGTCTAGTCTGGAATCGGTCCCTCTCAACGCAGATGAAGGCGTTCTTAGCCAAGACTCTCCTCTTCTGCCGAAGCCTTCTCAAGCCAATTCTTCTGCCAAGGGAGAGCGAGGAAAAAGGACCGACCTAGAAGTCGAAGAAGAGGCTTCGGCTACGCAATACAAAAACTCCTCTCAGAAATCCCCGAAGGCTTCAACAGCCAGTAGGGCCATGTCAATGCTCTCTGAGATTAGTGCCCGGACCGGACTTCAAACACCTTCTTTACGCTCAATCACGAGGCGTAAAAAGAGTGGCTCTACAGCGATTTCGAACTTGACAACTAGGCCGCGTCGCCATTTTGCAGCTACTACCCAAGATAAGGCCACGCTATCGGCTGGCAAGGGGTACAAAGCACTGGGCGACGAGACCCAGGTCGAGAAACCGGAAAACTCAGACAGCATAGATCGGTTTCTGGCCTTACGGAACCAGCAGAAAAACGGTACGGCTTTTACGAAAGTCATTCATGACCTCGAGTCTCTACTCAACCAAGCTTTGACCATTGCCGGCCAAGCTGCCGACCAGGACGATGCTGAGACTACGCCACTAAAGGCTCGTCACCTCAACCATGTCCATATTCGCGCACACTCAACCGAGTCGATCGACAGCAGCCAAGGCTTGTCGTCCCTATCTGGAGGTGGCGATGAAGAAGATCATTACACGTCGGTACCGCCTCAGCAAGTGACTATCGAGGAGCCCAAGAGCGATGCTCTTTACCGTGGCCACTTCAGAAAAGCTCGGGATGGGACACCATATCCTGCGCAAACAAGGCAGGCCTCCGCAGTGCCGTACCTTGAGGTTGATGATAAGACACATATGAAGCCGCAAAATACAAATCGGCTCCTTGACTTACCAAGCGCTCCAAAGGCGGCTGGCCGAGCTGAAGAACCATCGTGGGAACAGTCTGTCACTGCAAACGACTGGGCGGTAATTAGAGCACCATCTCACACTTCTAAGCTACGTCTGGAGACGAAGCCACCGCCACGTGCTCCTCAGACGCTACCCAATGCGCAACCCTCTACGAAAGAGCAACACGCTTTGCTCCTGCGAGCTCACGGTGCATCTGAGAGCACTATTTCGAGGGAAGTTGTCCGAGACTACGTCAATGCTCACCAGCAGCCACCAATTCAGCCTCGCCTGAGCTCAAAACGTTTGAAAAAAGGCCGAGTCCCACAGCCAGAGGAGCTTAACTTACCAGACCCCGAAATTTCTGATAGTGATGGACAAAGCGATTGCGAACATGTACCGTACATGGCAGACTTCAAGACCGCTGGGATTCACTACCATCCGGTAGTCCAAGAGACAATGGCTGGTGATGGTCATTATACGGCAAGACCTGGCGGACGTGGAATACAACCTCGCCAAGATACTGCCGCATCACTACGTGACGCCGACGACAAACAAAAGACTTCACATCATAGGGAGCGCTCCGGCAACAAGGATTTCACTTTGAATGACCGTCATCATTTCAGTATCCGAGAGTCACATGGCTTCAGTCTTAGCAGATCTCACCGTCGCTCGCCAATCGCTCGGGATTGGAGCACCTCACGCAAGAGATACGTTGCTACTGTGACTTGTATTACGACGGCATTCATGGGATTGATTATTGGAATCTATGCTGGTGAGGTGCCTGCTATTCAGTACGCTATTGCGGATGAGCATCATTACACCATTCTGGGAAACGTGCTTTTCTTCCTTGGCTTGGCCATCACCACGGCGCTTTTCTACCCTTTACCTCTGCTTCATGGGCGAAAGCCGTACACGCTGGCTGCACTAGCCATACTCTTGCCGTTGCAATTTCCACAAGCTCTTGCGATCAGCTCGCAGAGATCCCCGAATGTGGCGACATACCGAATTGGGCTCCTACTTCCACGGATTTTCGCAGGAATCGTAATGGGCTTTGCAAACATTAACTTCATTACGACCTTGTTAGACCTTTTCGGAGCTTCTTTGCAGAGCGGTAACCCTCACCAGGAGACGGTTAATGTCAACGATGTTCGGAGGCACGGAGGAGGGATGGGTGTATGGCTTGGTATCTGGACATGGTGTGCTATCGGATCGATAGGGATCGGGTTCCTCATTGGTGCAGGTATCATAAGTGGCTTGGATGTTTCTTGGGGCTTCTGGATTACAATCGTTGTAAACGCCGCTGTGCTCGTACTCAATATCCTCTCGCCAGAAGTCCGCAGATCCGCCTACCGTAGATCGATGGCTGAGGTTCGCAGCGGAGGTGAAGTTTCCAGAAGAGTCGCTCGAGGGGAGATCAAGATGCACCTTGAATCAACAGGACCAATCTGGTGGTGGGAAGAGGTCATCGCAGGGCACGTGCTCGCCGTTCGCATGCTCTTGCAACCAGGCTTTGCGATTCTTTCGCTCTACCTTGGATGGATATATGGTCAGGTGGTTTTGATTATCGTGGTGAGTCTGTCACGACAACATGGTGGGTTCACGACTTACAAGTTGGCAGCTTCTTGGGGCTCTGCTCTCCAAGTACTATCGCTTTCATCCCCAGTACGTTGGTCTGGGCGTGGCGATCATCCCTCTTGGAGCTCTCTTCGCCATACCCTTCCAAAAAGCGTCGTTGTTCAGTCGAGCACGGCACCATGCTCAACGGACTGATAGCATGACATTTGAAAAGCGCGTCACCTGGACGTCTCACCTCGTCCGGAGGGCTATCTTCATGATCTCATTGCCGTTCGCGGGGTTGGCCTACACTTTGGCTTCCGGTGGTCAACCTACGAATTACATGGTGCCTATCATCTTCGCCGGCCTGATCGGGTTTCTTTCCAACCTCGCCATTGCTGAATGTCAAGGCATTATTATGGAGACCTATGATACTTCCGACTTGCAGCCAGGGATGACGGGAAGGCCTCGCCGTGTGCTACCGGAAGAGACTCGGAAGAAGAGGACCAACTTCTCCTGCTTCCCTCGGGTGACAGCAGGGTTCGCGGTGGCGCAGACGTTTGCCTTTGTCATTGCTGCCGGTGTTACCGCTTGGGGTGGGGTTGTTGAGAGGCATCTCGGGGCTCAGACGGCGACGACGGTGATGGCGGGCGTGCTACTGATTTTGACGTTGCTACTGATTGCCATTCTCACGCGCTTCAAGGTGGTTCAGATTATTCCATCGGAGAGGTTCGGAACGAACATCTTGTCCGGTCCGGAGGATGAGTGGAAGCCCGTCATCATTGGTACCCCTAGCGGTACTACGCGCCGGATGAGTGTGTTGGAGCTAGGCACTCTGAGCAGGTGGAGTGAGATCCGGCGAAGGAATAAGCTTTCGGGTCCTGTGCGATGAGGTGGTTGCTGTTGTATTCCTACCGGAGCGTTGCATTGTTGATCATAGCTGGTCTACTTTACAATCGATGCTACCGTGCCTACTATATGTGTGTCGTACCTATTCGTGATACGCTCACGTGTTACATCCGTGCCCAGCCTTCCATACTGTGCCAATCATGACGCCAAGTCGAGATCAAGTTCTGGAAATCTTTGGCCACCCGTATTGAATCCACAGCGGTCCAAGCTAAAGTATGGTAGCTCCTATCGTCTACCTTAACCCTCTGACACACAATACATGTACATTGCGGGAGCTAGGTATCGTGGCTGGTTGATTAAGCGCTATGGATGAAGGGAAACTTTGCATGGGGTGTCGGAACAAGCAACGATTATTGACCGACAGCCACAACAACAAAAAGGTTCAAGAATTCCATGATTCACACTGTACTCTTATGACCAAAGTACTTGGCTATGCCTCCCTGACACGGTAATAATCGTCAATGCGGCGGGACGGGATGGTGCGACTGCCACGCTAGGGTATTAATGATACTTTATGCAAACCGGTATTACCGTCATACCATGAGATCTCCGAAAGGATTCCCGTGACCCTCTTCCGACCTTCGGATGCAGGTATTTCCTGTCCCTCGGGTCCTCTGTATCGTGTATCATACGGTATTTCTTTTTCCCTTTTTCTTTTTCTTTTTCCCTTGCCAATGAGCCTAGGTAGTTAATATTGTCAATCATTATTATTTCCCTTGCCAATGAGCCTAGGTAGTTAATATTGTCAATCATTTATTATTTTAATTATTGGAATGATTTAAAATTATCTCCATGAAAATCTTTTCTCCACCCGGGCCATTCCCGCCGCCGATCCACGAAAGCGTAAACCCATCTGGACCTTTTTTTCTCGGACTCGGCCAAAATACCATTGGCCACGTTCACGGCGGCTCCCAAAACCACCAGCCAGCACTAAGGTAAGTAAGCAGTTCGTCGCGATCGCGGCCGACCGCGACCTACCTACTTTTTAGCGTGAACTATGAAGGGCCTGTTCCGGTGTTTTTGCTCTGCTCGCTCTGCAAAAGGGTGGAAAGAGATGCAAGGGTAAGTATCCGCGGAACCGGGAGGGGAAGAGAGCATCGTCCAACCAGAGAAGTCGGTCGATTCCCGGCACACTGGGCTACTTTTAACTGCTGCAGCTTCTGGAACCTCTCAAACTTTTAACTCTCCATGAACGCCTGGGAAAATGATAATTATTGTGTCCCGCCAAACACGGCCAAACTCTCAACCGCGATTCCCTCGTCCCCAACCGCCTTTCATGCCCATGATTTCCTTCCAAATATCCTACAGAACTACACAACACAGCATCTCTCTTCCCATACTCTCTAGACCTTTCCCGCGCCCTTCCACCAGCCCTGTCATGTCTCCACGGTCGCAACTGGAGCTACGTGATTGACCCTTTTATACTTCCACCATTATTGTGGTCGGTGGTCATAGGGACGCTGGGAATCCTTCTCTAGCGAATTGGGTTTAAGACCACTGGCCTTCTGCACACTTCGTACCACTGGGCTGGTTCTCTCTGCCTCGCCAACGGGCGCCGTACATATACACTACCACGTTGGATCTGGACACCCTCGCACCATGTTTGACGACTTTTCCTTCGCATGCGCCTCCAGGCAGCACGCCTTCTACCATCCATATCCAATGGATGACAGTGTCTCCCCCAATTCTTCTGGCGACTCGACGCCTTCTTATGACAATGGCTGCCATGGCTCCCCTGAGCGAGGATATCCGATCGCTACCACCATCGCGGAACTGTCTCAGCATTTCGACCAGCACACCCTCACGCCACGGCGGCCGAGCGTATGCGTAGAAGGATCAATACCACATGCGCGCGAGCTAAACCCGCCCCACCATTTGCCAAACAGCTTCTCGGATCGAGTCTGCCGTCGACGGCAGAGCCTCAACCGTCTTCAATGCTCCTCCGACCACCTCTCACGCATATCGGCACTCGTTGAAGAAATGGTGCAGACCGGACAGCCATTATACGAACCCACCCATCCTGCCGCCCTGCTCGATGACTCCACTTCCCCATCGCTCTCCCCCGAAGTGGTTCCGCCCGTGGCATCCTACTTCAACATTTCTGCTTCGAGACCCTCCTCCTCCTCCAGCGCCAATTGCGATCCGCGAATACCACAGCATTCTCTCCGACGTTCACAGTCGTATAAGATCGAGAAGGATTTGAGACACAGTGCGTCGAGGGAAGGGATTGGGAAGCATATGGTGAAGAAGAAGATCAGGATGCGGAAGAGCTTGAAGATGCTGGAGAGTGGGGGAAAGAGATGTGAAAGATGAACAGCAAGTTCCGATCATATACTGAGCAATTACATTCCGTGTATATATATCTTGAGTGGCCAGGGGTCTTAGAACGAAGTTTCTCTTGGAGGATTTTGGAAGTTTGGAAAGTCATGTTGCTCAGTGTATTCTCGTGTGAAGAGCGATGGGTTTCTTGAGACATGACCTCGAGTACCTTTTCTTTGGCATTGAGAATGAGTTATGGTGAAGATCCGATGAAGCTTTACTTCGAATTTAGAGATGACTGAATCAAATTTCTTTTTTTCTAAAAGTGGGTTTTTTTATAGAGCGAGGACACAATAATTTACCGAGATTCGACTAAGTGGAAGGATTATCTCGCCTATCAAAGAAATAAATGTATGTGCTAGAACCCAACAAATGTCCGACCCAGCCGAAGAGCAGGTATAACCGAAGCGCTAGTGCGACAGGAGAGCCCTCACCAAAGAGCTGGGCTGGTTTATCTCGTATGTTCGTTCAGAGAGCCTCATTGACAACATGGTAATACCCAGAATTAATTTCACAGCGTACTCGACCCCATCTTATGCTAAAACAATAGACCGAGCTGTCCATGTGAAAATCTACCCCAGGCCGCGGGATCTGGCTGAAAGTAGAGGAGTACTGCGGGTACTCCAGCAGTATGGCGACGTTGTCATGTACAAGAATCTCAAGGTAGGTTGCTGTATGGCGCTGACCTGTTGAGTCTAATGCTAAGAAAATTACAGTTCCATGGCTAATAGTGGTGGCAGCATGAACCCGAACGCCCCGCCCCCAATACCGCTTTTGCAGTATATCAGAATACGGATTCCGCGCAGAATATTATCAATGCTAGTCCGTTGCGCTTTGAATTGGGAAGGGCTGACTCCAGCTCGTCCGTGTCGCAATTCATGCCATCAACACCGCCTTCAGCCGAGGCAAAGGAGGACAGTGGTCCAACTCCCCAAGAAGAGTCTGATCATGCCCAAGAAGAATTTGATGAAGTCAACACCGCCCGGCAGCGGCCAAATGACGCTTCAGGTAGAGGAACGACCTTTACAGGCTTGAGTGGGACGGTTCGATGGGGGGCAATGCGCTCATTCCCCAGCACCGACGAAGCAGCGACACGCCCGTCTCTCTCACAACCTCCCAAGACCTTCACCCCCAATCCTACTCCTCTCAAGACATCTTCTGCCGACCTCCCAAACCCTCCCTCGGGTATCCAACCGACCACGGCATCCTCATACACTCCGCGCGAATTCCACCTCATAATCGAGCGCTCTATGATGAATCACCATCTCTACATCCAACGACAGCACTACTACGCTGGCTTTACTTTAGACCTGAAGGGTGCGATGGGGGACGATTTGGAGGGAAGGGTGCCTGTAGCTGGTATGGCGGACTGCCAGCTTGGGAAGCCGGAGGTACCGTTGAGAATACGGATGAAGCAGCGGGAAAAGAATGATAACATGGGATGGACGAGCCTGGGGAGCTTGTGGGAGGAAGGGGAGAGGGCGAGGGAGAGGAAAGCGGCTGGGGAAGTCGGTGTTGACGATGGAGTTCGTGAATTCGCTCCCTTGACATGAGATCATGCTAAACATGGGTACAGACAGAGGACGTTCCCATACGCAGAGGGGTTCCCATACGCAGAGTGAGCATCCGACCCCACAACCTCGGAGACTAAATCCGAAGAAGAATTCTCATAAATCCACACGAAGAATGGCTTCTCGGATCTCTCTCCCACGTCGGATCTCGTGATTTCGTGATGCATGACCCTGTCAACGATCCCCTCGATCTGAACGGCCGCGATCATCAAGCATCCAAACTCCAAGTTCCGTACACCGGGGTCAACTTCCATGTCGCTTGCCGGCCCGTGTCCAGAGACGCCGTCAGATTTGGCTTGGGAAATTAGCTTGTTACTCTGGATGGCGATATTTCAGTAAGAGGAACACGCAATGGGCCATCTCATGGAGCATCGTCGCGAAAGTTTGCCGGAGCAACTCTAGGAGGCTGCCTCACCGCATAGATTCCTACCAGGATGAGGTTTGAAATGTCAACTTTGATTACATCCTGTTAGAGTCATCGTCACAGTTGTTCAGCATGGTACGGGAAAGAGACCGTCTGAGCGATTGCCCGGGAGTAAAAGGGCTCATGATGAGCAGTCGGGACAAGAACCTGGTTGACAGACTGAGACATCAACATGAAGTAACATCATTGACCATTCGGGTGCGTGATGGAATCTCATACATCAAGTCGCCGCCGAGTCAGCGTCCATGATGCAAGTACTCGTCCAACCACGTCCGAAAGCGATCCTTCCAACACAGAGAATTCCGATGCAACAGGTTTTTTTTCTAAACCCATAGACTCGATATCCTATCCCCCACAAATACAAGCACAACCTTGGCCCCCCCTTTCCTCACCTCTCCCCCAACCATCCCTCCTCCTCGTAAAACACAAACCAACCCCACGCCTACTTATCCCCCACCCACCCCCCATCCGAACCCAGCAGAAAAAAAGACAGACGGACGGACAAACAATCCAATCCAATCCAACCCAACCACATCCCCCCCAACCTCAAATTCCGGCTCCAGCGCCCCCCTTTGCCCAAAACCATCACCTTCAACTCCTGCCCGCCCTCCTCCTCCTCCTCCTCCTCCTCCTCCTCCTCCGTCGCCACATCGATCCTTGGACCGGCGGGCACAACGGATGGAGTGTGGTGCTCATCCCCGCGTCATCGGCTGGCTGGTGGCTGGATGTGGATGGGGATGGGAGGAGGGAGGGAGGGGGGAGGGGCGAGGGAGGGAGGGAGGGGGGGGGGGGGGGAGGGGGGGAGGGGGGGAGGGAGGGGGTAGGGAGGGAAGGGGGGAGGGAGGGAGGGAGGGATCGGAGGGTGGGTGGGAGAGGTTGAGGGAGGGGGGGTTGAGGGGGGTTTGGGAGGGAGGGAGGGAGGGAGGCCGAGGAGGAGGGGAGGAGGAGGAGGAGGAGGAGGCCAGAATGGTATGTATCCATCAACATCATCCACTCGCACACCCCCCTCCCCCAAAGGCGGCGACCGGGACGTCGTCAACAGGGGGCAATGGATGGATGGATGGGGGGATGTCTTTGAGAAGAGAGAGACAGACGATCAGGCTCGGAAGGACGGTTGGACATTTTCCGAGATCGATATCTCCGAGGTGACATTTTCCGAGATCGATATCTCCGGCACACGGAGGGCGGGGAAGTTTGGTCGAGAGTGTGTAGTGGGTGAGTGAGTGAGTTGAGGCAAGGGGAGCTAAGGTGTCTGTCGCTCTTCGGAACGGAGGATGGAGGTGATGGTGCTTTGAGTGGGAACTGCGGTGCCGGATGGGGAGTACTGGCTTGGCGTGCACCTTTGGCAAAGGGACAGAGCTTTTCCGTAGTGGGAAGAATAGAAGACGGGGAAGTTGACGAGAAGAGGTGATTGAATTGAGACGGTACGATAAAGACCGTTAACTTTTATAAACGCGTCAATAAACCATAAGCCAATTAACGATCGTGCTTTACCGTTGTCATTTTGCACGTGCGCGGTAACTTCGATTCATCTCTCTAGTAGATCTTTCTCAGACTCCAACCCACCTTCAAAACCCTAGCCCAGATGAAGCATATCAGCCCCCCTCCATAACAAGCTCCCACAAACCCGATCAAGCCAGTGTACTTCCCGCCCTCCGTCGCCAGAAGCTGCCCCGCGATCGGTATACCGGTCAAGCAGCCGAAGCTCACCACGGTGTACAGACTCGCATACCATCTTCCAAACACTTCGGTCCCGCACAGCTGCCCTACACACACTGGTGTTAGACTGATGTTGCTTCCCGAGGCGAAGCCGAAGAGGACACAGAAGATAACCAGCTGAGCGATGCCTCTGCTGCCATCCCCCGGTGAGCCGGTGAGCCACACGGCGAGGACGGAAATGAGACATAGAGCCACCGTGATGATCATCGTATTGAACCGCCCAAACAAGTCAGCCATGTAGCCTGGCGCCCAACGACCGAAGAAGGACCCCGCGTTCAGGATGGCGAGCAACTGATAGCTGAAAGTAGGCGAAACGCCCCCGGCGAGAGCGTACGAGGAGATGTAGGAAAGCGGGATGAAGAGAGCCCACTCGATGAAGAAGACCCCTGCGGTCGTCAACACGAAGACTCGGTTCTTGAAGATCCGCCAATCGGGCCAGATGTTCTGAACGACGTGACTGTCTTTCGACGGTTGCAGACGGCTGCGTATGAGCAGGTTGGCGATGCAGAGGAGGAAGAGGAAGAGGAATGCGAGGACCCGCGTCGCCCACCGGAAGCCGACTTCGGGGAAGAGACGCTGGAGCATCAAAGGAAAGATGATGCCACCCACACTACCGCCGGTGGTAGCGAGACCTGTAGTAGCGGCGCGGCGTCTGGAGAAGAAGTGTGCTATGGAGCCGATCGCTGGGGTGAAGATGAGGGAGGAGCCCACACCGCAGAGGATGGAGTATGTCAAGATGAAGTGCCAGAGTTCTAAAAGGGAGAGGGAAGTCAGCGAAGGTAGCCTGGAAGCAGAGCCGGAAGACAGCCATTGAATGAAGACAGGAGCAAGCGGCACTCACTGCTACTCTCAGCCACCCCCATCATCCCGCCCACCAAGAACACGGTGCCCGCAAACACCAACCACCGGGGCCCGTGGGCGTCAAAGACGGGCCCGATCTGCACCCCGCAGAAGAAGGTGAGGAAAGCGTAGAGACTGAAGATCCAGCCGACGGCACTGGGGGACTCGTGGGCCAACTGGTGCGTGCTGAGGTACGCCTGGAAAGTCCCCGCGCTGTTGAGGATCCCGAAACCGGCCGTCATGCCGCTGAAGGAGCCGAGGACGACGAGCCAGGCACGCAGACCGCCTTCGGGAAAGGCGTGGACTTCGGTCTGGTCTGGTGGCCCGGTCTTGTCGTTGGGTGTGGGCCCGTCGGTGGCGGTCGGAGGGGGACGGTCGGAGACATTGACGGCTGAGCTGTCGTCCTCTGGGATCGGATTGAGCTGCTCCGGTGATGTTTGTCTGGATTCATTGCTCTTGTCGTGAGCGGCCGTACCGTCCGTCGTACTTTTGGCTGAGGGGTGCTGGAGAGCATCTACATTGCGTAGACTTTCGGTCTTCTCCTTCAGAGGATTGGCACTCGACGATGGGTGATGGGAGGCAACGTGATTCAAGCACGCCTTCTCTTCATCAGAGCCAGGCCCTCGATCTATGGCTCCGTTGTGGCCATTGCGTCTGTTTGCAAAAACTCCTTCATCCAATAACTCTTCTCCATCTCGCAGTGGGCCCATAGACTCTCGCCGACCGTCCTCGTTCATCCGAGCTCTTGCCAGTCCCGTTCCCACAGACGCCGACTCTGAGCCACTGTGGAGGAGGAGGGATCGATGGAGGACGGCATTGGGTTTGCGGTGCGAGCCATTTCGCGCTGGCTATTGACTACTAGCACGGCCAGTGGATTTTCCATCGCGTAATGGCTAAATGTGGGGTCCACCAGGCGCTATCGGAGGTCTCCGGCGTGGTCGTCGAGCTCTTGGAAGTGGGAAATCGGGATCCGAGGGTGATGGGGATGAAGCGACGGTGGAGACGGCGAGTGTTGGATGGATCTTGGAGAGGCGAAGGATGAAAGGGATTCAGTACGGTTGAAGGATCCTACGAAACACTAACGGAAAAGCTCGAACGGTGGAGATGGAATGAGGAGCTCGAGGGATCCAGACGGAATGAGGGATTAGATACGGGCTCGAATGATGCAGGTGGAAAGAGGGAGTGGAAGCGAGAGTTGGTACTTGATCTTATTAATCTATCCTATGCTCAATGCTGGATGTGCGCAGTAGTCATGCCGAGGATTTTCGGGCGCGAATTATTGTTGAAGGACTGCCATGCCAATAATGCTCCTGTGATGCCTAATTACATGAATCGAATGCCTCGCCTCCCCATTAATCGTAACTTCTTTTCCAACCGATATGCATCAAGAAAGAAAATCGGAACGCTTTCCACATCCATCCCCTCACTTCCCCACGCCGTGATCTTGCCTGTTGCTGATGACTGTGTTGACCGAAGGAATCTCTTACAGCATGGCCAAGACGGCAGCGGCACCGATGGCGACGGTCACTAGCTCCATGCTGTAGCTCATGAGAGAAGCAGCACCGTGGAAAGTAGCAGCCGAAGGAGATGGTGTGGTGAGGGTACCGTTGGCGGTAGCGCTTGGGGACACGCTGGCCGAGGCGACTTGCTGGAGTTGACCGTCGGTGATTTGCTTGACGGCGGGAGTGACAACGGCAACGGAGGTAGAGGTGGCTTGCTGGAGCTGACCGTCGTTGATTTGCTTGATGGCGGGAGTGACAACGGCAACAGGGGTAGAGGTGGAGGTGGCTTGCTGGAGCTGACCGTCGTTAATTTGCTTGATGGCGGGAGCGACGACGGCAACAGGGGTGGATGTCGCCTGTTGGAGCTGGCCGTCGGTGATCTGGTTGACGACGGCTGGGGTCACCACAGATGTGGGCTGCTGGAGCTGACCGTCGGCAATCTGAGCGGCAAAGGTGGTGGCAACGAAGGCCAGAGCGAGGACGATTTTCTGGATGGAAGGCATTGCGAGGGATGATGGTATTATTTTTGAGGTTTGGAGTATGGAGGATATGCGAGTAGTATTGACTTGAAAGCGACTGTACTGATCGTAGATAGATCCGAAGCGACTGTGATTGTTTGGATGTTGATGAAAAGTGAGTGAAATGTGAAGAAGACTTTTGGTTTGGGTATGAGTGTGATGTGATTAGGAGGAATCGAAAAGGAAAAAAGGCGAGGAATGTGAGCTGTTTATCTATGAAATCGGCGGCACGGAAAAAAGCTGCTAGTCTCCCACGGGTCGAGATTGGTTGCACTGGGAGATTCCTGCCACGACCAAGGATTTTAGCACCCAACCTCCCCCAATTAATGCAAGCCCACCCCCCCCAAAACCTTCACTCTCCACCAACCAGAAGAAGCAAAGTAAAAAAGACAAATTTAGCATATCTCGGATATCTAACCTTTCCAAAGGGCGCAAAAGGCTGGTAGAAAATAATTGCTGGTCCGCTGGTGTTGCCCCTGAACACTGCCTAGGAGGTAGCCTACTATGAGAGCTCACCATCCCTGTGGTGCATTTCACCATTTCGCCCCAGGCAATCGCCAAACACCCCGCTTTTGGCTCTCGCTTTCACATTTGATTGGATATTATACCCTGGCTACATGGCCATCACAGAGTCTACAGAAGTCTTTGAAGATTAGTGCCGGGCTGGAAGATCTACCCTACGCTGAGACGGGCAAAGCTTGATGGATTTTCAGGATACGAGTCGTCAGCGCTATACACTTGTGGTGGTGTTGCCGGAGGATAAGCCCGGCCAGTCTTCTCCATCTTTCCCAGCCATTCGAACATGTCTAAGTTTGTACGGAGTCAGTTACAGCTCAATACTCTCTCAATTCATCTCTGTGGAACCAGCCTCACCGTCGTCGGTCGGTGAGACCAACAAAGTACAATGGACCCTTTCGCCTCGGCTCAATTCCTCTAGGATGGGCAGGTCATGGCGTGGAAAAAAGGCTGATCTCCCAGCCGACTAAAAAAAGTAGCTCAAAAGAGCGGAGCAATAATTCGGTAGCGTCCACGCCTTCTGACTTTTCTCCCATCCATCGATTTTTGGCTAGCCTCGAAGCGAAACGAGCGTACAGATCCTGAAACGGCAGAAACGGGGGGTCAGGAGGAAAGTGGGTGGCTGCATGGTGCATGATGCTACGCCTAGGCATGGAGTGCAGAGGGCAGACTCGAAACAGGCCCGTTGCAGCGGGCAGCGACAAATCTGCAGAAATGTGAAGAGGAGGTCAAATGCATGGCTCGCATGGATGAAAACGCTTGCCGGTTTCCTATTGGCGGCGACATAGACGAAATAGGCTTGCTAAAATTGCCACTCAGAGTACGGCCGTTGCTCGCGAGGCCGGCAATATCCATACTCCCACGTAATCACGATGTCATGCATTTGAAGCGATATGATAGGTCCATGGTGTCAGCAGTACTATCTCAATCACGGAATCTTTCCAATCATAGATCTGTGCAACTATTCAATGATTTCACGACAGAATATACCTATCAAGGCAATCTGTTACCCAGGCTCCTAGCACTTTGATCAGGTACCTTAAGGACAAAAGCCTCCAGCGCCTTATACTAGTCGTCAGAACCATCCATGAGAGTCCAAATCATTCCCAACTCCAGCCTCGTGGGGCATCTCAAGCCCGGCCCTTTAGAGAGCGTCTCTTCTTCGCCTGACCTCCTCATAGCAGCCAGACAGTAGCTCCCACAATAACACCAACGAGCCAGAAACCCGAGTACTCAAGCAGATTTCGCCTTGCAGCACCACTGGTTGTGGAAGACGAACTGGTGTCATCCGTGCCGTTCGTGCCGTTCGGAAGAGTTCCATTGATGATCAGTGTTTTGGTGCCATTTACATTCCCAACGTGAATCAGTGTGCTGTTTTCATCCGCAGCGCTCCCGTTTCCCACGAGCGAATCCAAATAGGTCGTGTTTGAGTTATTGTCACATCCGCAGGCGCTGTACATCTGGCACAGGCAAGTAACAGGAAGGGTCTCGTTCTGACCTTGGGGCTCCGAAGAGTTGGTGCGGTTGTGGAAATTGTAGTCATGGCTGTAGGGGTATTCATATGCTCCGTAGAGCCAGAGACCAGGGAAGAATCCGAGCGCTGCTCCGGCCAAAGCGAAGGGTAGGATACCGCCTGGTGATCTTCCTCCAGACCTGTACGATGATGTGGCACCGCCAGCATAGTACCTGCCGCCACCGTACGAGGGACTCACCGAGGAGGAAGAGCTGTAGTAGTATCAGTACTAATGTGTTCTATCTGACATTGCGAACCCACTCACCTGGTGGTCCCACGAGAGCCACTTGCGCTACTACTGCTACCGCTGCTCCCAGATTTGGCTCCTCCTGATGACCCAGAGGAGCTACCAGAGCTCCCTGAGGACGAACCCGACGAGCCTGATGATGATGAATGTCCGCCACCACTCGACCCCCCACCACCTCTTCTCTTTTCAAGATAGTTTGGAAGGTCTTCATCGAAGCGTTCATTCAGTGGCGCAGGGAGCAGTTCTGGGTCTGGCTCACGGCGTGAGACAGCTCCTTGGGAGTGGGGCGTAGATCGTATTGAGAATGATAAGGCAATCGAGACTCCTGCCAGAGCCGTCGCTGTTATTGGTAAGAACTTCATCGTAATTTGTAGCAGATGTTGACAGTGTGGTGTGTTCGATGCGACAACTGCGGTTTCTTTTCCGCTCGGATTTCTTATCTGAACGGTGATGAATCTAAGAGTGTTTCGAATGTGTCTGCTTTCGTTTAAAGATTGTTTGCCTCAATGCAGGTAGCCATTCATATAACGTTTGCCTTTCAGACAAAACGCTAAGATGACGATTCAATGATTAGGAAGAGCCGGCGATTCAAGACAGGGCTGAGTACTCTACTGACTAAGCACTATCAATCACTCACAGAGATAAATGTTCCCATGCGACTGGCTCGCATTGCGCACATTTGCGCACACTTCTCTTTGGTTGTGTATTGGGCGTCTTTCATGTCTCACTTGCGCATCACTGGGACATATATTAGGCTTCCTTGCAGCCCCGTGTATCCAACGGAGTGCCAGCAAGGGATAACGCTGGCCTCGTATGGATACATTCCTTTGCGTGTACTCCGCCAAGGCGACTCGAGGGCAGGATGAGGCAGTATACAGGACAATTGTATCATGGATGCTCTCAAAGCACAGCCGGCAGTCTATTGAATGGTTCCCTGCCACTCTTCGACCAGTAATTGATGATGCTGCTTTCTCAACGCTGTCCTTAGACCTGGTCTCAAACTTGCTTCAACGTTATCGGTGGATGTGAAGGTCGTGCAGTAGTCAGAAGATAACCGCAACGACTTCATTCGCACCAGCATGCCCTTTCGACAACCGCGCGCTGACCGTTCCGACATCACCTGATGCACCTGGAGTCTTGGCAATGAGTGGTGGAGCTTTGAGCGGGATATGATGCACGTCTTTGGTCTCACCTTCCCACTCATGGTTTAGCGAGAAGAAATCCTTTAGTAAGGGTCTGAATACTCCAACGGCTTTTCGAGACGTGGGGTTTTGTCAAGCCCAAGCCCCTCTATCGAATCAAACTGCGCAATTAATATTGAGCCCGTGAGGAGCGACCCTCGAGACATGTGTCAGCCCTACTAATGCAAGTCGTCTTTCTCATAAATGGCTCACTCCATTATCTTCAGCAGTACTCGTTGTACGTGTTTCGAGCATACCCAGCATTATTGTACTCGGATACACTTTGCCTACAGCAGAAATCAGACGTTTGTGTATTTAGCAGCCAATGCAGCTCGAGAAACGCCAATTCAGTTGTGTCATGCTCTATTCGTGAACAAGTAAATGACTGCAATAACACATCCTCAAAACCTATAAACCCGTGCTTTGGACGATACTGCATCTTCTGAGGCCAAGATCGAATCGAAGCATATCTCTGAAACCCAGAATTTGTACAGCAGTCCATCCGGTCAACTGGGCTGCGACGTCGCCGAAATGCCTGTTTTTATGAACCCGTTTCAGAAGCATCATGTCCGCGATTTCCCTGATGTTTTTGTACCATTGGCACACGCAACGCGATACCCCTCTGTGGTTGCAGACCACAACGAAAAGCTGGGCATTTCCTCGGATAGCCCTGTAAATGATAAGGAGGGTGAAGCCAGCGTTGGCGGTAAATACAGTGCAAATACCGTGGAGGGTCTTCGGGCAGAAGTAGACCTGGGTACGCTAGGGAAATGGGCATTCTACATTATGCAGACAGCTGGTAATCTGAGCCCATAGATATTGCGGCTTCCGGCCATGATACCGCTTATGATCGTACGTGCTCCTCCTTGCTATGCCCCGAACTCTGCTGCGCCACCTTGATGGGCCTCTAGAGGAGCCCTTAAGCACAGTTGCATGGACTCTGACAGGCAACAGGAAAGTCAAAAGTCATTAACAAGGCCATCATGGATATCGGAATGGGACCATATCAATGGCAACTGTTCGTCCTCTGCGGGTTTGGATGGTTAGCAGACAAGTAAGTTCAGATCCCGCCGAAGATTGAGGGTCTGAGACGTAAACTGACCACACGCGTACATAGCCTGGTGCTTCAGGTACGCTCCGAGCACCAGAATAGCCTTGAGACTGCGAATTAACTCATCAGGTAGGTGGTTGCACTTACTTTACCATCATTGACATCTGAGTTTGGCGTGAGCTCCAACAACGTCCGATACACCACCTGCGCCACATTTGTAGGACTATGCCTAGGGGCTTCTTTTTGGGGCATTGGGGCGGACCTCCTGGGTCGACGCTTAGCGTTCAACACGACCCTGTTTCTCGCTGGTGTATTTGGCCTTGCAGTCGGTGGCGGTCCAAGCTGGGTCGGCACCTGCGGACTCTATGCGGCACTGGGATTTGGGGTTGGTGGGAATCTGCCTGTCGACGGAGTACGCCCAATTTCTGTCGACGATTTGGTGATAGCGCTGATCTTCTACTAGGCACTCTTTCTGGAATTTCTGCCAAGCGCGTCCCAGAGCTTACTGACTCTCTTGTCTGTGTGGTGGCCACTTGGCCAACTGCTTGGCTCACTCATCGCCTGGGGGTTCCTCTCAAATTATACGTGTAGTCCGGACCTCGACTCTTGTGACGTCTCGGCTCCGCCATGTTGCGCTAAAGCTAACAACTGGGGCTGGAGATATCTCAACATCACGGTTGGGGCTATCATCTTTTCGATGTTTATGGTTCGATTCTTCTTCTTTCATCTCTTCGAATCGCCCAAATACCTCCTGGCGCAGGGTCGTCAGGCTGAGGCAGTTGCAACGGTTCATGGGATAGGTCAGACACATTCATCCACCTTACCGTAGATCTGGGCTAAAAAAAATAGCCTATAAGAACAAGCGTAAGACTTGGCTATCGGTCGAAGTCCTGAATGCCATTGGCGGTGATCCGGCAGTGCTTGACAACACCAAGCTCTCCCGTGCAGATATCGTGAAGCGAACTCTCGGCAAGTTCTCGAAAGACAGGATCGCGCCTCTTTTCGCAACCAGGCGTCTGGGAGTCATGAGTACGTACCAGTCCAATTTATACGGATCGTTTGCCTGGTCTTGCACCCCTAGCCTGGAGAAGATATGGCTAATGTGAAATTGCAGCATGCCTCATCTGGATTTGCTGGGCAACGATTGGAATGGGATACCCTCTTTTCAATGCCTTTCTCCCACAGTATTTCCAGAACACTGGGAAAGCGAATACAGCACCTACGCCGAACAGCATTGTATACCGCAACTACGCTATCACCTCGATCGTTGGTGTCCCAGGGTCGATAATTGCGGCCTACACGGTCGACGTCAAATATATCGGCCGCAAGTACACCATTGCAATCGCCACGCTGATCACCGGAATCCTCCTGTTTTGCTTCACAATCAGTGATGATTCGAATTACCAGCTTACCTTCAGCAGTCTTGAAGCCTTTTTCCAAAGTACGTTTCATCATTCTCCGACTACCACATTCACAGTGAAGGTGAAAAGAATACTAACTTTGAGATAGACATAATGTACGGCGTGCTGTATGCTTATACGCCCGAGGTCTTTCCGGCCCCCAATCGAGGCACAGGGACTGGAATCGCATCTTTCTTCAACCGGCTCACGGGTCTATGTGCGCCCATTGTCGCAGTCCACGCTGGGAAAGTGAATCCGAATGCACCCATTTATGCGTCCGGGTCGTTGATTCTTGTTGCTTTCATCGCCATGTGTTGCTTCCCAATTGAGACCAGGGGAAAGCAGAGTCTCTAGTTGACGCTCTGCGTATTTTCGAGAGGAGGTCTGAAGGAACGGTCGTTCGGATCATCATATAAATATGTCGATTGTCGGCGATATCCATACTTCAACGTTATGGGACAGAAGGAAGCCGTGTGCAACCCAGAATTCAGATCCCCAGTCTCAGCATTACGGAAATATTGAATCCCTACAGCTTACTCTGCCCATCTTGAGGTACAGAGACGACGACCTTCCCCCAGGTCTCTCTTCGTCCAAGCATCCCTAACGCCTCACCTACACTCTCCAGCCCAGAAAATATCCGATCCGAATATACGGTTCCCCTGAATTTACCCTCATCCATCAAGCGAAACAGGCCTCTCCAAACCTCCTCAACTGTCTCTGGTTCTTCCCTCGTATACATCCCCCAGTGCAGCCCCACCAAACTGACATTCTTCAACAACACCCTATTCATAGCTACCTTCTCAATATCCCCTGCCGCAAACCCAATGACCAAGATCCGCCCATTCCAAGCCGTACACTTCAAGCTCGTGTTGACCATCCCCACAGGATCATAAACGATGTCCACACCTCTCCCCCTCGGCGTCAATTTCTTAACCTCCTCCTCCCACCCCTTCGTATTATAATCAATTGCATAATCTGCCCCGAACCCCTTCGCGACTTCTAATTTCCGCGCCGAACCCGCTGTCGCTATCACTGTCGCTCCGAATGCTTTGGCTACTTGAACAGCCGCTAGGCCTACTCCACCGGCCGCTGCGTGTATGAGGACGTAGTCACCCTTCTTCACGCCAGCTCTTGTGACCAGGGCACCGTAACTCGTCGGCGCCGTCACCATCAGGCCTGCCGCGTCGACGAACCCCCATCCCTTTGGCACAGGCCTCAGTGCCGTCTCCGCTGCGCAGACATGTGTGGAATATCCGCCTTGTGCGGCACCGAAGACTCTGTCTCCTTTTTTGAAAGCTGGGGATGGATTCGAGGAAGGGACGGAGAGGACGACACCGGAAAATTCGCTACCTGAGATCCATGGAAATGGGGGTTGGTGTTGGTATTTGCCTCGGATTTGGAGGAGGTCGAAGAAATTGGTGGCGGTTGCGTGGATGGCGATTAGGTATTGGTCTGCGGATGGTGTGGGGTTGGGGAGGGAGGACACGGTGAGGTCTTGAGGGCCCTGGGGGTAGGGTTAACGAAGAGTAATCGTGGTGGAGGAGTGAATAACAATGGCGGTTGTGACGATGGATGCGAGAGCGGCGCACACCTTGAGGTATTCTTTGACTTGGATTGCACGCATTTTGAAATAGTGAGTGTCACAATGGTATGAACATGAACAAAGGAATAATTCAAATCGGAAGCAGTAACAGTCAAGTCATGAAGCCATTATTGTCGAACGTTTATTCTACTGTACCGTCCTCCCTACCATCAACAGATTCGAGAGCGGGGCGGACGGGCCGAGGCATCTCGTCTCAGCTGTCAGCATCGAGTCCACGCTGCGAATCCCTATTCTTCTATCGAGTTTCTCTGATCAACTGTGAGTATGGAGAGGCTTCCTGCGGAGCTGCTTCTCCACACTGCTTCTTGTACGAACATCTTTTCTGGCAAGCATACCTGTAGCTAACGGACGACAGTCCTCGAAGCACGCGACATCATCCTCCTCCACCTAGTGTCAAAGCACCTCTTTAAGATTACTCGAGATAACGAGCTATGGAAGAGGTTTTGCTTAGACGACTCTTCCTCAATTGCTGGTCGCCGACGTCGAGATTTCCTCTACGGCCCACCGATTCCCATTCAAGAACCTCGAGTCTTCGAGTTGCAGAGAGCCGTCGCTCGTTCAGGCAACAGCAATGCCTCCCAGAAAGCGGAGGCAGCTACGTCGCGAGGCATGGCTAGTTGGGACCCTACGTATCCGGATGAGGAGGTCGATTGGTATGGTGAATACATAGCTAGACACGCACCGTTGTCTATGAGCTGGCTGGAGCAACCCTTCAGCGAGCAGCACGGGTTGAGAGAGAAGTTGGAGACGAGGGGCTTGGGCATATTCAAAGATCACGACGAAAGTATGGTGGTCTCCCCATTAGATGACGGAAGTGTATGCGTTTGGAATATTGGTCGCGAGGATGCACCTCCTGATTCCCGAATTGGCCGGATCATGGCACGCAGCAAACCTGGTTTACTCTCAGTCAATGGACCTGATGGCAGCACATCGCAGGACCCGACAATGTCAAGAGCCAAAATGACAAGCACTGGTGTCGTCGAATGCGTGAGCGTTGACACAGCCCGCAATAAAGCATACTTTGCCGTCCAATCTGGGCTGAACGAGGTCGACCTAACGACCCTCCAAATCTCCTCCTACGACCGCTATCCTTTCTCTATCACTGCCCTTTCAGAAGCCGCTCATCCCATACCGTTGACTGTCGGCACGAGCCTCTCTCTCCACCTTCATGACTCGCGTTTGAGCAACAATGGAGGCCGTCCAAGCTCGTGGATCAGTGATCGTGTCGACACTAACTCGAATGTATCCCGCGACCTTCGATACAGCACAACCGACTTCCACCGCCTAAGCTCTGGCGACCCTCCGCAGACTGACTACGCAACCCTCTTCCATCCCTCCCCCCTTTCAATCCTGCACATCAACCCGTCCTCCGCAATTTACGTCGCTGGCCGCTTTCCAAGCATTCTAAACTACGATCGCCGTTACTTCCCAAACTTGACCTCCGCCATCCATTCGGGTGCTCGCCTCTGCTCTATAGCCTCGTTGCCTACCCCCAACCACCCCACTTTGGCAGCAGCAGGCGAATATAACGGGAAAGGCTCTCTGGAACTCTATCCTCTTGAATCTGCATCCATTGTCTCACCGAGTGATAAGAGCCTTGAACCGGCACGAAATCGTACCTCAGCCTCCCGCAGCAAACTCCTCAGTCTCACACCTCACGGTGCTCGTCTCCTATTCTCCGACAGCGATGGCCAGCTCAAGTGGGTTGAGCGTGACGGGTCAACTCTAGTCCGCAGGTGGAACATCAATGCGGTGAACAAATTCTTCAATCCCGTGAGCGCACGAAGCGGCATCTTCAATGCCGATCCCAACGAAGGCGACGTAGCGCGGAAACTGCTTCCTGTCGGCACTGGAGCGAGGAGCGAGGTGTGCGTGTGGACCGGAGACAAGGTCGGGATACTAGGCTTCAAGGACAAGCCGAGGTTTTGTTTCGGCGTGGATAAAGACGGGACTTGCACTCCGGACGGAAGTTCTGATGGAGAGAGTGTTGATGAGAGGGATTATGGGAAGATGATGAGAAGAGCATTGGAGAGGCAGGCCGACGAGGCCAGATTTATGAGAGGACTGGGATTGGGAGGTTAGAGCTTGGTATAGTCCTCAACCGAGTCGCAAGGGTTCTATTACCAGCCTTCTGGCATATGAGCTAACAATGCTCAATAGATGATTTTTTTAGATACAAGATTACGATATGTTTAATATTTACACTTCACAAAAGTTTTGCCAATCCATTTCCCTTTCGCTGGTCGAGCTTCATCTCCTGCCCAGGCTTGCGATTATGCTTCTTTGTTCTCGTCTACGGGTTGTTATTTCAATGAGACTCAAAGCCGTCTTCAAGGCTGTGAACGATACCTCACTGTAGTTAACACAATGTCTTTGCTCGGAAATCAACACTCTCTTGCCCGCCCATGGTCGATTTGGATGCTCGACTGCACCTCACATTACCATTCCTTCAACAGCATGGACAGCGAGAAAACAGCACTCAAAGCATGTGGAAAGTGCAAGTGGTGCTGTAAGGCAGCACAAGGCCCTCTGCTGTTTATGCAGAGCAGACACCTCGACTTCAAGGACATTCGCGTCACACAAGGCTCTGAGCAACGCCTCCAGCATAGCTCTTACACATGCCAGAGCTAAGTCGGTGGTTTCATGGAGTTCTTTACCCAGAAAGAACAAGCCGGTCAGAGAGGATACGCAGCGATACAGACGGAAGCTCCAGAGCGCTGGCGCCAGTGGGTTCACACGATGCAAGTGACGCTGGATGCCAAGGACCTCGATCTGGACTTCTTCTTTCAGCTATTCGACGATCACTTTTTTGGTGGCGCGCTGCGATGCTGGATGACTGTCATTTTGATCGATCGGCGATCCCAGTCTCGCCATTACGGCAAGACAGATGTGGATCCCGACCGAGAGGGCCACACGCTCATAGTCGTAGTAAGACCGGACAGTAACACGACCTGGACCGAGCTCACAATTCAACACTTCCTGGTCGGGTTATTACACGAGATGACACACGTGTGGTAACCTTCATTTTCGCCTGTAAATGTGTGAATGAATTGTCAGTGCACACGGACCCGTTTGCTGACTGGGGGCGTCAAAGGTCATGGGCCTCTGTGGATGGAGCTGGGACAGGCTGTTGAGAAAGAGGCTAACCGGCCTCTGCTTGGATTCAAGCATCAATAATGGTTCATGGGTGTTGGACCAGACGATGCACCACGCAAGCAGGACCTTGCATCCAATGCAAAGCTTGAGAGAAGAAGACAAGCTAGGGGACCGACGAAAAGCTGAGGTCGATGTGGAAGTGGCTCTGATGATTGAAAAGAGGTATGTGAGCATCTACGTGAAGAGACTAATGTTATTCGATTAAACGATGATTTGAACATCTCCTCGAAGAGAGATTATTTGCGTTCTCGTACCCGGATAGAAGACGTCACCTTGGTTTCTGAGACGCTGTGGGGTTTCTGGTTGTCAACAGGCGTCGTCGTTCATTAAACCCCTGGAGGGGGGCCATCAAAGACGCATTTCCAATCCAAAACAAGTCAGAATAATCACACAGTAGCTAATAACGCAATGCAAGCTTCGAATTCACCTTATCGGTACCTACCTTAGGCGTGACGTCTCGCACTTTAGCACTCATACCCTCCTCCTCCCTCGATGAAAATCATCATCAGTACTGAAAAATGGTGGCACGAATCGATCAATGCGTCCGTCATGCACCAACAGGGCACGAGCACCCCGTCCATCATCGTCAGGACAACAGAAGCTCAGTGGAAACTCAACGATGCCGTTCCTCCAGGCAATTCTAATCGGGACGTCCGGTTCTACACCTACTCCAGCCAGGCGCCTGCCCCTTGATCTGTAAGAGCATGTAGGTATCCATGCCTCTCCGTTGAAGCAAGCCGTCCAATCTCCCCGCTCACAACAGCTTAATTTACTTGTCGGTTTTTCTCTCGGTTATATACATACATACGTATATGTTGTACCGGACGGATTCCAACATCCAACAACAACAACAACAACAACAACAGGTAATCTTACGAAAAAGAACCCGTGCAACATCCAAATCTGGAAAATGACCCGACTCATAATGTCGTTGTTACAAGACTGAATTTCAATCAATAGTCGACGCAGAGATGTTTCGGGCAGGCCTGAGTCGATGAGCCTATCTTCGGTCACGTGGGATGGGGCGTTGATGCTTTGCCTTGCCTCGCAGGAGCGAGCGAGTGAGTGGATGAGATCTGCGGGCGGCAAGGGAAGGGGGAATTCCGTCGACGGTGTGAATTGTTGGTTGGTTGGTTGGGAGACAGACACGGCCGAGATCGTTTTTTTGAGAGGAATTGAAATAACGTACATACACAGACAGGGACGACGGAGGATGAGATTTGTGCGAGATCGTTGAGTGTGAATTGGATATATCAAAATCGACAAGCCGCCTCCCCAAATAATCTCACCCTCTTGCTTCTATAGAATTAGATTCGGAACGCATCATCGCTCGAAAGCGGTATAGAAAGGCTCCATTGAAACGCCAGCTCTACGCAAATGATTCTTCAATGCTTTGATCATCAATAGCCACCCATCTTCGCCCACCCCGTTTTCTTAGCATACCCCCCGCTAGAAGTTCCTGCCCCGTTTGGTGGTAGGTGGGCGCTTGGAGCGCCCGTGCCGCTGGGGAATGGGTTCATCTTCGCCCACCCCGTTTTCTTAGCATACCCCCCGCTAGAAGTTCCTGCCCCGTTTGGTGGTAGGTGGGCGCTTGGAGCGCCCGTGCCGCTGGGGAATGGGTTCACCGAGCCAGGTCCGCCGGGAAGTGGGAAAGGAGCTGCGCCAGATTGCGTCGAGAAGGGGCCGTTTGGTGGTGGTGGAGGAGGAGCGCCAGATCCGGAGCCGCTGGTGGATTGAGGTACGGATCCTCCTGCTCCTCCTGCGCCAGCGGTGGAGGTGACGGTGACTGTGACTTGGACTGTTGAGGTGACGGTCTGGACTGCCGGGCAGCCGTTCGACGGGCCGCCTGGAACGCCGGTATAACCTTTTGATCCACTGCCGCCCAGGCTGGGCATTGCGCCGTATGCCGTGCCTGAACCCGAGCCCGAGCCCGAGCCACTGCCAGAGCCACTGCCAGAGCCACTGCCAGAGCCACTGCCAGAACCTGAGCCGGAGCCTGAGCCTGAGCCGGAGCCTGAGCCTGCGCTATCTGTAGGTGCGGGTCCGCCGACGCCTGGACCGGTGGTGGACGGACAGATGACTTCGTATGTAGTACTAGTCCGAGTGACGGTAGTAATGGAGTAGGTTGTTGTCAAAGAGGTCGAGTAATAGGTGGACGTTCCGACTGTGGCGATTGGGCTCGAGCAGGGCACGTATTTAGTGATTGTAGAAGTCAGGGTGGTAGTGTCGTAGAGTGTGGAAGTCATTGTGCCTGTTGTGAATGTTAGTCCTAGTCAATAGGACTTGACCGATGAATGTCTTACTAGTCACGTCCGAAGTCTTGGTAATCGTTGTGGTGAGAGGACCCGATGTCAGAGGCGGGCCAGTTGGCCCAACGCCGCTGCCAGTAGGCTTATGGTGGTGCTTCTCAGGACGGTGTTGCGTCGGGCCGCCTGACGGGAACATGCCACCCGAACTGTGATGTTCCTTCTTTGGATGATGATCTTTCGGATAAGTAGTTGGGGAGCTACCTCCTGATGGGAACATGCCACCCGAATTGTGATGTTCCTTCTTTGGATGATGATCTTTCGGATAAGTAGTTGGGAAGCTACCTCCCGTATGAGGCATCTCGGAGACAGGCCCAGGACCAAGATGCGGTTTGCCTGTAGAACCTACACCTCCTCCGTAGCCACCGCTGGCGGTTTTCGACCACTGAAGAGGCCATTTGGGCATGCCAGCCGAAGCAACTCCCACCAAAGCCGCAACGAGTATTGCTGAAGAGCGCATACTGAAGCAAATTAGTATGAGAAGAGGAAGTAAATGAGTGAAAGCGACTGAGATAGCCCAGAGCGCAAACGAATGTAATTTGGTCACTGAGGGAGGAAAGGAAACGGCTAAGAGAGGCTCGGAGGGATGAAATAGGTCAATGAATAGAACTGAAATGAAAGACAGAAGAAAGTAAATGCTATTATATTGATACAACATGAGAAATTAAGCAGGACTATGGGTTAGCAGTTTGAATGTTGGACCGGCTCACAGGCCGTATTTGCGGTAGGCCCGCCGTTGTAATCGTCGGTAGTACGAGCCACAGTTGACGAGGGCCACAAAACGTCAGCATAGTCAGCTCTTCGCTTGGTGCCATGGTGGTACATGTTGGTCAGCTTTGCCCCTTCAGTGATGAAGAGTATTGCTGAGTAGTCCTGAGCTGTTACCCCCCATTCGACACCACTGGTTGGGTGGAAGCCTCTCGAATAACACGGTAGCACTCTACGGATAAGGGCAAGGTGGCAGGGTCTCGTATGTAGCTCGTAAAGCACGTCTTCTCTGAACAGTAAGGTGGCCGTGACCAAGTGGCCATGGTGGGCATTGCCGAGTAGTGTCTCTGCTGCGGTCAACAGATGGTACAGATGTCGTTAAAAACGTGCGAGCCAACAAGATAAAAGGATATTGTGCGGCGCTTTCCCTTGACGCTTACCATATTCGCTCTAGGGCCATGTCACGTTGATTGTTTTCCACACAAACAACACAACCACCAACAAAACTTTGTTTATTCGTGAAACACTGCGACGGCAGAGCAAACTGTGCCTTGTCCCATCCATAAAGACCAATTTTCTCCCCTCATGAAGGGATAAATAAAGGTTGTCTCCGAACCTCATTTCCTTTAAACACCCGATGGGTATCTTTGTCATCATCGCAACTGTTTGACCATGTCTAGGCTACAATGCATTAAGATATGAGTAAGGTAAACCTCGATGTCTTTGTCATCATCGCATCCATCTGACTACGACTTGGCTACAATGAATGGAATACGATTTGTTGACGCAATCGTTGAGAACGCGATGTTAAGTATTTACATAGTTTTCTCAATATCTTTTTCAGGCATCCTCCATCACGCCTGCTTACACAAGGGAAAATTCTGGGAGAACTCGTGCGCTCCGAGAGTTGACTCTCTTTGATACGATCTCGTCAGGTGGAGAAAAATCAAAGCTCATGCGATTACTACTCTTGCTTTCCAAGCTTGGTATCAGGTGGATCAAAGGAAGAAAATTCTTCTATTCTGCTAACTAATTAAGTAGAAACTCTGGAGCAAAAATTACTGACCTTGGGCAAATCGCTGGACCGAAGCTCGGGATATGCTAATTCTGGCATCTCGATTGGGGAAATAGCCTGGAAAAGCATGGCAGCTTACCAGCTGGAGTTTCCAGGCATGACACCCATGCTCTGAGGCCATGCCTACAGAGATGTGTTGCCATTCGATTCACCCTCATCGGTATTCAGCGCCAATTCGGGTCCGGAAGGGTCATGTTTGATCCAGAAATTTTCGTAGGTTCCTGTTTCCCTCGAGGTTTTTCCAGCATCAGAACCAGGTTCCGAGCTGTAGGCCTCAGTGGGAAGATCAGTGTACTGCTCATCTTCTAGCCACTCGGTGACCCTGAGATTGGACGGAGTGCTGTTCCTCATGCTTTGCTCATCCGAGTCGGAGCCCTGCCCTATTGGAAAGGCAGCCATCTTCGGCTTCGAATCCTCCAAATGGACGTAAGAACCATCGAAGCCCAACCATTCCATTGTTCTGAGATTAAACGGGACGCTTAAATCTTCAGCGTGTTCCCCACTGTCTTCCACAGCATCAGTGAGATAGATGACGTCGGCTCGTCCAGGCGTATCAAGGTTACTGACAAGATGAAAGGTGGTTCCTTCGCCCTCCTCTGTAGAAGTCCAACCTTGGTCCTCAGCAACAGATATTTGCGCACGAAGTTGCGCTTCGCCGGTCGTTGTCGGGCTGGCTCCCTTCAGTTCACTCCACAGCCCTAAAACGTCATTTATCTGCGGTATCTTATCATGAAACTCCTTTTGAGCCTTGTCGGGTTCATTTGTGAATTTGAGCATGACATGGAGATTCGTCACTGCTGGTCGCGGCAGTTCCCAGTTGAGGTTCCTTCCTGGGAACAGCGCCGCCGGTACCAGGTGGAGGTTTTCTTGGGGCACATTTGGGTCCAGATGCGGATGATGGAATGGAGTGTGAGGCGTGAATTTGCGAGCGAGTCTGCGGGCGTTGGGGATGTTGGGGTTGAGCGGCTCTGGTATAGACATTGCTGCAAGACCTTCGTTCTTTCTCCAACGTTCTTGTTGATTGCGAGCCACTTACCTTGTTCCGTAGGGCTGGAGAATGTTGCTTCGTTCCCTAGGCTTGCGAGGAAGATGAGATTGCGAAGTTGCCGGCGCTGATCATGCAATATATAGACGCACCCTACAATCGCATTGAGAGTGAATAGACACATCGTTGAAAGGAAGACCATTATTCTTTCTTACTTCCCTTTCATTGTGGAACAATTGCATGGTGCAAACAGAGGACAGTAGCCAAAGGGCTTTGTACGAGATCAAAGTGCGATGGAACATAGAACAATGGCTGCTATGTCTGCTCGCCACGGAAAGGGCAAGGGAAATTCCAACAATCATGCACATCAGGACCAGGACAAAAGGATGTGTCAGTCAAACTATGGCAGACCCTGTTGGCCAGTAGCCAATGAAGCGTGTCAATTCTCGCTCCTGCTCCCCTTCAATAATGACTCTCACAGGACTACGCCCACTCCGACGGTGACATAGTTATATCGGATTGACACGATTGGAGGGACATGGCTTGCAAAGGAAGTATTTTGAAGACGTAGTTATGACAGAACGTACCAAGCCGAATCCCTGCTGGTAGATCAAGGATTCTTATCGCAATAGCTTCATTTCGTCTATGCATCTTAGCAACCCACAAGCAAACCTCAGTGTCTGCTATACCTAGTACAATTCTCATACGCTATTCGTAGAGTCGAGGAATGGTTTATCCAGGATTTGCCGGCACCGTCGCCCGTTGCCATTGTTTAGTGTAAGCCAAGACGACGCGTCAGTAACTTAAGAACTTAAGATGGAGGGATCCACACTAGATTAACGGCAAGCTATCGCCAATATAGGAAGGTGCGTAATCCCTAGTACTTTACTGTGTACTCTACATGTATTTTCTGTCCTTCGCCCTTCAATCCAACTACAGTAGGTATTTCTTTTCAACTTGAATACTCCATACAGTACTCTCATAATAATCATATTCTACATTCGTTGAATCCATTTGGTACTACGTGCCATTTTCACTCGTTAAGAGATCACTGTTTGTCTTGTTGTTCTTGCCGTCAGGAAGCCCCCCCCCCACGCGAAAGCCCCCTCTACCGACTCCTGCCGAAGCTCAGACGCCCGGGGGCAAGCAGACCACAAAGAAGAGCATCTTGTGCGTCAGCGACAGCGAAATCATCTCCGTCTTCACTCGTTTGATGCCTCGTCCTATGACACCCTTGGACCCTTAATCGACACCCTTACTCACAAGATGCACGCCGACTTTCGGATCGTGTCTAGCAGGCTTCTGGCGCTTTTTGGCGCCATAACCTCTGCACGGGCATTCTACATACCAGGTAAGAACAGGGTCCAAATTCATATTTGGACATGCCTTTTTTTTCAAACACTGTGTAAGTGCTGATTGGAAGTCTTATAGGATGGTCAATAAAGAGCTACGTGGACAATGAAACCATTCCGTTGGAGGTCAACAAGGTCTACTCGGACAACACCCAATTGCAATACGCTTACTACGATCTTCCATTCGTTTGCCCACCAACGGGCCAGAAGCATGGCGGCTATGCCAGTGGCCGAAGCGTCTCCCTTAACATTGGGGAGGTGCTTCGTGGGGATCGGATTATGACTTCGGACTACGACCTCTTTATGGGCCAGGATACCGAATGTCAATATCTTTGCAGTCGACAGGTCGATCGGCGAGGCATAAAGAGGGCACAGGAATTGGTTGAGGATGGATATGTGGCCGAATGGATTGTGGACAACCTCCCAGGGGCTACGAGCTTCGTCACAGTCGACAAGACCCACAAGTATTACGCAGCAGGTTTCAAAATGGGTTACAAGGATTACTCGTCTGTCACTGGGAAGCCCCGATACTTCATCAACAATCATCTTACTCTCGTTCTTCGATGGCGAAAGGCGCCAGGACGGGCCGGCGAAAATGACGGCAAGGTCATTGTGGGGTTCGAAGTGTACACGAAGAGTATCGAGGCAGGCCATAGAGACAACACTGGCTGCCCACAAGACGTTCATGGCGACACAGACGGCATGGAGCTTTACATTGCGCCCAACAATACCCATCTGGCTAGCCAATATCCTCACTCATCGTATCTACCCGCGGACGATGATGTTGATGACGGCTCCACGATCACAATACCATACTCCTACGCCGTCTATTTCCGCGAGGATGATAGAATCGAATGGTCAAAGAGGTGGGACTTATACTTCAACAACCAAGAGGAGAGCACCAGCATCCATTGGCTGGCCATCATCAACTCGCTAGTGATCTGTGGGCTTCTCACCGCTGTCGTGGTAATGATCCTCGCAAAGACCGTGGCTGGAGACGGGAGAAGGAGTGCTAAGGACGGAGGTTTAGAGGATGGCAAGATCAAGCCCAAAGCGAAGAAGCCAAGGACCGGCAACCGATCACCACGGGAGAAGTCAAATGGCTTACTTGATCAGAAGACTGACCCAGATCTCGATCATGACACATCCTCGGACGAAGAGTTCGTTGAAGACATCACAGGCTGGAAGCTCCTTCACGGTGACGTCTTCCGCGCTCCTAGCTATGCCGGCTTCCTAGCCCCCTTGATAGGTTCAGGCACCCAGCTTGTCTTCATGACCACCGGTCTCCTCATTCTCAGCACCCTCGGGATCCTCAACCCCAGCTTTCGCGGCGGCTTCGTCAGCGTTGGCATGGGTCTCTTCGTCTTTGCCGGCTTATTCTCCGGCTATTTCTCCGGACGAATTTACAAGACGTTCAATGGAAAGGACTGGCGCCGGAATACTCTCATGACAGCCCTCCTCTTCCCCGGCCTTCTCTTCTCCACAATCTTCATCCTCAACCTCTTTGTCTGGGCCCAGGCTTCCAGCACCGCACTCCCTTTTGGCACACTAGTTGGTCTCATCGCTCTCTGGCTTCTCATCCAGCTCCCCCTTGTCTATTGCGGTAGCTGGTTCGGTTATCACGGGAGCAATTCTTACGAACACCCCACCAAGACACATAGTATTGCTCGCCAAGTACCAGAGCAGCCATGGTACACCCGAAGCATCTACAGCATCTTGCTCGCGGGCCTGATACCTTTCGCCGTCATCTTCATCGAATTGCTCTTCGTCTTCCGCAGCATATGGCAAGATAAGAGCGGATACTACTACGTCTTTGGTTTCCTCAGCGTAGTCTCGCTCGTCTGCATAGTCACTGTGGTTGAGGTCACCATTGTAGCGACATACATACAACTGTGTGCGGAGAATTACCATTGGTGGTGGCAGTCCGTCTTCATAGGGTCTGGCTCGGCGGTCTGGATCTTCATGTATTGCGTTTGGTTCTATTGGACGAAACTGCATATCCAGGGATTCATCTCAGGGATGCTGTTCTTCAGTTACAGCTTCCTGGCTTGTGCTGTCTATGGCTTATTGACAGGGACGGTGGGATTTCTAACGGCTTACGCGTTTGTGAGAAGAATCTATGGGTAAGCTTGCCTCCCAGACCCACTTATCAACTCGACTCTACTCAATTCAACACTAATCACTGACGCAGGGCAATCAAAGCTGATTGACGGACCTCTAATCTTGTTTTCGACCGAGGCGTTTGGACACTGCGGGCGTTGTAGATGATGGGCAGCATTTTTCGGCGTAAAAAATGATGGGCTTCAAGCATTGCTTCACATGATTATATAATACCCATAGCGTGGATATCTCAATCTTCCAACGCTATGCACTTGACAGGATATCTCCCAGAAACACCGATAAACCCCACCGTATCAAGGAACTAAAGGACAAAACACCGAGCCAATGAATCAAGGGGCAGTGACCCATCCTACTGCGAGTTTCGAACATCAGATTAGCTGAAAAGTTAGCCTCATCGACCTGCCTAATATCCGATACGATAGACATCCATCATGGTTAAAAAGCCGTGGGTATCATGTAACAAACAGGGACGCGAACCCAAACGCCGTGCCACCGGTACCAAATCCGTGCCCTTTATCCCTTCCTGATAAAAATTCTTCAATAAGTTCTTTCCACTCCTGCGCAAGCTTCTCCGTGGGATTCCTTTCCCCTTCCAACGCACCTATATCAACCTGGGCGACCCCAACGGACTCGGGACGTTGCTCGTGACCCTCTGCCTATTCCTGCCTCCGATGTGGGCGTACTCCGGTGGCGGCGCCAGCGCCAGCGCCGCTTCCTCTCCCTCGAAGCTCAATGACTGAAACCTTGGTTGCGCGCCGCTTGTCCGCACGCTATATTGGGGACTGTCACCTATGTTTCCCGCCATTGCGCGGTTTGGAGGTGCGTCTAGCCGCGCGTGTTCGGTATACTCTGGGCTTGGGGGGGCTACGCTGCGAGGATCGAAGTAGGCGTTTGCCTCCCTTGCGGCGATTGCGGCGTGTTCCTATGGGGAGTAACGGATATCAGCGCATAATCTACGGGCCAACAATCTGGTGTGAGACGTTCATAGGAGGGATTGAACAATACCTCTGCGGAGATTGTGGGTTTTGCATTAGGGTTTCCTTCGGACGACACTTGTATTGGTAGCTTGAGGTGGAGTGTTGGATCTGTGACTGTAGCATTCGGAGTATTGATGGAGAGGTACAAGTCGAGGGCGTAGATCCTGGACACGAGGCAAGAGTTGAAGGAGGGGACGAAGACTTTGTTGCCCTTAGGGAGTGAGACCGGTACAACGACCTTAGCTGTGTAGAAGGACCCGCCGTTATAGGCCTCGGAAGGGTTTGGTATCCCGGAATTTCGACGACTGAGAAGGTTGGATGTCGAGGAGGTGTGCCTTTGCCACTCAATGTTCGAGAGACAGCGAGAAGAAAGGTTCAAAGTTTCGACAAATATTCCGCGGACACTGCTGTAGTGGAAGTCGCTAGACTTTGTAGGTATCTCATCCATGGGAACGCTGGTGAAGAAAGTCGCCACTTTTAGCTTCGCTTGGAGCGTGTTCAAGCCTGGCGGAGGGGAAGATTCCTCGATTGGGTCAAATCGCACGTTCACGGTCGCCATTGTAGTGGGACTGCAGTCGGCATCAGGCCCCTTGGAGTATGGCAATCTGAGGCTTTGTGGCTGTGCCGACTGGACCACGACACGGCCTAGTTTCCCTTTGAATGTGCCCTTTTTGATGTTCTTCTCCCGTCGCATCTTATAGTCGTAGCGGTCATCACCCTCCACTATCACATCAAGGGGTGGTTGTTCCTCCATAGCTGGTATGATTCGAAGCTTCTTTGACCCCTCTGCCATGGTCTTGTGCTTCCCACTTGCCGCCCGACCACTGGTTATCCGACCTCTAACTGAGTACGCGATTGTACCCATGTCCGGTGCCATATCGTCCATAAGTGACTTTCCCATACTTGCAACCAGTGGATCACCTAAGCTTGGAGGAGGTGCCATATGACCGCCTTCTGGAAATCTGGGATTCTTGGGGTGAGTACACGATTGTGGCAGTAAGGTGTCTGGAACGACGAAGGTGAAGGGGAATTTGTAGGTCTTTCCCGCTTCAATGACTCGAGGGTCGGGAAACGCTGAGGGATCCATAGGTTGGACTAGACGGACGAAGTTGTGAAAAGCTTCAGTCCTGCCGTTTGTGGGGGACGTAGTAGCAATTTTCTCAACGAAAGTGCGGGTAGAACCCTCGAAAGTAATGTAGATGTCGTCAAAGCTCGTATCACATGAAGCAGTGATGGAGACTTGTCCTTTTATCTCATCCAAGGATGTATATTGAGGCACGAATGCGTCTTTCTGGTCGTCTGTGAGAGTGACCTCGATGACTGGCTTGGGCGTCACGACCAACTTCTTCATCCTGGCCAATGAGCCCCTTCGTTGTTCCATGAACATGGTAATCTCGGGGTGCATGACAGCTGAGAAGTAGAGATGGGGTGGGACCGCGACTGGAAGAGAATTGGTGGATTGGTCAACGGTTTGGAGGGGTATCACGAAGCTTGACTGGCACGATTGGAAGCTGGTGGGATTGGAGTTTTCCTTCTTTTCAAATCGTATCTATGGGGAAGAAGTTTGGTCAATTGGAGACATTGTATATTACTTATAAAGCTGACGTGCTTGGAGTTGGGATGATATGTAATGGGGCCAATGCCCAACATTCTGAGTCACATCAATAATTGATATGATGATTGAAAACGCTGCTTGTTGGCATGTTGCAGTTCAATGATGTAGAGGAGGTCTAAACGCCAATACACATTAAGCTAGCGCCATGATAAGCCTGTTTCTTGGCGTCCGATATCGCTTCAAAGCCACGTTTTCCCACTTTCTTGCCCTTCTACACCTCTTCTTGAGAGCACAAAGCAGCCAATGCTTACAAATCCAACCAACACAAGTGAGTCATTATGATTACTGAAATCCATAATCGCCATGGGTCGACTCCATAGCGAGCCGTCGCCAGCCGCTGCCGCATCAATTGCACCATTCTCCCTGCTCTGGATCATCTGTAGGAACGACCCACTCGCCGCCTCTACACATCTCGTAGCTTTCCACATAGAGCGGTGAAGCTCATGTCAAGACTCAATTGTTCCTCCAATCATAATTGTTGCCTATAAAGGAGTAGTGATTCGAATCACAGGGGACCTTTACAGCACAGGCAATGAGAGCCGAGCACCGGGCCCTTGTTGATATGCTGGTCCATTCTTGCCTTTGGAACTCGGAGTTCGGATATCGGAATCAGACCACACGGTACACGTTGGTGAGGGATTGGGAAATGGAAAGCGGGCAGCAACAGCGGATTCGGTTTCCGCCCTTCTAAAATATGACTCCTTCGGGAAGGATTTGATTTGGCTTCGCCGCCAAGAGATCTGGGCGTAAGCTTGGAGTTGCCTTTGGTGGAACAGCGTGTTGAGGGGAATGGACTCATTTGCTCGAGCCAGAATTGCAGATTCGTTTCCACCATGCATTGCATGGAGCTTCGGCCTGCCAAAGGCTTCGGTGTTTCGTGGTTTAGGAAATCTCCTTGCTATGAGCTTCAATGATGCCATCTACCCAGCCCTTGACTTTGCCGGCTACGCTATGGCTGTTGCGTAAAGTCGTGCAGAAATCGTGAGGCATTCCTTCATTGTCGACCATCATGACTGGTTTCCAGTATTCCGATCCAGACTCAGTCTGACTGTTTGATAAGTGGCCCCGAGCTGCTATCAAAGCATCTCTGGTATGGGTGGCTACCCACCTGTCCTGACGTTATGTCAGAATTGATTAGGTATCGCTGTCCGTGAATGAATATACCTTTTTCCCCCAGTAAAAAGTAAGGTTCGAATTTGCCGTGTCGCGGTTGTTCGTCCCTTTACTTGTTGCAGCCCCCCAGACTTCTTCGTCCCATTGATCGTCTGTGATTTTTGTCATTTCATCCTTGGCAAGATGCCTGGAGAACCTGTTAGCTGGGATCAATGGTTCTGGAGGGAGAACACTTGCAGTGCTTGTCTAACACCCATCGGGCTTTTGATGAACGAGGTAGTGGTTGTTGCTGCGTACTCGGGAAATCTGGTCACTAGCTTGACAAGCCTGTGGAGGAAGCTCTCCGGGACCAGCGACGACAGAGCTTTCGCGATGGTGCCGACGATTTCTGGAAAGTACGGTAATTGGAGGATTTTCTGGTTCGAAGCGAAATTTAGCTGCAAGCCTGGTAGAGGGTCAAAACTACCTACACCGAATACCATTCCCAAAGGCGATTTCGCGATATGCGTGATGGTAGGAAACAGCAAGATTCCGCCAATGAGATCAAAGTCTTCTTCACCTTCTCCTTCAATCTTTCCTCGATGTTGTTGAATAAGCTCAAGGAGTATGTAACATCCGACGGAATGACCCATGAGTATGACCTTGGGATTGTTACCAGTACGTTCCCGGTGAGACTTTATGTGATTGTAAAGAAGTTGCTCCTGGGATTCGATTTGTTGCTCGAGTCCAAGCGGGTATCTGGGGGCTTTGGTTTTCTTGCCATCCTGAGCAGACTCGAAGCCCCTAAGGGTATGGCCACAAATGTGAAATCTAGAAGACTCGGTCGTAGAGGAGCTGGAGAGCAGAGTATTCAGTCTAGACAAGAAAGGTTGGTAGTATTGAATCAAGCCTGGGTTACCCGGCAAGAAATAAATCAGATAGTCTTGAGTCTTTCTATCGGTCGAGTCTGTAGAAGGCTCGTAGCATATCTTGTCGCTTTTCTCGAAAGAGAAATCTCCCAGAAGGGGGTCTCTGCTCATACTCATGAAGGGCGGAAGCGGAATTACGCTGGTAATATTGTATCAAAGGAAGAGACAAATAAAACATATGCTCCGCGAGAACAGACATGAACAAAGGAGTGTGACCTGAGATATACCAGAGGAAAGCAGAGGAAGCGAAGATTTTTATTGCATTCTACGAGGCAGCAATTTTCGGCGTGTGCGATGTTGAGGCTGTAAGCTGCTGTCCGAACAGGGCTGTTACAGCCTCTCTCGCCGCCCCCAAAAACTGGCAGTTTTGAGGCTGCCTTGGCTCGCTTAGCAGGGCAAACCCAGCCAACAGAAGACCGGAGCCATAGCCGACCCACCACACCCGATTAGAAGATGCAGAAAAAGGGGACACGCCGGCGATCTACCGTCTCCCCAACCCGCCGCACCCCCCACCCCCCACACCCGCTATCGCAAATCTCGCGAACCATTCCCAATAGCCTTAATGTCGACCCGCCGGCCAGCCCCCACAGTATGGGGCTTTAAGAACTAGGCGAATGGAAAGCCACCTATTCTGACGCGTCAGGCACCGTCGCCCCCTCGAAGCCCCACCCCCCATCCTCCCAAAACGCAAGGCGTCACCCCCTAGACGAGGAAAAACACCCCGAAAGGGAGCAAGGACAAGCCCGCCCCAGTGAACCCCGGACTGGCGTCAACAACGAAGACCCCCCAACCCCAGAGACGCGTCAAGCGCTTCCGTAGACACACCTATTGCTGGATATCTAGAAAACCCGACGATCTCAGAAGCACAGCAGACGTCCGCGAGATACTGATAAGATTAAGACGAAGTTCACGAAGAAAGCGGGACTAGACGAAAGGAAGAGAGAGCGAGTTTCCGCCAGTGGGTGCATATACGTTAAAACGGCCCTATTCGACAGCAGGGTGCCCAAGAGGCCCGAAGGAGCCCAAGATGGCAAAAAGTTAGATTAGAGGTGCCTCGAGGGGACCAGGAGGAGCGGGAGATAGCCCCCAAGGAACCCCCAAGAACCCCCCTAGCGAACGAGGTGCCCAAACCCCCAAGTAGACGCAACCCGCCACCTAATAAATCCGCCCCAAGCGGCAGCAACGCCGCGGGCCCGGTGGCATCTAGAAGCCTTCCCACCTAGGAGGCGAAGCGAGGTCTTCCGAAACCTCCAAGTAGGCCGCCAACCCGCCAACCCCATACAAATCCGCCTAACAGGACAACAGCGGAGGCGAAAGCCTCCCCGCCCCACCCCGCCCCAGCAAGGAAGCGAGGCGCACACGACAACGAGCGGCGACGTCGCGCCTATTTGGGCGCCCAACAAAAGCGCAGCCACCCAAACTAGCAACGGTACTTAAGGCGGCAGGGTTTTCGTAATGGCAAGGCTAATTAAAACAACAAACCAAAGCATTATTATAAACAAAGATTTATTACAAGATTTATCGTATCTATCCTAGAATTCATACAAGATTTCTATATCAGGTATATTCAATATAGAATCGTAACTTAAAAACCCCCGGAGTCCCAAAAGCGAGTCTCTAAGAATATTTCATAGAACGAGTGCCAAGCCCATTTTCGGGAGTGACTACCAAATACATCCACGCTTTTTATTTCTGACTTCAGATTTGAGCGATTTAGCCAAAGTTCTCGCGGGGGTGTTATTCCCGGGGCCACGGGAGTGGTGGGCTGGGGTAAGGTGGCTGGGGGAGGATGAGGTAGCTGGGTAGGAGAGTTACAGTGGTATAGGCAAAGAAAATACAGCTTAGCATAGCGGTAGGATCGAGAAGATCTCGATCTAGGGATACCAAGAAAACCCAGAACCAAAAAACCCAGGACCAAAAACGATATTATCTTACACTATAGCTACTAACCCAAGCCTCAATGCGGGTCGAAATACCCCGCCCACAATTTCAAGACCCCAGGAGATTAGTAAAACCCCCGCCGACCTTAAAGTATTTAGGGCCAGTCGGTAACCACATATTTTGAAAAAACCCCACTTATTTCACTAAATAACGCCACCTCTTGGCAAATGAAAATATGGCTTAAAAATGACACTAATTTATATTCAAAATATGTAAAATATATATACGGTTCCGTTCGGTAACCCTGTTTCTGAGGCTGAGTCAGAAACGTCGCAAAAATTGAGAAAATCATCTTCTCCATCAGTGACCATTGAATTTCTATAATTCCACGTTATTATGGCGGGAGACACCTGCCGCTACTGCTGTATAGGCTTTGACTATCATTGATACTTCTATTGCCCCCGTCATTGCCATTGATGTCCCTGCTGGTGTCCCTGTTGGTGTCCCTGCTGGTGTCCCTGGCTCCCTGCTGGTGTCCCTGCTGGGTGGGTTAGGGTTAGGGTAACCCTAATATATGTATATTGGTCACGGATGTCCATTATTTTAGCGTGCTTAGCCTTATTTTGCCAAAAAACAAGGCTCGAGGCTTGTTTTCAGGTATTTTGAAAATATATTTTGAAAATATGGTAACCGAACGATACCCTGTATATATATGACGCTAAGTTGAAAATAAGTAGGGGTTATTTTCAAAATATGTGGTTACCGAACTGGCCCTTATTTAGCATTGGCTGAGGTATAGAAGCATCCGCTTAGCAGGCTCGAAGCTAGCGCCGGACGGTTAATCCTACAATTTTTCCAACCTCGCCCGCCAGAACGCTGACCGCCTCTACTTAGATGACCCCAGAGCTTCGAGAGGTATGGCCCTACCCCACAAGCCCCCCAAGAGATGCTCGAATGCTTTGGGAACCCCAATCGAGGCGTCCAATCTTGTTAGGACCAGCAAATGCAAATGCAAGGTCTTGCAAGCGGTGATGCCCGATTCTTGCGTTGCGCGCGGGCAGTGAGCGTATGGCGCAATGGCACACCTCTTCCTTGTCTTTAATTTATATCTTGGGGAAGCAGCAGCAGTAGCCACAACGAATGCGACGTCTTCTGGACGCCAGGAAGGATGGGTGAGCTCACCAAATGGCCGGGGCACCTTCGATATCATATGGGGCTCTCTTCTCACCATCTTCCTTTGCACATGGACCTCCCTCCACCTCAACATACCATCGCTTCATGAGAAATACCTGCATCGATGGTTCCGCAAACTTCGGTGGATGGTACAGGCCATCATGGCTCCCGAATTCATTGTCGGCTTTGCTACAGGTCAGAAAGTCGAAGCGAGACGCTCGGTAGAGATGTGGAAGAATTCTGGGTACAGCGAGTGGACAATGCGCCATGGGTTCTATGCCAACATGGGTGGCTTCGTTTTGCAGCCGCGCGATAGTCAGCCATTCCCAGTCAACTCCAAACAATTGCACTACCTCGTGACTCGAGATTATACTCCCTTCCCTACCACCACAGCGAAAGAGATCTGGGACAAGAGTAAGCAAGACAGGTTCCAGAAGGCCTTGACTTTGTTGCAAACGGGGTGGTTTGTTCTTCAGTGCTTGGGCCGCGCAATCCAGCATCTCCCTGTCACAACGCTTGAGCTCGCCACATTTGGTTTCGTATTCTGTACCTTCGCCTCCTACTACCAATGGTCCGACAAGCCTCTAGATGTCGAGAGCCACACGATAATCGAGATCCAGAAAAGCACAAAGGAGATCCTCATCGAGGCTGGAAATATGCCTAACGCAAGCAAGCCATACAGCCAGACCCCTCTTGATTTCGTTGACGATCAGTCTCCGTCCTGGCTCACAGAAATCCAGCCTCATTTACGATTTAAGATGGGCCCACGTGAACGACCATTACCTCGTTTCACGAATGACAAGTTTCCTGTCATTGGAGCAAGCCCTGACGCTATATTTCTATTTATCGTCATTTTAGCCTACTGCTGCATACACTTCATTGCCTGGAATTTTGACTTCCCAACCCACGTGGAGCGCATAATCTGGCGAGTGGGCTGTATCACCATCGTTGCAACCACCTTCATCTTTCTAGCCTGCGAAACTTATCAGGATGGACATCGTGTCGGCCGCTGGCAGCGCTGGTACCTGATAATATTTCCCAAGAACCCTGTCCATCTTGCCAGGGTGAGCACTATGGAAAAGAAGAGACGCGAAATGGAATTCATTCCGTTTTGGGAAATTGTCATCATGTCGCCTGTGACTATCATGTACACGGTGGCACGTACTTACATCGTTGTCGAGGTCTTCGTCAGCCTTCGCTCGCTTCCTAGTGGTGCGTTTGATTCGGTGCAATGGTCCAATTTCATACCACATTTCTGAGCAATTACGGCAAACCGACGATATGGCTCTTTAAAAGTCTATTGGCATCGGCAATGAGATGTGCAGACACATATGCCGGCTGCAACAATAGGCCTTTGATAAAGGAAGCCACCACGTGGTGAAACAAGAGAAGCGGGGCCTGGAGCACACGACACCTGTACTAAAAAAGCTCTGGGCCTTTATTCATAACCGTCCCCGCAAAGCCACGAGGTTCTTCAATCTTCGCAGATTTACTGGGCAGCGGCAATGAGTTGCGCGTAAATCTAAGATGAAATTAGACTAGCACAGACCGGAGGTAAGGGTATCGAGCAAGGATATACGAGCAAAAGATAAGAACGTTAAAGCGGGGCTTGAAGTCTTATCCATTCTTTCATATTGGACCCTGCATCCAGCTTTCGACCATACCATCAGCACCATCCCCAACCAACATCATGCGTAACAAACCACGCCTGCACCTTGCGCTCTACGCTCGTCCCAAACATCCAGACACTTACCACTACGCTCTCCTCATTCGACCAAAACCCTCAAATGCCCCGGCCGCCCTCAAATTCCACGTTCACAACAAACTTCAAAAGACAGACGACATCATTTCACAACCCTGGCTCTATGAGACTATCGACATCCCCGATGTTTCTCTGGAGTCACGTCTTCTCGCTTGCATCGCCATCGAGAAGATCCTTGTGCCTTTAGGACGCGTCAATCAGATCTTGCGTGAAGTCCCTGTACATCAAGTCGACGATCCCAGTGGACAAGGCGAAGGTTTCCCCTGTGTGGAGTGGGTTCAGCTCGCCATCGCAGCACTTCGACGCGCCGATGCTGTTTCCAACAATGGATTCACCTGGGACGGAATAAGAGAGGAAGCGCTCAGATATATGAGGAGGAAACGGCAGGAGAGGAGGTGGGAGATGGGATGGAAAGGAGGGCGACAGGAGGATGTGGCCACGTTCGATATGCTGACGGGGGAGGAAGTTGTTCCTTAATTGAGGGTACAAGATCCTTGAATGCTACGACCACTATATCATCTGCGCGGCGGAAATGACTGAATGTTTACGAATGATGAGGTGACGCATAATGAGATATCTACAGGGCACTTTGGACATTAGGCGCAATCTGGCATGGGATGCTGGAAGTACAAAATATAACGCTGTCACATATCTGTCTAGCTATATCCATATATTGCTCGTGAGCGCCAAGTCTGATTCTCCAGGTCGAATGTAGATGCTAACATGGATGAGAAGTTCTCTTCAAATCATCCGTTTGGGAGACTGGACGCCATGACTTCCGTCTTTTCACATTTCATATTTCAGAAGAGTCAGAAAAAGAAAAGACGCCCTGTTCTAGCCTTAGTATGATCGATATCCCGGCGCTGCAGCTAATGGTATGGCCGCAGAAGCAGCGACCTTTCTTTGGCGTCTTGGACTTTCAACCGTCTGTACATTCTTGACCCAACGTCATCGCACACTCAAATGTCTATTTTTCCAAGAACTTCTGCTGTGGACTTCTATCCAAGATGAACTCAACATCAAATATTCACAACCTTCTCCAAGAAATCGCATTCAAAGGCGCCATATTGGAAAAACCCAACAACGGAGATGCCAGAAGAGAATTGTTGGCGGCTGCCCGCTCCCTCTGCTACAAGCTCGAAACGCCGATTGAATCTCTTCTTCGAATATGCTGGGCGGAGGTGAGCTACCTCAGTCTCCCTACGGAAGACAAAGAGACATCTTCACCTCATTGCTGACGTATGTATTGAACGGGCCCAAACACATCCTGCCATCCGGACTGGGATCGAGATGAATCTTTTCGAGAAATTGGTCGAGGATGATGGTGCTGCGAAAAGCAATAGCCAACTGGCTGCTATGACTGGTGCAGACCCTGTGTTGCTGAGTATGTTGCAACAATCGCACTTCATGGTGGGCTATTCCTGCGAACAAACGGTACTAATGCCTTTCCGATACATTCAGGCCGCATATTGAAGCATTTGGCGGCCGCGAGAGTCATTGAAGAAGTTGATGCGGATACATTCGCACCGACTGGGCTTTCAAATGCGCTGATTGAACCGAAATATCGAGATGCTTTTCCTACTGTGTTCGTAACAAGCTCGAAGTTCTAGTCAGCATTCTTCAAGATCGCTACTGACAAGATTGGACATTGATTAGCAACGACGCCGCCGGGCCTCCACTACGGCAATTGCACAGATACCTCGCCTCGACCGGCTTTAAGAATCCGACAAATCCTACAGATGGGCCATTTCGTAAGTACATTTTGGAGTGCTGTATGCTCGTTTGATACGGCGAAGCCTCGATTGCATGACATGTTGCAGGAGCAATGGCTCTGAATAATGTCTGACATGCGAAATCTGCGCAGAATATGGCCACAACACAACTCTCCACACCTTTGAATGGATGAAAGAACATCCGTTAATTTACCAACAATTCGGCAATTTCATGGCAGGTTACACACAAGGCCGGCCAAGCTGGCTGGATTTCTTTCCAGCAGAGGATCGAATAGTCAAAGGCTTAAGTGAAAAGGAGGAGGCGGTACTGCTCGTTGACGTAGGCGGAGGGATGGGCCAGGATCTTGAGGAGTTTCGGAGAAGGATGCCGAGTGTGAAGGCAGAGTTGGTACTGCAAGATCAGGAAGAGTTTGTCGAGAGAGCAAAGGCAGGTCTAGCTGAGAAGGGCATTAGAGCTATGGCGTATGATTTCTTCACGCCCCAGCCTATCAAAGGTGATGACAACATGAAGCAAGTCCAAAAGCATTCTACATGTGTATTGACCCGCATACCCCAGGAGCACGAGCATACTACCTCCACTCCGTCCTCCATAACTGGCCGGACTCCAAATGCAAAGACATTCTCTCCAACCTCAAACCCGCCCTCGCCAAAGGTTACAGCAAGCTTCTGATCAACGAGGTCGTGATCCCCAACAAAGGCGCGCCGGCTGTGAGTACGGGCCTGGATCTGCTGCTGATGGCCGTTTCCTCTTCGGGACACCGCACGGAGAAGAATTGGCAGGAGCTGCTGGATTGGGCGGGGTTCCGGCTGGTGAAGGTTTGGGCGTTTGAGGCGGGGATGGAGGGTTTGATTGAAGCCGAAGTTGCTTGAGGGTGCTGTTGTGTGGGGGGGGGTGAGTGGTGAGTGGTTTGGGAAGCGAGAAGGGTGATTCCTTAAGAGAAACGATAATCATTTATAGCGATGCCTACAGGCAATTATTCCAGAGCGGGAATCGATTTAAGATGGATCGAAAATTGTCAACGATGCACGAGGTCTGGAGCAGAATATGTAGGTCTTTGTGGTAATTATGGGGCCCACAAGGTGTGGGCCTCAAGTCTTAGACTAGCGTTACGGGCATTTAGGGGAGGCTTAGGGGCCTGCCTGGCGCACCTTCCCCGCTGTATGCACCCCAAAGATTTGACATTTCCAGGCTTCGAATCTGAAAATATCCTACGGGAAACAATGCTGCTTGACTCTTTGGAGAACACGACCATTGGCTCTTGGAACTATGCAGCTATCTCAGACTACATTAACAAGTAGACGTCTGATGGGCTAAAGCATGCCCTCCTGACCGCAGATCTAGAAATCGGTATGGTGGTAATAATACTGACTTTCTAAAAGTTGTTCTGCATCCAGTTTCAGCAAAGCAGATAGCTGAGCTCAGGTGGCAATCGTCGTTCACATCAATGTCACCAGACCCAACTCAATCAAAGCAGTGGAACCTTTTCGCTTCTGCTCCGCCAACCGTCAGGAATGGTCATCAGCACGAGGTCCTCATAGGGAATCTGCTCGAAGGCAGCTCAAGCTACATTGCGGCATCCGAAGTCTTCCCAAGAACCTAGGACCTTCAGCAAAGTGATGATATTTTGTGGTTTCCGACACTACTGGAAGACCTCCTGGTTCTTCAGCATATCAAAAGTCGGTACAGTCTCAAGGCTTGCCCTTTCCACCACCACCTTCATCGCGAAACTGGTACAACAACTTTCTATCTTCCCCCAATCCGCCAATTTCCCCAACATCAGATACCTTTCCTCTCCTAGGCCGAGCGAGGGGCTCCCCAATCCCTCGAGGACTCTTTGGACCCAATCTTTCGACGTCCGAGCGCTGCCAGAATTCTTAACGTGCATCGTTTGCTCAGGCCACGCGAGCTGTATATGCTCTTCCACGCGTTCGGGCTCCTCGATCTTTGCGATCAGCACTCGGGCTACAATATCGTCGTGACGGCCAAGCGGCACCAGACATCTGTCATGGTCCCATTCCACCCTCTCAAATTCCACTTTGCCCGGGTCTAATTTCTCCCATGCTTCACTTTTCTTGATGCGGTAGCGTATGCACTGTTGTTCTTTGGGTCCTTTCTTTGGAGCAACGATGAAGGCCCAGTAGTAGTCTTGCGCACCAGAGGATGTGTTCTCGCGGAGAGCTCCCTCGAGAGCATAGAGGGCTACGTAAAGGCGGGGCTTTTTCATTCCTAATAAAAAATCCTTGGGGGCGGGCATACTGTCAAGTAATTGAGAAAGCTTGGTTGTAATTCCAGCGTGACGCGTCTATTTGTCGAAGAAGCTAGTTCGCATGCATTCACCCGAGTATCTGTATTTTCTGGAAGTGACTAAGTCTTGACAGAAAGAGAAGAGCGTGGTCTTTTGTATAGCAAGTCTCCTCTAGGAACAAGATTTCTAACATGGCATTATCTAGTGCTGTTGGCTTTTCGTTCTCCGGTACTCTGGTCGTCTCAGTTATCGTCTATCCTTCGTGCCTGCTTCTCCAGCCAAAGTCGGTTCGTTTCGCTGCTCCGTGACAAACGCAGCGCCTCTTCCACCAGTATATCGAGCGTTGGTACAGCATGGTAGGCCGGGTAGGGTACGTACTTGAAGTTTGCCTCGCATAGCCGAAATTTGCTGCCCTTTAATTTCATAAGCACGGCAATACTCTTCATGGCCTAGGACGACAATTCATTTGCCTCGTGGGAGATTTCGTGCTTTGTCTTGCTATGGTTTGATATCGTTGCTTTCAGTTGATGACCGCCTGTACACCTACTACGTGATCTTCATGGTAGATTTGCGGCGGTAGCCGCTCCCTGCATTCCTACTCGCAAGTGATAGCCCAACCAACTTGGTGGTTAATAAACGTTGTTCGTCTAGGTTCTCAATCTGTGTGCGCGGCTGACTCAACAACGATTCTAGCATCTGCGTCACTGATAGATCGGCCGCAAACGTGCTTGGGCCAGCTACGCTACGCTCCCATCCACTTCCTGCGCATTTCGTAATCCATTGAGACCTACAATTGAGCTTGCAGTGTTACGAGAGTCTATTGTATGCATACTACGCAAGATATATTGCCTTTACAATACATACTTGCGTTGCTGATTATCCGTTGGCAAACATCTTCACTCGCTTGGCTCCAGGAGCTGTTTCACCTGTGACATGCGTCGGGCATTGCCGTTTCACCTCACAGCCAGTATTACGTGTCGAAGCACGGCAGTCTACACGGCTGGGGATTCGTCCTCCCTTGGAGACACTCTGCGGCTTCAAAATTGAAATGTGACCGTTCTGGTTGTCTTCCGCATGGTCTTTGCTCGATCCTGCTGTTCTTCCTTTTCCTCCCGATCTTCATCGTCTTCTTTCTCTTCTACTTCTTCCTCATCGTCAACATCTTCTAGTAATATCTGCCTTCCCTCAAACACACTCTGAGGCCGCCTTAGTCCAATCCAGCCACGTCATTTTATCCTGCACATTCACAGTCCCGGAAATTGCCTTACCCTATTCTATACTCTCCTTTGCGACTTTCATACTTTCAGGGGCCAACAGACGCCTCTCCTGCGCAGCTTCTCGCTGCCCGATCCGCCAGGGATGGACTCTTCCCAGAAGACCGAGTTCGTTGATCGAGAAGGACATTCCGGATCCCACGGGCCATTTGCCAAAATCAGCGATATCGGTATACCAACACAGAGAGGTTCGGCTTCCAAGTTCGAAGACGAGAAAGGCAGCGATCACTTCACTCAAGCGATAGCACAAGCTTTTCGCATCGCAGAGATAAAGACGCGCCACGTGTGTTTATATTAGCTACAGCGCCACCGCTACCCTAGACAGCGACTCATACCAGACTGACAATAATGACCTGAACGCCTGAACCCTCGATACCCATCTGTGTACGCCAGCCCCGTTTGAACCACTGCAGCACTGGTTCCCGATGACGCATATGCTCCCTCGACACTGATTCGAATACATGCAGACGCTGCGCCGGCGCCATCTGTTCATAAGACTTCCATCGGTCGTGTTGCGCATACTCGTCGTCATGATGGCCTCCGCCGCCCTTTACCAACCCGAGACTCCTTCCTCGCCGTCGGGGACGGATTTCTCTCTCATCGAGATAAGGTGATTGTTGAAATGTTCCCCACGGTGGTCTGGACCCTGCTATACTTCTCAGCCACCCCGTCCTCTTCTTCTTCCTCGTCGTCGTCCTCGTCATCCCCTTCATCATCGTCATCTTCATCAGTGGTCTCGTCCTCGTCATCCCCATCGCCATCATCGCCATCATCTTGTTCCTCGTCTCCATCGTCATCGTCATCCTCTTCGCTCTCCGTCTCATCTTCGTCCTCCTCATCTTCCTCTGCAACCCTTTCCCTCCCGGGCGCTCCCCCAGGCTTGTTCGATTCCGCAATGTGGGTACTTGTACCCCGAATACCCTCCGGCCTTGCATTCATCCTTTCCTTTCCGGTGTCCTCCTCTGCAGAGCCATTCGCCTTGTTTGCAGCCTCATTGTCGTCATCTTCATCGTCGTCCTCTTCGTCTTCACTCTCGGTCTTATCTTCGTCTTTACTCTCGGTCTGGTCTTCGTCTTCACTCTCGGTCTCATCCTCCTTCGCTACTTGCTTGCCCCCAGGCGCATTCTTGGGCTTATTCGGCTCAGCAAACGTGATAGTTGTGATGGTTTTGACCCTAACTTCCCCGTCTTCATCCGTATCCTCTTCACCCGTATCCTCTTCGTCCGTATCCTCTTCGTCCTCCTCATTCACACGCTGAAGCTTCGTCGGTTCAGCCAAACTAGTGGCATCTTCATTTCCTCCATGCTTAGCACGCGCCTCTCTCTCCTGCTTACCCTTTAATTCTCGCTGCTCTCTTTCAGCGACCCGTCGAGGCATCGCCAACGCAGCCGCACCCAAGACACCCGTGACAATCTGAATGGCCCTCGATATCGTAGTGGATTCTCCACGTGCGAGGTCGAATTGAATATCGACCTTAGTCTCGTCATCGTCTGGCTTTCCCCAGCCATTCACCAAACAAAGCGTCCTGACTTCAACGCCCAACGGCGTCACCCCATTCTTCCGCTGCTGCTTCGATCCTCCCGCGAGTTCCCTACCCACCCGCTCGAACATGCCGAAATGGTGGCACTTGTACGCGAAACACTCCGGCCTCTTCTCCAACGTGCCCAACTTTTCCCGGACCCATGCAAGACTGTTCCATTCCGAAACCCCCGCCATGGACTCCGTGCGTTCGATCGTCGGGGTTGCGTCGTGATCGCGTAGGACCTTCCCAAGCGGGCCTAGATCCACAACCTCCGCAATCAACATGCGCGCAAGGAGGTCGTCTTCGCCGCGAAGCGGAACTATGGTCTGGTTGTAATCCCAAGTTGGCCGACCGTTTGAATCGAGGTGGAGTTCCAGAGCGCAACGAACGCCTTCGGACTCGGCCGTCTCGGTCGACGGACCGATCAAGAAGGTCCAGTGGAATTCGTCGTTTTCGCGGGGTGGACGATCGTTCCTGTAGACGGCGATGTACAGGACGGGATACTTGATGGCGATGTCCACAGTGGCTGTGCTAGATAAGGCGGTCGCCTTCTCCCTCTCGAACAAAGTGCGTGTGCTAACCCTCGTGTCCAACAGACAGAACCTCTTCCGCTTCTCCTTCTCTGTTCCAGCAAGCCACCTACCCTGTAGAGATTTCGAGGTCAGTCTTTGCTTTCAAGACAAGAATCAGGCTTGCGAGACATTTCTAGAAGGTGCAAGGAGGCGGTGGGGAGGGGTGTCAGATTTGAAGCAACCGCAACAAGTCCTGCGATCCAGACTGCGCCATCAAACAGGACCTGATTGCTCATGAAGGCACATACCTCCGCCTCCACACCCCTGAAGCTCTCCATCCTCCTTCCCAAGCACCCTTCCTCCTCATCTAAGCTCATCAGTACGTTTTTGACCCACATGACGCTCATCCACTCCACATGGTCACGCATACTAATCATTGTACCCCAACGTAGCATGATCGCCTGCAGCATGTTCATGTCCGCCACTTCGGCAATCATGAGACGTGCGAGAAGGTCACATTGGCCCCGGAGGGGCACGGTGGGCTGGTTGTACAACCACCACCAGTCGCCGCCATGTTGACGGCTGTAACCAGGGACTTGGCGCGGCTCCATGTTATACAACGTCCCCTCGGAGTCAGCTTCTTCGCGGGAGGGGCCGACGATGAAGGTCCAGTGGTAGTCGTCGATTTCTGATGTTGCGTCGTCGGTGGAGTAGACGGCGATGTAGAGGACCGGGTGTGTAACGGCTGTCTGGGTGTATTCAGTCTGGGTGACGCTGGAGGTAAGGGTTAGTACTCCCTCGCTTCTGTATTGAGAACGACGGGTCAGATAGAGAAGTATGTGCTACTCGCCCAAACATGGTCACCCTCGTACGCTGTTGCGCTGTCGTAAGGAACACCGGTTCCAGCATCTCACGTACAACATCCTCTTCAGAGGAAGAGTCTCTACATCCCTTTTTAGCCTTGACCAAGGCCCCTTTACAAGGCGGATCAACGCACCCCTCCGAGCTTGTACTTTCAGTGTCCGATTGGGAGGTGGGTAATGTGAAATTCCATAATGTCGACATGGCAATTGTGTACACAGCTCAGTGTCTAAATCTCACCGTGCTGCAGATGGTCTTGCTGATGTTGAGGTGCGAGTCTCGGGGAAAATTAGAGATGGTTGTACAAAACACCCCCACCTGCTGGCACGGTAAGCAACCTTTGATGTCTTTCACGTCGGGGTCGAATGATCAATTCCGAGGGTAGCATCCGAAGCATGTCACTCATCAAGGATTAGGACGACTTTTGCTTGGAGAAAGGATCGTTGGGCCTAGACCTTAGCAGCCATGTCTGCATGTAGAGTACTGCATGTCTGCATGTAGAGCACTGTGTCTAGCGTGCCTACTCGTGTTCGTTTCGAGTAGTAGCCAAAGTCTACTGCTTTCGACCTGACTATGTCTAAGGATTCTCAATAAAATCGTGTTAGAAGAGGGGATTGGGAGACTGCGGAGTTTGATGAGCGAGAGAAAGTGTCGAAACTCATGCAAATGGTGAATTTCGGTGCGCTAGCACCAAAGCGTCCTCTTTACCATCTTGCGGTGATCGGTTTCCCTTGATCGCAATGCTCTTGCGTCCGAGACGTCGCCGACGAGGGGCGAGGGTGTGAAAAAGGACATTGCTATTCAAGCTTGTCTTCGAGACTCAGCGCTGAGTTCGTTTTGGGAGGTTTGGTAGGTGGGAAAGTTCCCATCGGCATTGGCATTAGCATTGGCATTATCTCCCTTTTTCCTTTGCTTGCTGTTTTCCTTTTTGAGAACTCTATTTGATGGCAGCGATAGCAGTGACAGATGAGGAGCGCGGTGTAGGATGTCGCAGTTGGACAGTTGCAATGTGCTGAGGTTTGGGGGAAGCTGTCAAAACGTGGGAACCTAAAAGAATGTTTTGCTCCTGTTCAGCATCGACCGAATAAGGGACACACAACAACTTCAATGACAGTGGCAACGCACCGCCACTGAAAGTCGAGCTAGCTTGGTAAAAGTCCTGCATATAGTATGAAAAGGGTTTTTTTTCGTAAGGGCTAGCTACCTCAAGCATTTTGGCGTTTTGATGGTTCGAAGCCGGCAGGGAGAGTCAGTTTAGCTGCAATGATATTGTAAATCTTATTGCATGCTGTCTCCATTCTCCCTCTTCTCTGAAATTAAATCCCATGCATACTTTTCCGCCCCAAATCTCAATCGTCGTAAATCATATCTCGTGCCATCGTAGACCTGCGAAGAGTATCGTCATCTTCATCAAGAATGGTCATAACCAAGGGACTAAGATGTGGCTCCTGGCACTCTCAATCTAGCACTCTTACTGGCCATCCTCATAATCTTCCCCTTCCCCGTCAGTCTCACTGATATTGACACCCCTCTTCTCCGCCAACTCCTGCAACACCTTCCAAACGCCCTTCGCAACCTCCTCCTTTGCACTCTTCTTCCCGAAGACGTTTCTCACCTCACCGATCTCCTTGGGCAAGCCAGGCTCATTGGGAAACGATGCATACCCATTGATCATGTTGGGCGCAAGGTGGGAGGCCGCTCCGAGTACGTATTGCGGGGCTTGAAGACCGAGGAGGCTGTAAGCATCATTCACTTTCTGGGTGTATGTTGATCCTCTCTTCACCACTAGACCCCTGCCCTTGATTGTAACAGCTGCACCGAGCTTGATCTTCTTCCGGGCTTTTGTGCTGCCATTCGGATTGAGCTGGCCCTCTTTGATCAAATACTCAACTGCAAGTCTTGCAGCATTCGCACGTGCTGCCTTCTTTGACGGAAATGCTGCGGCCGAGGAACCGAAGGGTTGGTCTGGACGACAGGGAATGGTACAGGTAGAGCTGTATGAGGATCCTAGAGAGTAGTCGAGATAGACGGGCCCTTGCTTTGGATCGATGAGTTGGTGGTATTCTAATGTAGATAGTCAGACAGAAGTACCATTTTTGCTCATGCTCCAGACAAGACGGGACACTTACCAACCAACGTGCCAATCCAGTTCTTGTCCTTCTGGCTAGGTGTGCCCGGTTCCTTCCTCTTAGCCTCCATACCCTTTACAATTTCAAACCCCTTCTCCGCGAGTGCCTCCCTCACCTCCTTCTTGCTGTGCCAACGCTCGTTACTGACAACGGTCACGTCTTCAATCTTCAGTAAGCCCCCGAAATCGGCAATCGAAGCGTCTCCATCGATCTGATAGTCGGGCACAAGTCCTTTTTGTTGGCATAGCAAATTTAGGGCAGTCACATGGTGGCTGGACTTGGACCCCAATGAGACAGGCTCCGCGGGGTCTACCTCTGGCTTGGGCTGCTCGATGAGTGCATTCTTTCGATCAGGAGCGCGGCGTAAGAGCGCCGCGTTCTCAGGAGCTGCGAGATAGGCATCAGCATCATGGATCGGTAGTCCAGCCGCCCGAAGGGCAGACAATTGGGACTGTGAAGAGGATTGAGGAGTGGTTGAGTCGTGGTTCGCAGGGACATCGGTAGGTGAGCTCGGTGAAGGATGCTCTGCCAACGAGTGAAAAGACTCCTGGGAGCTGTTGGGTAAGACTAGCGACTCCAAGAGATCAGTCATTGCTGGTAACGAGCAGTGAGGTTGTATGTAGCAGCATCAATTGAAAGCAAGAGGAGATAGGTCAAATGATCAAGTCTCAAGCAAACAACTTTCTTGGTGTTGATGGGTGTGAAAGGTCCAGCCAACGAATGAAATTACATGCATCAAACATGTTTTCCTGCCACTCATGTTTGTGAAGTACCACCTTCCTGACCGCAGTGTGGAAACATCAAGAACTGTCCAGACTGAGATCGAGTAAGACTGTCTCCCTTTTCATTTGAAGTCTGATGAATCTATTTTACTTGCGATTACAACAATTCTATGATCATGTAAAGGTCTTTCAACGACGCTATTTACAAGTCTTGCAGTCTTCGTTTAGACGCTATTGACTGCTATCCAATAGCCCTTCAAGACAACAATAACAGCAGAACATCATAGCTACATCGAAATCTGACTCCCTCCAGGACCGTAAGGATAAAGTCAATCTCCGTCGCGCCTTTCCAACCTCCCTTTGCCCCTTTTGCACGAGTATTAATCAGATAGTAACATTGGGTTGTAAATGACAGGCGCAGAAACCCGGAAGCCACGAATACCACCGTCAAGTGATCGAATGAAGGGAGTATGCCAGCCGCGCAAAGACGTATGTTCCGAAGTCGAGTTTGTATGAGCGCCGTCTGGAGCAAGGCCAGGAGAAATATCCACAGACTCCAGTGATAATTTTCAGATCGATTTGGGATATCCCAGATCGTCTATCGATGAAAGGAGAAATGGGGTGAAGGTTTGAGTAGTGTCTTTCGATTCACATCATGAACCACCACCAATCTCAATACCGTCACCAGCCTCGAATGTCGAGGGATCGAAATTGAAATCCCCGTCGGTCGTTGTCAAGAACTGTTCGAAATCAAAGTTCTCAAGTATGTCCGGATTGTTGAGATCGCTGTTGAACGGCATGCTGTATGAATCCTATAGAAGAGCACGGATTAGATGGAGTTGAACGTGAGTTTAGGTGATTGAAGCTCTTACATCGACTCCTGCATCAAGACCGTTGAACCCGGACATTGCTGTATCCTGTTGCTGTGGAGCAAGCTGATCGGGAGCAGCCGAGGTCATGCCTGGCATCATATTGGCTGGACCTTGACCATCAGCCTTGGATGGCGCAAATGAGGCGGAATGCTGCGGTGTGACTGGGGTTGCAGGCGTAGGAGTAGGTGGTTGCTCAGCCTCAGAAGCTGGAGTGGGAGGCACACTGGCCGTTGAGTTCTTCTTCGTTGGCTTCTAAATTGTATACGTCAGAACAGTCCTCATGTTTACTGGGCTTCTCAAGAAAAAAGGAAGAAGAAAAAAGATTACCTTTCGTTCCCTCTCATTCTTCTTGCCCTTGGGGTTTGCTTTGCTTGTTGTTTGAGGAGTAGGGGGAGCTGTGGGAGAAGCTGGACGGCCATTTACAGTGGGATTGGGAACAGCCTGTGGTGGAGGCATCTCATTCCGCTGTTGCGGCGTTCCCATCTGTACGCCTTGCTGGGGTTGAGGCGCCTGGATCATCGGCGCTTGACCTGGAGGTCCCTGCTGCCAATTTCCATTCATCCTACCCCCATTCTGCGTTTTTGAAATTGCCACCATTTGTTCTGGGGTATAATTCTGTCCGTTGTTAAATTGAGGATGGGAGCTGGGTGGCGGTCGCATGCCACCGCCGTTCATGTGCGGATACATTTCTTGTTGCATTGGGTTGAAGGGCATCGCTGCAGGAGACCCTCGCATGCTTCCGTCAGGCATCGGTGACCCCGGCAATCCTGCAGTCTGCGGCATCTTCGGCGTACCTCGTCTCGCCTGGTCGCTCGGACCTGGTGATGGACCACCTCGACTTCCTGAGGGGGACATTCCTGGAGCAAAGCCCGGCGCACCGGGCATCCCACCCGGTCCGTCGGGCCTGCCACTACCGATCGTATCTTGCTCTTGCCGAGCCATGAGTAACCGTTTTTTGTTTTGTTGCTCGAGGAGCATCAGCTGCATTTGATAGTCTTGTAGTGCGTGGTTTCCTCCGGCCCCACCGTTTGGCGCCCCAGGTGGGACGCCACCTCGCATCTGCATCGCACCAGGATTGGCACCGCCGTAGTATTCCGGTCCTCCGACTCCTCCTAGGTCCATACCTGGAGGCATAAGAGGTGAGCCCTGATCTGACATACCACCAGCGTTTGACATACTCTGTTGACGCTGATTCTTTGCAAGGTTCTGGGCATACACTTGGATTGATTTTTGCTGGACAGCGGGGTTTTGCTGCTGGAAGGAGGCAAACTGGGAATCGGATAAATTACCTGGATTGATTCCATTGTTCATCAACAAATGGTTAGCATTGAGTGCCGAATCCCCTCCCATCATCTGCCCTGGCATTCCTGGTGGACCTCTACCATTTGGCATCATATGTTGTGCGCCGTTGAACTGGACGCCATCCATGCGTTGTCTCTTGTTGGGCGAAGGTGCATGGTCCCCAGCAGAAGGTGTGCGTGGTCTCTGTCCATTCATGTCCATGTCTGAGGGATCCCTACGCATTCCTTGCATCATACCCTGGCGCTGCATTTGGGCTATTTGTTGCGCAGTTCTGTAGAATACCCGTTAGAGCATAAATCTCGACAAGCTTCTTGTAGAGGAACAAAGGACAAGGACCATGACCCCTGGGAGATCTTCGACGGGTAGACTTACGGTTGAAATTGACCGCGGTTGTTCTCTAAAGCCTTCCGCTGCAAATTTCCATTTGTGGCATTGTTAAATCGCAGCATCTGCTGATAGCCTTCGAGCTGGCCAGGACCCATCCCAGGCATGGCCCGCAGCATTTGGGTTTGCTGCTCTGAGCGCATCCGGGCTTGTTGCTATGAGGTGGATTAATCGACGCAGAAGGGAGAGAGTGAGGAGCACGTACCTGAGTTTGTGTCACATACTGCGAGGCGTTGGCACTCCCCCGGGTGTTCTTTCGCTGCGCCCAAAATATGTCCCAGAACACCGCGAACCAGCTCGAGAGGAACGAGCCTCCTTGTCCATCACACAGGTGCTGAAAATCAGGAAGATCATCGGGTCTTTTCAGATCTATGCCATCTTTGGAATCTGTCTGCATGCTGTCGTTTGCGCCGTTGGTATTGTCATTCACAAGAGGGGGTTCAAATTCCACCCCGCTATCCTTCAGCGCCCTCGCCAATTCCCATTTGCCTTTAACACAAAAATAGCCGTATATGTAGGCGTTGAGTTTTGCTTCGTAGTTGTTGTCCTCATGATCATCGGGTATCCTGCTACCGACACCGTTGGGCCCATGATTTGGCATGGGCATGTTCCCGAGCGCACCGTTACCGGCGTTGAAGCCACCCATATTCATTTGATTCATATCGGTGAGGGAATTGCGGTAAGCTATCCCTCTAACGCGATGGGTTGCGACTTCGAGAAGAGTTTGAAGGATATCAGTGCCAAGGATTCATGAGTGGTGGGTTGAAGTCCGGGTGCCGAGTCGCACAAAGCTGACAGAAACTGGTGAGGGGAGCGGAGAGCGATGTAAGGTTCGTGATGATATCTGTACTTCCCCGGACTATGTTTCGGAGGCTTGACAGCCTCTAGAGACGGCAGCGGAAGTTTGGCGGTGCGCTTGAAGTGTAATCTTTCAGGTACTGCAAGAAGATCGATCTTGCTGCGGCAATTTGCGACCGTGGGCTAGCTGAAGCTGATACTGTGATAGCCACCCCCGGACAGCACTGAGAAGCAAGTGAGGTAAGCCAAAGCAAAAGAATGATGTGATCGCCAACACAGCTATCAGTATGTATTACCAGACACTCGGGATGTCTCGACTGTTACTGAGTGAGTGGCAGGTATAAGAGGTTCGTCTTTCGTCGGGGCGGGATCATGATTGAGGCGCCAATCCCCGCTAGCCTCATTACAGGCATGCCCTAACCCTACTTTATACGGCTCAACTTCGATGTTTTAATAACACCTCATCTACATGTACTGTGGTGCTTAACGCAATCAAGGTTTCTGCCAAGCCTGTGCAAGACGTCAAATAGGCATCGCTATAGGAGAAAGTGTAAGACGCAAAACGGATCTCCAAGCTTCTTCGACTCAGCAACACCGTTTTCAGACCGACGTACTGGATATGGAGTCTGCCGAGTCCTGGTGAAGAAGCATACAGTGTCTGTGTGACGTTCTAGAGTGTTCCAGATAGACGGCGGGTATCATTCGGAGCGGATGTTCGGGTTCAGTCCGGAGAGTCAAGGCCGAGCGGAGCCGAACATTTGCGTAGAAGAGACAGCCGTTAGCTGCAGTGCCTCTCATCAACTCACCGCTCCTACGGCCGTTGCAAGTAATGTCCAAGATTGGGGTAAGTGTCAAGAACATATGCGTCCGGCATCTTTGACTCGGTTTGAGGAACTCTGCCCGGGCTCGGAAAGCCGAATCACTACATGGCTCGGACTTGACTACGGCAAGTATAGATGTGTTTCATTCGTCGTCTGGCGGCATTTCATCTTCAACGTATCTCAACAGAGTGATACGCATCTCTGTAATATCGTTACCTCTCAGCACGTCGCTGACGTAGTGTGCTTCAACCTGCATTTGGACCTATCGTAAGTGTGAGCTTGGGGAACACAAATAGCGGTCAAAAGCATGACCGACCATCTCCAGCGCTCCTCTCAGTATACCACACAAGATGTTCGAGTACCACAGCTCATCTTGGGCACGTCCGTCGTCTGGTAGCTCGACAAAGTCCGCCAATGGGTTCTCTTCAAAAATCAACGAGAACTGTTTGTTATCGGCCGTCCAATTCGTCACCGTGGGTGTAATATTGAGGAAGATCTTAAATCCTACCTAGCAAGGCTTTAGCTTCAGATATTATTTGTAGCTAAGTGTCTCTCGAAAATCTGGGGAGCCCTTTTGCACACACTTTGGATATAGTCTCTGCAGTCTCTCTCAGGTTGGCACATCTTTGAGTACCAGACTTGGCGAAGAAGTCCTCAACCAGACGCATGCCGATGTTGTATCCCATTTTATCCAACTGTTTATTGACTTCCGCATAGTTGCTATCAAAGTCTGAGCAGAGCTGAGCTACCATCGTACCATAGGTTAAAGTAACGAGCTCGGCATTGACCTTATCCACTCGGGTCCTTCGTAGGGTCAGACTTTCGTCGAGGCTGGCGGACAGGTGTAGCGCAATGCGGAAAGAACAGAGGAGTGGATCAAGCTCCAGACAATGGACTTACTTCCATACCCTTTGGGACACTTAGTAATGCACGTCCTTAAGATGGTCGTGGTGGTACATACTCTTCTCCAACCCTTGCGGCTTTTGTTGATGCCATAGCCGCTCACTTATGTCAAGTCAGACCATCAAGGCGAAGTATCGGGATTTCTGATTCGGCAAAGTGGCTCTATGCAATAGTGTCACACTCTGAGAGCTGCCTTTTCAATGAAGAGCAAGAGAGAGAAAGAGCTGGGCTGACATCGAGCGCGGCTAGTCGCTAGCGCTAATGATTCTGCCTTATCAAAACCGTTTCCGCCAAGACAACGCTTCGAGTAACTCATTTTGGGATACGGAGTCAATCTAATCATGAAATCCGTCTAGCGATGTGCCGCAACCATTCAAGCAATTCAACATCCTCCTAATCGCCCCGTACTGACAACCACTACACCCAAAATGTCAGCAGCAAAGCGCCCTGCATCGAACTCCTTTGGGTCATCCCAAATGGTAGTGAAAAGGCAGAAGTCCAATACAGACATCAATGGCAAAGCCGTGGCAGTCACGAATGGTGGCTCTGGATCTGGGGCCCTCATCCAAGCTGTAAGCTTCCCACTTCCCAACAGCTGCAAAATACCGCTTGAACGTGTGCTGAACTGTCACGAAAAGAAGGCCGGCTGATGGATCGGTGTGCCTAGGTGCCACGCACAAGCGGACTACAGGCCCCCATAATGGAGCTCACCGGTCAGTATCTCCTCCCAGTTCCCGATCAACGCCCATATTGACAACCCCCAGGCCACTTCGGCGAAGTCTTCGCCGTCCGCTTCGACCCCTCCGGTCAATACATAGCTTCCGGCTCCATGGACCGGTCCATAATGCTCTGGCGCACCTATGGCTCCTGCGAAAATTATGGCATTCTAAACGGCCACAAAGGCGCCGTTCTCGACTTGCACTGGTCCCGCTCCTCCAGTAACGTTTTCTCCGCCTCTGCAGACACGACGCTCGCGTCTTGGGATCTGGAGACAGGGTTGCGAATACGGCGGCATGAGGGGCATGAGGAGATTGTCAATTGTCTTACCGCCTCGCCGAGAGGGGAAGAGATACTTATCTCGGGCTCCGATGATGGTTGTGTGGGGATCTGGGATCCCAGGGTGAAAAGAGCCGTGGATTTTATCGAAACGGATTTCCCCATCACCAGCGTCGCAGTCGCAGAGGCAGGAAATGAAATCTACACCGGCGGCATCGACTGCGATATCCTCGCCTACGACATCCGAAAAAAAGCAGTCGCATACCGCATGCCTGGTCATACCGACACCGTCACTTCCCTCTCCATCTCTCCAGATTCACAGTCTTTGCTGAGCTATTCCCATGACGGTTTAGCAAGGACGTGGGATGTCAGACCTTTCGCGCCTGTCGACCGAAGCTTGAAGTCCTTCGCAGGGGCGCCAGTCGGTGTGGAGAGGAATCTTGTGAGGGCGTGCTGGGATGGGAAGGGAGACAGGGTGGGGGTGGGCAGCGGTGATGGTACTGTCTGTGTTTGGGAAGCGAGGACAAGTAAGCTGGTCTATAAGTTGCCGGGGCACAGGGGGACGGTCAATGACGTGCGTTTTGCGCCTGGGGATGAGCCGATTAGTGAGTCTGCTCTTTCAGATCTGGCAGGAACTTCGCTAATGGGTGGCAGTTGTGAGCGGCTCCTCAGATCGAAATTTAATACTCGGAGAATTGGGGACCTAGCATTGATTAAAAGTGTTGTCAACTTGACATCCATGCCTGTTCTATGCAGTAGAAAATCCCCAACTTCGCCAGCTCCTGATGCCTTGAGTAACGCCCATCGTCCCTTTACCTCCATCGCTGCCGACTCCGCAACCTTTCCGAAGCGTTTTCGGAGTAGCTGACATTCAGGCTTGCTCCTCAACCACGCCTCAATGCAATCTCGCCATCCTAACGGTACCACCTCTCGAGAGCACCGTCCCCGCCGCCCTTCTCTCCGCAAGCAACGGCAACGGAGCCGCCACCGGCTCAGGCTCCAGTACACCCTCGACTGACGCAGGTGTCGGAGTCAGCATTGCTTCTTCAAGGTAGGTAATGGAGTTGCTAGACAGGTCTCAGGAGTAGAAGGGTCTTCTCGCTCCCGAAACATGTCTTGCGACTCAACCTCAATACCACATGGGAACGATCGGGTCGGAAACAAACGTACCGCGGTCATCAAACACACCCTCCGTCCGATCATGGGAAGTATAGCTAGGTGGTCGATGCCCAGTCCCGGCAAAGATCATCTCTCTCGCTTCTTGCTGCACATCATTGTTGTCTCCGACTGCTTGCCAGTGGATGAGGTTTGGGTCGGCGCGCTACAGTGAGGCAAGTCAGCATACCTTCAAGCCAACCAGTTAAGAGGACCAGAGTAGACGTACCACACTGCTCCTCCATAGACCATAAGCCGGCGGTGGCGGTGGCAGTGCTTCGTCTATATCCTCCTCCTCAACCCTGCGATTATCATCATGCAACCCCAACTCTTCATCTCTCGCCAACACAACCGGAATTGGCTGTCTGGGCTGCGCGAATCCGGCTTCTTCATCACCATTGAGCGGTGACTGACATTTGCGAGCGCGAGCGAAGCGCATTCGGGGTTCGAAGGCCAGCATGCAGAGACGGATCAGGTAGTGGCAGAAGAAGATGGTGAGGACAAGGATGAAGAAGATGAAGAGCCCATGGAAGGTGGCGCCGCGGAGGGATTCAGATATTGCAAGGGCGAGGTCTGTAGGTTGTTAGTGGAAGCTTCGCATGTGGGCAGCATGCGCTGGGACGAGGGTGGAAGGACTTACATGTTGTCAGAACGATGGTCAACAAGGTGCCGAAGAAAAGACAACCGATTATCTTCTGCCTCATCTTCGAATCCTTGATCTGCGGAAAGCAAAGCCGCTCGTTCTTCGCAGGCGCTCGTCTTGACTTCTGCTGATGACGTCTCTTGCTGCAACGCTCACGAGGCGCGGAGCCCAGTTCTGCACGCAGCCTTTCCAGATAGACCTCGTGTCTTGAGTCAGATCCGTATGTGGGTTGCCTGGGGCCATAGGTTGGCGAATGTACTGGATCTATCAGTCCGCGAGTTGAGGGATACGATCTTATGCCAGGCGCATGGCGTTGGTGTCCTCGCTCAGCTGCAGCGAAACAATAGGTGCTGGTGTGCGAGGTCTTCCTGGTATGAATGGGAGGTCTCCTACCACTATTGTCACGGACCGAAGAGCCGTGAAGCCATCCGGAAAGCCGAGAGCCACGAGGAATGCGCTGAGTGGCGATGAACCGATCCATCCTTGAATGCTGACCTGGAGCGAGAGAAGGCGTTGCTGAAGGTTCTTTCTTTAAGATCGCATTGCAACGTTCCGGCTCTGGGAAGGCCTCTTGGATCACGACAGACGGGCTCGCAAACGGACTTGAGCGCACATTGATCGAAGTCACGACCTTGATCCGCATGATATAGACCTTCCCGTCCCACTGTTGATAAACAACTCGTGTGAAGATTCAGAGACGCGTCTCTAGAGACGTGAACTGCTTTTTGGTATAGACATTAGACTACGGCCTTGTCGCAACGCGGCGATCCGGACACGTCGCTCTCGTCCAACGAGATGCGCTGCAGCGTCGCTTGCTGATCGGACTGAAACGAGCATCAATCGGGTATTTAACGATTGGATGCGGTGATGATTAGATTATAGATTTGTAGGCTGAACGACGTGCGAACAAATTGACTGGCCAGCCAGCAAGCAATTATCTTCGACGGATGAAACGCTGTTCCAGCAGCGAAGAAAGACAAGGTAAGAAAAAGTGTGTTAAGAGAGCGCAGCAGAAAAGGAGACAACAAGAGGACGACAGGTATAAAAGCCTCGACCTGCAAAGGCAGGGGGCCAGACGTCGCTTTGCGAGGCAATATTTGTCGCAGAAAATCATCTCTGTTTTCCATCATTTGTTACAGGAGGAGTTTAATACCTACTACGGTACCTATGTCTGTGAGCTCGGAGTCAGCGAACAAGCCTGATACGCTGCTGACATCCAATGCGCTTCTGCAAAAATCGGTTATAATTGTCTATTTCAGGATTAGGCGCAACCTGAAACGTCGCTTCGTAGCCAATCGCAACGTAAGGCTGATGAAGTCTTTTACTTGAAAAAAATACATTTATGAGTTATAGAAGAACACGTACAAAGCACCAGAAGGCCAACCCCAATGGCTCAGGGGACGCCCAACCCCAACCAACCGAATAAGGCCCGCCCAAGGACCAGGCACCACGATTTCAAGGAGCACGCACATGCGAAGTCGAAAACACCAGCAAAAAAAGACGAAGGCCAAAACCACAAAACAAGAGCACCCCTCAGAGCGGGGTAGCATTTGAAAAGGCGAACGAGAACCCAAAACAGACAGTCTACGAAGTACCAAACAGCCAAACCAACAACCGAGACAGCAATAGGAAAAGATTACCATACAAGCACCAGGCAACAGCCGGGAGCAAACAGACACCACACGCCAGCGACAGCCGGCCCGACATCCTCCCCACCACCGGAGGAACCCCAGACCACCACAATACCGAAACAAGGCCAAGCACCATATAACAACAAAGAATCATGAAACTACAAACGAGACAGCAACAAACATAGAGAAACACCGAGCGAGAAACCACGATAATCAAAAATAAAAGACACACACCACAAAAACCCAGACGGCCAGGAGGCAAGACGAAACATCATGGCCAAATGAAGAGGCGAACAGACTGAAAAACAAGTAGACCAAAAAAGGGCACGCAGAACACCAAAACGAGGCCTCCACCCAAAAAGGACAAACATCACACCAAAACAAGCCACGCAACAAAAGGGTCAGAACGAGAACGCCAACACGCAAGCCGACAAGGAGCAGGCTGGTCGGCGGAAAAAAGGGTAGACAAGGGTTCATTAATCATCGAATAGCACCCCAGAAAAAAAACACAGAAAAGGCCAGTTATCGGGAACTACATAGTTTGCGCACAACAACAGAGACGAAGCAACGACGAAAACAGCACCGTCGACGCAGCCCAAAAGGATCACCAAAACGGAAATGCCAGGGACATCATCAAAAAAGCACGACCGACACCCAAATGCCCGGTTTGCAGGGACCCGAGGCTTGGAACAAGGTAGATACAAAAAAGAAACGAGAAAGAATGGCGAACAAGGACTTCTTCACGATCGACAACGAAGGAGGCACGGCTAGTTACAAAAAGCGATCAATCAAGCAACACTTCAGAATGCGTCCAATCGTGGGCGAAATGAGGAATTTTCCCGAGGCTAGCATCCACGCGCGATAGGCCAGCAGGCAGAGGTAGGATAGTCAGCAGGGGAGGAACAGAGGGCCGACCTCAAAAGAACTACACACCGAATCCCAGCCGAGGGAAGGAGGACTCCACATCACCAACAAGGGCCCGCCAAAAAAGACGCTATCCAAAGTAGAGACGAAGCCAAACGATATGAGACGATAGCGGCAGAAATTAACAACCAGGACGACAGAAGCCCCTAAGTCAAAAGGGAAAAAATCGGTCCCCGTCAATGGAACAAAAGAGACAATCCGGTCCATCGACGACCAAAAAAGAAACAATCAGAAGGGAGCGGACCTAGACTGGGCACGAGTAACAAACAACAATAACACCGAGAAAGGAGCACACCCCAGTCAGCTATTAATACTCAATATAACACAAGGAAATCCAAAACGCAGGAGAACCTCGATAACGAAAAACAGACACGATAAGTAGCAATCAAAAGCCCAAAAACACCAACACAAACACGTCGAACCCCGAAGGAAGATCAACTAACACCCCTACCATAACAACACACGAGTGTGCTTCTATATCAACAAAGAATATCACCAAAGCAAGTACCCATCATATACCACCGACCCACACTCTAACATCAAGTCCGAAAAAATAGAATTATACGCAACACAACATCTACAATCCCGGCGACCAACAAACAGACGGACTTAACGAATATAGAGACGCTTCGAAGCTAAGGAAACGAACAGACATACTAGGCGACTTCAATCTTTATTACACGATGTGGGGACTAGCCGTATCGATGAGAGAGCGAAGAACTAATATTCATAGCGGAAGAATTCGCTATGGAACAAGCATCCAGTAGAAACGGAACATAAAAAAAACGTCAAACAACAATAGATTACTATTCGCCACCCAGCACTAACAACAAATGTCATTAACTGCAATACGGAAATGATTTCGAAAGCGGATCACACCTCCCAATTCTATAAAGCTGAGCGGCCGATGGAGTTAGCACCAACGACACGCCGAAACTTAACAAACAGACGCCGAGGCCAGAGACACCCAGAGCTATGGCACGAAAGGCCACTAACCCCAGAAGAATAAAAAAACCCACAACGAGCACGATTATCAAGTAGCAACTATTATGACTCTATTTAAGCGGCCATAAAGGAGTCCACTCGGTTATCAGGTTGTCGCCATGGTCTAGACCGAATTCACCCCAGAATGTAAGGAAGAAAAGGCGTTGCAAATCCTAAAAGAAGCTGGAAAACGCCTCGGAAAGCAAGAAAAGTATAAAGTCGCTAAGAATTTCAAAAACAACCTAATTAAAGAACTACCAGAAAGGCGTTTAGAGAGTTCAGGTAGAGGCGGAGTCGCCGTAAAGATGAAAAAACTAAGTGGCAAAAACAACTTAAACACAGGCGTATCTCCCTCCGCTATTTAACAAAATAAAAGAATACAACGAACCAGGCCCGAAGGCAGACTTCTTAGAGAACGTTCTCTACTACCGGTACAGGCGGATTTAGATAATATCAGCGTCGACACGGCGACCCACAAGCCTACCTAAAGCACGATCACCGTAAATAAGATAAGAAAGGCTATAACGCAGGCACCATCAAAGAAGCACCGGGGAGACGCGATCCCCAACCCAATTCTCAAGGAGATCCTGAACCATTACTCCCTCATCTACATAGAATATTCAATACATCATAACGAACGGCTACTGCCCAGAGCACTTAGGACATCGATAACAATTGTCCTTCCGAAGCCGGCAAGAACCACCGATTCCTAAAGGATACCGGCCAAAGCCACTTAACACCATAGGAAAGACAATAAAGTTTATTCTTACTAGGAGAATAGCGTATCTTACGGAGACACATAAACCCCACCGGCCACACACATAGAAGGCCGTAGATTACGGCATAGAACACGGCACCACTACCTTCTAGAAAGATATATTAGGCCTGGAACTCTAACAAAGTAGCCACGATGTTACTGCTAGACGTTTCAGGTCATATAATAAAGTCTCTCATCCTCGACTGCTTTATAACCTCCGAAAGCGAAAAACGATAGAGAGTAGTTAATAGAATCGTTCCTATCCAATAGGACAACAGTACTAAAAACAAGCGAACACCCACACCAAAGACTCCCATAGCAACCGGAATTCCTTAAGGACACCGCTGTCGCCCATACTTACCTCTCACAACTCAGATCTCATTGATGAATATAACAGTCGCGCCGACTTAGGAACGGTAGCCACCGACTTCAAGACAACATAGGCCTTCACAGGGGAGACCCACCGAGGAAAACATAACGCACCCGCAAAACCACGACGAAGTTTATATAAAGTGAGCGTACGACACGGATCGGAGTTTAATCCCAGCAAGTATCAACTACTGCACCTCAATAAAAACAGAGATTCAGCTTAGACCACCCCACAACTCAACGAGAGACAATACATTAAGGCGAGACGCTTGTCCGCTATCTAGAGTCGAAATCGACCAAACCTATAAAGCCACCACAACAAGAGATTCGGCAAACTACCAAAAGCATCGGGCACTAACGAGGATACCGATCGACGTAGGATAACAACACAAGACATGAGACAGCTCTATCAGGCGATAATTATCCCACAAATAACGTACCGCTACTCAGCATAATACCAGCCCGAAAACACTCCGGCCACAACAAAACTCACCTCTCATCGCTACAAAGGATTCAATCTCAGACAGAGAAAAGATAACTGAGTATTTAAGGCTATATCCATTCCAGCACTCGATATAGAAGCGCATCTTCTACTAGTTAAACAACAACTAGACAAGATCACCTCGGAAGCTGTCTTACGAATCGCCATTAGTTCAGTATATAGCGAGATCATTAAGCCACATTTCGAGCGATGAAGTCTAAAAAAAACCCAAGAAGAATAGGAAACTAAGTCCACTAAAGCGACATACCAACAGATTCGAAGAACGATACGGCGATATCAATAAGATTGAGAAACTACGCTTTTTCAGCGCCGCTCCCAATTGGGAGCCTCTTAAAACAATAATTTATAAGACCAAGAAAGCCGCCAAAGAACTGGCCAAAAGATCGATTGATAAGGGACACGCAATAATATACATAGACGGTAGCGGATCAATAAAAAGGTAAAAGCATCAGCTGTATCGTCAGACATTGGTTCTACTTTTAGTGTCTATCTGGGCCCAAGCGACTGGTATACGATATACTCGCGGAGCTCATGGTATTCTTCAAGCTCTAACTATGGCAGCCGTGTACCAAACAAGACTATAACTCAGCAGAGTTATAGTAAACACGGACAATCAAGCATCGATTCAGGCTATCGGAGACCCGGGTAAGCACTCGGGGTAGATCTATGTGATACAGGCAGTACAGATTATCGATTCGCTAAGGCATCTCGGGGTAGCAACAGAATTACACTGGATCCCGGCGTATATCGGTATCGATGGCAATGAATGGGCGGATAGGGAGGCGAAGAAGGCCACTGGCTGGCGAGAACGAGTGGTCCATAATAAAGAGTGAGGTAAACACTAACGAAACAGCCCAATTATCAGTTATACAGGTAAGAATAATATCGACGGTTAAGACAGCTATTAGAGACCACGTAATGGAACAATGAACTATCGAATGGGCTAACGAGAAGCGAGGCGGTATTCTTAGAAGGATCCAACCAACACCGTCAAAACAAATACAACTTCTGCATTCGAGAGTCAAGCGCGCCAAAACGTCGCTGATAACGTAAATAAGGACCGAGAAAATAGGTTTCAAGGCCTTTCTTTACAACCGATAAATACCGGATATAGAGGATAAAGAATACGAGTGTGGAGCGAAACAGACCCAGCATATCCTTCACGAATGTAGGCTATTCAGCAAGAAGCGAGGAATGCGGTGGGCCGAAGAAAGAAGAAGGTGAAAAAGGGGTTATTACTTATAAGGATATGCTAACAAAGCCACGCTACGCCTCTATGGCGGCGGACTTTATAAGGAGTACAGGGCTTATTGGGCAATATCAAGCCCTTGATGAGGACCAACAACAAGGATTCACTAGGGTGGGCGGTTAAAAAGAAGGACACGGTTAAGACGGGAGGGCCCCAGCGATGTAGGGTACACCCCTTCCCAAGGATCAAGTACCCAAGACGCAGAACCATGACGGTGACTTGTATAGCCTCATTTATTTGAGACCATATGATTGGCCGAAAGGATCAGATAGATTACGTAACTCGCATAGTCGGCCACTAGGGCAAGACTTCAGGGTAGTATGATGTAATCAATCAATCAAAATGAAGTCTTTTACTTGAAACGTGTCTGAAGCAGGGAGAGCGAGGTTCCTACTGTCGTACCTGTTCCAGTGCATTTCGAGGCAGACATAGCGAGGGTTTAGGCCCCTCTGATGCCTGGTCGAACGGCTCACCGGTGCTTGTTGGAGACGTTGCCACAATTCGTTCAATTCTACTCGGTAGGTAGACTCATCACTCGAAATCGGAAGATCAAAGCCACCGGCCGTTACGCTGTTTAGCTCATGTGCTCTTCGAACCGCCGTGCGATTTCGAGGGTCTCCCCATCCATCATACTGCCCCCTAGAAATGTAACACTAAAGGGTAATACACCTTCTGCGTCAGGCTTGCCCTGGAGCTCCGACACAGGACAGGTACCAGCGGGAACAGCTACAGCACATAGATCAAGAACATTGCCGAAATGTGAAAACTCGCCTAGCACGCTGTTCGTTGCCATTGGATCCGCGAGTACTTCCTCGACAGTCCAGTGCGTTGGAGCTGTTGGGACCACAAGTACATCTATGCCAGACGCGTCGTAGGCGAAGGTTTTTTCAGCTTTCCGAGTGTAAAACGCTTTTGCTTGTAGGTCTCTGTAAGCTTGTATCGCAGTGCTTTCCCTCGTTACGACATTTTCGAAGATATCTCGGATGACAGGATGGAGGTGATCCCGATTCTTCTCAAGCCAATCGTCAGGCAGACTAGCCAAGCGTTCTGAGACAAAAGAACCCTCATACAGGAGTTTACCTGCTTTCTCGAAAAAGCTCCAGTCTATTGGCCTCAAGATCCCACCCATAGCATGTAGACTCTGAACGCTTTCGTCGAACTTCCGACGGTAGGCTGGGTTGCAGATCGCTAGCGCTTCGAGCGGAGGAATGCCAAAAGTGAAGATCTTTGCCTGGGGCCCAGTGGAATTTATGTGTCTTTGGATCGGGACGGTCACCTTTGCGTAGGGGTCCTCTTCATCATATTTCGCACACAGATCCCATACAGTGCGAGCATCCGAGACATTTCCAGCAATGATGGCAACGCAGTCTAGTGAGAGACATGCTGGCGTCACTCCTTGGGCTGAGATCAATCCTCTAGTGGGCTTATAGCCCACAACTCCATTGAACGCAGCAGGGATCCTCCCGGATCCAGCCGTATCCGTGCCAAGCGAGAATGTTACTAGGCCAGCGCCAACACTGACACAGCTCCCAGAGGACGAGCCTCCGGAAATGTAGTCATGGTGGAGCATAGAGCGCGGGATTCCAAACGGAGACCGGCATCCAGTCAGGCCGGTCGCCAATTGATCAAGGTTGGTCTTGCCAATGAAGATCGCGCCTTGCTCTAACAGAAGGTCATATGCCAGAGCAGATTTCGATGGGACACGTGTCAATGGAGGACATGCGGTTGTAGTGGGGAGGCCAGCAATGTCGAAGCTATCTTTGACGCTAAAAGGCACACCAAAGAGTGGCGGAAGCCTTGAACGATCGGGCCAGTCGCTCAACAGCTTTCTTGCTCGCTCCAGCGCCGATGCCTCTGTCTCCAAATGAATCCAGACGGCAGGATCGACCTTCTTGTACCTTTGAACTCTGTCAAACACGATTTCGATCACAGTAACAGGCGACAGGCCTGTGCGGTACGCCTTTTGAAGGCTTGGGATACTCAGAACACCGTCAAAGTTTGCGGCAGTCTGGGCAGAAGTATTATCGCCAACGAATGCGAGCGACCGCGTGAACGACTCGAGAGTTTCCAGTAGAGGCTGTAGAGATGCAACGAATCCGAAAAGGCCTTCGCTCCAATGTATCATGTCGAGTACAGAAAGTTTGAACTCATCTTTGTAGCCGGCAGTGGCATCCTCGACTCCACCTGTCCACAATGTCAGCTCTTGGGTATCTCAAGAAAGCGAAAATCTTGAGGAAGCAGTCAAGTTAAGAGCCCAACACCCCTACTACCCGCCAGGTTACATGTCGTCTAAGCCTCAGACCCTCAGAAGAATGGGCCGGAGACCGAAGTGTATTGTCATACTGTAGAATGGCCAAGCCAATGAAGCACCGAAACAGTGGCTCGCTATTCAGAGGGACTATCAACCCGTACAATTTCCAAACGTAAAAGCTTGAAATCCAATCGCCTGAAACCCAGGAAGCAACATCTTTCAATGTCAATGAGCGTTATCAAGCTTACAGCACTCGAATCCACGGTCATTGGCTTCACGAAATGTTGTATCAAAGCAACATTCCGTAGTCACACCACAAATGATGAGATGTGTGATGGCCTTTGCTTTCAATCTGTCCATCAACTTGGTATTGAAGAAGGCTCCTCTTCCTGGTTTGTCTACTACGACTTCTCCGGGAACAGCGCGCAACTCATCGACAAAGTCGTGGCCGATTGCACCACGGACCAGCAGCCTTCCCATTTCTCCTTTGTCACCGATGACTTTTAAACCCTGTATTTTGTCACGAAAACCCTTTTGTCTGATCAACTTGTTGGATGGACAGTCTGATAGGTCGGGCTTGTGGCCCTCTCGAGTATGGAAAATAGGTAGATTGGCTTGACGGAATTTGTCGAGAAGCTTCTTGGTTGGAGCAATTGAAGCTTGGACGGCTTGAAGAGAACCAGCCTGTATTTCTCCGAAACCATTCGGGAGCAGGAAATCTCGCTGCATGTCTATGATGAGCAATGCCGTCTGCGTTGGGGGGAATGCAAAAGGGTATGGCTTCGCGTCGACGGTGAGCATTGTGGACAAAGATTTGGTACAATCCATAGTACTGGAATGGCGTCAACGTATAGCGGGTCTATCTCGTGAAGGTTAGTAGAGCCAGTCACACGAGGGACAAAATGCAGATGGAGTGCAAGAGAGTGGGCCCAGAGAAATAAAAAGCACCGCAACACCATTGTACCAGCGCCATTAGGAATCGAACCTAATACGAACTAAATACCTCCAACCACACCCAGTGGTACATGTCTCGGATAGAACAGATCAGCCAGAGTCCACAAATTGCACGGCCGGTATCTTGGAAAGCTCCGCCGTCCACAACGACGTAACAGCAGCTCTCGAGTCTGTCAATGCCTGTCTGGATGCGGCGACCGCACGGTCTACGAGGCTAATCATAGGATTTGCATATCTCAGGGAACTCGAACCCATACTCAAAAGAAAACATTGTTAGAACTATGGAGGCCTACAATATCCCGTTGCTGCCGTCTAACCAACAAATCAATCTACCAAAAACAGTCGCAAGACTGAACTGGGTTCCTTCACAAGACCACTCTTCTTCGTAGGCTCAGACAAGCTTGAGCACCATGATGAAAAGGAAGTTCGCATCGACCAGCGGCAGTGTAAGGCCGGTGACACAGTGCCAGGAAGCATGAGCAAGCCCAGAGACAACCCAACAATTGTAAAAATTGATTTAATCAATAAAAGGTCCGTAGACCAATTTCAGAGATTAAACTGAAAAGAACAGATACTACACTTGATCTAAGCCAAAAGGCAAAGAGAGCTAAGGAGGAAATTTGGGTCTGGGTTTCGAGGGAAATATATACTCCCTCGCTTAGCTAGCGGGCCGCCAAAATTTCACCTGCGCTACCCGGATTGCAAATTTCCATGTAGTCACCAGTAGGTTTCTTCGCTGGATCTTGAATCGAAGTATCACACAGTATGTCCTCCTTAACTAAGATACCACTGCAAATATCAGGCTACAACATACTTCCCCTGACTCTCCCACCACTGCCCTCCTTCCCTGAAGCTGCAACCCATTACCTCTACCTGGTACCGCATCAGCCAAAGATCCCTACGCCTACTGCCTCGCGATCACTGTTCCTGGTCAATGTACCATTCGACTCGACTGAACTTCACATTAAGCTTTTATTCTCAACCCAGATAGGACTACCTGCCGGGAGGATCGAAGATGTACAATTCGAGGGCCAGAGGAGAAGAGGCAGCGGCACGGACCAAGCATCCAGTCCAAAGGCCTCTCAAAATAAGAAAAGCAAAAAGAGAAAACGTGGAAGTAGTGGAGGCATCATAGAAGACATGGAAGGCGCAGCACTGCCACCTGTTTGGGATCGCGACCTGCAAACCAACGGTCTCACAGCCGTCGTTTTATTCGTCGATCGAGCAAGTATGGACGCGGCCTTGAAAGCAGTCAAATCGATACGAAAAGAGCGCAAGGAACCTCTTTGGGGTGAAGGATTGGAAGGCAAAGTTCCAGCGTTGGGATCTGCGAGTCGGTCCCTTATCATCTACGATCTGCTAACGAACTCATGCTGATATTGATATAATCATAGGATATCTTAATCACCACAGCCTCACCTACCCCAACAAAGCCCAACTCCTCGAATCCGTCAACAATTACATGACACGTTTCGCCAGCAAAGAAGCCTCCCAAGCCCGATCCCTGGCTAGGCAAAGACAAGTGGCTGATGCCGATGGCTTCATTACTGTTACAAGAGGGGGGAGGACGAATCCCGCACGACAAGAAGTGGCTCAAGAGCAAGCTGAGAAGCAGAAGGAGAAACAAAAGGAATTGGATGATTTCTATAGGTTCCAGTCGAGGGAGAAGAGGAAGCAGAGGGCGGGCGAATTAGTGAGGAAGTTTGAGGAGGATAAGGAGAAGGTTAGGAAAATGAGAGAAAGAAGGGGAAGATTCAGGGTAGGTCCTTGTTATAGTTCATCCATTTCCCTGCTCGTATGCTGAAGATGGTGTACAGCCTGAATAAGCCACGTCCAGCACATCCCACTCCGAGTATCGAGAACCGCCGTCGTGTCAGTCTATGAGACCAGTGATCTAGCCCAGAAATAGAACACAGCCCACCAAACGAGTTGAGGATGTTGAAGATAATTCTGCCCTGGCACATTCCTACCTGGTGAGTCCTCTGACTACGAGCGGAACCGCAGCAGCTTCTTCACCGTTATCGTGCACACGACATGATGAGTCCCGCTGGGGCCATAGGAACGCCTTGCAATGCAAATGGCATTTGGCGCAATATGTCTACAAAACCAGCTTCACAAATCTTCTCAAACCTCTGAGACCTGTGCCTTCCAATGTTATTTCATTATTCTGCTGTTCCTCGATCAATCACTGAGAAGGAGGGATCGAGGCGAGATCTCGAGGTACTTGGCTAATCTCCGGGACCAGGACAAGTTTCAAATGGTTAGATGCTTGACGCAATCCGAATATGAGGAGGGCAAGGCATCGTCTCACGTGCAACCAATCGATTATTTAGTCCGTGGTTGCGAAATCCCTACACTTTACAAAATTCCGCAGGCGTCAAGCAGTTTACAGCGTTAATAGCAAGCAGCGATCGCAAACGCGGTGATAATGCCGGCTGCGCACTTCGGAACAATTGGGTGATAGATCGCAGGATCTTTTTCAAGTGTGTGCTGGAGCGACTGAATTACCCGGTCAAACCGTCAAAGTGTCAAACCATATCTAGGCAGGGCAAAGCTATGTTCTCGGAACATTGTCAAAGTCAAGCAATTGTGAAGATTCCACCTCGTCTTTCTGACTTGAAACAGCTGTTGTCCGCCGAACAAGGTTACCACGCCGAAACTCGCTGCACTAGTGCCACCTGAATTGTGGCACATTCATGTTTGAGACGACAACGCCCCTTCCACCTCCAACAAAGGCCCAAGACTTACAGATCGTCGAGATGCGGCCAAGGATCGAAATACCATGCAGCAGTCCCTCAACTACCGGCGTGGCTCATCAGATTGGATGGATGTTAGGTAGCGTTCGCTCTCGAAATGCGAGACATTAGATTCGAACAATATTGGAGGGACGTCGTCCCAGATTCCAAACATTGCAATCTACTACACCGTTGCACGTGTGACAGTGGCCGCCTGGTAGGTGGTCACCGAAGGCGACTGACGGAAGGTGCGCCATTCGCTGTTGGTATGGGGTGGCTTCACCATATCTATAACCTCCCAGCGATCCTCCCGTTGTTCCTTCATCCTCTCCAACTTTCTTACTCAACCCACTGTCTCTTTCTGTTTGCATTTCTGCTGTACCTACTATCATTCCCTCCTTCAGCCCAGAGCATTGATCTCCTATTTCTGTGTCTTTCTTCAATTTTATTCCCTTCTTACAACGATCGTCCAGAATGTATTTGCAGTATATTGTGGCCGCTACGGCTACGGTGTTGATCACAGTTTCCTCGTGAGTACCAAGTTGTTTCTCACCCATGCTTGAACAATATGCCGACGTGGGGTGCCAGGTTTCCACATGACCAGGGCAAAAGGCAACTTGGCTATCAGGATCCCGTCGTGACCCCTACAGTCTCTTCATTCGAATTCTCCACCACGGCAATGACTGAATCGACGACGCCCAAGACGCACGCAACGAAATCCAAGCAGCCTAAGCCGACCCATACTCACAAAGCCTCGAAGCATGCATCCACCAAGACTGGAAGCTACACTCTTATAGGTTCCTTCGGCGAGGCTGGAACAAGCGTCCCGCCATTCTTGGGAACCAATCCGTAAGCAGAGCAGTCCTTGTACATTGAAAACAAACCTGACAGTTTTTCCTAGATATGGCTCTTATCCTACCGGGTAATTTTCTCTTTTCGTGTTTAGAATCTGAAGTCTCATCTACAAAAAATTTGCATTTCTACCAAAGCGTCTCATCCACCCCACAATCCCTAAGCGCTCACTACTCGTCACCGGACTAACATTCTCCCAGCACAAATCCGCTCGGCTCTTGCTACCTTGGAACAGCCTATGGCTGCACATCCGGCGGTACAGGCCGTCTCAGCCCGACCATCAAGTCGCCACCTCCTATCTATCCGAACACAACGTCAACCAGCATTTCTTCAGCGAATCTCAGAACGACAACTCAATCATCCCTCTCAACCCCCTCCATCTCAACAGCATCGAGCCCAAAGACCGAGCTTCCACATGGGCCCCCACCTCACGGACCTCCCCCCCATGGACCACCTGGTGGACCCTCAGCCTCTCCCGCTTCCTCTCTCAGCGCCCTCGAGGCTGGTGTCGTGGCGTCTCCCACTACATCCGGCGCTGGCATTGTCACCTACCAGAATCTCGTCGGTTACCCAATCGAATCCGGCGCCGTCCCTCCCTCCAGCACAGTATTCGCCGGCGGCCCTCCTCAAGGTCCCCCACCAGGTCCTCCCGCCAGGCCTCCCTTTTGTCCACCACCCGTCACCATCACATCCACAAGTACGGCTACCGTGACAGTTACGGAACCAGCCCCCACGGCTCCCCTGACTACGCCGACCACGATTCAACTGTCGACGGCGCCCTTCGGGCTGGGGAACGGCACCGCTTTCCACGGGCCCACGGGTGGAACGGGCACGGGGATGCACATGGTGACCATCCGCACAACCGTCTCTGCCAAAAATTCTGCCAAGAGCTCCGGCAACATCTCTTCTCAACCTTCGACACTGACCTCCGCCACGACGTCCGGCATTGCTGCTGGCAAGGCTTCTGACAAGTCCTCGACCTCTGCCACAAGATCTGCCGCAGCTGTTGCCCTCTCGGCATACAGTTAGGAACACGGACATACTGAAGGTGCTATGGAAAATCTAGTCAATGGGCGCTGTGGGGTACGAGAGCGCTGGGGGGATATGCGCTTGGATTTTTGTCGCTAGGGAAAGGCGCAGGTGCTTTGTCCGGTCTGTCTAGTGCGGATTGCTGGGCTTGTGGGCAAGATTGGGCCGCCTCTCGTTGGGACCAGGCTTTCCAGGAGGTTGAGCGCTTACCTTCTTTCGGCAGCGGTATGGATGCAAGCTAGAATTGGTTTCTTCCGTGTTTCGTGTATGCACATTTATACCGTCGGGTGCTACACTGGCTCAATCAGAGCTCGTATCGTTGCCGAGCGTGAATGAGTAATATCTTCCTTTACTTACATTCTGACAGGGCAATATTCCCACTGAATTTCCGTAGGGCCTCTTAGGGTATCGATACTTGCGCTACTGGGCAACCAGAGCTGTTTCATTCGCAGAAGCTTTGATACATCATGAGGAAGGATGTGGACTTGACGCATCAATACTGCTCTATCTACACCATACTTCTCCAACTGATGAACAACCGACTGGATCCGATCCGTTGCTTTTCATCCGACGGGGATGTGACACCTACCTCAACAGCCAACCACACCTCTTCAACCATGGCAAATCTTCGACAAGAGAATTGTCAGTACAAGCTCACTCGTCCTTCGAGGCAGCTCCAGTCATCATGGCAGCACCCAACATATCCATTATCTTGGGTATTCCAATCGAGCACACTCCGGTGCTCATCTGGGCGGTTCAATGGTGGGCATGACCTGGGGCGCCTCGCTCGCAAGCCATCGTGTGTCAGGATGTGTGACGGTGGGAAAACGTCATTCGACCGCCATACATCCACGCGCTGCTTTATTCCATCGTACGTTCCGGCACGAGTCCGATTTTGAGATATGGTCTGTCGGAACCAGCGTGGTTTAGCACGTCCTAGGCCGATATACCGTGGAACCTGGCCTCTACGACGCCATGGGTCAAGAAGCTGCGAAACACTACGACGAACACGCTAACATTTTCCGTGTGGAGTCGCTTGCTGGTCGCTTTTTGGGGTCCTTTATGAAGAATTTGAATGGGGTTCGTATTCACCGAAACTTCGTCATGCTCACTGCCGTCTACAGGCCATCGAGTCAATCGCACCCACGATGCGTCTATTCGTTACGCAGCAGATGTTCGAGCCCATCGTCTGCAAAAAGGTTGCCGAAGAGGACGGTGATCTTCGGTTTCCTTCCGAATTGATTGGTTTTCAGCAAGATGTAGACGGTGTGACTGCCCTCGTGAGAAATACAGAGACCGGCGGAAAGACCGTCATTAGATCAAGGTACCTAATTGCAGCTGACGGTAATCGCTCAATGGTGAGGGAAAAGCTTGGTATTGGCTTTGAAAGCCACGGCCTCCTTTCACATTCGATTACCATTTACTTCGATATGGACGTTGGAAAATATGTGAAAGGCAGTTATAACGGTGTGATCTATGTCAATAATGACACCGTGCGAAGCTTGTTTCGCATCGACAAGAGTGGACCGGAGGGCTTTTTCGTTATTAACACTTCGGGAGAGCGTGGCACGGAACGGAGTAGATATCCTGATGATATCCTCACCGACGAGGGTGCCCAAGAAATGCTCCGCGCTGCTGTTGGCAACGACAATGAATTCAAAATCACGCTCATCTCCCCATGGCGGGCTGTCTGTGATAACGCCGAAAGATACCCCCAAGGCCGTGTTTTACTCGTTGGTGATGCGGCCGCAACCGTGACGCCAAATGGCGGCTTTTCTGCAGACAGCCATAATCGAAGAGCCGGTGAGTGCCATTTCATCCCTTGGCTCTATTGCACGCCACATCGTAGTCAATGTCCCAGGCCATGCGGACAACATCCCGGTTGCAGATCTTTTCGGTCATTGTCTCGTTCTCCTCACGGGTTCCAAGGGTCAAGAGTGGGCCTCGGCTGCTACTCGCCTCAGATCGGAGACTACGTTGCCCGAAATTCGAGTGTACAGCGTTTCCAGTGATCTCTTTTGCACGAAATACTGCATAACTGCATCTGGAGCTGTCCTCATACGCCCCGACGGCTTCGTAGCCTAGCGAGAGCGTCACGCCGCCATGCAAAGGTCGTACCTGATCCGAGCACTACGCTTCGGGCGGTAATACGAAAGTTCTTGTACCTCGAGCCTGTCGCGGCAACGCAGAAGAATACTCCACAGGCCAAGGTGGAGGCATTTTTGTGGACCAGCGCATTACACGTCAGGGAAAAAGCTGTCAAAGCAGAAATAGGTGAACTAAAGGGGAGGTTGGAGCAGCTGGACGAGCACCTAAAGGATTTGAGGCGCTTGGGAGAGCTGCAGAATGAGATGGCCCTGCTGGCCATGAAGACGGTGTTGTGAGCAGAGAAGCCTCCAGAGTATCCTACGTCCGACTGCCAAGGCGCAAGCAAGAACTGAAGAGCCAAGTGTCAATGATATCCTGACTCAGCCCACGCATTAATGCTTGACGAGCCAAAAGATGAAGTCTTGCAGCTGAGCAAATCAGCACGAACATCCTCTTAATTCTTATCCCACGTCGATTCTTGTCGCCTAGGATTCGTGCGCCGCGGGTCTTGCAGTCAGAGATGCATTCCGGACCGTGCCACTGAGTGCAGAATTTGATACCACGAAGGCGCCAGCGGATACCTATTGCTCGAGAAAAATACCATCACCTACCGTTTGCGCGTGTTTAACATTCTGGTCCCAATCCAAGCCAGGCTCATACAAAACTACAGCCAATTTCTCGTTGGAACCCGCTTGAGTGTGAGCAGGGTATGCTGAATGCTATTGTTTGCAAACTATTTGTAACTTACCAGTGTTAGCATGTCCGCCAGTTCCAGTATCTCCGTACCCAGTGCACCTTCTTTCTACGTTGTCAGCATCCATAGCAGCCCATCGATACCACCCCCTGTCACTCAAGAAGACGGCATCTGGGCGCTTGATGGGGAAGATGCCGACGGTACACTGTTGTTGATACACTAGTAGCAGTAATGAGTAGGTGATCAACAACAATTGATTGAGAGAGTCGACCTGAGAATCAATTAGTTAATTGCTTTTCGGTGGGGTGGTCCGGGTGGATACACGTTCTAATTCCGCGGAAAATCGATAGTCTCTCCACGTTCCAACCATGATGTCTGCCGGCCATCTGGTAATACTAGAAAGGTTAGAAAAATGGATTCGATCATCTCGGCGACGAAGAAAGGTATATGAGGCCTCGCTGCAAGCTATCGCGGTTACTTTCCCGTATACACCACCGCAGACGGGAATGTTTGAGCTCCTGGCCATGACTAGATGGAGATTGATGATCTGAAGGAGAGACACGAGGACCGCGGAAAGAGGTTTCAGGACGAATGAAAAAGTGTAGAAAAGAAAGGGTAATCAGAGGAGAGTCCCAAGCAACGCGTTTTGAAGATATTAGGATCAATCCTCGATCTCGATGGAATTTTGGCGCTGCTGCTCTTTGAGACGACAAGGGATCAGTTCTTGCGGTTGAGCACGCAGTGAGATTCATATCCTGTTTGTTGTTGGCAACGGTGTCTCACAAAGTCCTGATCAAGCTGATGCACTCCGGTGCTCGATGACCAAACCACCAAGAGATCGTTCGGCCTTTCCACCAATGGCTTGCACAAACAAAGATGTGCAACACCAAGATCTTCGACCTCGGGCAACTCAAAACAAACTTGGGAATCAGCATTGGCGGCAGAAGGGTGACTCAGGCCTCGGATGTATTTCACGATTCTAGTATCGAACGTTGTCTGCGCTCAAGTGCGACATTTCTCATGACAATTGGTCCGACTCATCAACCCTTCTCGTGGTTTTCAGCCGGCTCATCAGTCAAGATTGACTCGAATGACATATTCCGCAATCTAGGATTCATCATGTTCCAAGCTTGATTGCGGTATATCTAGTATCCTCTTTGCGTATGTAGTCCCCAACATCTGAAATGGGAACGCAGCGATGAACGTGCCACGCATTGGTATTTTGGGTCATTGGTATATCTTTGTACAGGTAACCAGCGCTATAGATTAGTACGGTCGGTAGGGGAGTGTAAACAAACTTCATGGGCCATGCTGTCAGGTCGCTAGCGTAGACCTAACGACAGGGATCAGAGATTCGCGTCGTTGCGACTCGCGACGTCCATCTCACCGTACTGCACTCTGGATCACCCTCATCCTCGACCATGAGTGACACGCACATCGATGACCGAAGCGATGCCCGATTGAGGGAAGCCATCGAAAGATTGCCCGATAAAGAGCGGGCTAAAGGTATCAGCTTCTTCGAGCAACATAAAAACGCTCAGGCAGTCTACGATGCCCTTGACAGCTCAGTCTCCTCTTCTTCATCAGAGAATATTACGGATACGTTGTTACGGATGATGCGGTTACGGGAGAAGGCCATTGAGGTGGAGCAAAATCCTACACCAAGCTTCAAGGGTGCTCTCGACCAATACACCTTCGCACAGACCCCATCGCCAAACAGACGCGTCACAAGATGGTTGAGTTCGATTGAGACATCTCCTACACCTGCGGTTACGTCAACCTGCAAAGTCCCTACCCCAGCTATGTCTTCGCCTACCCGGAAAGCATCATCTCGAGCAACCTCACTGAAACGCAAAGCTACCGAGCCTGCCTCTGCTTCGCCCTCTCCCTCGAAAAAGAAGAAGCGCCCGTCCTCATCCTACGCCCCGCCGTCAAAATACGCCTATCTAACCAACCACCTCACCGACTCCCTTGCCCCAAACTTGATCTGCATATTCATCGGCGTCAATCCGGGCATACGCACTGCAACCACCGGCCACGCATACTCCCATCCATCCAATCTCTTTTGGAAACTCGCTTATAGCTCAGGCTGTACGCCGCGCCTTTGCAGGCCGGAAGAGGATCAAGATCTACCGCGATTGTACGCGTTGGGACATACGAATATCGTGAGCAGACCTACGAAGGATGCGGGGGAACTGAGTAAGAGCGAGATGGACGAAGGCGTGGCAATTTTGGAGGAGAAGATTAGGAAATGGAGGCCGGAGAGTGTGGCAATTGTAGGGAAGAGTATTTGGGAGAGTGTTTGGAGAGTTAGGCACAAAAAGAAGTGTGGAAAGGATGATTTTAGGTATGGGTGGCAGGATGATTCAGAGAGGATGGGTATTGTGGGGGTTGAGGGTGAAGAGGGATGGCCTGGGGCGAGGGTTTTTGTGACGACTACTACTAGTGGGTTGGCTGCTGGGATGAGGCCGCATGAGAAGGAAGAGGTATGGAGAGGATTGGGAGAGTGGGTGAAGAGGAGGAGGATAGAGAAGGGGATACCTGATGAGGGGGGCTTGAAGCTCGAAGTGGTCGGGGATGGTGAAGGTATGGAGGCTGTGAAGGAAGAGGTGGAGGAAGCTATGGAGACATGAAGTAACACTAAGAAGCCTGGTGTCAGGATGCACTCGAAAGTTCATTGGCTGCAAGCTAGGTCTTCTCGTATCGTGAGCTCGGTGCTTGTGAGTGACGGGTGCATGCTGCCAATACCGGTGTCACTGTCGTGTCTCCCTTAAGCCTGCCGAAAGTCTCCTAGCTAGTCATCCTCAGCTAAATTACATCTATGTGATAAAATCCCCCTATTGTATTTCAACTCTTCATCTGTGGAGCAAATCCAATACTTCTCCGCCTTCATGAAGGAACACTTCTCTCCATGTGTGCCTACTCATCGGTACACTTCACCCGGAAACCCCAGAACTCATCGCTCCCCGCATATCTAGGCGGTATCGTATTAATCTGATATATTACTGAGTTAACGATATAAGAGAAGAATCTACTACGACGGTTATAACTAAATTACTATAGTTAACTATTGATGGAAGATCGGACGATATATATTTAGACGAATTGAAATCGTTCGATATCTTACTCTGACAGCTATTTCACCATTCGAAAGATTTCACTGCGATAGAAGATATTGTAGGATTCACACCACTAATTAGCACGATGTCTTCATTTTTTTCCGGCATTTAAAAAATCATGCATACATACTTGATACTTCCTGCCATGAGGACATAGCCTTTCTCTATTTTTTTGTAGATATTTATTACGGAGAATCCTCCATATAGGCCCACTAGTACCAATTAGGCCTTAGCGCGCCTCCATACTGCACATATCTGCCTATCGCTTGTATATAGTCAGATTTTTCAGTACCTTAGTGCTTAGCCACAAACTATCCGTCGCAAATATTTTGATTCTTCAATGAGCTTCGACGACTACACTCTCTCACGGTGACTCTCTGACAGCAATCTCAAAAGACAAAGGACAGTTATGGGCTCTGTACTTAGCTGCTTAGAAGCCGACAAGAGGAGGAAAGAGAAAAAAATGGCACAATTCGCGGAGACGAAACGTGGACAGCGCGTGATGAACTCAAATCGGATGGTGCGGTACAGAGAGAAGCGGTTGAAAGCCATGCAACCAGATGTCGAACTCCGCCTTAGGGAGGAAGAAGATCACACAAAGGGTCAACAGGTTTGGTTCTCTCGGTATATATACAACGGGCGGTTGAGACACTGGGTCCTTATGACGCACGGCAACAAGTATGAGCTGCGCCTCGGTGAGAATGTTGGCCAAGAGAATGGGGAAGAACCCCCAGGAGAATCAAAGTTCACCTACCACATGACGCCTTTCACGATCGAAGAAGAGAAAAGAAAAGCAGCACTGGCTGAGAGCAGCTTGCCTGATGTAGACGGCTTCTATGTCTGCTTGATCGGCTGGACTACCAAGACCAAGGACGAAGTCGACCTTGCATGCAGGTCCGCATCTCAAAGTTTCGGAGAGTATCACCTCTTGTGGAAGAACTGTCAACACTTCCTTCGCATACTAGCGGATCAAATCTTAGCCACCAAAGCAGCCGACTACCCCTGGTTCAAATCCAACACGAAAACCAAGTACCAGAAGACGCAGTCCTTGATGCCCCCGCCCCTGGAGTTCTTGTTGAAAATGCAGCTCCAGATGACGGCCCAGATGCAGGCGCAGGTTCAGAACCAGATCCAACTCCAGACTCAAAATCAGACTCAAAATCAGATTCAGAACCAGATTCAGATGCAGGTTCAGAACCAAATTCAGAACCAGATTCAGATGCAGATTCAGAACCAGATTCAAATGCAAGTCCAGAACCAGATTACAATGCAAACCGCTGGGTGATAGGTGCGCACAGAGACAGATTGGGTTTGGAAAGACGGTGCAAGCGGTCTATTTTACTTTCGGCGCCCGAACTATACTTGAGAATTCAACTTAGTGCTTGCCGCCTTGACTACTCGGTGCAACGACTTGCGTGTTAATCTCAGCTCCTTTATCAAGCAGCATCTGCACCACTTTATTATCACCTCTATATGACGCCGCCTACAAAGAAAAGTAATTCGGGGCAAGAAGAAAATCCATCATCCAGTCATTGTTGGGGAAACCGACCGGAAAACCTTCAGGAAGAGGAGCCACATCTGCATCCTGCAGCGTTGAAATGGTGGAGACCATGTAGCTGTCCGGCCCGAGCTTTTCCTCCTGATCATGTCGGATAGATCGAAACTTCTTGGCAGTTGGGGAGAAGATGTCTCCTTCGGTGCTGCCATTATTGTCTAACCTAGGAAAGGTTGCCACTTGATCCATATTGTTGATTACCTGACCCAAGATGAGGAGCAGATCTGCAGTCTCTTGGGCACCCTTCTTGTCCCAAGCAGGATCGTTAAGAGTCGAGAGCCTGTGCAGGGTGACTAGAGAATGTACGAGTTGTGAGAATATGGAAAAGGGAAATACAATGTAGTCGATGGGTAGAATTGTGAAGAAGACCTCAAACCAGGACTTTGTTGACTCAACGCATGCGTAAATACATTTCACTTGCTTGAAGTTTGAGTGGTTGGAAATAATCGGCGCTTGGGAGAGAGCAATTTCATTGACCGTCAGCTCTGTTGCTGTAGAGGTGTGCAAGCACAACCTCTGCCAAATCGTCAGAGAGGACAACAGGTACTTGGTGAATGATAGCTTACCATTGCGCTGCAATCGAGGCAAAAGAATTTTCTCGATTTCTTGCAACTGCGAGTGGAGGGCTTGTAGACAGGAAGATAGTGGCGCCTTATAGTGCTAATCGGTTTCCATTGCTCCATCATTCCAAGTGCCCAGTGTCACTTTTTCAACAATCACCTGCAATCGTACTTGCTGCGCCAATATCTCGTCAGTGAGACACTCTCGCCTTTCATCCACCTCTTGAAGGCACTCATTCATGTGTGGTGTCCAGCGTAGCGCATCAATTTTGTGCAAGAGCGATGAGACACAGAAAATACGATGAGCCCACGCTTCAGGAAAGGTATGGAACAACAGACTGACATTGACGTAATCAGAAAGCAACCAAGCACAGCTCTCCGTTCCTCCATGGTCCGAATTGTGGGTGATTTCGGACGATTTTGAGAATTCATACAAAGCGACACCTGCGGGTTTTCGGGCAGGGGCTTATTAAGACCAAGATCAAATACTAATAATGTGGCAAGCTGTGTAAAGACGGATAGGGAGGGTCTGCTTTGCACCTGGTAATTGATCCTGAGAGAAAGTAGTCAGTATCTGATAACTCGAGTTTGCGAGGCAGAAAACCCATGATAATGTAATTTTGTGGGGCAGAAACCCCATACCAACCAACATATGCCAGAAGTCCTAAGAGGAGATCAATACTCTGATCAGACCTAAGCAGCATTTCCTGCGCCAGTGTATCTCGTATTTTGCTGCCAAGTACTTGTTGCTGTGACGTTGATCTCGAAGCTATCGTCATTATGCAAAGCCATGAAAAGGGTCATTCTTGACGGAGTTGCCGCGCAGTGGCGGTAGATGGAACATAAATGAATGGAAAGTACTTTGATTTGTGGGTATGAAAATCGACCGCATCATACAGAAAGGATGCTGAGGAGTCACTCAAAGTGCCCTCGAATTGGTTTTCCCTGGCGTCAAGACTGGTAGATTCGGGACATAGTCACCCAAGACGCTCGTCACTGATCCAAGAAGTCTTACCATTTGTTCGGACATTGCTGTGATGCGCAGAATCGGACAACGCAGCTATCTCCTGAGTATGATGGCATCGGATTGTGCCCCTGCCTTGAGCAGCGACACTAGACCATCACGTTCCTGCTCGAGCCGTGCTGATTTGGAGATGACTGGTTTTTTTATGGAATATGGCGTCGAACTGTCACTGACGGCCAGCATTCCAATCAAGCAATGGCATCTGACAACATCAATTCATGTGTACCACAGAGCTTTGGGTTCGTGATGATGACCTCTCACAACGACCGTCAATCCTACGAATTTTACATTTGCACTTGGACTGAGAACAGTCCACGCATGCTCGACCATATGGTGCTGGGATGGCATCATTCATTCTTTCCAGGAAGATTGTTCGAATCGGCTATGAAACCAGGATTGTATTTGGAAGAGATTCGACCGTCCCAACGTCACGGATGTCGGCACCGAAAGTCCTGCACATGGTCTGAAGGGTTGTCTGGACAATGCGTTCACATCTGCTTCGGACTTATACTTGACCTGAGCCCGAGTTATATGGCTTATCGTCCTCAAAAGCTCAATTCATGCGCCCATAGGAAAGAGCTCGTTGGAGGGCCGCCTTCCGAAAGTAGGGTTAGGGCTACTTACTAGCGGTATACTCGTATTTGACCGCCTGTAGAAAATTCCTTGAAACTTTCTTTGCGGCGAGAATCGAGCTTTCATGATCTCAGCGGAGAGGAAAACATTCTTGCCTGATAACATCGCCGTGTTTCGATCATTGCCACTGTAGCAGCCTTTTTTTTCTCTTTTTTCTTGAACAGCCACGCGGTTTCCCCCTCATGGCCTCAGCAATGGCCCAAGTAAGGAATTGCGCGTGGGGTTTTAACCTCCACTGATTGGCCATGAGCTCTCCGCCTTCTCCGTCATGTCTTCAAGTGTTGTACGATTCAACCAAGTTCTTTCAAGGCCGTTGACCATTGAGGAAGGTGTTAAATTCGAGGTGGTGGGGCGTCGCACGAGGTGCATAAGGTACGAGTCCTCGCTGTTCGGGCAGTACCTGCATTTTCAATCTGCATCTACTCTACAGAGAACTTCCTAAAGCACCATGCATTACCCCATCATCAACATGGCCGCCCTCGCGGTACCGCTGTTGCTACCAGTACTAACGGCAACCCAGCACACCAGCGCTACAATCCCTGGAATCTCAGCATACACCGTCACTGCTGGTTTTCCAACCTCTGCCTTCCCTACCTATTGGGAAGCGCCTGTCGAGACTCAAGAGCCTCAGCCAGCCCTCTACGACCCTGTCCTCAATATCACGTTCCCCTTGAATCTCACGAATCCAGAGACGATCCCAACGACCGACAATGACCCAATCTACTACCCTCAGCCGTTGGCCAACATCTCCAACTCGTCCACTGCGGCCTTGTTGCAAGCAGCGTACACAAATATCACGGATATAATTGAGAGTAACACCACGGCCAGCAATTGCACAAAATGTATGGCGGCATTGAATGTTGGGAAAACGGTCGCTCAGTATGCGCCTGAGAGCGTCCCAGATCTTTTGGTTAAGCTCTGCGAGGCTTTCCAGTTCAGCTCGAATGCAACTTGCGTTGACAACTATGCCGCAGGCAGCTTCGGGGCCATTTGGACTCAGGTGTTGGCACTTGCGGACGTGACTGGCCTGGATGGGCGATATATCTGCAACGACCTTAGTAGTACCTTCTGCCCAGCGCCAGCGACTTCGCCTCTCAACGTGACGGGCTTGTTCCCCAAGCCCAAACCCAAGAATGCGTGCGCACCCAAAGCTTCTGGAAAACGAGTCAAGGTCCTACATTTGTCGGACTTTCACCTTGATCCAAGATACTCCGCTGCATCAGAAGCAAATTGCTCAGCAGGCTTGTGCTGCAGGACGAATGTTCATGCTACTGGAGATGCTGTTGGGCAGGTGACTGTACCCGCGCCGCTCTACGGTTCATTCAAGTGTGACACGCCTTACTACCTTGGTCTGGCTGCTCTTCAAGCGATCGCGCCTTTGACTGGAACACATGGCAATTCTTCTGTTGCATGGACTGTCTACACGGGAGACCTTGTCTCACACGACAGCCAGAACCAGCTCTCTCGTGCTTATACTGAGTATGCTGAGGTCAGCGTGTATGATCTTTTCAGGGAGTATATTGGGAGCCCGGTCTTTCCTGTGCTTGGCAATCACGATTCCAATCCGGAGGCTATCGACGCACCGCATAGTCTTCCAGGGCCGCTTGGACAACAGTTCAGCTGGAACTACAACCACGTGGCCTCGCTGTGGCAGCAAAATGGCTGGATCAACTCGACTACAGCGAATGAAGCAAGGCTGCACTACGGTGCCTACTCTGTGCTAAATCAATACGGCCTGCGTATTATCACCTTAAATACTGACTTTTGGTATCGAAGTAATTTTCTGTGAGTCACTGTGGCAAATTTCTTCTTTTCTTTTCATAGCTGACATTTGCAAAGCAACTATATTAACACTTCCAACCCAGACGTCTCTGGCATGCTTAACTTCCTGATCCAGGAACTGCAAGCCGCAGAAGATGCCAAGGAGAGAGTTTGGATCCTAGGCCACGTCTTGGCCGGGTGGGACGGTAGCAATCCTCTACCCAACCCAACTAATCTATTCTATCAGATCGTCGACCGATACTCGCCTCACGTCATAGCCAATATTTTCTTTGGTCATACGCATGAGGACCAAGTCATGATCTATTACGCAAACAACGGCACTGTCCAGACATCTGAGAACGCCTTGACACTAGGCTGGATTGGTCCTTCCGTCACTCCCTTGACAAATCTCAACAGTGGCTTCCGCATGTACGAGGTCGATACTGGCTCATTTGAGATCTACGAGGCCTATACTTGGTTCTCCAATGTGTCAAGCTTCCCTCACCTCAACGTGTCTAAGAGTGGTCCAACCTACCAATTTGAGTACTCAACTCGTGAGGCTTACAACATCAGCTGGCCAGAGGCGTCGCCGCTGGATGCGAAGTATTGGCAAGCAGTGACAGAAGCTATGGAAACCGACTTCAGTCTCGTGGAAAAGTTCAATTCTTTTCAAGGGAAGAGCAGTGTTCTGACTCCCAATTGTACCAGTGCAGCTTGTGCTAAAGCCAAGATTTGTTACATTAGAAGTGGTTCCGCGGTCTTGGGCAGGCAGTGTCCGCAAGGATATGGATCAGTGCAGTCGGCCTTTGACCCGCCAAGCACTTAGATGCGTTGGCCATCATTGGCGCTGACGGCGGAATTATTGACGAAAAGAAGTCATAGCAGATACATCAGTGCACCCTTATTACGATCGCTGTGCTCATTCTTCAGGGTGCCTCCACAATGGCGTGAATTCAGAAGTATCTCTACCTATGCTCACCCCACTGGTGCCACCACGACTTGATGTCTTGGCAGGTAGGGCTGATAATGAACGCTAGCCAGATCTGTTCAAATTATCCCTGCATATTCAACCCAGCGACTTTAGACATACATTATTAAATGCTGGCTGACTGTCTACCAACGGTAGCAAAGGTAGGAGCAAGTGACCTTTGGCTTGCTTACAGTGGTGTTCAGAAGAGCGGTCACGATTTTATCACTGAATGAGTGGGTTTGCCTGTATGACAGACTCCCCGTAATTCAGAAAATAAGAAACACCGCAACACCATTGTACCAGCGCCAATAGGAATTGAACCTATTACGAATTAGATACCTCTAACCTAATTCTGCATGTGCTTTGTGTTCATCGCCTCCTTGATCTAGCCTTAAATGGACTGTTTCAAATACGACTGCCTCGGCGTCATCTATGCCTAGAGGCTGAGTGCGGGCGAGCCTGGGTAAGAAGCGGAGTAGAGGATGCGGTCGTGAAGGCGACCAATTCCCTGGGTCGCCGCCGGCTGTGGCAAGAGTGTCAGGCTCCAATGGAAACGCTCGGAGATGAGCCTCTTCATCTCCTGCCTCCCCATCGGACTTCACTTCCTTCATACTTCGGCTGTAAGTACTTACATACAGTAAAAGCACCACCATCCTGAACACCCGTCAAAAGTTTCTGCTCGTATCACTATGTCGGACATTCAGCACATTCACACACCAGAAGAGCTCCGACAATCGGAGTTGTCCGCGCCAGAACTCACATCAGACAGCACGTCTGTAACGGAGACCTTGGTTCCTGCGGATGCTACTCCGGCAGAAGCATCGTAAGCAGGGTCTTCTGAAAAGGACTCGACAAACTCGCCGACACCAGGCTCATCTACATCTTCGCATGGAAATGAAGCAGCTCAAGGTGGGTCGTACTCTTTCCCCATATGAATAATAATCATCACTAATATCTATGGCTGTTCAGCTCATCTACAGTCGCATCGGGACACTCCTAGATACGCCGCACCTGGGGTCATTCGATCATGTAAGTTGTCACCCCAGAGGCACAACTCCTGTTGATTCGTCCGCAGTGGACTCATATCCCTGAGGCTACCCTCGCATGGCCGCAACCTGTGATTGCGACGCGAAGTTCAGCATCTGCCGTAAATTTGGTTGGCTGCACAATCGCGTGCTACTCCATCTGCAGGCGGAGCTGGCAAGGCTGGAGTATGACCTTGAATGGATAGATGCTGCGCAAGCCGAAAGACAGGAATTCAAAGCGACGCATGCGACAAGTCCAACAGAAAAGAAATGCTTACAGAAATCAGGACGAAGCTCGCAGGATACGACGACCTTGTCTTCCGGCTTCGAAAGAAAAACGCAATGAAGAGGCCAACAAGGGCGAACGAGGACAAAGTGTTTACTCGTGCTTGCAAAAGCGTTACATTTACGGAGGCCCAATGGACTTTTCGAAGGGACGACCTCGTTGCTCTTGCAGACGATGCTGCTGAACAGAGCTGGTTCAATTTCATGATGGCCTATCCAAAGGATTTCGCCCCACGACTGTTCAATGTAAGATTCATTGGCTTTCCGCGAAATGCTCCTACGTGACACTCGTGGATCAATACCCTCTGATACTTCCCAGGGCGTCTTCCAATCTCGCGAGCGGCGCATCAAGACCGGCCCTAATCCCGACATCTTCATCTACTCACCAGTTCGAATGGACGCCTTCTATCGCGCAACTCTCACAGTGATTGGCACCGGCATCGTCCTTGGGCCCATTTCCGTTCCGAAGTTGCTCAGTCGGAACCCTATGCTAACAATCTATGCGTCTACACAGGGTTTCTCAATGTTCTGTGCGGTCTTCACTAAGACCAAGAGAGACCAGGTGTTTGCAGCAACGGGTGGGTACTGTGCCCTACAAGTGATGGCTATGTTGCTTGGTCCCCTCATGAAATGGATCTGAGACGTGGCTTAAGGCCGTGATTTCAAAAAAAAAACGGCTTAAAGAATATGCAATCTGGCAGATGCTTTGGATTTGAAGCCGTGGTGTTCTGTATTTCGAAACAGACGGGCTTTTGAACTAGTCGACGGGGCAAATATTTCGGGTTTGAAAGCAGGAGGATCTGTTGTTCTCAAGCTCTTCGAAGCATGCAGGTGGCCACACTCGTTAGGTACATGAGTTATGACTCAATATTTGGAGGATTCGAACTGGGAGATACCATGCACTAGATTCCAGTGAGAGAAGTATCCATGACAGCAAATGTTATCCCCGTCCACCCTCCGGTCCAAGCATCAAAGTTTTAAGCGTACCCTCGTTGATGAGATGCTTAATATCCAGATCTTGGCATGTGAGATATGAATGATGGAGTGCTCCTGCTGATCGCGGTGCTCCAGGGCCGCGCTTTCTCTTTCTGATTGAGACTACTCTTGCTTGCGCCCCTCTTAGTCGAAGATTGTACCTGAACCATCCATACAATCTTGACAGCAACAAAGTTTAAGTATTATTCTACATCAGCTTCGCGACATCACTACTCTCATAATCAAGACCGTTTTCCAATCAGCGGTAAATGGCATCTGATATTATCAGGACTCGCAGTACCGAAACACCAGGCCTCACAATCACTCATCGCCGTGAGCATGCAAACACCCCTCAATACTCTTTCCATCAAGCTGACGTCTCTTCCAGTCCAAACGACAATGTCATACCCAGATCCAATGCAACATGGCCAGTCCACAACACCATACCCACCTCCAATGCAATTGGCTCAGGGACCGTTGCCATACCCACTTTCAATGCTACCAGGCCAATCAACTACGTCGTGCTCACCTCCTATGCAACCTGGTCAATCAACAACATCATACCCACATCCGATGCCACCGGCCCAGGAGACAGTTGCATACCCACCTCCAATGCCACCGGATCAGGGACCGATGTCATACCCACCTCCAATGCTAACTGGCCAACCAGGCCAAATCACACCGTTCCAGCTACCCCAAGCACCAGCTCAAGCAACAATGTCATCCACACCTCAAATGCAGCCAGACGGAGGGGCAATGTCACAGGTACCTCAAATGCTACCGACGCCCTTCACCACCCCATCGGCTTATGATCAGACTGCTCCGCAGTCCAATGATAGGCCTATAGTCGAGCCTCTAGTCGTGTGGTGCGTCTGCATCCCTGGTGACGGCTCCCCTATCCACAGAAAGATGATCGAGATCGTCACTGGAGAAAACGACCCGACTTATTACATGCCCGCACTACAGAATTGGTGGCCGAAAGGGGATCCGACTGCGAAGGCTGTGGTACGTGTTCAGGGAATCCAACGCTGTTCTACCACGTGCTGGATCTTGAAATACGTCTTGGGAGTGTCTGCTCAAAAAACATATTTCGCGATTGAAAGTCCAACTTCGAGAAAGCAAAGCTAACCCTAAAGTGTCACTTAGTACCCAACCCTACATGCACCATTCGATCCTGCACCCCTGGGCGGCTACTACTTCCTCTTTACCATCGTCGATGCCGTTACCATCCCTTGCAATGCCTGGCTTGGGCACCGTACCTGCGGCGACGCATTCCTTCTGAAAATCAACGAGTTCCTATGCAAGCCTAGGTCTGGACATACGGCACTTCGGTACGCGATCTATCAAAGTGTGCCGGAAGACATGATTGTGAGCCCGTTGTTAGCGGAAATAATGCGGCCAATAGAGTGGATGATTTTGCCACCGCATGACCGTATAATGAGGTTGGGATTTGCCAGGGCCATGAGAGAGAGGGAGGAAACGCAGCCAAGGGAGAACGAAGAGAATGACAAGGAGAACGGAGAGACTAACAGGGAGAACGAAGAGAGGGACAGGGAGAACGGAGAGACTGACAGGGAGAACGAAGAGAGGAACAGGGAGAACGAAGAGACTAACAGGGAGAACGAAGAGAGAAACCAGGTGAGGGGACAAAAGAGACAGAGGATTTTCAAGAAGAGAAAAAGGATTACCAAGCTGGAACAGAGGAGGAGGGATCACGAGGAGAGGAAGAGGTATAGGGAACAGATGAGGAGGGAATTGGAGGAGAAGCAGAGGGACTGGGATATGATGACGAGCGAACAAAGAGAGCTGATAGAGTCGAAGAAAGATCAGTTGGAGAAAGAATTGAGGGAGAGGGAACGGGAGGAGATCAGGAGGGAGACAGCTCAGAGGCAGATTGTGAGGGATCAGAGGAATTGGGAGAGGCTGGAAAGGCAGGACAAGGAACAGAAAGGGATGGTACAGAGGGAGAGGGAGAGAGAGAGGGAGAGAGAGAGGAAAGAGAGGGAGGAGAGCGAGGAGAGGGTGCAGCACGAGAGGATAGAGTATGAACGGGCATTTGCGGCGGAAATTATGCGTAAATATGTTTATGGGTGAGTGCTTCCTGCTTGGACTCTGAGATCGTGCTTTGTGTTCTCTTGGAGATAGACATGCGTCTCTACAACAAGACTCTACGCTCTGAGTTGTCGACAAGTCGCTAACATCTACGAGGGAATCGGAACAGATGGATCAGAGCGAGAGGCAGGAGAGCGAGAGGGGGAGAGAGTGGCGTATGAGCGAGCATCCGCGGCGGAGGTTTTGATTGGGCTGCCCTATCAGTGAGTGCTTCCTAACTAGGACTCTGCGATCGTGCTTTGGGTTCTTTTGGAGATCTGCATGTGCCCCCTTGCAATGAAACTCTGCGCCTCGAGTTGTTGACGAGTAGCTAATGTCTGAGAACAGGCTTCGACCAGGGATGGCCACAACGCCGGACCCATCATCTGAAGCGAGACATGCTCTTACACCTTCTGAAGCGGCTCATCATCCACCAAGGCTGCCTTTAATCAATCAGCCAACTGCGAATGAGCGTCCTCAAATGCCTATCTCTGATGCTGGCCGCGATGAGCGTCGAGAGGCATACGAAGCACCAGCGAGGGAAGTGGAGGTTCATGAAGATTACGACGTCATTGAGGGAGGCTGGCGACATGCTTCTTCAGCTTATGATCCACTCATCATCACCGGATCCGCCCCTTACGATAATCCCCTGCCCTTAATTGAAGAGCAGGATGCGTCTACGGGTAATAACCAACCCGGACATCTTGATCCCCCAGAGCCACCATTTGAAGAACGCTATGGGTTCGCACCTTTCGACAGTTTCGCTCCTTACGATAATTTCTTGCCCTCAATTGAAGAGCAGGATGCGTCTACAAGTATCAACCAACCCGGACTTCTCGATCCCCCAGAGCCACCATTTGAAGAACGCTATGGGTTTACACCTTTCGACAGTTTCGCCCCTTACGATAATCTCTTGCCCTTGATTGAAGAGCAGGATGCCTCTCCGAGTGTCAATCAACCCGCGCCTCACGAGCCCCCAGAGCCGTCATTTGAAGAACGCTATGGGCTTGCACCCATTGAGAGTCTCGCCCCCTACCATAGTCTCTTGCCCTCAATTGAAGAGCAGGATGCCTCTCCGAGTATCAACCAACGCGCGCCTCACGAGCCCCCAGAGCCGTCATTTGAAGAACGCTATGGGCTTGCACCCATTGAGAGTCTCGCCCCCTACCATAGTCTCTTGCCCTCAATTGAAGAGCAGGATGCCTCTCCGAGTATCAACCAACGCGCGCCTCACGAGTCCCCAGAGCCATCACTTGAAGAACGCTACGGTTTTGCACCCATCGACAGTCTCGCGCCTCACGATACAATAGGGTCATTACTTGATGAAAATTATGCACTTGCGAGCCCCAATCAACCCACGCCTCACGATACAATTGGGTCATCCTCTGGAGAACGCCGTGGGTTTACACCTATCGAGCGACCCGCGTCTCACGATACAATTGGGTCATTATTTGATGAAAATTATGCATTTGCGAGCCCCAATCAACCCACGCCTCACGATACAATTGGGTTATTATTTGATGAAAATTATGCATTTGCGAGCCCCAATCAACCCACGCCTCACGATACAATTGGGTCATCCTCTGGAGAACGCCGTGGGTTTACACCTATCGAGCAACCCGCGTCTCACGATATCGATGAGCCGTCATCTGGAGAACTGCATAGGTTCACAGGCATCGACGGACCTGGGCTTTACGACTCTCCTGATCAGTTGTTTGGAAGGCAGAGTGCATCTACACAGAACAAGCCTCCTGATCAACAGGGTCAATAATTGCCGGACTGAGGATTCTCTTGTTGAACTTCCACGGCTTTGTTATAAAAAGGTGGGCCGACTGTCTGACAGAGCTGAAGCTTGTTGGAGTATACATTACCCGTTCTCAACCAACTCTGATTATACATTAAGAAGACTTTATACAAGTCTGGACGATTTCAAAATTCCGTCCTCCGTCATTCCTCAACTCAGAATCTATGGCCTTAGCTAGCACAACCAGCCTAGCACCCGTCCACCTCGTCAACTCCCCCTTCAAGCGCTTGCGCAACTACCCAGCCATCCCCACCATCCTCGAACAATCAAGCAACCAACAGGCTCCCCTCAGCCTCACTCCCATAAACCTGTCCGTTCGGCGTATACGTCAACAGATACCTCATCTGCCCATACACCTGATCCCACCTCCAGCCTTTGATCCAGTAAGACTGCTGCTGCAGGTTTGACTCGGCGTCGTAGTGTGCTTTGTTGTAGACGCGTTGGCCGATTTTGAAAGAGGGCTGGTGTTGGGAGAGTCAGCTGGAGATGACTTTGCTTTCTGTCTGACAATACTGGTAATGGCGATGCATGCATGCGTGCGTAAGTACGTACCCTTGGATGCGGCAGCCTGGCGGAGGGGACGGGGTCGGCGCGTTGCCAGGTTGTGGTTGTGGAGGGCGGAGTTGGGGGGAAGAGGCGGTTGAGGAGGGTTCGGGGGGGTTGCATTTTGGATGGGGATGGGGATGGCGATGGCGATGCGAGGGTGTGTGTGTGTGGGGAGTATGAGGGAGGTTCAGGATTCTAGCTGTGAATTAAAAGAAAACGATGTTTTTTGTCGCTCGGAGACATGTGTAGAATTCTATGTGGATCGAATGAATCAATAGATTGGAAAGAAAGAGAGAGAATGTAGAAAAGAAAAAAGATGCATGCTGTGACGCCTTGGAGAGAGCCTCGTTTGAAGGGGTGCCGCCTCAGACCGTGCAGCTGCAGCGCTTGCGGCGACAATAGTTATCGATTGGTGCATCTACCCGGTCGGGCAGCCACGTTCCGGAAACGATGAGGAGGGAGGAGGCTGAGTGAGAATGAAAACAAAGGATTGGATGTCCAAATTTGGGCAGACAAAGCGAAGTCTGGCGCGCCTGTTTCTCATCGGTAAGGTAAGCTAGTGCTGGCAGGGCGGTAGCGCGAGATGTGAAATGTAGATGTTAGCTCTTAGTGTTATATATGTATGACGGTTCATGATGATCTCGAGTGGAAATGGGCTATGCTGGCACCCAGATATACCTCTCCGATGCACAGGAATATAGATTGCAACAGGCAGCCGACGAGCCGAGATGCGTGCGTACTTGCAACAGGGTATCGACCTCCGCCCTCCGATGGCCAATGCAAGCCCAACAAGTAGAGATGTCGTATACTCATCGCTTCATCAATCATCCTCGAGGTCAATCACCTCACGAGGCGCACTCTGCCTCGCCGCCGACACGCTCGCGGTCCTTGCTGCCGCCAGCCCCGCACTCTTCCTGCCTGTGCCGTCCCCAGACTCGCCAGTCGCCTCTTCCTCCTCCTTGATCTCCCACTCTCCAGAGTCGTGAAGTATGATCACCTTTGCGTCCAATTTACCTCTTTCTTTGAGCGCCGTGCGTACGTCCACGAAGAATGTGTCAATCATCAGACTCTGTGGCCGGGCATCCTGGCCGCAGATAGGGCACCTGAATTCATCTGGTCCACACGGTTCGCCGGGGACTTTGGCAGTACGCGTTTGTAGGAAGGTATCGCGGTCGAAGCATTGGTTATGGTGGCAGTTTATTCCTCTCACCGGGACATCGAAGATGCGGGCGGTGAAGGGGTCGGTGAGGTCAAGCACCTTTTGTGATTGGATGACTTCGATCTCCGGATCCGGAGTTTTGGACTGATCTAGAATGCGCTTGCGGGCCTCGAGCCATGGGAGAATCTTCATCTCATCCTTGATCTTCTGCTCGTCGACGACCTGTATGATTTCTACTCCAATGGCAAACCTGGTGTTGCTATCTTTTTGAAAACCGATGACAGCGGTCGAGAGACTGTTCTGGCCCTCTTTAATATAAGACGTCACGTCGATAGGAAGGTCTTTTCCGTGATGTGTCTTCTTCCGAATGTCAAGCGCAATTCCGTTGAGAACGACGGCGGTGCTACCTGGCCAGACATTGTCTGCAACAGCCCACTCATTCTGAGTAGGCATCCCAGCTCTGTCCTTGAGACTTATGCAGCGGATTCGACAAAGCCGAGAGCCTGGCACGATCGCCCTTGTTGAGGGAGCCCCATGAGAACCGGGGGTATCACGTGCGAACCAATCGGTGAGCTCTTTGCTCACGCTGAAGTCCCAGCTCACATGGCGACTTTGGCTGTTGAGCTCCTCGGGAGGCATTAAGATATGCTTGATAAATCTGTAGCACTTTGCCATGCTGCTTGGATCCTCCTTCGGGTCAAAGTATGCCAGTGTTGGACTCCTGAGGTGAGCTTGATGGAGAGCGGACACGGTGGGATTTGCATGAGTTGGAAGAGCAGGGTAGGAGCGTATGAATGGAGTGGGGTTCGTATGGGGCGGAAGAGAAGAGGAGGAGTGTATGAATGGTTGGGGACTCAGTGCCGGCAGACTTGTTTCACTTGCGTGGTTGCTAAAGGTTCTCCGATTTTCAGGCTGTGTACGGGGCCGAGGATTAGCAATGTTTGAAGATGGTACTCGGTTATGAGACTGCTGTTGCAGTCCAATATTCTGCTGGATTTGGTGCGCATGAGAATGTCTGGGCACGTTTGTTGGTAGCACATACGGTGTTCGTTGGGCTGGCGTCGTCGGCAATGGATTGTCGTGAAGATTATCAAGAGCCCCCAATGAATTTCCCGCAATACCGGACGTGCGACGTTCCCTCTGGTGCTGCTGACCGATTCGTTGCCCGGGTGAGTTCATGGAGGCACCTGGACTAGAAAAGCCCTGCAATGTCGTAGGTGATTGTGTAAATCTATTGGAGGCTAGAGTTTGAAATTGACTCAAAAGGTTGCCTTGTCTACAGATCTGAATTTCCTGGATCGCTATGGGCGCTGGGCCCGACACAGCGGATAGACTGTGGCGCTGTGCTGCGTGTAGATCGACTGGCAGAGGAGATTGAGTATTCATGTTGTGCTCAGACTGAGACGTATTGCGTCTGTTTGAATTTGCGTTTGCTGGGGCTAGACGAGCCTGACTCTGTTGCTGCCGCGGAGGAGCTACACTCGCCGTTGGCTGTGCGACTGTATGTCCTCGGTGGAACCCCAGTGCTTGCTGATAGTCCTTGATAACAGCCTGTTGGTAGAGCGTTACTAATTCGACGGGGATGCTGCCTGATGACAAGCGGCTCATGACATCTTTGTAGTCTCTATTGAATACGTCTTCAGTATTGTAAAAACAATCATCCGGCTTGCCAGGCCATATGTCCCTCAACACTGCGCGGAAAATGATCTGCTGGAACAGAAATGATTCTACATTGAAAAGCACAATGAGCTCGTCGACCAGAGGCGGATACATCCTTTTCGTGCACCGAGACCACATGTCATCCCAAAACGTTGCCATCTTCTCTAGACATCTCAGTACGCTAGCGTATGCGGATGCAAACTCTGGCCTCTTCATAATCAAGTCCACTAAAGGTAAAGGAAAGGTCGAAAACCATGAAACGGCCTCGTCGACCATTTTTCCATTAGAAACCAACAAAAAGGCAACCACGTCCAGGCCCTTTCTGTGCATTTCGTTGAGACCGGGTATCTGTCTATTTGACTTTCGAACTTCGTGGTCGAAGCAAAAGAGTTGATGCAAGACTAGATAGAAGTGATCCGATTTTTCGCAGGCCTCGCGAAGCAATCCTAAACGTGGCCGCTCGATATGGCTACCTTCGCGGTTTGGCAAAATTGTGACGAGCTGCATCCGTTGTGTCAGGGCCCAAAAGAATGGATGCATCTCGATTCCTGAAGAACTGACGGCTGCACTACTCTGACCTTCCTGACTGGGTAGCGCTGTAGTCTTCGATGGTATTACTAAAGCGTCTTCGGAAGATGAGCCGGGAAGGCTTTGCAGTCGCTTCCTAGGCTCGTTCGTGACGTCTTGCGGGCGTTTGTTGGCGACGAAAGCTGGAAGATCATGATCAGCTTCCGACCTTGGTTGGCTCTTGGAGCCCGGAGGCCGACCTTGTTGTCGAGGACAGCTCGATGAGCTAGCGCCAGACAATTCTGGTGCAACCGCATAAGCAGCTATCTGACTAGGCCCGTAGTTACTTTTTCCAGCATCCTTGAGCAGTTTCTGAAACTTGTCCATGCCTCCGCATCTTGTCACGAGCTCCTCTAGGGTTGCCGTTGGGGCCTGGACCGGCCGGGCTTCGGTTGGTTGAGGCTGTGGTCCTTCGTCTTCGATTTCTACCGCATGGACGCTGTTTTGCGGAGCTTCCACGCTTGGGCTTGGAGATGGGAGTACATTCTCGGCGTTGGCAGAGACGTCCATCGGAATTGCCGGTGGGGTGTATGGATTTTCTTCTAGCGCCGGCGGCGATAGGACCGGCGGAATTGAGCCGGCAGCGAGAGAAGTCGAAGGCCTAGTTGTGTGATTCTTTGCGCCTCCCTGCATCTGCAGTTGCGCAGGGCAGCTGCCACGGTCGGAGTCGGGTCCGAATGCTGTACTAGGCAGGTCGCTGTTCTTCCCAGTCACGGATACCTCGGGCGCCAACTCAGCTCTACGTGAAATTATTGATGCTTGCTCTTGGGCTTTCGGCATGGAGACTTTTGGGGTGGATCGATCTCGTGTGGACTGCGGTGATTGGCCTGTCATCCAGGCTTTTTGTGTGCCACCTACGAAGGCATTGGTAGTTGAATTGGACCGCTGAAATTCGTCCGTCGTCCGCGTCTGGGCTTTGGCGGCACGCATTTTGGCCTGGATCTTGGAAGGCTTCTCTAAAGCCTTCGTGAATTAATGGAAATGAGTCTGTTGAAGCAAAGTTGAACCGGCAAATATGCCTTTCTCGCCGAACAGGTACCAGAGGGAATCCACTGACAGGCGAAATTGGCTCATGGGAGCCTTTTGCTCATGATCTACCCATCAGTGAGCCCTGCTAAGAGCAACGTTGAGCATCGTGATGTATATGAATACGACTTGATGAACCTGCATCATATCTGAGGCAGGAACCTATTACAATGAATGCTTCCAAGACAAAACTTTGACCAATCTTGGACTGACCCACGTCAAAGTAGGGCGTAAAGTCCAGTGCATTGAGTGGAAGAAGGCTTGAAGATTGGAGGTGTGACAGCGGAGGCTGGTCTTCTACGGCGTATATGTACCTATCCCTGCCCGAGAAAGAAACGTCGACACTTGAAGAACTTGTTTATAATCACCAGGAAGAGCGGTGGTGTCTTTCCCGTATTCGAGTGATGCGTGCTGAAGTCTGTGTGAAGATGTTTTGATGGATTTGAGATTAAAAGCAGATACGAGTACCTTCCCCTGCAGAGGCTACTCTTAAGGGAGCCTTGCCCTTCTGGGTATAGTTGCCGACTAGCTCCCCTTAGCTAGGTATGCGCGCGAAAGTGACCGCTCCGAGCGCCTTGGGAGCCGGAGAAGTTGGCAATCGATTTGCTCCTCCAGCAATCAAGTTCACCAACATCTGCTATTCATCTTGCTCATAACACATCAACTTCTCAATCGCAAGCGCTACATACACATATCACTATATTGTAGGACTGCGGAACCGGAACCTGTCGGAACTATCCAAGGCAGAACATTTTCAGCCACCAAGCCCGTCATTGGATCATTTGCCGCAAGATTGGGCATTTGTTGGCTGAATGGTTCTCCTGGGAAAAAGGCCGAAGCATACGCGATCCATCAAATGCCGTTCCAGACCAGGCGGACATTCTAGTCGAGTGCGCCTGCGCCGACGTGAAGACCGCCTCTGATGAGTTGCCCCGTTTGAAAGGTAACAGGCTTTGGGAAGACATCAACGCATCGGACCAGCTTAGCCATGGCATCGAGACATCTAAATGGGTCCACGAAGAAAGCCGAGCATGGGGACATGCTACTGGTTGTTCGTGAGTTGCCCTCCATCTTTTACGTTTGACTTGCTGGCCTGGAGTCTACGTGCACATCCAAACACTGCTATGTTTCCAGACATGGGAACATCTCTTTCAACGCTCAATGCCATCGGAATAAAACCACCAATCTTTTTGCTGACGATCGGTCGTCTAGATGACTTTGAAGCTAGAAGCCCAGATGAATTGAGCCTCCGCAAGGGAGACAGAATCGAGCTCATAGAAAGAGACGACGATTTTGGAGATGGCTGGTATCTTGGAAAGCACATACAGAACGGCAAGACAGGGCTGTTTCCTGAGGGTGAGATCTCCGTAAGTGCTGATGGTGTAAGGAGGCTGACACTCTGTTCGAAAGTCTACACAACAACCACACCAAAGACCATCCAAGTCTCTGCAACCACCATGTCCACAGCCGCGAAAGTTGTGGCCGGCAACACAAGCAATCTCCATAAAAGTGATCCATCTCGAAAAGAAGGGCAAAAACAGGGAATAGCAACGCTATCTTTGCAAGGCTCACCTGAGCCTATAAATTCTGACGGCGCAACTCCACCACCTCTGAACACCACTCCGCCGTACCAGAGGACAGTTTCAGTCCCGAGTGTCTCTATAGGATCTCAAGCGATGGCCGCTACTACGCCTTCGCAAAGAAGCCTCAGTATGATGCATCAAGGGCCAGACGAAGATAGCCCAGTGATGAATGAAACATTGAGTGTGATTGATGAGCATATTACAGACATGAAGAATCCTCGGTCTGGAGGGCTGGCAGCCGCCAGGAGGCTGACGAATGAGTCTGGAAGCGAATACAGTACACACATTGATCAACGAACATCCTATATAAACGGCCACGAAACAGACGAAGAAGAGCGCAACCTTCACACAGAAAGAGAGGTGTTGACTTGGTCGCCAAGACAAGTAGCGGAACACTTGGAGGATATAGGAGTGGAGCCAAGGCATTGCGAGGTCTTCAAAGAGCAAGAAATATCTGGAGAAATTCTTTTGGCAATGGATCAGTCATCAATTTTCATGAAGGAATTTGATCTTGGTCCAGTAGGACCCCGACTGCGAACCTGGTACAAAATAAAAGCGTTGCAAGAGGAAGTCCGAGGACCTGAAATCATGAGGAAACAAACGACGAACATGATTAGTAGCAATGCATCGTCGGATGATCTTCGTCTACAGAGAGCAGGGTCTGCTGCAGGGTCAACATTTTCAACGAACTTGTTCAGCCAGCCAAGTCCTGGCTCTCCTCATCAAAGACACGGCTCTCCGTATATCCGAAATGATGGGCCGAGTCCTCAACCCTCACCGTCACCCCAACTGCTGCATTCTCAAAGGCGAGATGCAAGTTCTACTCCGGTCTCTTTCACATTCAAATCTGGACTAGACAGTCCAGGTAGACCTTCGGCTGCCTCAGTTCGTGAGTTCAACCATTCACGTCGCCATTCTGCTGTCGATTTCGCCTCAACATTGAGTCCAGCAACTCCAACCATACCGGATGAATCTTCAACATCTAACCAAATTAACATCACCTCACTGCATAAGAAATCTCCTTCCCTTGATCGCAACTGGGCAATGGGGGGTCCTCATCCTGCAATGAACGGCCGACCACGCTCTGCTACCAGTGGAAGCTTGTTTCTTCGAACCGAGCGCAACACCTTCGACCCGCATGCTACCGAGTCAAGTCAATCTCATGATATCTCACGCGATCTTGACCGCGAGTACGTTTCTGGCGGCGAAATGGATGGCAAGAAAGCACGAAACGTGTTAAGAAAGCGCGACACTACTAGCGTGAATCACTCACGGCAGAGCTCTTACCATGCAGAGACCAAACGACTGAGCTTTGCGGGAGCAATGCGCCACTCTCGATTTAGCAGTGTTGATTCTATCAAGGATACTGTAGCAGCTCTAACCTCTCCTGCGACCAAGCTGTATCAAAACAACAATTTCATGGGGCACTTTCGTAACTCCTCTGCCAACGAGGCAGTAACGGCGACGCCATCAACGACTGATATAAGTTCACCAACTGTCACTAAGCTTGAGTATGACAGCAAAAACACAAGTACAAAGCCAAATATGAAGATAATAACGTCGTCAACCGACGCCAGCAATGGAGCAGCTTCAAATGGCTCACCGAAGTCGGCAGTCGCTCCCGCTAAGTCAATCTCAAAGCCTCGCATGGGTCTCCGGGCTATTTCAGACGCCGTTACCGGCACCGAGAGGGCTCTTGTCTCCACTCCAGCTTCAGTCCCATCACCAATCAAGGAGGCTTCTGTACAATCTCCTGCGCGTACAGGTTCAACATCGCCCTCTGCAGCGTCTCAGAGCATCGAGCGAGAGAGTACCGATGCTTCTTCCAAGGATACCAGTGGCGCACCTACAAGACTCACACCTACCAGTGGGACGCGTCGGAAACCGAAGAAGGAGACCAGCGCATACATCCGCGGCCTGGAGCATAAGTCTCCCAAGGATCAAATGGAGGGTTGTGATTATAGTGGCTGGATGAAAAAAAGGTCGTCCAACATCATGACGACTTGGAAGCCTCGACTTTTTGTGCTGCGCGGCCGCCGTCTCTCATATTACTATGCCGAGACAGATACACAAGAGAAGGGTCTCATTGACATTTCCTCTCATCGTGTCCTCCCGGCCGATCGCGACATCATCGCCGGTATCCACGCGACCGTGACTGGTGCAAAGTCCTCTCCAGTGTCGCCTGCAACCGCCCAGATGCCGACTTTAGCCTCCGAAGATGCAGCAACAATACAATCTAGATTGCCTGTTCAGAAAGCTGATTCGGACTCGATGTTCATCTTCAAGCTCGTTCCACCCCGCACTGGTCTCTCCCGCGCCGTCAACTTCACGAAACCAACTGTTCATTATTTTGCCGTCGAGAATATCGCCCAGGGCCGTCTGTGGATGGCCGCGTTGATGAAGGCAACCATTGACCGTGACGAGACCAAACCCATCACCACCACATATCAGCAGAAAACCATCAGCCTTGGGAAAGCAAGAGCCATGAAACAGCGACCCCCAGCGCTCATGAGCTTCCTTCAAGAGAAGACTGAAGGAGGGGAAAACGAAGTGAAAAGCGAGGGGATGGGCTTGAATATCCAAGGGCTGGAACAGGACAAGGAAGGGACTGGGAGCTTAGATTGTGCACTACCACGAGCGACGGAGGAAGAGAATAATGTGGATGAAGCGAAGGAAGCGTAATTAGGGAACGAGCAAATATCTTCATTCATCTAGAACATTTCGACGGCTTGCATTGCAAGAGGGGATTGGCAGTCGGCAGCAAGGCGTCAGGGAATATATCTCTAATGGCATGGAGGACTTCAGGATATGAACCTGTAATAAGATACTCTTTTTATGTTTTAACTTATAATCAACGGCTTACGAGTCGTGTTCTGATACAGCTATATACACTTTGTGCTCGTTCGAGGGTTTGCAACCAATGGACTGCAATCTGTGAGGCTGTGAGGAGGAAACGCCGGGACCCACGTGACCGATATTTGCTGCAAGACATAATTCTAGAGCACGCTCTACGGTTGCTGCCGGAACTCAACCCACGAAAGTAGGTAAGCCCTGTGCCAACAAGAATAATGTGCCTCCATCTGTGATACTGTGGCGAAGGCCCAGATCTTTTCGATCTCTTCGATCTCTTCGATCTTCTCGATCTTCTCCATGACTGGCGAATGGAAATCCCGAAGCAGGCGGTCAAGAAAGACACTTGTTCCGATTCATATGTTCACCGCCAGACTTTGGCCACTCCCCACTATCGAGGAGGTCTCTCCGCTGGCCCTGGGCCGCACTTCCGCTATATTCGATGCTTCGCTTTCAAATGCAGATCCCTGATCATGAGACCCTATTGGTGAACCACAGTACGATGCCTGCTCATTGAAACAGCACTGGCTTAAAAGAATTGCGACTTTTGCAAGACAGCAAAAGAGCAAATTAGGCCGGCCGGGTGGGACACTACTAGGTACTGTGCTCCTGCAGTTTGACCGGCAATTGGCTCAAAGTACCGTAGAAGCATTGGATTGATGCCCAACGCAAGGGCGTGAAAGGAAGTATCATTTGTACAGATCATGAATCAGAAAGCTTGGTGCTTCTCCATGGGTCGCAAGCGCGAGAGTCGGCGAGATTCCATGTCTTTTGTAAGAAGAAGAAGAAGAAGAAGAAGAAGAATAAAGAATAATAGAAGACTTATACATATGGCAGCAGCAGGCAGTACTTGATTAAAAATAGTCCTACCGTACCTATTAATCCGAGGCAACAGATGGTTCGCGCATGTAGTTTTGAAATACCCCGCCAGCTGGAATCTTGAAAAGTACCTTGACGATACATGCTTTTGATCGCGTAGACACAGCAAAGTAAAAAGTCACGGTGGAGGTAACTACCCAAATCTTTCCTGCACATGCCGTGGCACTACTAACAAATTGGCGCACTAGCGTGACGCTCTCCCCTCCACTCGGATTTTCCCACTCTCAGCTTTTTCTTTTCCACTCTTCAGCACAAAGTTCAACTTCTCGACCTGCTCATTCAAAAGCATTTCTTCCGCGAATCTTTTCCTCTCGCCTTCGTGTCCCTTGGTGTCGCGGGTGTTCTTGATTTGTAGCTTTCGACTCGCGGTATCAGCTTTGTCAGTCCGTTCCAAGTCAGCGTCTTAGTGATCTGGTGAGTGGGCAAGCTTCCTTTTTTCTCCCGCTGCCACACGGCGCTCATCAAGGCCTGCAAATTCACTCCGATTGAGTCGCATCAGCTGGATCCCGAGTCCTCTAGCTCCTGAAACCCCTCATCTATCACTCAGGCACGGATTGAGCAGGCAAATTCGAATGGCCTGCCGCATTCACTGCTGAAAGTCTTGGCATGCCTGAACACTTCACCCAGCGGCCCAAGTAACACAGTCACTCATGCTTGCTCTTCGCAAAGGCACATTCACTGTCAAACGCAGAGTCACAATTTTCATCAGCGCTTGAGGCTAACAACATGAGGCCTAGGTCAGCGAGCGTGAATCTTCTTCAAACCCGATTGCTTCACCCCACAGAAATCCTTATTTGAAAAGTATTAATATCCCGCACCGCTGGAGCCATCCTTTCAAAGTCTCTCCACACCACATTCACAATACCATCCCTTTGCTATCAGTTTCTCCTTTCTACTTGGAGTTAAATATCAGCGCAAGCAAGCATTCATCAAATCATATATCTCTGGGCACTCGGATTTCCCATCCCTTCGAGCAAGCAGGCACTGCGAAGCACTGAGTGTTGAAATTGCGTTGTCTACTGCATCGGCTGGAGAATACAGAAGCATCTAGGTACGTCTAAAATACGCAAAACAACCTAGACTTAGTACCGTCTACTGCTCGGGCATAGTTAACAGATCCTCCTTAGTTCTCCCAGTTCCAAACATCACTAAATCTCTGTCCCTCCTTTCCACAACCCTTTCTCACTCAATTATCCGAGCCTAGCGACACTCGGCACAATGAGTTTCCAAAATTACGACAACTTTCCCCAACAGGGTCAGCAAGGAGATGGTGGAGCTGGCCCCGGCGGTCCCCCACAACAAGACCAGAACATGGGCGGGCAGATGCCTCCCAACTCTGCTGGTGGTTTCCAAGGTGGTAACGGCGGTGATCCCGGATCCGCAGGTGGACAGTCGCAAGGAGGCGATGCGAAGACGACCTTATGGTATGATGTTCCCTCCCCTCTTGCACTCTGGCTTTGGCTGCAGTAGTCAACACGATGCCTCGATCAAACCTCATGCAGTAAAGGCTGATAGTGATACAGGATGGGCGAGCTTGAGCCCTGGATCGACGAGAACTTTGTACGGACAGTTTGGTACAACATGGGCGAGCAAGTCAATGTGAAGATGATTCGTGACAAGTTCTCTGGGTAAGCCGGTCATTCCGGGTCTTCTAAACGTCTGCCGATGCGTACTGATCTCCAGCAGTAATGCTGGCTACTGTTTTATCGATTTTCAGAGCGCTGAGGCTGCCGCCAAGGCCTTGACTCTCAACGGTACCATCATTCCCAACTCCAACCGTCCATTCAAGCTGAATTGGGCATCTGGCGGTGGTCTGGCTGACCGGAGGTATGCTCTCTCCGCCATATTTGCAATAGACTTTGCTAATGTCTTAGCCGCGACGAGCGTGGCCCAGAGCACTCAATTTTTGTTGGCGATCTCGGGCCGGAGGTCAATGAATACGTCTTGGTTTCTCTCTTCCAAAATCGCTTCCCATCATGCAAATCCGCCAAGATCATGACAGACCCAATCAGCGGAATGTCCCGCGGCTACGGTTTTGTTCGCTTCTCAGACGAGGGTGACCAACAGCGCGCATTGCAAGAAATGCAAGGGGTCTACTGCGGCAACCGACCCATGCGCATCTCCACAGCAACACCAAAGAACAAGACCGGTGGTGGAGGGCCAGGAGGTATGGGCATGCCAGGTCCAGGTGGCCCAGGAGGCGCACCAGTAGGCGGCATGAACTACATGGGAAATCCTCCTGTCGGATACTACGGCCAGCCTCAGCCAATGAACCAGTTCACCGACCCGAACAACACCACAGTCTTCGTTGGAGGGCTTTCTGGATATGTCACGGAGGACGAGCTCCGCTCTTTTTTCCAAGGCTTCGGAGAGATCACCTACGTCAAGATTCCTCCTGGGAAGGGCTGCGGTTTCGTTCAATTTGTCCAGCGTCACGCAGCAGAGATGGCCATTAATCAGATGCAAGGCTATCCCATTGGCAACTCACGGGTCCGTCTCAGCTGGGGACGTAGCCAGAACAATTCTGGTCCTGCCGGCACTCCATACCGTCCTGCCCCTCCTCCACCTGTGTACCCATCTATGGGAATGCCTCCTTCTCACCCTTACGGCAATTTCGCTCCAATGAAGGTATGCATCCATATCCCATCCTCACTAAAACGAACAGTGCTAACTTTCTTGTAGTAAGATACCCCCTATTCTTCAAGCTTTCTAGGCGGTTTTCCTGTATCAGGCATTCGCGGTGAACTCTCGAATTTGCCCTTCGCTTCTTGAAATGGCCTTCGCTCGAGGGCTCCTTCTCCGATTAGCGTTATCAATAGAGGAATACACGGAGGATATCTGCAAAAAGTTTCTTTGCTCATCTCATAGCATGCGAGTCCACGGGGTGGCTGTACAGCAAGAGCGCCTTTCAGGGCGAGGACACGAATGCTACGAACCCTTCCCCATTCCAATGTACCTACTCCTGAATGTGTTGTATGGCTTGTTGTTGCCTGCGTTTTCCTGATAGATGTGATCTTGTTTACTAATCACAGAGTACTGCACTGTTCTTACTTCCTAGCCTTCTCCTCTCTATGTACAGCCAAAGGCGTTCCTTCCTCCCCAGTCTTTACTTAGGGTTTTCTGCACCTTTGGAACTCTGCTGAGAGCTCCGCCCAGAATGCTGCCAAACAAATCACATCTGCTGACCACACCTGCCTCTTAGTCCCAACGCAGCTCACATGCACCCACCTCATAGCCCGGGCAGAGGCCCTCCGCAAGGTCCCCCCGGAGCCCTCTCGCCCGGCGCTCCTGGTCCGGCCGATCCTATCCCAGTCAACCAGCTTAACGACATGTACATGCAGCAGCAACAGGACGTCAGCAACCGCCTTGAAGCAGATGGCAGGGGGTATGGAAATGTCTTCTCTCAATAGGCAATTCCAAGGGGTCGAGACTGGGTAGGGACTAGATTCATAGTCTGCTGTTTGTGCGATTGTGAAAGCAAAGATTAAGCGACAGGAGTTGGGGAGTTTCTTTGCACATCCTCTCTGATCTTCGAGGGCGGAGTGCAAGGAGAGACGAGAAGGCGGAGGCAATTTCCTTGTATCATTAGGCATCTTAAGCATGGCTGGCAGCGACATGCCCGAGGTTGCAGATCACGAGTGAGTGGAGAAGATTCTCTTAGCTTTAGCATATCTTGAGTTTCGGATATGATAGACCTAATGGTATGCTTGCGATTTGAAATGCTGGTAGCTCTTGCGTAGAAGTCGCAAGGCTCGTTCCTCCCATTTGACTTGCACTCACTTACACGTTTCACAGCGTGGCAGGTGCAGCCTGCTCGTAACATCTACCTCAAGAAGAGTTTCTCAGACTATTTACTCCGTCTCATCCTCTATGGCATCGCAACGCCATCGATTCACTCGAGATCTTTGAAAGCACTGGCAGGATCCATTACAAGCCCAAGTCGCAGCAATGAGGTACCAAAATTGGGACGTCCTCATCTTCCCTCTGGTTGGAGACTCGAAGACTCCACTGCAGGAGTTTGGGACCGCTTGTACCGTCAATCAAGACCCTCGTGAGGATATTCTAAAGCTACCTTTGTACACCGCAGCTGACAAGTACAACAATAGACGTCGTTCCCTTCCAAAGCCCTTCTGCTCATCCAGCCTACTTGACCGTCGTGAGGGCCCCGTTGCCGACTGTCTCATGCTTTATACCTAGTCTCCCGCCTGGGTCCCCATTTCGAGTGTCGTTACATAGCTGGTCCACACCAACGGTTAGCCGTGGGAGTGTGGCTAGAGCTCCTCAACAGAGCATGGTGGGGTTCGAGGCAAAGGTCGTGCTTGATGGCGTCTGCATTGCGTTTGTCACCGTGCTTCTCGTTTTGCTCCCTACTATGAGTTGGCTGACGGACGATGGCAGAGGTGCCTTGTTGAATAAGGATCCTCCTTGGCCTCAGATGATTGGTGAGTAGGTACAAAGTGCCTCCAAGTTCCACCACGCTAACACTTCTCGCTACAGATATGTGCTCTCGTATGCATACTTACACGTCACCGAAGAAACTTTACGCTGACGCAGGGCTAGACACGGACAAGGATGGCAACCACGACCAGCTTCGATTTCCTCCATTCCATACAGAGGTACTGACGCAGACTTGGGCCAGTCCTGCTCAGGACATGGGAAGAATCAAGATCGTCATCACTGAAGGGATCAACCATGGGCCAGGAGTGTCGGCGTTTGAGAGAACAAAGAACCTAGTCTCGTTCTCTTTTCAGCATGCTCCTTTACGTGAGGTAGAATTCAAACATTTCAAGCTACTTATGCTAACATTTTGCAGATATACTGGAGAATTGTGGCATCGCTTGGCCAAACCAAGGATTGTACTTTCAGGCTGCGCAGCAATTCCACCACGTATCGTCGCCTCACACGCAAGCAGCAGATCCGGATATGCATGCCCATTCTCCACGCCGCCGGAATGCATCACTGGTCAGTACCCGTGCAAAGCTCAATCCAGCAATAGGCCCATTACCGAATCCGGTACCCGGATTTCGTCCTCTTGGACTCCACGATGATGATCCTTTCCGTTCCCAGCATGGCCCAACGCCTGGACCGTTCACTGGTGCAGCGAATCTCTACAATTACCGAAACCCATGGAGCAGTAATACTACGACCTCAGGTGATATTTCTATGAAAGACCGGTCTCGCTCTACTTCAGACAGCTATGACGAACCGATGCCAGATGTCACTCGTCCTCCGTCACCGGCGAATAGCCGCCGCAGCCATCCTATGCCCGACTACTCTCGCCCTCACTCACTAGCAAGCAGTCGCCAGGTCTCCTGGTATACAGGTGAAGATTCGGGTGCAACGAGAGTTTCTCACCTTGGCTACGTGGGGGAAAACGCGGGAATCGACGAACAAGTGAGCGAAAGCCTATTCAGTGACTTGATGACTCGGTTGAGTCCCCGAGAATTCTCAGCCAACAGCGGCATTTCTGCTCCATCAAATACCAGAGTCAACAGTGCAGCCAACACACCCCCAGGAAAATCTTCAATGGCGGCGGAGCTTAGAGGCGTCTCGTATACCGGCATGCCTCGTTCCGTGTCTGTCACAACACGAGACCCTCCACCCTCATTCAATACACGTATAGCATCGAATAACAGCATCAACCCTGGCTCTGACAACCCCACGTCAGCTTCTCGCCAGTCAGAGATCAACGATGCAATCGCCGAAGAAACTGAGGACAGAACCAACAAAAGGCCTGTTGGAAGGCCCGCAGGGAACGTGAAAAGCAGAAAGGAAGGCCGGACCAGCGAGATGGGCCTTGAAGTACCGAGTACCAAATCTCAGAGCCGAGCATCTGCGCCTTCCGCTAGTGCTCTAGGCAAAGAGAACAGTGGAAGCGCCAATGGTGAGAAGTCCGGCGAGGGGAAGCGGAAAAGAACGACCAAAGTTGCTGCGTCGAAGGGCAATTGGAAGGATGGACTTGACAATCCAGACAGCTCTCCAACGAGGAAGCTCTCAAAGCTGAGTCCAGGAGATACAATGCACCCCGAAAATGAGATCGAGTACGCAATTCCCCCGTGCGTGACTCTTATTCTAGACCAAGGCTTGAGTCTTGAGAGACGTGTTTCTGAAGGTTTTACTCTCAAACAGGCAATGCTAACTACAAGATTGTGATCTAGCGACTTGACGGAAGAAGGGGTTGTCATGAGGGTCCCGCTAGGAGAACTCGACAACATCATGTGAGCGAGGTTCAATATGGAGCGTGCTCAGGTCAAGAAGGAAGAAATGCGTTTGTTGTCTCGTTTGTATTGCAGTACGTGTTCACGTTGTATCAAAATCGGAGCTCTTTCCATCCACGTTATGGGTCGTGGGGAAGATCGTCCCGTAGGAGGTACATTGATTATTTTTGAAAGTGCCCGAATACGCGTGCATTGTACATTTGCATGTTTTGCATGAGCAGGAACTTTCTGGTGTGTCTCTATCCATCATGGGCACAACAGGTCCAGTAGAGGAGCAGTCTCGCTGGGTTGCTGGACACCGATAGATTCATAGTTATAGAAGTCCATACCATCAATGTGTCTATCAAGTCTAGAGATCTTGAAAACACTCTGTGTTCACCGCCCCCAAATCCTCACCCATTTGCTGTGGAAAGCGAGAGACCACGCTAGAAGGCGCAAATGGGTGACACTTTAGTCCTGCTTCCGCCACTTCAAATCAAAAGACATTTCAAAGGTCTTATTACCCTTCTGTATCCAAAGACAGTCTTTGGTGTTGGTTGACTGGATAACTCAATAAGTGGTGAGAACGTCCTCCAGCGACCGCTCAATACCCAGAGAAGGATCGCCATCGGTCGTCATCCACCTTGTCAGACTAACGTTCAGATCAAATACCTATCTCAAAGAACCCTACTCGGAATACAGCTTTGACGCTTTAACCACTACTGTGACATCAAAACAAAAGCACTTTGGGCCTTGAGTATAGTCCAGCCATCTTGCTTCCACCTATCTACTCTACATCCATTCTCTTCTACTGCCACCACCAACCCCACCATGGCTGACGAATCCGCCGCCGACGAAACGCCCATCACATTCAACGTCAAATCCTCCAGCGATGCCAAATATGTCCTCACAGTACCCCTCTCTATGACAGTCATCGACCTGAAAACTAAGTTATCAGGCCCCGAATACGCAGACATACCGCCAGACCGCCAACGCCTCATCTATTCCGGCCGTGTCCTCAAAGATGCAGATACGCTGGGCTCGTACAAAGTGAAAGAGGGAAACACGGTGCACTTGGTGAAAGGTGCTGCGAGCAATCAGAGACAGAATCCGGCAAATCAGGGAAGCGTGAACGCGGGGAGTACAGGGGCACAACCGGCTACGGGCGTGCCTACAAATCTGGCCAGTGGGACGGGGCAGGATCCGCTGGCGGGATTGACGGGGGCGAGATATGCGGGCTACGCGCAGATGCCTAATGCCAATATGTTTGGGCCTGACGGTGGAGTCTGTACCAAGTTGCCTCCCTTTCTCAATCAATCTTGCTAACATGTACATAGATGGGTCCACCACCGGATCCTGAACATATGGCCTCTATGCTCGAAAACCCCAACTTCGCCTCCACTCTGAACGAAGCCCTCGCCAATCCACAAGTCATCGACCAAATGATCCGCTCGAACCCTATGCTCCGCGACATGGGTCCACAAGTCCGCCAGATGATGCAAGATCCTGGCTTCAGAGCCATGATGACGAATCCAGAAGCTTTGAGGAACATATCACAGATGCAACGATCATTCGGCGGCGGCATGTTCGGCGGTATGGGCGGAGGTGGTAGTCAGGCATTTCCAGCTCCAGGCATCACGGATACGACACCAGGCCAGCAGCCTTCAGCGGAAGGGGAGACAGCTACGCCTAGGCAGCCAGATGCTACACCACAGCAACCTCCGAACCCATTTGCTATGTTCGGCAACCCCGCTGGCGCTGGTGGATCAGAAGGTGCAAATCCCTTCGCAGCACTTTTCGGCCCAGGCGGTATGGGCGGTATGGGCAGAAACACTCCAGGCTCTCCTCCACCAGCTGGCACGCAAGCACCTGGAGCCACTCCACAACCGGGTACTAATCCCATTGCCGATATGGCACGGAACATGATGCAGAACCCACAAATGATGCAGCAGATGATGGGCGCCATGGGCGCCAATCCCACCGCCAATCCTGACCCGAACAATCCAACCGCCAATTCAGCAGCACAAGCCGGCTTCAATCCCTTCACTGCTCTGCAAGGTTTGGGTGGATTCGGTGGTGCAGGAGGCTTTGGCACACCACCACCACCGGCACCGCAGGATGATAGGCCGCCGGAGGATAGGTATGCGGAGCAATTGAGGCAGTTGAATGATATGGGTTTTTATGAATTCGAGAGGAACATTGAGGCGTTGAGGCGGACGGGCGGGAGTGTGCAGGGGGCGGTGGAGTATCTGCTTACGCACTGAGCTGCGAAAGCAATGGACTGAGATCGGAGAAGAGAGCGATTGAGTGACGGCGAGCACGGTGAGGGCCAGGCAGGAAGACTAACACGCATGCTTACGGTTTCATGAAATAGAGGCGAAAACGGCGTGCCCATTTTGCTGCTAACAGTATCGCTAGCAGTAACTATGCTTAGTATGTACAGCTCAGCTTTCCCATCCAGCTGGCTCAGTGCTTTATCTCGAATTCCCGATCCACGCTCTGCATCCTTCCCCCCTCTGAATGCCTCTCTTTCCCTTCTCCACCCATGCAGTTGTAAATGCGACAGATTCCTCTCCATGCTATGCAATGTCATGCAACGTCGTCAAAGCACTGTGCTAAACTCTTCCAAGAAGCAAGAGAAAAGGAAAGAAAGATGAAGAAGACGCTTTCGTCATACTCCCACAAGACCCTGACTCTTTCGCCGCCGAGGCAACGTCCACGGCACCCCCATCACCACCTCGCCCTCGCTGAAACCCCAGAAATAAACCGCCATGCCTATTATATAATAAATCCCCGCGTTCGTGCCCTGATACAGCAGCAGGGCCGCCAGGCTGCTCAACGGGTAGATGAACAGTCGGGCTTCGATACTCCGATGCATCGCCGCGAGCGCCGTCGTTGCCCTGTTCGGCGCTTTCGGAGGGGAGGCGTTGGACTCTGTGTGTTTGTGGCCGGTCCTTTGCGACGTGTGGCTGTAGGAGGCGGCGGTGTGGTTGTGGTGTAACCGGGTGGAGGTGGCGGCGCTGGTGAAGAGTGGCAGAGGCCATTCCCAGCATAAGCCGAGCAGGCCGAGGAGGAGGTTGATGATTTGGAGGATGGGGATGGGCCGGACGGCGTGGTCGAGGTTCGTGGTTAGGAAGTCCCAGAAGAGTTTCGGCCAGAAGAAGCCGCTGACTGAGGCGGCGACTTGGTCTGTGAAGTGTTAATGAGTGAGCGGGTGGTGGGGGTTGGGAGAGGTGAGGACGTACAGGCTGCGGCGGTGAGGATTATGAGGCGGGCCCAGTGGTTCTTTATGAGTTTGCCCATTGCCAGGAGGAGGTGGGCGGTGATGGGAGCACTATTATCGGAGGTAGGGTCGGGGTTCGAGCATTGTCTGTAGTGGTGGGGCAGAAAGTGAGCGGCGGTATTACTGTAATTAACTGGGGAGCTCAAAGGCTCATGGCGTGACGTGCTATGCTGTAAGACTCGAGTGGAACAGCTGGATTATAGAGTGAGAGCGACGACGAGGTTGGAGGTTGGAGGCAAGGAGTCTCGAAGACGAAATGTGTCGAAGTGGGAGAAGGAGCATTCAAGTTTATCCCACCCCTCTCCCTGGAGCGCATGGAGAAAGGCCATGCCCATGCCTGGTACATCGGCATAGGTAACCACAGGCTTGAACTCTGGGATCTTACCCTAATCGATCAATTCGTCTGGAGTCTCTTTCACGCCAATCGATAGCTTCATGCAAGCCATGATCCAGAAATATAACCGCCGAGGGTCCAGGACTCCAGTTAGCGTGTGATTTTATGCAGCAAATCACGGGCGGGAGCGGGGGTGGGGGGCAACATGCTAGTGAAAACTGGGAAGGTGGATGGTAGAACTGGACCCTGATTGGAGGGGTGGCAAGAAAGATTTATGCAAGGGCGGTTTGGGGTGGCTGATATTCTTGTCTTTGCACATTGTTGCGACAAAGAGCAGTAAGGTGGTGGCACTCTGTGCAGACGCGGCGCTGCTGGAGAAAGTACGGTAGCAACTGATGGAATCAAGACGTCTGTACTGTGCTCTGCTGTGCTGTGCTGTGCTGTGCTGTGCTGTGCTGTTCAAGAAGAGTGCGTTTGGGAGGAGGCAATCAGCTCGAGAGGCTGTTCTAGTTGAAGAGGTCCGCTCTTCGGGCCCCTCTAGAGTCGAGTACGCGCCCAATGGATTGGTGCATTCAAATGAATACGGACGGCAAAGGAATTCTGGACATCTGTGCACTGACAGCCTGTAAGCTCGTGACCCTTCATCCTGTAGCTGCGGTCCAGCAGCATACATATGCTCTCATTAGACTTCCCAAGCCTTGCGGACGAGAGACGATAGAACTGTAGGAGCTTTCGTAGCTTTTGTGATTGCCAACAAAGCGATGGCTCTCTCACGGCCTTTTCTCTTTACTCTTTAGTACCTAGTCACCATGGTCTAAGACTTGCTAAGAGTACCTAAGAAGTTGTAACGGCATGCTTGAACATGCCGAGCTGCCGCCAATGTCAAGCTAGTGCTCGTAGATTTTTAGCGTATTATCTTCAGCGTCTATTCCTCTCCGCTGATTGGCTCTGTAAACAACGTCTTTCCAAACCACTGACAAGCTTCAACGTCCCGAGGCCAGTCATGCATGAAACGCTCAATTCACACAACACAGAAAGCGTTTGGCGCAAGCCTCTTTTACGTACCGTACAGCGAATAGCTATGGCTCAACTCCCTGCCCTTCTCCTCACGGGCCTTTGCGAGTCACGACTTTACGGATACCGGATCAAGGCCATCGATCTCTTAGTCTTATCACACCGCAAGATAACCCCGATTGGGAGACTGCCTCGAGGGCTTATGACCTGATTCTCGGCATCTTCTGCTGTCTCCACGAGGGCCAAGGATTGCAATCCCACACAAACGCGCGCCCTGATCATATCCAGGTTCCAAGCCAGCATTCCGCATAGGCGCATAAGTGTCTGGCTGAATCTTTCCGAGCGTTCCATAGAGCCATGTGCGACGCTACCGACTTTTCTTTCTACATTTTCGACCCCCTACAGTCCACACCCTGACCGGCACTTCTGGGAGCCTCATACACATTCAGCATTGAAAGACCAAGGAGTACACAGACTCGACAGAACCCTCGGAGTATCTGTCTCGGAACCTACACCATCGGACACGGCGAGAAGACGCACAGGAGTCTTTCCCGCCGCAGGCTCAGGGCCGCCAACTTAGACACGAGCTTGTAAGAATTCTGAGCTTTGAACGCCCCTGCTTCTGAAAAGGGCGGAGCCCATCTGCGATACGCAAAGTCGACAACAAAGGACTCTACCTCCCGAGGGGTTCAGCGTACCTGGAGAAGTACCTAAGCGCTCAACCCTCAAACCCAATACTTCGAAGTCCTCAGCCCCACTCTGGAGTCTTCTATACATACAAGGATCGAGTTCACAACGTGCGAGGCATAAGGTAAAGAGGTGGAGACCTAAGAATTGGTGGGGTTTCTGTACCCTGGCTGCATGCGGGTTCATGGCATTGGGCAATAGCATCTATAACTCAGGCGGGATCATATCACTCCTGAGGGACAGCATCACGATTGGAATTTTTAGCACCTCTTGCCAACCTTGCACCGGCTGTCATTAACATCGAAAGACGCTTGTGGGACCTTGGTCCGTGCCTTGGATTGTTCTATCTTTTGATATCTGTGGCCCTTCGGCCTGCTCGTTTTGCATGATCTCTGAGTGATCTCGAATTTAGGCCACGCATGTTCTGCATTTTATCATTTACAAAGGCATATCATCAGCATGGCGGTTGGTCAAAAAGGATGGTTTAGCAAGGAATTGACATGGAGGATGGTAGTTTTCAATGCTTTATTTCATGGCTTACATGTTGGATTATTCATTTTAGGATGGTGAGCTGGATCCCCGGAGAGCTAATGATTCAATGCTGATACATCTGCAGGTCGAAGCAAGCATCTGATAAACGATTAAGTGGACTTAACAAGCTCACATTCTCTGTATGGATTTCTCGGGGCGCCGGTCTGGCACTGTCAGTGGATGGGACGATCATAGTATTGCCAATGTGCAAGAACCTTCTGAGGTGGATAAGACCAAAGATAAGGTGGCTACCGCTGGATGAATCGCAATGGTTTCACAGGCAGGTGGCTTACTCTCTGCTCTTCTGGACTTGTGTTCATGTTTGCGCGCATTACGTCAAGTGAGCATCTCAACGCATTCATGTTCTATGCCCTGCTGACATAGCTAGCTTCTTCAACGTTGAACGGAACCAGATAAGACCCGAGACAGCAGTGCAAATACACTACACCCAAGTCGGGGGCATAACGGGTCATGTCATGCTCTTTTGCATGCTCATGATGTTCACCACCTCCCACGTTCGAATCCGGCAGCAATCCTACGAAACATTCTGGTACACCCACCACCTCTTTGTCCCTTTCTTTCTCGCCCTCTACACCCATGCCACCGGATGCTTCGTCCGGGACACCGACCTTCCTTACTCTCCTTTCGCCGGCTCGCCCTTCTGGAATCACTGTCTGGGCTATGAAGGCTGGCGCTGGGAGCTTTGGGGAGGCGGTCTATACCTGCTCGAGCGGATCTACCGTGAGATACAGTCTCGCCGCCCCACGCGCATACACAAAGTTATCCGTCACCCTTACGATGCGCTCGAGATTCAATTCATTAAACCAAGCATGAAATACAAGGCCGGTCAATGGCTGCTTTTGAATGTACCCTCGGTCAGCACAACCCAATGGCATCCTTTTACCATCACTTCTTGCCCTTTCGATCCCTACGTTTCCATTCATGTCCGCCAAGTCGGCGACTGGACTCGTGCTCTTGGTGACGCCCTTGGAGCCGGACCCTCCCAAGCGAAAGAGTTCGATGGCCTGGACCTCATGGGCATCTACGAAATCGCTCTACAAAATGGCCAAGAAATGCCCGCCATCCGCGTTGACGGCCCCTACGGTGCTCCGGCCGAGGATGTCTTTGACAATGAGATCGCCGTCCTCATTGGCACCGGCATTGGTGTTACGCCGTGGGCCAGTATCCTCAAGAACATATGGCATCTACGCGCTGGCCCAAATCCACCACGCCGTCTACGAAGGGTAGAATTCATCTGGGTCTGCAAAGACACCAGCTCATTCGAATGGTTTCAAACCCTCCTCTCCTCTCTCGAAGCTCAATCTATGGAAGCAGCCGCTGGCTCCGGCGCTGGTCCCGAGTTCCTCCGCATACACACGTACCTCACCCAGCGCTTGGACATAGACACAACGGCAAATATCTACCTCAACAGTGTCGGCACGGACCTGGACCCTTTAACAGCGCTGAACAGCAGAACCAATTTTGGGAGGCCAGATTTCAAGAAACTTTTCGGTGCTATGAGGGATGGAATCTCCGATGGAAGCTATATGAATGACCTGAAGGGTGGGGAATCAGATGTGGGAGTCTACTTTTGCGGACCAAACGATGCAGCGAGAGATATCAGAACGGCCACTGATGAGGTGACATCGAGTGACGTCAGATTCAGGTTTTGGAAGGAGCATTTCTAGGTTGAGATGGGAATTCATATCAAATTCTCTTTGAAGATTTCAGCGGCATTTTGCATTACGAAGCGTTGCATGGCGACTGCATTGATGATGACAAAGTTTTTGTACACCTCTGTACGACACTTTTATGACCCTCAGTCCCACATCCATGGTGATATTCAAGCATGAATTTCTGCTCCGAGTAAGCCCGTCGTTACCCATCAATTCCCGAATCCATGGCCGTCTCAAGTTTGGAATTGTGAGCTAACGAAGGCTTGCGGTAGAGGCTGCTGGGTCTTGCGGTCTTCTCTCAGAGCACCTCTGGAAGTGACGTCTCTGTGTAGTTGCCACGGACATTGTGACGATAAACATCAGCAGTAAGTCTTTACTCCAAAGTAATCAAAATATAGCTCAACCTACCTGAAGCTGGGCGGTGGCGATGGAAGCATGCCATCAATAAAATCTACGTACGATTTCTTCGTCATGTTTCACGCTTCGTCTTTTGTCGCTATGTAACAATCCTTTCTCATATTCAAGAATGGCACCACGTTGCTCCAGCACCGTTCTCCGCCAACACACATCGATCCACGTTCTGTTGTAGTTCAACGGATGACTTGATTGCCGGATTCGTTTTCATCATGCGTCAGTGTGGAAAATAGCAAACATCAATCGGCAATGTATGTATATACACCCGAACAGAAATCCTCCAGATGAATCCTTGATCGGAATCCTGATCTTCCCAACGGCCTTCAGCATGGCCCGCCATGTAGGATACAGAGGTGATGCAGACTGCGGCTGTTCTCTGACAGCCTGCGAAAACGGCCTGATAGTGAGCTCAAAACCTTGGGCACACCTGCAGGCCTTATTGGAGCCTGAAGTTCGGGCGAACATACAGAGGTAATAGCAATAGTGATGTGCGTCTTGGCTTTTACAGAATGTTGGACTTCAAGGATTACCTCCCAGCTGAAGAACATGATTTACTCGGAGATTTTAACGTTGCCTTGCCCAACGACTGGAAGGCCTTGATCCGGGGCGCCGTCCGAGAAGATCCACACATAGAGTGTGACGAGAATGAGGATTTTTACAAAGCGCTGGATTTATGCGTCCCATCGTCTGAAGAGCAGACTGCCTGGTATGTAGATCTCGGTCACACTGTCCAGGACGTTCTTCTAGTACTCAATTCGCAAGATTTTTTTCGGCACCCAGAACCTCCATTCTTGTACTGCTCGGACCTACTCTGTAGTCCGTTTACATTGTCCAGAGGGAGTAACGCTGACAGCGAACTGTTGCGTGCGGTAGGGCGACAGCGGATGAAGAGCGACTTGAAATCTCTGCGCGGTTGATTTCAACAGGTTCCTACTCGCCATACGACAGCGATCCAGAACCCGCCACGTCGAGATTTTCGTCCCAAGGACGTGGGTCACTCTACGAGGGAAGCCTCTCTTCTCCAAGGCTCAGGCGTCAGCCATGGGATTCTGCATAAGCTCACCCACCTGAATCATTACCATCCCACCAAAGGCTGCCATTGAGCAACCTTTCTGAGCCCGCTGTTACTGAGCGAGGCAGTCAATATTCCGACCGACAAGGTCGAACGCACCAAGAAGAATCCAAAACTGCCCTATGTGTAAGGATGCCATCGATAATGAGCGCAGGGTGTCACGATGCCGTGTGTGTGTGGCCCGTTACCATGGAAAATGTCTCAAAAGATGGTTCAGACGTAGTAGGGAAGATGGCAATGAGGAGAAGCGTCCTCATTGGTGAGTTCTCTGGCCACTTATTTTCCTTTTTTCCCTTCGAGGCTACGACCGATCCTTGAAATCCCTACAGCCGTCAAGGCTGGGAATCCGAATAACCTCGTTAGGGTATCTACAGATTAGAAACTCCGTATGCTGGCTGTGTTAAAGACAGTCTTTCCAAGCCAGGCGAAAGTGAAGCCACCCGCAGTCCACATCGCATTCATTTCTACTATTCCCTATGTATTCATCACGCTGCTAAGCACATATCTTATATTCCGCTGACGGAGTAATCAATGGTTCCGCTCGTCTCTAGAGATTAGAGAGAACCTTAGCTGCGGAAGAGTAAAAATCAAAGTGGGGATGGCGACAGAGGCAAGTGAGTCTGAGCGATGTGGCTTCATTGGAAGCATCAAGGCTATTGATTACCTCGAACAGCCAGGCGCTTCGTTTCCTCCACAGCGCCACTTTCCTATTTTGCCGTCACATCATCCTGCTCGTCACCCTTACGATCTTTCTGTTCCTTCTCACCATCAATATCGCCAGTTTGGTCCTTATTTCGAACCTCCGTTCTCGGCTCCCTTCGGTAAAGAATTGTCCGTCCACAACCTCACTTTTTGAATCGTCATCACCGCGTCATTCTCAGTCTTTGCCTTCTCCCAATCGCCAGCCCAACCAATCAATATCGGAAATTGCCCCAACCTCGCCCTCGGTCAAAGTCAGGGTGAGCGTCGCCTTAAGAGTCACGCTAATAACACGGCCTAACACCCCCGCCTTGAGAGTGAGACGTTGCCTGATTATCTGTCCATCACGGTTCATTATGTTTCTCTTTGATGTATGATTTACGAAGGAACAAGGCGTCCAAAACATCTAAGTATCATATTCCGTGGCTTCAGTCTTATAGAGCAAGAAGTCTCTAAGTTCTAGATATCGAGCTAATATCTATCATGTTCTAGTCATTCTTCAGTCGAGATAAAGAGACTTTGCAGACTTTTACTAAGAACTGATTGAGGTTGGCCTATATCGCTTAAGAGAGCACAGAGCCAGCATTGACACTTTCAAGATTTTCAAGCATCCTGACGAGCTTAACAGATATCCCTATTAAGTATTTGAAACTATATTGGAAAAATTCGATTGCCTGGTAAGGTACCACGGGGCGGAAGCGACGATGCCGGCCCGTATGGCTTGGGCGTGTCCTTAACGATAGACGCCGATTCGAGAAATCAAGATAGCTCAATATCAAGCTTCCGACTTACCATTGACTTGACGCAAAGTTGCAGAGGCGAACCGTCCCCTGCAAGAGAGTTTGCAGGTCACTTTTGACCTAGTCGGGCTAAGTTGAGCGAAAAACAGATGATGCTATATTGTAATCTAGTATTTCCCTCTACACGTCGTATGTTTATTTCTATGGATCCTCAACGAGCTCATCGCTTTTCGAAGATCTGAAAGGTCGACGGTGGGAGCGTGTGGACATAAGAAGGCGGCCCTGCCTGGCCAAAGGAGAAGAAAAATACAATCCAACGGAAACAGCATTTCCCAACCATCCAATCTCCTCAACCATGCACATCCTCTCCACCCTAGGCTCCTTAGCCACCTTCGCTCTATCCACCCCAGCTCAACGTACGCCCCACGCACCCTCCCAACCCCAGTCATCACACTGCTAAACCAACCCCACCCCAGCCCTCGCCATCCGGCAAGATGATCCCTCCTCCGCCTGCACCGAGCAATGCGTCAGCTATAAACTGCGACTGCTACTGCGCCTATGCTGGCACGCAGGTCCAGTACGGTGATTACGTGCGCGGGACCAGCGACAGCTGTTCCGGCGGCTCCTCTGACCGCGGAGGCGGGGGGTGAGAACTTTCTTCTTCTCCCTCCGAGGGCCCTAGAGATAGGTTGTGCTGATCATGTGATCACAGGTATGGCACTCAGCCCACGCCGAATCCCTCGGATCCGGGCAATCCGGGCCCGACGTCCAATAGCCCGGATAATGGGACCGATGGGAGAGACGGTGGGGACGGTGGTGGTGGCGACTAGGCAGATTATACGATTCCAAGTATGATGGTTCGTAAACTAGCGGGTATGAAGTATTCGGAAGAGTCTTCAATATGAACTTCTGCTTCATTTCGTCTTCAAAGAATTGCCTGCTGGCTCCAATCTTTGGTCCCCAGTGATGTCAGCTGGATAGGTCAGGAGTCTACATCGTCAAGCGGGCCGCTCATTTCAGATCCGGTTTCAGCAGCGTAGCCCATGGCGTGATCTCATTTCTCAAGCTTGGATAAGTGTACAGGCCCGTCACATTCCACTCGACGGCTGTCTTCAAAAGCACCGCATCTAGATATGCTCTAGTTTCCACGAGTATTCTCTCTTTCCTCCAGCGCGTGGCCCCGGCGTAGCGGTTATCAAATCTGTATCAACGCTGCGGAAATGCACGGCATGGGTATCATCCTTTCGAGACGAGATCGTGAAGCACTTGGGGAATATTGTAAAGGTGATTTCCATACGATTCCTACACATACCCAGCATCCGCAATTCCTCTACCGACCTCTCGTCCTCGCAATCACCAATGATGTTCACAATCGAAGACACGTGCGGGAGCTCCCTTCGACTTGGTATCATCGACGCGTACGGAGAAAGGCTGCTTCGAGCACGGTGTCGTTGTTGTTGTTGTTGCTGTTGTGCTGTTCAGCGAGTGCGTGCGTGCCTTCGATCTTGCAGTCTACGTTGTCGAGCGCGTGTCCAAAGAACAGCGGGTAGTCTGCTTCGGTGCCGGTTGTAGATCCTGGGCGCGGCTTGAGGCGGATTCATGTGATTGCTTCAGAAGAACGTTCGAGGACTCCTCCTCCCTGGACTCATGGTATGGAAACTTGGGGAAATCTCCAAAACCTCAAATGGGACTAGTGGCTTTTCTAAAGTTTTGCGTAATTCAACGGTTGCGGTGTGCCCAAAACCTCAAACGGGACTAGTGGTTTTCCTAAAGTTTTGAGTAATTCAACGGTTGCGGTGTGCCCAAAACCTCAAATGGGACTAGTGGTTTTCCTTAAGTTTTGCGTAATTCAACGGTTGCGGTGTGCCCAAAACCTCAAACGGGACTAGTGGTTTTCCTAAAGTTTTGAGTAATTCAACGGTTGCGGTGTGCCCAAAACCTCAAATGGGACTAGTGGCTTTTCTAAAGTTTTGCGTACCTCATGTTAGGAGAGTGCCAAGGCTATGGACTAGTGCCAAGGCATCTGCCGCATCTATTCGGAACTAGCGTGTCTTGGCACAGTCACTGCCAGGCGGGCTATCAGAATAAGTGGCAGTTCCGCCAAGAAGGGCAACGAGAACATTAAAGGCTAAGTCAACAATGAAAGGATTTTGAAACTCACTTTTGCTTGTAGAAATATAGGTAGTACTAATCGTAGCAACTTTGTAATGAAAATAATCTTCTTAAAACCTCTTCTTGTCGAGTTCTCGTCGATGACTCGAAGCGCCAAGACTGCCACCTATTCTGATGGTCAGCCTGCTGCGGCCTTCATACCCATCCACAAATACTTGATCTGGTTACCGTCTTCACAATCCCAATATTGAATAAACTGTGTTTGGCTCTGGGCCCATCGTGCGAAGTAGTTACCTTACCTCGCTACCTCGGTAATCAGCCAAGCGGAGAGTATTAGCCCTAACATACAATGCTTCAAAGACTTCACGAACGAGAAAATCGTCACGCACGAACCAGGGTCGTAGGAACTACGGGACAACAATAAGCAGCACTATGTCAGATCTTTTCACAACGCGGAATGAGGTCACTCAGGATGATTGCATCACGTACGTGCGGAACCTTGTGAAGAGATCTGTAAATTTAGTACCCTGGCAAGGCTATCATAGCTACAACTTGTTGTTGGGGGCGGGCTGTATTTTTCAATTTCGATCCAAGGTATCAGCTCTCCACCTTTCAATGAGAGCGCTTGCCAAAGAATTCAATCGTCATATCGCTCCAGCTATTACCTGTGAGGATCTTATGCCCAACAGCTCAGCGAGCATTTGGATAATGGAGGCGTTGCCAAGCGTTGGGTATCTCTTTACATTCAGCAGCACCACGGTGGCCAAGCAGGATACAACCCTAATAGATATGGCAAGGTAGGCTGCTTTGTGGTAGTCAACATTTTTGCCATTGTAATCTCACCTAAGCAAAAGATAGATTCTATGCAGCGTCATGGATCAATGCCCAAACCCCTGTTGGAGACACACATGACTTCTATCACACCAAGCTCATGCAGCTATCCGGCGCTCTACCATCTCGATTCGCGAGAGTCATTGAGAACACCAATCAAAGCCTACACGAGATCCTTTACCATGTGCACTGGGTTTGGACACACTCAGATCTCTCAGACATGGACATCCTCGTCGATCCTGATTCTGGTCATCTCACTGGAGTAATTGACTGGGCGGATGCTGGTATCGAACCATTCGGGATCGCTCTTTGGGGATTGGAGAGCGTACTTGGAAGTAGCGGCCCCAATGGGTGGTCATACTTTAGGGATGACGTTTTGAGTTCACGAAAGCTATTTCGCGAAATGTTTCTGAAAGGGATTGGGATGTCAGTATCTGTTCAAACTTGCAGAGCCATTGAGGAAGCCAGGACCCTCGGATTATTACTTCGATATGATTTTTTCTGGGAAGACGGCAGGGTAAAGCCAACGAGAGATACCTCCGTCCTCGATGTATTCCCTGACTGTGAGCCAGCCGGATAAGCTCGCCCCTCGAAAGTCATTCGTTAACATATTCGAGGTCGTTTTTGGGACGAACCACACAACGCAAAGCCAGGAGCACAGTCTTCGGCGTCGGTCATCTCAATGGGATCGTTTCACTATCACCAGTAGTACTTTTGGTCACTACGGCTGTCGAATATATATCTGAGCTACTTGAGTAGATGATGACGATAAGACAACGTTGTGCGCAAAGCATCAAGCTCTGAAACTAGCTGTGCACCCTTGACAAAAGTACCAGTCAATCACTTTTGACCTGACACTCGGGTCATATCGCAGCATCTCCGCAGATATCTCTGACCATGTCAGCCAGAGTTGAATGGCAATGCAAGCCAGGAAACCTAATTGAAAGAGGTGGTCAGAGCCATGAATGATGTAGATGAGTGCAAGACCTTTCTCAATAGAACGGAAAAAGTGATGGATAGCACGAAAATCGATAAAGAATGCTTATCGACTGTGGGACTGATCCGGATATGGTGTTTATACATCAACGTCAGGAGGGTTGTCCCCGTTAAGAAAATAAGAAACACCGCAAAACAATTGTACCAGCGCCAATAGGAATCAAACCTATTACGAATTAAATGCCTCTAACCTCCATAGACTCGCGCTTAAGAGAGGGTGTGCTCCTTACGATCGATCGCTTAAACTTCATGACCGATGCTCTCACTCGTACCCATTCAAAAACTCTTATCATAATCTTTCGCCTCTGGATCCACCCTACTTGCTTCCACAACAGCTGGAGTAGCATCAACGAAAGTAATAGCTCGTTGTCGAATGGGATGTCGTATAACCAGCCTCGACACCTCCTGCGGGTTATTACACCAGCGGAAGAAATTTTCCGTCTATAGAACCCTGGGTTAGGGGATGACAGCAATTCCTGTGGAATAGATCTTGAGCTAAGCCTACTCGTCGTTGAACACCGACAAGGTCGAATTGTCTTGGCAAAATTGGCCACCGTAAACAGAAGCTAAGCCTATTTGAGGTTTTGAGCGCCGCCAGCCTTAAACTCCCACAACGGTTCAGTCATGAAAACGCTTCAATTTATCAGCCCGTCAAACCGTAAAACCGACGACCTTAGCAAGATCTACATCGTAATTCAGAATTCGAAATTTATCAACGCCGTCAACGTTCCCCCGAGGCCGCAGTCCGTCCTGCCATCCGTCGCAACTGACAATGGTCCTTGTCCCGACGTCTGCTAGTCGTCTTCTCCGCTTTTCTATCTTCCATGCTCGCAGCCTTTTGTCCAAGCTGGCGTAAGACGTCCGACCAGTTTAGCAGAGACACTGTGATCGGACATGGCGCGGTTAGAATAGTGTGGATTGTTGCTTCTCCAGAGTAAGTGAGTGCAGTGACAAGTGCACCTGCTACGAGCGATAGGTGAGCGCGGGAGAAGAGATGGAGAACAAAGTAGAGAAGGCGGGCCGGGAAAGTCTTTGTGGATTCCATGGCCTTTTCTTTTCATTAACATCGAGGGATTTCAATTCAACGTCCAGATAAAGAATTCACGAGACACTTTTTCTTCGTTCTACTAACCTTACTCGACGTCACTACCCTCGTCCACCGCCGCATCGCCTACATTCTTTTCGTTGTTTTCATACTCATTGTCAGCAATCAACTCCACGCTATCATTCCCGCCACTCATTATCTCATCCGCATCACCCTATCCCTTTTCATCAGCCCTTTCATCCTCGTCGGGCCCCTCCTCGAATCCATCCTTTCCATCATCTTCCAATTCTATCCGTCCAAACTCCTTTCCACGCTCACGACCCCAGATCGCCGTACAACTGTTTTCGTACGTCTTATTTTTTTTGCGATGGCACGGATCGGCGTTCGTTTCTCAGAGCCTCGACATGGAGATGAGGAGATTTCTACATCTTAAGAATGGATTCTCGAAAAGGTGATGAAGCTGAATTTGAACCCTTTCTGGTTTGCAACTCGTTTGAGGTGAGACAGAAATCTCGGGCTCAAATGTCACATAAAGATGGCAGATGAGCTGAGTATAGGTTGGCATTCATTTGAGCTGCGAGCAGGTGCCCTTGGACTTCTCAGTTCCGTTTCGGAGTCATTCCGGGGTCATTGCCCCGAGGACCTTGGCTTTTTGTACATACACTGTTAGGTATACGCAAATGACGAGGGAGAATTCGTTGTCGAGTACTACTGCAGGGGTCTTATGTGTGCCGGTAGAATTGGTGTTGACGAGGGCGTCGACGCAGCTCAAGAGTGCCCAAGAGCACAGAATTACGCTCACTGCGTTTGCCATGACGGGGCCCGCGGGTCTGCCCAACTCCTCCAGAAGGAAACCTGCTCAAGAGCCTGACAAGACTTTGAGACAGAGACCTAAAGCTTCGGGCCCCGAAAGGGCGAAGACGATGTTTGTCGTCATTTGTCGCGCCAGCGCCAATGTGCGCACTATCGGAAATCCGGGGCATCCGGGGCGCGTCGCAAGCCTAAACGCCGTTTTAGAGGTTTGGCTGGGGACTGGGGTGCGAATTGGCAACTTGGCAGTTGCTGATTAGAGCCTAAAGGCCCCTAAGATGCGGCTATTTTTAGGCTCCCTTGGCTGAAACTCCTGAGCAATGACCTCCGGTGATTCAGACCCGGGACCTCTTGATAAGGACGTTTTGCAGGAACAGCAAAATCGTTCTGTAGAAAGATGATGGGGGTTGGAACGCTTGAGGAGATGCTCGACCTATGGACTGCCGTGCTTGTACCGATCATGCCTGTGGAGGCTAACAAAATTGGAGGATGGGACGAGATTCAGGCTGTTTGCGTGCATGCGTATAAATGCCTTGATGACAGATAAATTTGTGGGAAAGGGTTTTGGGACATTGACAAGAATACCGTTAGAAACTTCTCCAAGAACAGAGCACATGCCTCTGTTCGGAATTGCTCTCGGGAGATGTGCTGTAGTGGCCTGCACACAGCCTTGTTGGAATATCAATTTTCGGCGACACATAAGAATGGGCTGTGAATTCATTTCCCAGGAGAAGGCAAGACCTTCAATTTGCAGCATGATTCAGCAACTTGCCACGCGGAAAACTGCATATACAGCAGCTGTGTGACAAATTTCTGGATGCCTCACGTCACCAGGGTTCTTCTTTCCTATGCCAGTCTTGCGGTCTCAGGAGGCGAATGAACATATTCAGGCGGTGCCGTAGCGAAGGCTTAGCAAGCTGACATGATTGCACCGTTTTGGGAAACGACAGTCGAACGATGGCAGCAGCCATTTTGAAGGGTTCAGAGACACTGATAAGAGCTGAAAGGTTTGCAGGCAATTTCCGACCCTTACAGAAGCAGCGCTTAAATGTTCACAGCTGCGACCGGGAAGCAGGGCCAAGCGAATAGAGTTGGCTTGCAATGACTTGCAAAGGGGGGGAAGGGGCCGGGCCCGGAGCCTTTTCGGAAATCGTCGCGGTGTTCATCGAAACCTGTCCTACCTTTTGCGGTAGCGGAATCTCGCATATTAATGCATTGGAGCCCAGTCGCTGACTTGAATCAGCCGTTGATCGATTTTCGTCCCCAAGCGAAACAAGGCTGACGGTTCGCATGGTGCAAGCTCCTGTTGAACAGGCGGAACACCTATCTCCGGCAAATTCGATGCCGCCGGTATGGTTGAAACTTCACTAATGCGATAGTGAGGAGCTAATTGCGGTGTCGGGCATCCAATTATTAGAGGTTACTGACTTGCTGAAGGTCTTTCACCGCTGCGCACCCCCCGTCGTGCTAAAAAGAAGCAAAAGGGTGGTGGATCTTGTGTGGGTGCCTTGGCATCAATACAAAAGCATTTGAGAAATATTATCCTAAATGCGCCGAAGTGGCAACTGAAAAAAACTGTGCATGCGGTTTCACGCAGCATAATTGCGGCCTGATCACGGATGGGCGGGCAGCATGGCAGGGCTGGAAATTAACTTGGTACAAGCGCAAATCCTCGCCCAGCCGTTGGAAGTTCTATAAAAGCTTCCGGTGATGCCACCTGAATTGTTATTTCCGGATCTCTCGGGGTTTTCCGCGTAATGTCTGACTCAAAGCACGGCCAACGGTTGCCCAGTACCGTCCCGAAAAAGGTATGCCGCTGTCTTCTACCTGTATCTGCTCCCAAGGTTGAATATTGAGTTATACAGGCTAGACAACCTAGTTTTGCAAGTGCAAGCAAGGCAGCCTCGTCTTCGACCAGCCAGTTTGTACCTGGTACGAAGAGCTGTTCAAATGCGGCTGTACCTGAGGAGCCATGGAATGATGGTGTATGACGTTTCTTGCCCAATCAAAGGTGAAAGCTGAATACTAGCCTCGCAACAGTCTTTTGGAATGTACAACGAAGGAAATGTCGTCATCAACAACACTGAGCGGCGGGATGACACAGGCAAATTGACTCATACCAGATACTGGGTATGCTGCAAACAGAGATTGGACAATGGGCAAGTGCAGTATCGATTGAAAGATAGACCACCACAAGAAGACGATGACCAGTTGGAAGAAGACGAGCTCTATGTGGGTGGAGAAGGTAATTGGATTGACGAAGAATGTCTTGACTGGGTTAAGGATTAGGATCCATTGAGTGAGCGATCAGCGCACTTGTTCCCGAGAAAAGGACAAACAAGCAGAATGATGAAGCGCTATGCGCTTGGACCCGTCAGACTCGGTTCCAAGTCTCTGGTTGGATAGATCTCATGTACTTATCTGCTCTCTGCGTTGAAGCCATGCAGCTTACGTTACTTTCCAGAATCAAATCAGAGCATGGTCCGAGGGCCAAACCCCAATGCTGACTAGGGTTGGGGCATAAAGGAGGTGGGCGATTGGCGTCTGTAGATTCCTGACTCTGCAGGATCGCGCACTTGGGATAGAATGGTGGCACAAAGCGCAAAGCAGCGAGACGGGGCTGACTTCGATTGCATCATGCGTTTGAGTCGGTGTACGGTTACAACAGCACCTTGCTTGGGCCACCCGTGGATATGTCAATGACGGCCTGGCGCCTTACTTGTTCAAGCCTGGCTCATGATACTTACCTTATTTCGCAATTCGCATCATGGTAAATAATCTCATCAGACAGCCTGACAACAAAAACATCTTATTCTCCTCTGCTCATAATGACACAAAAGAATGGAATTGAAGTCCTACGAAGCTCGCCCCGGGAAGCCGCGCCGCGCCTACGACACCCGCCGTCAACCACGTCAACTAGCCCATCACGCGGAAGCCCATCAAACCTGCTGGTATCAGATGAATTTGACGCAAAGAAGTCTAGCAACCAAGGTGGGAACTCACTCTACATCTTATGACTCGTTACTGAATCTGCCTTTCCCACGAAGCTCAAAAAGGTGACCTTTGCAGTCGAGCGAAGCAAGCATTTGGACTTTCAAGTCAGCTGCCACCGGGACTTACTTATAAGTACAAGGTGCCTCCAAGGATCCGAACTTGTAAGTACAGAACCAACGGGACGCAAGCTGACACTGACCGAAAGCTTCAGTGGATGAGTACCCGGTTGGCTATCCGCAACTTGCTGCCTTTGAGGACTGCGATCCTGCCTTTTTGATATGCCGCAAATTTGGATGGCTTCACACCCGTCTATTGCTGCATCTTCAGGATGATCTTGAGAAATTAGAATGGGATCTCGAGCAAGTTGACTAATGGCAATCCTCGAAGGGTGACCCTAAGGCAATAAAGTCAAACCGCATGGGTGGTTCCGATTCGGAGCGCCAGACACTGTTGAACAAGATCAAAGAAAAGCTTAAGGAATACGGTGATTTTGCGCACTCTACACATCGGGTCCTTTTTGTACTGATCTCTCTGCAGACGAGCTCATGTTCCACATACAGCGAGTTCAGGCAATCAGAAGGCCAACGAAAACCCATCAGAACGCATTGTACGGACAGATTACCCACAACATTGCTTGGGCAGAGCACAAGTGGATATGTCAATATGATGACCTGGCAGCCTTATCGTCCGACACTGAACAAGATTTCGAGAAACGCATTGCTGGTAAGTACCGCAACTTCACCCGCCAACGAAAATTTCAATCTTGCCTCGTTACAAGTCTCCCCATTCATATAAATCGTACACTCGGCGGATGTATTTCGAGTTTGCCTTGATGATTCCTCTTCCCTAGCATGTTCAGGATATTGGTGCCTACCGCAACCCCAAAGCTAACAACGTGGTTCAGGCAATTTTCCGCACCCCGGAACAGAACACTAAGACAGGTTCTAAGACCGTGGACCTCGTATCTCCTGGGCGACTTGACTTCCTCCTTCGTGCCATCCTGACGGTCCTCGCCGCCTCCCTGCTCCTCTTTCCCGTCCTTATACTCTTTGAACTCCAGACAGAGGACCCCAGCAAAGCTAAAACCAGAAGCCGACTTCAGATTCTGGTTGTGTTTCTCTTCACACTCGCGTTCTCGACTTGCTGTTCGCTTTTCACTAAGGCCAGAAAGCAAGAGGTCTTCACTGCCACCGCGGCTTATAGCGCAGTATTGGTGGTTTTCTTGAGCAATACCTCGTATGGGGGAACTACGCCTAGCAGTGCACGATAAGCATGCGTGCGCGAACATACCGCACTGGCCTGATGCATCTATGTCCTGGCTCGGTCTTTCCATTTATGTCTACAGGGCGGTCTATGGTTGCCCAGTCGCCTTTCTACGTCTCTTTCTGTTGGTCGTCGGATAGGATTCGATGGTAGTGCACCGTCGCTGCCATTGCAGGCTTCGAAATTTCACGAAACACTGGAGAGAGTCTTGTAGATTATAAAAGTGGCTTAATCTAAGACTAGACTTGACTTCGGAATAGCGATGTAAGCCAGTCTACATCGTGGTGCATTGAAAACAAGTTGGCGGGCAATCTTTGACAGCAACGCCTCCTGGACCTCGAGATGTTTGTTGGGTAATGAATAGTGGATAGCATGGAACAAGGGATCATTATGTTGTAGACATGACTGTGATCTAGCCAAACAGACCCAGACAAGGATTCACACTTGATGGTCTCTTACCCGTAAGGCTTTACCAGTATAAAAAGGCATGTTCTCGGAGGCAAGACAAGGAGGACTGCCAATTCAGATCCAATTGATGATCTGCTAAATGCTGAGACAAGGCTTCCATACTCCTTACGTCGATATCGGAATATGACTGATATCCGAGACAAGGCTTCCATACTACTTACGTCGATATCGGAATATGACTGATATCCGAGACAAGGCTTCCATACTACTTACGCCGATATCGGAATATGACTGATAGCCGAAACCCAAGAGGAACTCGGTAGGGTATTCTAAATGCTCATGCCCGCCACTTGATAAGCAACAATCCAGGATACTCTCATTGAGCACGAGGCTGATAGAAGTGGGCCGGGGGTTTTTTTGATACGCATGTGATTGTAGTCATACAGCTTCGCATAGCAGACCCAGACCAGGTGGAGCCCTAGCATGCATGCATGCACCGTAACCATCACAAATGATGTCAAGCGAATGCGTTAGCGAGACGTGCAGATACAGATCATGCGAGTGAAGCTGCCTGCACAGGACTTGCTGCGAGCCCGATCAGGCCGAGGGATGCATGCTGTCAAACACGTGGTTCGGCGCTGCTCGTTTCCCAAAAAAGAGCAGCGCCCCATTTTCTGGACCTTTTCAAGGCTACTTCTGGTGACCATTGCATGAATCGCTGAGGAGCAGCAAATTGCTTTGCAGCTTCAAGAGGCCTTCTACCCGGTCGAGCCTTGCGACCTATCATTTTTCGATCTCTGGGTGATTTTCTTTTGGAGGGTGCTGGGTAGCGAGACTGCTGCATACTTCCTACGCATATATCTTTCATCTAGAGGGTCAGGTTGGGCATCAGGGTAGCCGTCGATACTGCAGAAACACTCACCGCTACATGAGTTGATGCACGGGATGCATGAGATCCTGGATGCCTCAATTTCGGCACCTTCAGCCTTCCCAAAGAAACGTTGTGACGTGGCAGGATTGTTTGGGCTCTTCTGCGTGACGGGGTGTGGCTGTGAAAATGCGGCTCAAGTCAGAGGAGATGTGGTTGGCCACACCAATCTCGCGGGCAGCGAGATAAGGGCACTCGAGCCTACCGAATGTCTATAAGGCCTAAAGACCCTCCGACAAGAAATGCAAAGAAACCCTTCAGTCGTGCTGTGATCCCCCACATACCACTCTGCAGTCATATCAAAGGTCGATCCAAACGATATGAATCGTTCTACGAAGTATCCGGCCTGTTCTTACAAGATTCACAAGAACCAGGTACGTCAACGAGCTCCAGGTCGCCCAAAACTGCTATTCCGCTTCACCTGCTCAAAGATGGACAGAGTGGGGGAAGAGTAGCTGTCAACAAGGCTGCAAGTATCAGAAGTGCGGGAAGATCGACCATCAGCAAGTCCCCGAGCGTCCACAGTGCCGCGGACAGCCAGCGACGCGAAAGTGCACTGGTAAGTCCTCCAGGCTCACAGCCAATCGCTCTTGTGGACAGCGAATCTGATTAGACGCAGCCGCCAAAGAAGTATGAGGATGTCGAGTCCGTCTATGACGAAAATGAGCGAGATGACAGCGGTCGTCCCACGGGCAAACGGTATTGGATCTGCTGCATCGACTGGAGTCAGTCCAAACAGACGTGGATGTACAGGTTGAAGGACGCGCCGCGTCCGGGTGGAATCACTGTTCGCTGGGTCGAGGAAGAGTCTCTGAGGGAATGGATTGCTTAGCTTCGATTGGAAAAGTTTAATCTACTATTAGTAAATTAAATAAATATTTAAATATAATAGTTATATTAAACGCGTTCGAGATTAAATAATAATTCTTTTATCTATTTATTTATATAATTATTATTCTTTTATTACTCTATTAATTCTATTAATTTTATTAATATAAATATAATCGTTTTTGATATCTCTCGCGAAAACGTTACTAAACGCTTTAGATATATATATTTCTTTTACTCGTCTCTTAGAGTCTCTATTAACGCGAATTCGCTATTACTAGTAATCGAGGCCGTAAGCGAGCTTAATAGCTATCTACTACTACTTATAAACGCGTTAGAAAGCTCTTAAAAAGAGCTCGAACGGATTTATAGTTATTATTCTCCTCTATATACTACTCGATTAGTCGTTTAATTAATATTATAATTCTATTAGCTTAATAATTTACTTAATTAGATCGTTAGCTAATTACTTAATTATTTATTTAATTAGCTACTTAGCTAACTACTTAATCTAATACTCTATAAGAGAAGAAGTAAGAGAAGAAACTATAATAGATAAATGCGGAGAATACTACGGAGAATACTACGGAGAATACTACGAAGAAACTAAGCGATAATAAGATTATTATCGTTAAGAATACGACTTAGCTCTTCGAGATCCCACGTTATATACTCTTTATATTTCTATATTAAATTATTACTTAATAAGCGAAGAATATTACTATAATTTAATCTATTATTTCTATTATATTAATATAATATATTACTATAATAACGTTATAAGAGAAGAATCTACTACGACGATTATAGTTAATTAAGTCTCTATAAAAAAAATCGTAAGAGAAGAAACTATAATAGATAAATGCGGAGAATACTACGGAGAATACTATAAAGAATACTACGGAGAAATTAAGCGATAATAAGACTACTATCGTTAAGAATACGACTTAGCTCTTTAAGATCTTACGTTAAATTATTACTTAGTAAGCGAAGAATATTACTATAACTTAGTCTATTATTTCTATTATATTAATATAATATATTACTATAATAACGTTATAAGAGAAGAATTTACTACGACGATTATAGTTAATTAAGTCTCTATAGAAGAAACATCGAATAATATATATTTAAACGAATTAAAATTATTCGATATCTATAGCTATTTTATTATTCGAAAGATTTTACTACGATAGAAGATATTATAGGATTTATACCATTAATTAGCACGTTATCTTTATTTCTTTTCGATATTTTAATACTTCTTACTATAAGAATATAGCCTTTCTCTATTTTTTATAAGTCTTAGAATTAGTTATTATAGTAGATCGACTTATATCTATATCTCGAGGTCTTTATCTATAGTTAACTATATATAGCTCTAAGTCGAGTTACTAGTAAGATCGATCTATTAATTATAACTTTAAACGATTTATTAAAAAGATAATCTACTCGGCCGACGAGATATATTAAAAATAAGGTTATTAAGTAGATACTTCTTTCTTAGATAAGAACGTAATTAATTAATAATCTATAGTGATAGAAGTAGGCTAAATAGATTAAATATTATATAGAAAGTAAGTAGAGTCCGATTTAACTTAGGGTTAGGGCTTTTATCTTCTTTATTAATTTCGTAATAGTAAAAGTAAGTTAAAAACGTATAGTAAGCGATTAGAGTTCGATTTTTGACTTAGAAAAATCTAACTCCATAAATTTAATTTATAAGCCTTTACTTGTCTTTTAATAACTTTACTATTTTCTATTAAAGTTTAATAATTTTTTTTTTAATTATAGATCGTAATTTACGCTTTTTATAAATAATTAAATTCTAAAATTTAATCTTATAGTTCTTTAAAAGTAAGAAATTTAAATATTACTTATTAAATATCGCTTATTAAAGATCGCTTATATTAGAAACTTAATAATATATATAATAACTCTATATTATAGTATAAAGAGAATACTATCTATATAAAATTATTATAAATATAGATTTTATAGTAAGATAGAAAGATTAAAAGATCTTAATATATTAAGTTTAATTAGGCTATAATATAAGTAAGATTATTAAAATCGTAATATTACTCTCTTCTTTAATTCGAAGCTTTAGCGATGACTACTATATAGTAGATATTAATCTTATAAGAAGTATATCTAAACGTATATAAAGTAATATTCTTAAATATATTAATTTAATATTCTATAATAAATTTAAAATCTTTTTATAAGTTAACGAGTAAAGATTTATAAATTAAATTTATAGTTATTTTTTTTAATTAAGGCCTAGTAGGCTATCGAGTAAATAGATAAGCGAATTTTAATAAGCGAATTTTAATAAGCGATATTTAAATTCCTTGCGCTTTAATAATTATAAGATAAATTTTTAAAATTCTTAAGATTTCGAAAAGCTTAAATAGCCTTTCAAAATTAAAAAAAATCAAAATTTTAATAGAAAATTTTAATAGAAAATAAAAAAGTGATTATTATTATAAATAATATATATAAACTATAATTTAATAAGGGAGATACGAAAGGTTTTTTGATAGTTACGAACGTTAATTTATTTACTCGCGATAAGTTAGCCAGTCTAATTAAAGAGCGTAGTAATTCTAAATTAATAATTAACTATATATATAAATTTAAGATTTTCTAGTTTAGCTCTATCTTATTCTATTATATATATTAATATAGTTACTATAGATTAATAGCGTTAATAAAAAAGATTATTTTAAAGATCTTTTAAATAATAAATAAAGGCTAATAGCCTCGGGGTAATAATAATAAAAGTCTATTATTAAATTCGAATATTCTATTATATTTATAAATAATAATTAAAATAAATTTTTTCCGATTTTAGAATCTCTATATCTAATTTTATATATTAAATATTCTCTCTTACTAATTAAGAGATTTTTATTTATTTATTTAATTTAATTTAAACTATTTCTTTAATATTATAAATCTTATCTTTTTTATTAATATCGATAAATAATAAATTTAATTTTTTATTATAATATACTATAATACTCTATTATTCTATTATAATATATTAAAAAAGCGCTATATCTACTCTTTAGACTTTACTATAATTCTTCTACTATAAAATCGTTTTATATAATTTTCTTTATAATATAGAAAGACGTTATATATAATATAGCCACCTCTAATTTTAAGAAAATTCCTCTATTTCTACTTATTTCTCTATTAAAACCTCTATTCTTAATATCTATATAATACTATATATATATTCTATTATCTTTTATATCTTACTAATTATAATTATCTTATAATAACTTAGAAAGAGTAGTAATTATAGACGGAGATAGAATCTTTCGACTAGATACTTTATTCTTTATTAAATCTATTATTATTTATTTTAGAAAACTCTAATACTTCTAACGCTTCTTTTCTATAGATTTATAGAGTTTAAAAGTATTAGAGAGACTCTTATTAAGATATTAAGTAAATAGAGATATCTAAGTTTAATTATAAGCTCGCTAAGAAGTATATATAACTACTAATATATTAAATCGATTAATTTCCCCTATATATAAGTTATAATAGAAGAATATTCTCGAAATATCGAAATTCTTTTATTAAACGTTATTTTTATTCTTTTTAAAAGTAGATAAAATAATATAATTATTAATACTTATTCTATTAAAACGCTTTCTCTTTTTAATAATAATATTATTAATCTCTCTAATATCGTAGATAGTAATAAGAGCTAAAATAAGATTATTATTCTATTAAGCTATTATAAGAATATTATTCTAAATTACTATAATAAGAACTTTATATAAAATATTCTTAATAAAAATCTATTTTATCTTTATAAGTAATTTTAAAAGATCTATTTAATTTAGCTTTATAGTCTTATATATAATAATTCTTAAGGTCTTTAACTTTTTAATAAGCTTTAATTCGATAAAATAGTTATTTATAAAGAGAATAGAGTTAGAGAATAGTATATTAATAGCTAATTTAAATATTATAACTAATATTTCTTCGAGATCTTTAACTTTTAATCTATTCTCGAGGCTTTTTATAGATAAATATTATATATAATTATAGAGATAACTCTTATTATTAATTATGAAAAGCTTATATTTCTTTTTAATTAATTTATCTAAAGCTATAATAGAATAATAAATATATCTTATCTTCTTAATTATATATTTATCGATTATATAGTAGAAACTTAAAGTACGTAATTTCTTTTAATTACTTTATATCTTATCGGCGAATAAAAGAAGCTTTTTATATTATATAGACTTCTTATATCTATTCTTTTTAATAATAAAATTATTCTCTATATCGAGATTTAAGTAATATATATATCTACGAAGAAGAACGTAGCGATTTCGAGCTATTTATTTAGTAATAATCGAAGCTATTAAAGTAATATTATTATTTCTTTAATAATTATAAATAGTAGAAAAGTAATAGATTTTTATATAGATAGTAATAGCGATAAAGATTTTTAGCTTTAAGATCTTAAGAGGTTTTTAAATAAAACTAAGAGTACTCTATTAAGAGATATATAAATTAATATTATTATAAAGTATTTCTTATATAGTAATAATTTATATAAGAGAAAATATTAAATATAAAGTAATTTTTAGACCTTTCGAAAGATAATTAACGATCTTATAATATAGAATTTTTATTAATTAATACTCTAATAGTTTAGATATATCTTCGAGAAGCTTATTACATTTCTCGAGCTTTTCCTTTCTTATCTTATTTTAAGCTTCTCTTTTCTAACGCTTTAAGGTTTAAGCTATTTTAATCTTATTAGAAGTAAATAGGATAGTAATTTCAGCTATAGTAGACGTGGTGTAGTAGAGTTATTAAGAAGAATAGAATTTTTTTTTTTTTTTTTTATTAATTTTTTTAAAGAGGTATTTTTTTTAAAAATTTTTTTTTTTAATTTTTTATTTTTTTTTAAAATATTTTTTTTTAAATAAAAAAAAAATTTTTTAAAAAAAAATTTTAATTTTT